GGTGATCCGGTGGCATTTCTAGTTCAATACAGCTGGCGAAAGTAAGCACGGCCGCGCGGCCGCGCATAGGCGCGCTGGCGTAAAACGCCGACGTTTCAATGACAATCTGGGCTCAGGTGGCACTAATACATTAACGGTTAACCTTTTTTGAGCCGTCTGCCGTCGAGGCGGCTGATATTTGGGTTAGCGTCAGACCATCACCTATTCTTGCACCAAGTCATAGGCTGGGGCACTCGTGTGACCTAAGAGCCGTGTGACCTAAGATAGGCACCCGGGGGACGGGTGGGGTTGGTATGGTGGTTAGGGTGGGTTGGGATGCGGAGCGGGTGTTTATTTGGGTTAGGTTTTTAGTTAGAAGTGCCCAGTTAGCTCGTATTGTAGGTCACACGCCCGTTAGTCACACGAGAGTTACCGGTATGGCTGGGGCGCCTGAAATCGCATAAGCATACAGATAGTTTCGCCAATTTCGCCAATTAGGGTGAATTTGCGCTTCAGCTATTAGTGTTTGCGCATTTCAGAAAACAATTTCGCCACGATCACTGGATCATAATCATCCGATACGACCAAGGCCGAGGTCGCCACGACTTCCCATGACAGTCCCATTTGATTGCCGGCTTTTGGGCGATAGAACCACAGGATGTATTTGCCGATTGTGACACGTAGTCTTGTCCGCTCATATATTACCGTAGATTTGTGCACTCGGTTAGCTTCACACCGTTAGAGTACAACGGCCGTCACCCCTGCTTCGAATAACGGATACTGCATACTGCACGCTGATTGGCTGGCGCTTATTGGCCTTAGCTCCCAGTCTAATCACTGTAGCTTAGACTGACTCTCAGCCTAGACTTGAGCTGAGGAGAGTACAAAGGGTGGATTTCTCCACCTCTGCCTCATTCTCAGACTTCTCGGATTCTTGAGATTGAAGGCGCCCCTTTTCCTAAGAGTTTATCACCCCCGGACCCCTCTTGCCTTGGATAAGCGGAGGATTCTCCTTGTGAAAATCGCTTCCGTTCACACGATTGTAGTGAAACGCTTTTCTCGACTCGAGCGGTTCTCTTGACGAACTGGCACTGCCGGCTGCTGAATTGCTGGCGACCGACATAGACCTCAGACAACCCAGACTCACGGCCGTATCGAGAAAACCTCTCGTAAAGCCATCGGAAGCATATTGAACAAATTGCTCGATACGGCCGGCCGGGTATCGATCAAATTGCTCGTTTTCTGGTAGCGCCTATTGGGAAAAAGTCTCGATTTTTGTGAAGCCCCGGGCACACACTAGAACAAAAAGTACTTGCCCGGTTGTCACTCGCAGTGGTGTAACCCTAAGGCGGGAAGGCCCGGTTGCTCCAGGGAGCTGCCCGGTTGTTCGCCGCTTGCCCGCGAGACCGTAATGTCACAGGGAGGGCCCGGTTGCCACGGTCCCTAAACTACTAGTCTAGAGGGGAATTGTCCGGTGTCCCCGGGGAGTTGCAGCCGCCCGCCGCCCCGACCAACCACCCATAGGGGTACCGTCCTTTATGTACCGCGATCCTGGCGGTCGTGTGGACCGATGTTGTGGGTCGCAGCGGTCACCTGGATCGACGGCGGAGATCGTCCGGACCGACCCCTGAAAGAACCGGAGATCTAGGCGCCTCGGTCCCAAAATCGAGCAAATTGCTCGATAGGGCATTCTCCGTATCGAGCAAATCCTCCAATACGGTCCTCGCGAATACGATAAATTTGTCCAATACGGATCTACGGACATCGAACGATTTGCTCATAAAACCAAAATGGCTTTACGAGGGGTTTTCTCGATACGGACCGTGAGTCTGGGTTGCCTCAGAAAAGCCCTGGAACTTGGAAGACTCGCGTTCGAAGATAGTGGACAACTTTTTGATTGGTCCGATTACGATACCTCGAATCGGACGGTTGCGAACTACCGAACTTTCGGCACAAAAATGCATGAGACCCCGCAGTGGTCCTGTGCATTTTCGGAAGAGCTTTCGAAGGGCGCCATGGCGCCCGCTTAGGAAGAATTTTGCGCTTCCCACCCTGGCCCACCCTTGTATAGGCTTCAAAATTCTTTCAACTTACCTGCTCGCCTCAGCCCAGTCGCCTTCGGCTTCCCATGCTCCCTGCTCTATCGGACTCGCGTCGTAGCCCTCCATCCAGCTCTTCTTGGGCCTGCACTAGCGTTACGGTCGTTCGTCTTGCCCCCAGCTGCCTTCTGTTTTTTCCTCGCACGGCTAGTTGTTCGCCGCCGACGCGGCCGCGCGCGACATTCGATCTTGAATTAAATTCGCGCGACACCGGCCGACGCCGGCGCCTTTACTGCTAGCCTCACTGCGGGTGATGACAAAAGACAGCTTCGGGGTGACCGGCGCCAAGCATTTAGTACCGAATGCTGGTGCAGCCCAAATGGCTGGAACCCTGTTCGACGAATTTTTCAACCGGTTTGTTGTCCCTAGTTCTCAGACTTGGAACTTGGAAGTGAAGATACGCAGCAGCGCAGGCTGAGGTACCGGCTGAGGCAGGAGCAGGGCGGCTGCTGATGCCAATGCCATTGCACGGGTGTGATGCATTGCCTGAGGCTTGCAAATGCTGATTTTGGCATATTTGCGGACCTTAAAAGCCACTGTCGTCATTGACAATGCCATTGGCATCATTCAGCTGAGGAATTAAGTGGTTTTCACCTGTGTACCTGATCAGGATGAGTCCGTTTCCTTGAAGGCACGTTTGGCTTCAAGAGTCATTGATGCTGCCCAGCTCAAAGTTGAAGCTCCTGTTGCCGCTGTATAGGAATTCTGGACCAAAAAGTATCAGTATCTGACACCACTAATGAGTGGGGCTTCGCGCTTAAAGTGTGCTCGTCATGTTTCATTCCTCAGAAGATGTACAGTACGGGGATGGGTTGGTAAAAAGGCGGCACATATCCGTTCTTTTGAATCAGCTTAGCAGATACCTCTGAGGTCTAATCCACATCCAGGCACAATGGCGGTCATATTGGATGCTACTCAAGCAGCTCCTAGTAAAGAGCAGGAGGCCAAGGAGCTTTTTGAGAAGGACGATTATCAGAGATGTCTGCAAGTGCTGGATCAAGTGACATTGAGCCCCAACAAAGATGTAAAGGTAAGTCAGGGTTTCCTTTGGGCCTTGCTTTTCTTCCCTAGTGTTTCAAGGCATCCGTTTCTGGCTTCATTGGTTCTTGTCCTAGCTCAGTCACAACCGCTTCAGATAGTGCAAGGATTTGAGTCTGCTGAAACGCCAGATGTGCTGACGAGTTTCTTCACTGCTCGAGAAATGGAGAGAGGGATGGAAAAGCTGGGGGTTTCATTCGCTTCCATTCTTTGAAGAGAGCCCCTGTTCATAATGCTCAGATTGGGCAAAGGCGCATCTACAGACCCAGTGACTACTCCTTGTTGACAATTGACTCATTGTTGCAGGTGCTTCATAACAGAGCCCTTGCGGATTTCTATCAAGCTGGGGGCAAGGAGGCACAACTGCTGCAAGAAAGATTGCAGGCGTGCCAGGTGAGGACGAGTGAGCAAGAGTGCATCATGCTCAGGGCGTTCGGGGCATTCTCTTCTGCAGGCCCTCTTATGCAGGCCGTGCTCAAGAACTGGAATCAAGTCGCACTGTCACCATTCGCTGTCACCATTCACCGAAATACTCCAAATGCCAGAACTCCAGAGAGGGCTAGAGATTGTGGCTCCACAACCATGACCACCCTTCGCCCCAGATTGACCACTTCAAAGAACGCAGAGTCTGCCCTTCTGTTCGCTCCTTCAAAAAGCTGTTGACTATTCCCTGTTTTGTTGGCTTTGCGGTGATTCTGAGCTACTGGCGCTTCAATGAACCTTGTTGCATCGTCCAGCAAGGCTTGGGAAATGGCATCGATGAGATTCAGTGTCACTGTCCAATCCCATGTTACTTTTGGAACTATGATGCTGTTGAATTTCGAGTATGTCAGCAGAGTCCTTCCAGGTGGCCGGAAGAGTTGCTTCTCTTCTTCAGGGGGGTGTGGGTTTCCCTGTAAAAGCTGCATCGAAGACATCCGTCAAAGGGGTTCCATCATAGGTGTTCCAAGATCAAAAAGTATTCCGCACCCTTGGTGCCAAGCCAACTGGGCCTGCTGTCATCTTGCTGCAGGCCCGCAACGATGAGCTGCGGCAGGCTGCTGAGGCCGAATTGGATGGTGCCGTCTCACCTTCTGGTGCTACTTCATTCCGGGAGTCTTTCTCAGCTGACGGGGCTGCAAAGGCTGCGGAGCCCCTCTCCTGGGACTACCAGACAGCAACGTTGACATACAACCTGGTGAGGACTGCACTTTCTGTCTGTATCTTGTGTCAAAAGACCCCCTTCGCTGGTTGCACTTACTATCCTTTCACCTTGTTGTTTTGTTTTTTCAATTCGGTTGGTCGCGTCCGGTGCCCTGTATCATCTGAGAGAATCATTGGAATGCTTTGGCAGCGCGACGCTTGTATTGTCTCAAGTTTGGTTGTCATAACTTGCTGAGCAGATTGTTGCTGCCAAAGCAGAGGCACATCTGATTGAGGGCCCGTCGGGCATCCCGAATTGGGCAAACACGCCGTCCTTTGTCATTGATGCAGAGGGCTTCAGAGATCAGCTTTTTGCAAAGCGTATGTTTCACTTCACGCCCTCCCTACAGGCCCTCGTCCACTACCAGCAGCACCGCTACTCTCAGGCGGCCACTCTCCTGGAACCGCTCTATACAAACCTGGAGCCTCTCGACGAGGTATGCTTGCCGCAGCGCCTCCTTTCACAAGACTCACAACGCCAACTGTGCATCTTCTAGGCTGATGTAAAGATGTTTGTCTTGCTTTTGAGCATGTTCGGTTATTGTCAAGACGTTACTGGAGCGAGGGTCGTCACAGAATCGATCGGGTCTGTCAAGAACTGCCCATGAGGTTGCATAGTCTCAGCACCCTCCCCTGTGCTATCCATTGCAGGACGTTGCCCTCCGGGTGTGCTTACTCCTCCTGGACGTTCATCTCGCCAACCGCCAGCCAGCGAAAGCCGCTGTGAGCTTTGCCTTGAAATGGAGAACACAACATATTCCAGTCTTGCTTTTTAAAAAGGGTTGTCTGTCCCGACTCACCCATCCTAAACATGAGTGCCAGCGAGAGTTGTTGGGTTTCTCGAGCCGAAAACCTTTTGTCGACACTGAGACTGTTTCTTCATTTTTTGCTTGAGAATTTTGTAGGGAGACTCGGCAAAGCACAAAGTCGAACCTGCTACTTTGACCTCTTCTTCCATGTGCTCTGCATTTCTCGCCCTGCTCATTTGAAGAAAGGGGTGGTTTTGTATGGGAAGCACCGTGCCGAGTATTTTCTGCTGATGCAGAGCTTGTGTACCGGCTGACTGCTGACCTGCTTCCTTCTGTGGTGTGCAGAACGTGCTGAGCTTCTTGGAGAAGCTGTTCTCGGTCTACTTCCCCACCACCTGGCTAAGTTCCAACAACCGAGATGAGAGGCCCCGTGGTCGCAGCGGAGGCCGGGAGCGGGGAGACTCTGCAGAACGGGGAGAAGACGCAGAGCCCAGCACGAGGCCCGGCACGCCCGCCGAGTCGTCCAGCGTCGAGGGCGGCCACTCGCGCAACACGTCCGAGGACAACTTCGACGAGGACGCAGGGACAGCACCCGCACAGAGCCGGGGCCGGAACGGCAAGGGGTTTGAGGGCTTCGCTGGCTTTTCGAAGCCCTTGCCGATCGAAGCGGAGGATCTGAAGCTGCGGTTGCATCTGGGGCGTGCTCGGCTGCTGATGCTGACGCAGAACTTGAAGAGCATGAAGCGCGAGGTCAAGGCCGCTCTGGCGCTGTCCAAGGAGCACACGCACGCGCTGACCCTGAAGGCGCAGCTCGAGTGCAGCCGGGCCAACTACCGGAAAGCCATCAAGCTCCTCGTGAGCGCGCACACGCCCGACGCCCAAGTCTCCCAAACCTCCCGTGCCGCGTTCCTGGGCAACCTGGGAAACGTCCATCATTACCTGGGCAAGCGCAGCCTGGCCAGCCTCTACTTTTCCAAAGCCCTGGTGGAGGTCCCGCGCTCGCTGGCGGAGGGCGCGCAGACGGACGGCCAGGCGGTGCTGTACAGCGCGGCCCTGGAGCAGCTAGTCGCGGGTAACGCTGTGGCCGCAGCGCAGTGCTTTCAGCAGGTCGGGGGGCAGAGCGCCTTGCGGCTGCTGCGGCTGGGGGAGGCGTGCATCGCGGCACACAGCAAGGGCCTACTGGGGTCGGCGCACGGCGGGGAGAGCTCGGAAGCCGTCAGCTCTTATGGCGATAAGCAGGTGCGGGTGACAGTGGGCGGAGAGGGACCCTGGAAGACGGTCGTCCACAGAAAGCAAGACGGTGGAAGCGTGACTGTGGTTGGCGCTGAAAGCAGTCGGTCTTTGGAAGCGGATGAGCAGGAAGGAGGGGCGGCCCTCGGTGGTTTGAGCCTCGGTTATGCGAAGCAGTGTTTGGAAAAGGTGTTGGCAGTGTCGGAGGGCGCGAAGCACACAGAGGGATTGCAAACGGAGAGGGGCGGCGGCGGCCGTCGGATGGCTAACGGCACAGTGGAGGCGAGGAAAAGCAACGGGGAGAGTGCACATAAGAGAAACGGTAACGGGAAGGCCGGGGGGAGTGCGTCAGCAGAAGACGGGGTCGGGTCTAGTGAAGGGGTCCGGCCGTCAGGATCAGCGCCCATCACTCTCGGACAGGGGACGCAAGAGCCCGGGTTGAGACAGGTGGTTCTGAGCTCGTCTTTGAAAGCCGGCCTGGCAGCGTACGAAGCAGAGCAGAAGCGCAAGAACGAACTCATCCAGCAGAGCGCGAGAGTCGGGCTCGCCTACGTGGACCTCTGCCTTGGAAACCCGGCCCGTGCGCTCGCTCACGTAGAAGCGTCGCTTAGAATTGCGGGGATTGGGCGCGTGAACAGCTTACTGGCTCGCACATACGCTGCTGAGGCGCTGTGCTTGCTTGGGCGGCCCGGAGAAGCCATCAACCACTTGTCAGTCGCCCTCACGGAGTTGACAAGCTCAAGTAGCGATCCCCTGCCCCCCGTGCCTGAGCAAGGCCCTGTGCCAGACAAGGAGCAAGTAGCAGCGGTTCCTGTTGGCAAGCCGAGAGACTGGCAGGCGGATCTGACAGGGCCTGGTGCTCGTGCAGCCCTGTATGCGAATCTAGCCGCTCTCTATGCTAAGAAGGGCGAACTAGCTGAGGCGCAGCGGTGCATTGCCCGAGCTTGTCAAATTTGTCGAGAGAGCCCCTCGGTATTGCTAGCTGGAATCTTGGTACAACTCAAGGCGAATGGCGAGGAGGCAGCTCTGTCTAAGCTCAGGGAAGCTCGCATGCAGTGGGTAGAATCTTCACTGCCAGGTCAACGGACCTAATTTCGGACCTTAGTGTGCCTTTTCAAGGCAAAGTTTGTCGTTCGCTGAGTAAATGGACTACATTTATCCGTGGAATTTACTCTCAAGAGGTGGCCCGAGTGTTGACTGTTATAAAGGGATTATGCATGGGAGTCGCTCGTCAATAAGTTGCGTTCATTATATCAGTAGCCTAGTGATTACCTTTCTCGTTCTCGAGCTTCCAGGTGACACCATGGTGTTCTGCACGGGCCGGCCCTAGCTACACACATGCCTTGTGCAAGGGCATCATAGTAAGAAGTAGCCATTGAACCTTGAAGTTTGCACTCTTTTAGCTTGTAACCGTATTATACATTGCATGTAACGGTGACGTGTTTACAATTCTGCCAGTCTGCCAATTCTATCGGACATACCACAGTCAGATAGATGATCCGACTGTTATTATCAGTAGAGTCACATTGCTCGGTGCATGTGATTCTGACTTGTGCTACTTCATAGTCTAGTCCTACTTGCAGAAGTCGAAGCGCGCGTTGCAACGTGCATGAGCAAGGAGAATCATCACTTCTGCTCACTTCACTTGCGTTCACAACTTCACCCATGGTTGAACGTTGAAGATATCCAGTGCAGTGCCTCCGGGCATATGGTTAACTTTCAATAATCATCAGCAATGATGATTCACGACGAATCTGATGCTGCTTTTTCGGGGTTTAATCAGCAAGGTTTGAGGTCAAAGAATTATGATACGTCCGGAAATCCATTATTTCGAAATCTGGAGGTCCAACTATAGGGTATGTACCCAGGTAGTTGGACGCCGACCTCATGCGGCATTGCCGCTACAGACTACAGTAGGAGTTTCGGAAGTTAGGTTGATAACCCCAATTTTAAAATTTCCCAATCGAATGAGCGGAGTTGAAGCTGCTATATCAAATAGGTAGTTCAAATTTAATAAGGTATCAGATGAACGAAGACAACTTGGAAGTACATCATTTTGCAACATAGCTTTCGACATTCCCACGACTGGCACCCAAACCGTATTAGCTAGCCCCCTAACCGTTTCTAGCCCCCCGGCGATTGATACAACCGGCTTGTCATTCGATCACTTGCCCTCTTAGTCGAGACTCAAGACTCAACATGAAATCGAGACAAGTTAGTAAGTTACCTACCATGCCCGGTCAATTGCTCCGCAAAATTCTCCCTTGAAAGCGGTGACGTCATTTGATGATCCCCCAGCATTTATTGCGTCGAACTATCAACGTCGGCCTCCATTATGCACTGCAATGCAGTCCTGACTTTCAAAGAAGGTAGTACCGTAGTTAATGTAACGGCAGTGGCACGCGCTGAAGGTCCAGGACGAAGCACAAGCTGAACGGTTGTCTGCGATGCAAGTTCATTGGACATCATAGAGTTCGCTACACATTGAAGCAAGTCAGCTTACAAGTCATATATGAAGGAAGCCAAAGCTTGTCTCTATTCATTCTTGTACGTAGGAGGTGCCTTTTGCCGCAGCACGTTTTTGAGGCCGGCATCAATCAACTCCAACCCATTTTGCGTGACGGGCGCCAGATCACTTGAAAGTTTCAGCTGCAAAAGCTGCTCTGCCTTCGTCTACTCATTGCTTCTTGCGAGATGGCGAGGATTTCCACAATGCAACAGCCCATCTTGGCAGCACCTAAGGTACGTGCTTTGTGTTTGACCTTGTCCTCTTGAAGGCGCTCTGTATTTCTATGTGAGTTGAGCGTCGCCCTTGCTTGAAAGCGTCCAAAGAATTCTAATCTTGGTACTATGCACACTGCTGGCCATCATCAAGAAACAAAATTGTAAGCATCTTGTACGACGTGATAGTCTCCTGTAAAATAATATTATGGATCTAGAATGACTGGGCCAGGCAATGCTCGACAATGTATGGAGAGCAAGAATCTGATAGTCGTGTCCATAGAAAGGCTGGCATCATTGGATTCTTGCAGGCCTGATTCTGCTCTTTCTGAATCACCACAGATCCAAAAACATCAATGAACGAGCTCAGATGTTGAGGTCAATGTGATTGTAGTCAAAATTGAAACACATCTTTCCATGAGATATTGAATGCAGCATACCTGTCCCAGTAACATAAAGATTGATCAGCATTGGTGCATTCACAATCTTGTTGCAATCAGGCCTTGGCATTAAAGAGCGGAACTGAGCCCAATTGGTGCGCTCCCACACCCTTGCATCCATTGCATTTCCAAATCTGGATCTCAAGCACGTCCTTCAAGGGTTCAGATTTTGCAAGAGTCTTCATGAAGGATGGGCGCCGATTGCAGGAGTTATTCTGCACCTAGGATGTTTGGCAATGTCCGTGGCTGTTGCATTTGTCCCTAAACTGATTAGCAAAGCAGTCTCTGATGCAGTATGTTGTCATTCTTTTCCAAGGCTTCATACTCACGCACTGCAACAAGCAACATGGTCTTGACCTTACATTCCAACTCGTTGGATTGCAGGTTGGCCGCCTGTCACCTCCTGAGGCCTGGAGCTCATCCCGCAGTCTCACGTGCCCTCTGACTTTGCATAAACTGTTGCAAGGCGCCTCCAGCATTCCTTTGCCAGCTGGCAACACAAAGTACGCTTTTCAGGCCAGCCAGGGAAAGGCCAATGGAAGCAGCTTCAATGGAGGGAAGGTCAAGCAAACCCGCAAGCATGTGAGAGCCCAGTCTTAATGACAAGACACTTCAACATAAGAAAAGCTGAGCCTTGCCTCACATTCGTGCACCTTTCCGTAAAGGATAACAAGCTGTTATTGGAGCACCCCTTTTTCCTTCCTAGAGCTTGGTGGTGCTGGTCAATCTTACAACCGGAAGCTCTACAGCTTTCAATTCAAGATGTGCACCAAGTTGATTCTTATAGACGCAACCTTCCACCAAGGGAAAGCAGCAGCATTATTGGGCTTGGCAATCTGGCCCTAGGAATGAGCTTGACATAGTTACTTGGCAGCTGTCCATCTAAAGGGCAGGCATGGTCCTTGAGGCACTCGGTAAACCAGGGTTGTTTTCCTGTCCAACTGCATAATGTGGCAGCTCAATCTCTTTGTGAGCAATCACAAACTGAGATCCATGGGTGTCGACACTCGTCACAAGCAACCAATTGAAAAGGCTTGGTGACGTTTTGCAGAAAGGATAGATGCTGACTAGACACACTTTGTGCCAACCCCAGGTGGCCCATCCCGCGCTTGCTCCCACCAGAAAAGCAGGCAGGTGTACAGTAATTGCTGCGCCTGCTCCAACAATCACAGCTGCACGCACCGCTTCCAGGCCTGTGGAGACAGTGATGCTTTCTATCATCACAGGGACAGAGGGGGATGCGGGCATGTTTGGCTCCGCGAAGGTGAACGCTTTTCCACTCCAAGGCAGGGCAATGCGATTATAGAGCATGGTATGCACCTTTCATAAGGAATGGAAAATTCCTGTTTCACAGAAATATGCTTGCAGCAAGCATAAACTTACATATCCCGTTCCACGCGAATCCATCTGGATCAAGAACCTTCTGGGGCGAAGAGTGATGATGACCAGCTTCCAAACACACCTTGCTTGAATAGGGCCCCCAAGCTTGGACCGTCTGTTGTTATGCTACAAAAGCCAAACTGCAGATCTGGAAATTCAGGTCACTCCCTTTGAGGGCTCTGAAAGACCCTGGATCTGTTTGTATGCTCAAGATTAGTAAATCCGTTCATTGCTGATCTCCCATTGCTCTTGCAGGTGACATTTGTGTCCAAGCAAGGGGAGCGCTACCCGCCAAATGGGCTGGAGATCAGCGGCCCCTTTGCGCACAGCACCCGCAAGGACCCCAAACAGTGCAAGCTGCCTGTCGGCTTTGAGGTGGCTGGCATCATTGTGGAAAACCCCAAGGACATGCGCATCGACATCCGCGTATTGGCCTGGCTGGCGCACCGCCTTGACGTCAAGATCCCGGTGGTCAACCAGAACCTGCTCAACCTGCTGACCAGCCTGCCCTTCTTCAAGCGGCTTACTGACGGCGATGTGAGCTCTTCTCTGCTTTTGTACATCAGAAATACATCATGCTAGCTGATATCTAGGAAACTCTTTTACAGCAAATGTGGCTCCAAAGCCCTTGAAACCTGAGCAGAGTCAGGATACATAAGCTGCGGGGATGCGTCCAGATCCTTAAGCCAGGATCAAACTACATGCCACATTCTCAGTCCTGCGCTGTGGCTCGTGCGCTATACTTGTCAATGCTTTTGGACACGCATTCATAAGCATGCCACTTCCTGTTCCCACTTACTGTGTTTGGAGGGCTATCAAACTCTCTGGAGTTTGTCAAGCAGATTAAAGCAGGCATTGACCAAGCACTTACGTTGATGAAAGAAGAAGGGAGTATCCAATGAAGAAAATCTGACTGAAGGTCAAATTTCTACGTCAGATATGCCCATTAAGATACACAGCAGCAACTAGAGCAGAGAGTCAAAATATCTGTTGTGCCTGTTCACCTAGAAAGCCTGCTGCGAGTCCCTGACCTTCGACTTGTTGCTCTGCCAACAAACAAAACGACCTTTCAAATCAACGCTCAATTGCCAGCCCTTCACCACCCTTTTGGAAGAAAGTCTAGTGGTTCCTTTGCTTCTTACGTCCCTTCCCTTTTCTGAGTCTCTTTGTCTCCGTCCCCTGCAGTGGTACATCTACCAGCTGGAGCTGGCCGGCGGGACAGGTGCCGGCGAGAAGCAGGTGTTCCCGCTGTTCGGCTGGGTGGAGGAGGCCTCGGTGCGCCTCGCCTTCGACGGCACGGCCTACCTGCCGCAGGACACGCCCCCGGGGCTGACGTCATGGAGGAGGAAGGCGCTCATCGTCAACCAGAACGCCTACAACTACCAGCCGGTATGGGCCTGCGTGCAGTTGTGTGACTATTCCCTACCATCGGATATTTCTGCAACCTGGCTGGGGGCCACCTTGATGTCATATTTAGTTCTGACGATTGACTCACCCGCCTATAGGTAGGGGCCTCCAGTTGCTGGGAATCCGTATTGACTCTGATCGCTAACTCTGTGCGAGGCAAATCAGTGGTAGCTTGTTGCAGCTTTCCTCCGTGTCAACTTTTTGCCTGCTTTGCAGAGTCCTTCCTTTGCACGTACGTTTCTCCAAGACCACCGCACTTGGTCAACCACGTGAGCGGTGGCGTGCACCCAGGTCTAGATGCACGCAGTTACAACTGTTTCTGGTTGTCACTTTGTGCGCGCTCATGCAGAACCTCATTGACTCCCTGTGCTGCAGTATAACGATCTGAGCAAGCCGCCCAACAACGACAACTACCTGTCTCCGGACTTCCGGCCAACGCTGGACCCCTATCCACAGTAGGTACTTCACAACTGTGCTGTCGGATCTGCCGCAATATCTCTAGGTGGAGTGTTTATATCATATTCTATTCTAACAGCAGGCTGGTGAAACGAAACAGAATTAAGAATGATAAGTGTCGTTGCAGTTGATCGCAGATTGTGAAATGGAAGTCTCGGACCTAAGTGCAATGGCGTATAGGCCTGTCAGCTTGAAGAAATGAGGACGCTATACAGCATCTTGCCCGACCTTTTTGGCAACTGCCAGCAGTCACGTCCCCTCCACGCTCAACCCTTTCCCGTCTTGGGTTTCCCGCAACTCTGACCTTGGTGTGGATTCCCGCAGGCACGTGCAGGCCCCCCGCACGGGCCCCGACGCGGGCACCATCCCGCGCGACGAGACGTTCGGCCTGAGCAAGAGCAAGAGCTTCACCCAGGGCACCCTGCGCGGCGCCGTCAACCTGCTGTGGGCGCTGCTCAACAACGGCGGGACGGGCCCCATTTTGGTGCGCGACGTCGCGGCCGGCGTGGCGGTGGGCTATTTCGTGGGGACCGTCGCGGAGCAGTTCCTGACGCCAGATGTTCTTGCGGCGGCGGGACAGCTGTTGGACGGCCTCCTGCCTGGCGCGGTGCAGAGCGTGGTGTGGTTCGTGTTTGGGAAGCTCCCGGTGAAGACCGCCGCGGGGGGCCTCGCGGGGCTGGCGACCGGGCTCGCCCTTCTGCTGTGAGTGGCCGGGACGAAGTCGAGTTGGAACTTAAGTAGAGTCTGCGCTAACACGGGTGGGCCGATGAAGCTTGGAATGCAGTCTGACCAAGGGTCTGTCGAAGCTCTTTAACAACGTCGATTGCAAGAAATTTTTCTCCTTACGCGCTGCATCGGACTCGATCAAACGTCTTGCCGAGCCTCGCCATTGCCTTACTGGTGCGTGCGCGAAACCAAGCAAGCTCTCCGTTCTTTGCCACCGCAGGAATGACGTCAAGAAGCTGTCGTATACGAGCGTGGAGGCGTATGCGAAGTCGTGCTTCAAGCACGACTTCCGCCTGGGCCCGTTGCTGATTGGGTACCAGGAGCCGTGGGTGTACACGCTGGGGGAGCAGCAGCCGGACAAGGCGTGGAACACGGACTTCATGTTCGGCTGGCAGACCGTGGCCGGGATCAACCCGGAGAGCATCACGCTCGTCACTTCTGAGAAACAGATCATTGGCGGCGGGACCATCACGGTGCGACAAGCGGTGGCAGAGGGCTGCTTGTGCTGCGGCACTTTGCTTCCTGCGTACTGCCGGAAAGCAACTGAATAGGATTTTACTGCATCCCCTGATTAGTTGCACGAATGGCCTTCGTTTAAAAAGAATGAGGTAGTGCTCGGAGGCCGTTTCGTTGCCGTTTTCTGTTGGAGCCTTGAGAGCTGTAGAGGCACGTTTCGTTTGCCGATGTGCCTGCGCCTGACATTTTTTGTTTGCCGATGTTCAGGAGGAAGACCTGCAGAAGGTCAAGAAGGAGCTGCCGACATTTGACAAGGATCTTAAGAACAAGCAGATCTTCATCCTGGACTTCAGCGTTCTGTACGAGTTCATGAACACGTTCAACAATGAAGTGAGCTTTCCTCGGCATTTGAGCTACTTTCCGGGTGACATGTGTCATGTAACCAGCCAGATTGCCCAGCAAGAGACAGAGCCGTGAGCACAAGGTATCAACGAGTGAAGCTGCTGTCAAGGAAGATCATTAAAAAACGTTATCTCCAAAGAGATTGCTACAATTCTTTTGAAGGGCACTTGTGAAAGGATCGGGGCCTCCAGATCTCCAGCCGGCTCCTACCCCGGATATCTAGCCGATACGATCCTTTCTTGTGCTTGAGACCGTCTGTGACGCTTGCTGGCGCAACAAGCATTTTCTCTAAGAAGACGCGGCAACTGGCGGCAGCGCTAGGTCTCACTGCCCACGTGCAGAGTGCATTGGTGTGGCTCCGCTCGCGGTAGATCCCCTTGCGTTGCCCTGCCACCCAGCGGAGCTCCGTTTCCGTTCCGCGCAGGCCGGCAAGAAGGCGGGCAAGCACTTGTACGCCCCGGTGGTGCTCCTGCGCCAGGCGGACAATGAGCACCTGGGCGTCCCCGTGCCCATCGCCGTCAAGCTGGCCAAGGGCGAGGACGAGATCGTCACCCCCGGCAGCGACTCCAGCCAGGGCAAGTGGGGCTGGACCCTCGCCAAGGTCAGAGGAACCCCTTGAAGCACTAGACCCCGCCTTTGGCTAATTAAGAAAGTGCGTTGCTTCTTCGGAGAAAGCGACATCATGTATCGTGTGTCGCGGGCAGCACATCTCTGCGAGCTAGAACTGGTGCGTGTCTGCTTCTTGTGTTTATCCCTAATGCCACCTTCAGAAAGAGAAAGCACTTGACTGCAGATGGACTTGAGACTGCAAATCTTGATTTCTCCATGTCTGGGGCGGTCTCGACTCTTATTGAGGGGCAGCATGCGCAAGCCTTCATAGCACGCAAGTATCTGGCCGGTAGCTGACATGTACTGTTCCAAAAAGAAGCATATCTTCCCAGTTAGAAGCGTTCAGAATTCCAAAACTACAGACTTCACCGAGTTGAGGCGGTTTGGTTCCGAACTTGTGCAGGCAATCGCGGCGTCCGGCAACTCCGGGGTCCACCAGCTGGGTCAGCACTGGCTGCGCACCCATGCCGTGTGCGAGGTGAGAGCGAAACCCTATCACCAAAAAAGCTAAGGCAGACAGTCTATGTAGAGTACAGACGATCCACCGTTCCACCCTTGAATCAACTTTGGAAAAGTTTCTGCCTTTCCAACACAGTCATGTTGTCAACGGTAACACCATAATCGATGCTGGTGACCGCACTTGAAAAGCAGACAGTCCTGCTCTTGTCTCCCATCCAGGATCGTTATAAAGCTGCGCTGAAGACATAAGCATCTGTGAGAAACACGTGACGTTTCGCCTGTGTTTCAGACGTACGCGCTGGCGATGCGGCGGCAGCTGTCGGAGGTGCACCCTCTGTTCAAGCTGCTCATCCCGCACACGCGCTACACGATGGACATCAACAACAAGGCGCGCGTCTCGCTCATCAACACCAACGGCGTCATCGAATCCAACTTCTCGCCGGGGCCGGAGGCCATGCAGGTGGGCGAGTGCTCAAGAAGCGACCGGTCCTTGTTGGAAAACAAGAAACAGGAAAAAGGAAACACCTCGGCCGGTGGTGCTGACCGAACGCAGATTCTGAAATTCCTGCTCCGGAAGGGCAGCTGCATCAATCACTTCCCAATTGACTTCAGAAAAGAAAGACGTATTCGTCTTGACAAGAAGAGGGACACCAAGGCAGTCAAGTTTCTTGTCAGTTAGAAGAACGAGAAAGACTCCTCAAACTGGTCGAAGACCAGGCTGTTGTGATGAAGCTTTTCCGGCGTTCAGCAAAATTGAGGGAATTGCCGGCTGGTTCACCGGCATCAGGGCAACTTTTTACCGGAGAATCGACCAATCAACTCCACCTTCGCCGCCTGACTGCATCCTCGTTGCGCGTCGCAGGTGTCCGCGGCCGCATACCGCGGGTGGCGCTTCGAGAACGAGAACCCGGAGCAGGACCTGAAAGCGCGCGGGGTGCTCGACAAGAGCGCGCTGCCCAACTACCCGTACCGCGAGCACGCGCTCGAGGTGTGGGGCGCGCTGCGCGAGTACGTGCGCGAGTACGTGGACCTGTACTACACGGGGTCGCAGGACATCGCGGACGACTACGAGCTGCAGGCCTTCTGGGCGGACGTCAAGCAGGCGCACTCCAGTGAGCGCGCGCGCACAATTGCTGACTGTCAGCCGGTGGATGGATTGCGGCTGCTTGTGGACCAGAAGATGTTGCGCAATGCGAGCTTTTAATCTCGTTTCGAGGACCGGCAAGCCTCTATCCATGAGATAGCGTTGACTACGTGTATGCACCCGATGATTGAATATCTTCAGGTTATGATGAATGTTCTTGCGGATGCAAGTATTGAAAGGGCCAACGGTTATCAAGCTCTTCTTTGGAGGCAGACCGAGACTTGAAAGCGGGAACATGACCACGCGGTACAAGCCGTTCAGAGTGGACTTGATACGGTCACGATTGTCCACAAAATTGAAGTTCACCGTGCAGAATTCGACACTCGTGCTTGCAGGTCTTGACACGTGGCTGAAGATTCCAGCGAACCTCCCGAAAGGTGAGTAGCGCGCACACAAGCCATGCTTCTAGGAAGTGCAGGCGTGCAGTAAGCCATATCTGCGACCGATGACTAGACTGGTTACACTCCGGGAACAGCTTTAAGTTTTTGATTCAACGGAGAGTTGGCCGACTTGAGGGCGCGGAGAGTTTTCCAGAGCAGGGACAAGACGAGATTCGAAGCCAACCTCGAGCCTTAGAATCGAGTGATGCTGGAACCACTTGAGGGTGAAACGAATGCACTGTTCCCCCTCCCTTCCGTGTTTCTCATCTTCAGAGGAGACAGCTCCTTCATCTCGATCATTCTTGAATCATTGAAGGCCCCTTAAATGTGCAAAACCTGATTGTATAGCCGGTTATTGTTCGACGAATCGTAAAGCCAACGTTCAGACTGCATGAGGCTGGCCTTGAGAACAACTTTTTCTTCAAGCTGAGACGCCTTATGCAGCTTCTCAAGGAGGGTGCAGCAGCTGCAACTGAACCGATCGCTTACTCCGCAGGTGCGGAGCCGGGCCTGGTGTGGCCGGACCTGAAAACAAAGGACGACCTGGTCATGATTCTGGGCACCATCATGTGGGCCGGCAGCGCCATGCACTCCGTCGTCAACTTCGGCCAGTACGACTACGCGGTGAGGCGCGCGTTGTGGAGTGACGGACTGCATTTCATCTGGTTTATTGTCGTTGCGATCAAAACACGGACTGATTGCCCGGCTCTAGAGCGCTTCAAGCAGCATGACATGGCGGCTATACAGCCTTGCTGATAGGGTAGATTGCCCTACTTTGAATCAGCAGCCATAAAGAACCAATGCCCGTAAGCGAAACTGGCGCCCTCGAAATCGAGAACCCACTTGCCTAGCTATTAGATCAGAACCAGCAACAAGTGAACGTGTTCAGCAGGCAGCCCGTGAGGAGCTAACAACCTCAACCGACTCTCACAAACTACGCTAGCGAACTCGATTAAAAGTGAGCCAGATCAGCGCCTTGTGAATCTCTACGAAGATTGACCTTCTCCGTCATTGGACCGTGGCTGAAAGGCCCCACTTTCGTGCTTGTACTGAGTGGGCCTGCTTTCTCGTGCAGGCCTTCGTGCCCAACTCGCCTGCGTCCATCCGCGGGGAGTTCGACTACGCCAAGCTGCGCGCGGGCGAGTACACGGAGCGCGACTTCATGGCCGCCATGCCCACCGCCTTCGAGATGACCACCGTCATGACCGTCGTCGAGGTGCGCGCGCGCCGCTCTGCTCAGCCTGCTCGCGCATTGCCCCGGTTCATCTCATTCGAACCTTCCATCGTGTTGGCTGCCTCAGCGAAATTCATGCAAGAGCTCTGCTGCCACCGATGTTGTAATTTCGCAACGCTGCAGGCGGTGAACCGAAGTTTGCGACTTACCTTCGTTCTGCAGTTTAGCTGGATCCTTTCTGAGGCTAGGTTTTGTGACATCAGCGGCAAGTATGCACAGCGTGTGGATCCGTATCATGGATCCTTGCCAATGTCCAGTCTCTGATACCGAGGCACAATCTCGGCACTTCCAGCGGTCAGATTTTGTTCGGTACCTTCCAGGAGCATGCTTTGGTAAACCTAGTCAGTTGCCCAACGCAAATCTTGTCGTTCGGGAAGGAGGATCAGGTACCTGAGTACGATAGATTAAGCCCTTGAGTAGCTCCTGAAGGACTGGGATGCAGACGGCCTCGGCCCACTGATGACCCCCCCGGCCCGTTCGCTTCGCTTGCAGGCCCTGGTGGTCCACGCCGGCGACGAGCAGTACCTGGGGCAGCAGTCGGAGGCGGCCCCGCCGGGCGTGTACCCGCCGGAGCTGACCGCCGACCCCTGGCTGGTGGACGACAAGGCGAGCCAGGTGTACGACAGGTTCGTGGCGCGGGTTAACAAGGCACAGGAGAAGCTGGAAGGCCTGAACAAGGCGGCGGAGAAGGCCGGGAGCCCCCCGTACTACTACCTGCTGCCGCGCAAGGACATGGCCGACTGGGACCGCAACGTCCCCGCGCAGGGGGTGCCCAACAGCGTCACCATCTGAGGACGCTCTGCCGTGCGGGACGGGCGGCGACTAACAGGATGAGAATGGACGGCAGACCCTTGGCAAGGAGCGGCCAGAGTCTGACGACTTGCTGAGTTGCTTGCTGGCGTCGACAGGGATTTCTTTCTGACCAGATTAGCGCGGGCGCTTAGGTTCAAAGTTGCAAGTGCTGCGCAAGAGAATTGATTATAACTTAACTTAGTCATGGTCCGATCAATCGACTGAGATTCTGTGTGTGGTGTGGAGTGGTCAATCTGGACAGCTGCCTGACTGCATAATTGGACATTGAGACACCGTGAACGCTAGTAGAAACGTACTAAGTTAACGGCCGTCGACTTTTGTGTTTGAGTGGAGTGAGGGAAGGCCGACAATAGACACAATCCCCAGTGGTTACATGTTAGTGTGTACAAACGGAGTGTTTGTGTTTGATTGATCCGTAACTGCAACTGTCATGTAGATCTCTGCCAGAGTCTAATCTAACCGCAGTAACCTAGGCTAACCGCAGCTAGTAACCTAACCGCAGAAACGCACGACGTTCGCCTAGAAGTTGACCCGTTGATGGCACAAACCTGCTGGTGTTTGGTTCCCTGTTTCCTGTTTTGCTATCGGAGACCCTCTCATGAGTTGGCCTCGAACAACTCAGGCTGACGCTCAACCGTAATCGTAGAGGAATCAGGTCGGACGTTGGACATAACCGTTGCACCTTCGAGTCCGACTATTTAAGTCCGCCCAGGTATGAGTTAGCAGCGTTTTTTATTTGCCGAGCTCACCGATTGCCTGCAAGCTACAAGTCTCTGCTACCGATTGCTTGGCGGCAAGCTAGCTACAACTCTGCAACTCTCTGAGAGAGCTGCAGATTTACCAAGCTAGCTGTTCGGCGCCAGTCACTCAGCCTGCACGTATACATGTCCCACGAACGGCGGCGCACATGTATGGTCAATACAGAGATATTGAGTACCCACTGATGCGTTAAGACTGCAATAAGACTGTACGCGGGCCCCGTGCATAAGGCGTGATCCGAGTCGCGCACCGTATGTGTACCGTGTACACATTCGAGGGCGTCCAATATTCAGTGACAGCGCAAGCTCATGGGCGCAAGCTCCGCGATCTGTGATGCTGTGTCCCGCATGCCAAGTCGGAGCTTTCATTCGTTGATCGCGATGATTGTCATAGGTTGCCCGGATCCGACGAGGCCGTTCCATGTATATCGTTTCCGGCGTTCCCGCAACTGGGTGCAAATCGTGGCATGATAAGCTCTGTGCTCCAAAAGTTCGCATGCTTATCGAAGTGGGTAAGTTCACATGTTTTGCACCTCGACTCGCGCAGCTGACCTATTCTGTTATGCAATGAGTACGCATTAGCGAGGCACCTCATGCACCGCACTCATCAGCTAGACAGCACGCTATGGAGAAGTCTAAACGATCGACGTGTAGGACACGCACAGCTGGAAGAAGGCACCGTGACATAGGGTCCACGCATATTCACACACTTGCTGCAGCTGAGCAGGTATGTCCGACTGGCCCAGGTCCCAGACGGGCTGTACATGGTTGGTGGGGTCTTGCGGAGCAGATTCGTTTGGAAAATTAAGAGACAAACCTGGTTGCCAAACCCGCTCTTCCGAATCAAGTGGGCAAGATACCAACGCAACTTTCAAATTGGTCAACCCCATGAGGCTTTAAGCAGCGCCTGACGCACAACGCTTCTTTTATGGACAAGCATCGCTATGAGGGCCCTGAAGCAGGGTGGTAACTCATGAACCGGTTAATCAATGTTCTTGGTGAGCCTTGCGGCAGGATGGACGTGAACTTGGCCCCAAAATCTTGCGCCAGGTCCTTGCTCGCCTGTTCGGTGCGCCTGCACAGGTCGCTTACTCCCGACACCAGCTGGCACAGGGCCTCAGCCTGCACAGCGGCACGCTCATCAATCATTACACAACTTCGACCAGGGTCCAAGAAGTTAGTTGACAATCAGCGAGTCACACGGTCCGACCTTAGCACTCCGTCCAAACCCCAATCTGGATCCAAGTAAAGCACAGAGGCCTAGATTCTCTCCATGGAACAGTCTACAACGATCAATCAGCAAGTTCAACAATCAGGTTCGCCAAGAGCAGCAACAGTTGCACCCCCGAAGTTTGAAGGCTGCACCTGAAACGCCAACTTCCTTCTTGTTTCTTCCAACGTCGTGTCCAGCCCCACGCTTTCAACCGCCGGCGGGTCCGCTTTGGGGGCCTGCGCCCGTGCTTCAGCGTCGCGCTCCAAGATCGCCTCCTGGGACGCAATCAGCCGCTGCCAGGCCTTCTCCTGACTCCGCAAACTGCAAACACCAGCGAAATGAGGGGTCTCGATTCTTGTTGTCTTTGTTTCGGCGAACCAGTTCTTGGCCACCTTTTTGGATCGTTAACTGATGCCAGGAACGCACCGTGGTGAACGACTATCCGATTTACAAAGGAGTAGACCGACCTGCTCGACCTGCTTGACCGAATCTGAGCGAGCACAACTCGAGGAGAAGCTTGCACTCCCTGTCAAAACGCTGATGACGTCTTCACGCCTACCGGAACAAGCAACATGAATGAACCTCGAAGAAACAGACTCTCAAGTCGATGGCAATGGGCTTCAATGCAAGGATCTATGCTAACCGTCAGACCACGTTGAGAAGCGACGGGTAGCCTCTACACATGAGGCGTGCATGAGGGAACACCCTGCCCAACAGAGGCCTTTTCCCAGAGGGACAGGCGGAATCCCACCTAGCTGCAACAGATTCAAAACGAGAGGAGATGCCGCAGACATCTGCAAGCTGAACATCCGACTCAACCAGCCAGGCGGGACCACGAACTCCCTATGGTGCTTTTGCTGTACAGGCACTTCTTAGCCTGCTTACTTGCTGCGAAGGGTGAGGAGCGCTTCCCTCCTGTCATCTTCCTCGTCCGCTGCTTCTGCCGCGCCCGGCCCCAGGCTGCTGCCCGCAAGTATAGACTGCATCCAAACGGCACAGATTGGACTTAAATGCAGTAACCTTAGAAGCCCACCTCCGCACGAACGTTCTAAACGGCCAATCCGAACAAGATACCTGTTCGGTCTTTGGAGATGGTCGTTGACATGCTTTACATGCTCTGCTTGCAGACAAAGAGCGGTATGACTCGAAATGACACCGACATGGAAGGCCAGCCTCCATATTGCAGACTGTCACCCCAAAACTTTTGTGAGAGCCTATGCTGGCATAGCTAGAGCGAACCAGTGAACCAGTCACCAGTACAGTCCAGTTTACAGAAGCTGGCAACCGCGAGTCTGAAGTTGACCGACTCCTCCCGACCATGCCAGCTAAACTTATGTCTTAGTTGGCTCCATGAGATGGCAGGCAGATACTTGACATGTGTGGATGCTGACCTGAGACATGCCCACCATGGACGGGTCCTCCTTCAACCGTGTCTGAACAGCGCGCACCCAATTTCGCATCACGGTGTCCGCTGCAGTGAACCACCCCGTTCCGTCAGTCAAGGATGTAGAAATGAAGCCGGTAGTGCGAATCGGTGTAAAGCCGCAAGCTCTCAGCAGCGCTTCGCAGCCTCAGCAGTCTCATCAACTGCAAAACGGGCTTAACTTCTCCTGATCTACTCAAATCAAGCTGTCTACTTCGTTCTTTCAATCCTTCAACCAACTTCAAAGTCTTCTGCGCTGCCTTCTCACCCGCTGTGGCGACATGTTGATGGTCCCCGAAGGCCGCATCAACCGCCTCCTGCTCATGGCGGCAAATGCGTCGCAACAGCTGGACAAGCCGCTGGTCCTCCCTCTCTTTGGTCAGCCCCTCGTGGAACGGCACAGCAGGCTCCGCCGCCCCCGAAAAATGGGGCAGATCCTGTACCACCGCCGCACCCTCCGCATGGGCGACCGTAGCCCTCAGGGAAGCTGCAATCGAGGCAAGAACATTTCAAGACTTTGCCTGGGTTGATGAGGAGTTGAGGATCATCGAGGCCCCCAAGGGATGGCGCTTTACGACTTCCGACGGTCAAGGAGGTCCAGCTTTGACTGGCCCCTTTTCTGATGCCTTCAGGATGCAGGGTAACATTTTCTTGGATCGCTTTATTCCTGACTATATGGGCTTGACTGCTGTGCTGTTGACCACTTTGACCAGAAGAAATACGCTCTTTGCAATGGGCATATCAATAGTCCCAACACCTCAGCGGTCACAAAATCGACTGGCGTGCATTCTGTTGGCTATTGGCAGCCTGCGGTGCCAACAACGCTGTCCTCTGAAAACATTGTCACACCCTCATTTGACACACCAGGTGAAGAACAGTAGATGAGTTCCATACCAAATCTAAGCGTCTCACCTCTGGTTTTCCTTTTGCCACCTTGAGACGGCAATTCCGCCTCTGGGGCTGAGTTCCCCTCCTGCAAAGCACACAGCTGTTGAACAAAGGACGATGGAGGTCACACAGCCAATTTGACACTGTTGTCTGGTTGAGAACCACACTGCCCAGCCTGTTCTGCAGTCTGAAGGCCAGGGCAGTAGCGTGCCAGACGTCCGCAGGCACCTTCAATGCGTCAACTGTTTGCTTTGATCTGGCAGCCCCCATGGGGCCCAGTAAACAGAGACCGTCTGAAACTGCAGATCGCAACAGGGCATAAATCTGGCATCTTATCTGCCAACTAACCTGCTGTCGCGCCTCACCCAGGCCTGCCTCCGGTGCAGGCTCTTCCAGCCTCTGCTTCTTTCTAGAATTGCCAGCAACTGCTGCCGCTGCACAGCAATCTAAAGTATCAGACCACACTTGCATCATCCACCAAAGCATGCTCTGTATGAACACATAGTAAATGATCATGGTCACTCTTCTGCCAGATTGTTGCATTTTTCAACAAACACACACCAAGCATGCACTGTTAAGATAGGTTCCAGGTGGTCACGATCAACTGCTGACTTACCTTTGGCCAGATAGTCGCCATGGATCTCCAAGTACCAAACAATCGAGGCAAAATGCGGCACGTCCCATTTCGCAAATCGAACGCACGCAGTAGGCAATGCTTCAAGCTTGACACTGCAGCTTTACTGAATGCCAGAAAGCCAGGATCATCAATGCTCTGCTCACCTTCAGCCTCAGGACGCTCTGCAACCTGCACTTTTTTATCCTCATTCTTCTGGGCCGGCAGCTGCAGAGCAGGAGTATGCACCTTCTGCTTGAAGTAGTGAAGACAACTTATATTGTGTTGGTAAGATTTCGCGTCCATCCGCCTGGAATTTTGAGCCTGTTATGTTGAGGCCTCTTTCCGGCCATTGAAAAACCTAAGTCATTCGTCAGAAGTTTGTCAATCAGATCCCAGCTTGCGTCTTTCAGGCACTGGCAACTTTCTTTTGCCCGCAATTAGAAAGTACAAATCAGTGCTTCATAGAAGCAATATAACGAAATGCTTACTTTGGCGGCAGATGCAGCAGGCTTTGATGCTACACCTTTCTTCCCAAGAATCGGCGCAGCCGCACTCAGCGCACTGCAGTCAGAAAACTTCAACGTGTCAGACCAATGTCAAAGCGAAGTCAATTACATGCATTGGCACAGGTAATGTAAGATCAACTGAAATGTTAACCTTCAAAACGGCAATCTTTTCTCAATAGTTCAGATCAAGAAAGTTACCTGGAAGGACGGGCTCCTTTTGCCTTTTTGTTATCCTTTTCCCTTGGAAACCTTATATTTCCCCTCCTCATTCTTGCGCGCTTCTGCAAAGTCCGATTGGTAATGTGCGGAAGCAGTTCTCAAGAAAGCACCAACTCGAGCATTCAGCACGCAAAACCAGGAATGGCAGCAGCACACACTGGCGTTCCTCGTCCTCTAACTATGGCGCCGCCTTCTACCGGTAAGTTCTACCTATCATATAGGTAAGAGGCCTTCTTTCTTGTCGCCTTGAAATTGATTCTGAACTGCACATGGTCTTCTCTTCTGTGCAGACAGTTTGAAAGTTTTAGCGCCACCCTCAAACAACAGGCGCCGTTCTTCCGGAAACGAGCGGCTCACGATCGGGGCTTTTGCGAGCGACGTCTCCGTACGAGGCCGCCTTCCAGAAGTCGCTCAGAAGCAAATCCCTGTTCATAATCAACACTCTCAAGCCGTCCGATTGGCATCTTTAGAGCATCGACCGAGCGGCCAAGTTTAGGGTTTCACTGACGTTAGACTTCCAGTCTAGCAAAAGCATCCTTGCTTTGAAACTTGAAAGATGAAAGAAAGAGGTGTGCTACAAAGGCGTGTTGCTCCTATCACCTAGCACGGCAGTGCCAGCTCCATTTCAAAGATGTCATGGAGGATTGCACAGACAGGCTGCATGTACATATCTTTGAAGGCGTCGAGAGGTCTTGACATTGTTCCCCTTTGTCGATGGCTTCAAACATTTCGAAGCTGGTCAGGATAAGCAAGGGTTGCTAGAGAGTTCCCCACCGCTTCACAAGAAGAGTTTAGGTGCTCACCCCAGCTCAAATGGTAGAGGCCAGGCTAGAAGAGTTCTTTTCAACGTCCTGCGTAGCCGGCTGCGAAGCCTGTTAACCAAAGTACTTTGCAAGTTGCTGACCACTTTCAAAATTGTGCGACTGGCTTTGATTGAGACACGCTTCAGTGATGAAAGCTGCAAGAAAAATATTGAGAGTCCTTGTGGGGTGCTTCCTGGGGTGCACTGTCATCAGCGCCCAAGCAAACCCAAGCAATGGGACTGCAACCGGCCTTCCAACAGCGGACCCCAATTCTGTGCGAGGGCGTGGGACCGCACCATACCTTATCACCAACAACACAGGCAATGTGAAAGTTTGGCCGGTGAGCTTCAGTGCCAAGTTTCGAGAAACTGGCCATTCTTCATAAGACCTTGAGCTGGAAGCTTCAATGAAAGCAAAGTTCTCTATTTCCAATCTTGAGGTTTGCAGGCCGGACCTTGTGAGAAGAGCTTCTAGATTTGCCATGTGAGGAGAGTCTTCTTTCGTTCAGCGGTGGGCAGCCCCACAAGAATATGTGCCAGAACTTCTGTTGCAACCCAGCTTGTCTCCATTCCTCATGTGAATTGCCAACATACCAAGCAAAGAAGTCAGACTCTTCACTGAGGCTAGAGTATTGAAATACAACAAATCAGGGGGTTGCCCATTTTTTATATTTGAACCACCCCCACAGGCCTTGGCATTGAATGGCCGCAACATTGCTGCCACGACAGTCTCGCTCGTTGGAGGGGCCCTGGCCAATGCAGCTGGTGTGGGCGGCGGGGGCCTGTTTGTGCCCATGTTCAACCTGCTGCTGGGCTTTGACGCCAAGTCAGCCACGTCCCTGTCGCAAGGTCAGGGGGCAAACCACAAGCCTCTTACTAATAGTAAAAGACGGCCATGATTGACTGGACATGCGGCTTCGACGAGCTCGCACAACCTTTGTACTGATAGCTGGCCGGATAGGTGGTCCGATACTTGCTCAAACTGTGGAATTGACTTCTTTCCAGCTCTTGCTGAGACAAGGGGGCCCTTTCTTTGGGCAGCTTTCTGATCCTCGCCATTCTTCGTGCAGCCATGATCACAGGGGGCGCCATTACGTCCTTCTTCTACAACCTCATGCTACAGCACCCCACACAGAAGAAACCTCTCATTGACTATGGTGAGCCGATTAGAAGTCGCTCCGTGGGGTGTGCATGTTCCTTCGTACTCCCCAAGCTTAGCTTGCTACCGTGGATCACAACCTGCAGCAGTCGATCGGCTTTTTTCTGCTTAATCCTGGGATGATGTTTGTGAGAATTCAAACACTGAATCGATTCAGACAATGTCATCCCGTTTCTCAAACAGCTCGACGGACAGCGGACCTAAGTTTCATTCCAGGGCTGCTCGCTCAGCCCACTTTTCTCAAGGGACTTTGACATGAAGAAACATCTTGACGTGTGTTGGTCTCATGGATCGTCTCCCAAGTCCACTGCATCCTGGGCTAACTTTCCTTTTTGATTCCCCAGACATTTGCCTGCTACTGGAGCCGGCCCTCCTTCTGGGCATTGGGGCAGGGGTGGTGCTCAACGTCATCTTCCCGTCCTGGATCATCGTGATACTGCTGACGCTTCTTCTCACTTGTGAGACGCCCATTTTTGCTTCTCATTGTCGAGAGTCAGATTTTCATCATGTTTTTTGAAACAACTTCCTTCGCTCCTTGGCTACCTGTACCTCTGCTATTATGCTCGTGCCCTGGCTTCGTTGAGAGCTCAAGTTTCAAAGTTCCGTGGCTTTCTCTCGCCCTTCGAAGCGCAATCTGACTGCTTGCGTGGCAGCTTTAGGCGGGGCAGAGGTGGGCTGATCAAGTTCAAAGTCCCTGCTCACACCGCTGCTGCCGTCCTCTTCCGACGTCCTCGAACACTGTCTTCAACTTTTCAGAACTTCATCGTCCAAGCTGCAGAGACGTTGAGTTGCACCAGCTTACGCTCTGTGGGTGGCGCCTTGGCTTTGTTATGTGCGTTTTTAGATTTCACTCCAGCCGCCTCGTTCTTGTGTGTCCTCAGACATGTCGTACCGAACCACGAGCAAGGGCATCAGCACGTGGAAAGCGGAGACCAAGAAGGCGCAAGCGGTAAGACACGGGAACCAAAGACATTCCAATCTCTAGGTCACTACCAGTGGTCCATCCAACACAGCAAGCTACTGCTATAGACTCAACTCTTGTCGATCAGCAGTTCTATTCTTTCTTTGTCGTTGAGATCGTTGTCGATCACAACTGGTTTCTGATTGACCGCCAGCATTCTCTGTGGCTACCCTGTTGATGCAACAGCGAAACTGTCAAACCCGTCAGCGATTGTTACTCAGGTCACACTCAGCCTCGTTTCATGCGTGTGGTTGCACAGCCCCAGAGTCAAAACGTATGCGCTCCGCTGCAGGCGCCTCCTCCGGGCTCTCTCTCCTCCATGATGGACCACTCGCTCTCAGACCACGAGATGCAAGTCATTTCCAACGAGCACAGTAAGCAACGCATCCGACTTTGGCCTACAGCTGAAGTATTCGCTTTTTTGGCACGAAAAGAGACCCACTTTGGACATCTCTCTGCCTTGCCGGCTCGGGCGTCAGTCCTCAAGCGTCCTCGCTTGGCACGGGCGCATTGCTAAGCATTTCCCCAGTCGCTCTGTGAATCCATGACCAGCGGGTGCCATTTTTCGAAACTGACTGTTCCTTATTTCGCACTTCAAAGCCCGGAGGTGGCAGGCTCCAGTTTCCCCTACGTCCTCTTGCGACCTTGGCGTCGGTGCAGGAATCAACGATATTGTGATCTTTGAAACATGGATCTATTATTTCCGCCTTACACTGTAGTTGAAAGTGGGCGCTACTCTACTTGCAAACCTCCTCTATATCCGTCGTGCTCCTGCATGCTTGATATCTCTGATCTGAATGTCTGAGGATACCTTACACTGCGAGATCGATACCGAGGAAGCTCGGCATTACTATGTCATTTTGACTTGCTCCGCTTTCCACCCAAAAACGGGCGAAAGCGCCTTCTCTCCTCGCGCCCTCTTCCTCTGGTGTGACAGTCCCTTGTCGAGGCTCACTTTGTCATATACCGCTCTGAGTGCACCCTCTCGATAGGAGCGAGCGCCAGAAGCATGCGCAGAGTTGAGGCTCGACTGCACTGTTTGGAGCGCACTCTCATCCACAACTTGCAGGGCAGTCCCCCCCCGACAACGTCGTCCTTGCCGCGGCTGCGCGCGCGTCCATCAGCGCGAACCTGGAGGTGGCGGGTGAGAACGAGGTCGCGCTCTCGATGCCGCACAGCCCCGTCTCGGCGGGCGGCCAGGAAGTCGGCGAGGCGCCCTTCCGAAGGCGGTGGAGGAGAACTAGCAAGGTGGGCTTTCCCGAATGAAGCCTTCTCGTTCGTTTCAATCGCGACGGGTGATTCTTCTCCCTTCAGTGCCACTGTTGCCTCAATCTCAGCCTTCGTGTCAGCCTTCGTGTCGTCTTCCGTAGACAGCCGTTGCTTTTGTTGGCTGGCTTTACTTCTTGGCTGACAATGCAGCTTCCTCGGCATCTTACGAAGCCTGCATCCACCTTTACACAAAAGCTGACTTCTGCAAGTGAGGCGTCTGCTTGTCTACGTCTCCCATTGCGCTCCTCGCTCCTTCCCTGGTCTGCGGGTCGGTCCGCTGTTCGTCAGTCGTAGAATAGAGGAATAGAAGTCAAAAAATTTAAAGATCCAAGCCTTCGGGATCCACCGGGCGACATTCTATCGGACGCGATCTTTCTATTAGTTGGTGCTCATGTTCTTTAGCAAGCAAAGACATTGTGTCTTGTACCGCTCTCCCTGCAGGCCAAGCTGATGTTTGACACGTCGCTCATCCCTCGGCGACGACTGTTTGAGGTGCTCCTAGTGTGGCTGGCCTTCCTCGTCGTATCGGTGCTCAAGGTAAGGCACCCACCGACCAGTGATGTGCAGGTTTCACCTGATGAAGGCAGCGACTCAGTTCGGCGGTGCCGTGTTTGAAAAACATCGTTCCTGGAAATTTGCCGACATTGATCAGAGTGGCACAAGTTCGCATTCGATGCTGACTCGAAAGACGTATGATATTTCGTTCGCTGAAGTTTAAGTTTGTAATTAGACATGTCCAGCCGAACGCGCTTCGCTTGCTTCTGCTCGGACCTCTTTGCCTTTTTCAACCAGATTTTCATTCGCGCCGATTCTCCCACCCATCCCATCATCCTGACCCACAAATCATCCCAATTCGAAGTGCCGAACCCCCAGCGCTCCAAAGCGACGAGAGCTTCGCACTTCGCAACCTCGGAAGCTTTTGACCTCTTACCCCCGTGCCCATTTTCCCAGGGCGGCAGCAAGACCCCGAGCGTGGTGGGCGTGCGCAGCTGCCAGCCGTGGTACTGGTCGCTGTCCGCGCTCCAGGTTCCGCTGGCCATTTTCTGCACGGCCCTCGTGGCGCGCCGCCTGGGGCAGCAGCACCACAAGCGGCTCTCCGACGGCGACGACTACCACCCGGACGAGCTGCACTTCGGGCCCAGGCAGCTCGTGACGTACCCGCTCATCGCTCTAGTTGCAGGGGTGATCGCGGGGCTGCTCGGGATAGGTGAGCGCGGTTCTTCTTTGATGAGTATGCCGAAGGGGCAGCACAGAAGTGGAAGAAGCTCATCCCCTGTAAATACTCTTGCAACAGTACATAGCATGAAGCGAATATTCAATAGTCTGGGAGTCTTTCTGCCAGCGAGAGGGAAGGAGTGCACAAGTTGACGGTGGGCGGGCACTTGTTTGAGGGTGCTTCGGACAAGCGGAGCGTATCGTAGTTGGTTCTGAGTCCGGCCTGCGGATGCTTAATTGATGAGAGTGGAGAGCCCCATTCCGTGACCGGGAAAAGGTCTGCAACAAATCACTTTTGAAGAGCGGTCTTTCGCGAGTTGACGGCCTTCTGGCTTGATAAGCGGGTATTGATTTGCGGTACAGGCGGCGGTATGATCGTGGGTCCGCTGTTGCTGGAGCTGGGCATGCTGCCGCAGGTGACGGCCGCCACGGGCGCCTTCATGGTGCTCTTCTCCTCCTCGCTCGCGGTCGCGCAGTTTGCGCTGCTACACATGATCCCACTCTACACCGGTGAGTTGAAGTATTTAGGCAGTTTTCTAAGTGGCCCACTTCCTTCGGTCACTGAGAAGCAGACACTCTCCAATTTTCGTGGTGCCTGGAATGTTATGCCATAAGCGATGACAAGCACATGGGGGATGCTCGCACGCTCTGGGGTTTGCTCCTCGCGGGTGTAATATTTTTGCGGAGGGCCTGCGTTTGATTTGAGAAAGCGAATAGTAAATCGACCGAGGGTAGCATACCTCGGGTGGGCTTCTGACCTCTGGATGCCCAGTCCGTCCAGCAGGCCCGCATCTCAACCTCTGATGGAACTTTAACTTGCTTTGGGACCCTAGAATGCGACTCAGACGTCAGCAGTGTCTTCCGTGTCTCCCGGCTGCCGAAGCTGACGTCAGCAGCCCGTCACGTGCAGCGCTGTACTACGGCGCGGTGTGCGCGCTGTCGGGGTACATCGGGCTGAGCGTGGTGCGGTACCTGGTGAAGAAGTCGGGCAAGAGCAGCCTCATCATCTTCTCGCTCGCCATCATCATCGCCCTCAGCGCCGTCGTCATCGGTGAGCCGCAGCGGATTCGGGCTCAGGAAATCGATCGGTCAATTACTACTCACTCTTCTCTAGGCAGGGTGACTGGCTTTTGCAGTGGATCGATTTCCCTCTTCTCCATTTCTTGACTGCTCTCTTTGTTAGCTCGCATCAGAAGGAAAAAGGCGCACCTTCTTGGAGTCATACTTCATTTTTCGTCGAGCGAGTCTGGCTTCGTTCACGCTATTATGAGTCGGGTTGGTCACCCTGATCACCTTTAACCAGATTTAGACCAAAGCTTTTGCTTGCGTCCGTGAACTCCTCTTTCCTACATATCGAAGGTCTCCGAGGCTTTGCTGTCATCAAGGCGATACGCTTTCTGATGAAGCCATGCTTTCGGTTTTGCGAAGTGGCTGGTTTTTGCCGTGCTCATGCCGATACGCTGTAGGAGAATGATGCACTTTGCTCGCTCATCGACCCGGCCCCTCCGTTTGAATCCGCAGGCATCTTGGGAGGCATCAAAATCGCCCACGACTTCCGGACTGGAGCATACATGGGTTTGCAGAAACTCTGCTAGTCAAAACCTCTGCACCAGAATGAGGCGCCTAGAGCTTTTGTTCAGACAGCTACTCTTGCAATTAGATGCTCGCTGGCTTTTGAGTTGTTGCATGCGTCTGGCCTTGACTTTGATAAGATCTGACTAACAGGAGATAAAGACAGTGCATTGCTGTAGGAACCGGCCGGCCCAAGATAATAGTAACGGCCCGAGCTTCAATCTGGATGGAACACCCTGAGTGTTATGGTAGGCTCCATTATGATCATACGTGAATATCTAGAAATTTGAGCGAAACCAGCGTAAATGACAATCTGATCCGCATAACAGTTACTTAAATGAAAGTTGGACACATGTTCCCAGTCAAATGTGGAGGCGCAGCTCAGGCTGGTACTGAGTTTGCGGCCCGGCCGTGTCAGGTAACAACAGAATACTCTTAAGCTCAGGAGCTCAAAGAAAGTAGGCAATCTTATGTTGTAAAGCGTAATCAGCTCAATGCCACTTTAATAAGCTCGTAGTACATGCATGTGCCGCCGGCATGCGCGCACAGCTAGGCTAGCGCCCGGCATGCATGCTGAAAATTGGCGGCATATACACGTTTGCAGCCAGGTGCGATCGCCTAGATCTTGTTTATACCATGCGTAAGGCTAACTTATACCGTTCACCTATAACGCATTCAATTTGATTAGAACCTAATTGCAGCCCGCGGTATAGCACGGACTCTTTGAATCAGTCGATCATGGCCCCGGGCGGAACGCGCGTGGAGCCGCGAGCTCACGAGATCAGCCTCAGTGCGCGCGCGCATGGCGTGCCGAGACAACGTATATACTTTATTGCATTGCAATGCACGCGCCGTATGTTCCAGATTGAAAGTGCAGCTAGCAATACCACGCGCGCGTCCAGGTATGACCATCATTATATTGCGCGTGCTGCATGCACAATTGCTATATAAGAATCAACATGCTGAGGCCATTGCGACTCGGATGCATTATAGTGCGGATGCACTGCCGAATTATTGGACTCATAATGATCATTACACTCTAGTATGAAACTTACAACGAGCTAGCTTGATTGTTTATGTGGTTTGCATCGTCCGCAGCACTCGAATTTAGATCCTCGCTGTGTCTATGGTCCAATTGCGACTGGACATGCAAGGGAGGAGGACTGGCTGCCTGTGATCGACTTCGAGTCTACCATACAGTCTTCAAAGCTTGCAAATCACCGACGAAATTAGGTGGGAATGCACAAAGGGAGCCGAAAATGGATGTTGACTGCCATTTCCAGATGCCAGCTCACTTAGCTTTCCTATGATGTGACACGCATGTCTTCGCTGACGATTCATTGCCGACTTGATCTCTGAACGCTATGCTCAATTGGCGTGCACTATGGGGGGAACAAACTTGTGTGCGTGCTCTGTGCATCATTCAAGGAAGGTTTTCGAGTAGAACCAAGCGGAGTAAACAACTGTGTTCTTGCTAGTGCTCTGGTCGTTCGTTCCTCGAATGCAAGTACCTGAAAGGGAGAACTTTTCTGGTTTGCGCGAGATCGTGAGCCTGCGATAAGGCGCAGCAAAAGTGCGCCTGGCTCATGCCGCGAGTTGGCGCCTTGACAAAATACTCATGTGCCAATCTGTGTTCGACCGCAGCATTCAGGTCAACGTTCCGCAAAAGGCATCTAGCAGTTTCACAATATACCGTCCTTGAACAGCCGCTAAGGTTCGACAAAGCCTCGGCCCTACAGCCTTACTTTCAAGAAATGTGGCAAAGTCGTAAGTAAGAAGGCGTACCTGGCGGTCTGGTAGCCCATCCAGTAGTAGGCTGAGAGCAGGTCCTGAAGGACAGGGTCGATCTGCGGGAGGGCCCCATCGGCCTGTGCGCCGGCGACTGCCCCTGCTAAGACGCTGCTGGGCCGAGGCGCATCACCTGCGAAACAAGGCCCCAGTTCAAAAGCTGACTCGAAAGACTTAGCTGGGGTCGGAAAAAAGGAGCAAATATGATCTTGGGCTGCTGAGCAGGAGGCAGGGTCGGAGCACTCTCATCGCGGTGCCAGACAGAACAGAGCCAAGCCAGCGTGAAAGCGGCCATCCTCCTGGGGCAGTCAGCGTAACGATAGGCGGGTCAGCAGTCAGCTCACTGCTCGAATGTAAGTGGTAGTCACCGTAAGTCACCCGCACAATCTTGGTCTGTGCGTCAAAGTGGGGACTCACAAAAGCTTGATACAAACCGAGCCAAGCAATCTCAATAATCAGAACACGGTTTGGACTGCTTCACGCTCATACAAGAGTCGAGCTTATCCGAAACCAAGGACAGGGATGCACGACCCACCTCCTACAGTAGCAGCCTCTTGCCAATTAGAAACCCCTGCCGGTTGCTCTGCTCTCGCCTTCCATTCCGTTCCACTAGCCGTCCCCTCCCCTTCGTATTCAGAAACCAGTCGCCCGCACACTGCCCCATCTTCCTGCGTCCCAACCGTTCTCCCCTCACACACTGACGGCTCTCCTTCCCCAGCAGACGGAAACACAAACCCCTGCACCCCCGCTTGCGGTGATGTATCTCCATCTCGTCTCACCCAGCTGCCCGGAAGGTCCCCCAGAAAGGCGTGATCCTCCCAACGGAGCTCCTCCAGGCTCTTGTTGCGGTACGCCTCCATGGCCGTCAGGCACTGGTACATTTCGGGGGGGAAGCCCCAGTCTTCTATAGAGGTCGGGTGGTATTTGACCCCCCTGGTGCCGCGAGGGTAACCCTGAAGGCGCAGCTCTTCTAGGCTTTTGCTCTCGTATTCTGGCATAGCCGTGACTGTCATCAACTTCTCGCCGGAATCCCCCCCATCTGGACTAAGGGTTGGCTCAAAGTTTGTGCGGCGAACAGCGGCAGAAGACTGCTCTTGGGCAACGTTCAGAATACCTACATGGGTGCTACTTGCACATGGGGCGGGGCCGGCTGGGACAGAGTGCTGCTCTAAGGGGGGGTTCTGCGGCAACTGGAAAGTCGGCCAAGCGGGATAATCTTGAGGGGAGGCCGCCGAGACAGAGGTTTTGAACTTATCGTTCGCAACTGCTGGCGCAGGAGCAGAGGGCGAGGTCTTTACTGCACCCCCCTGTTCAGCAGTAGCCGTTGGAACAGACTCAGGGGAGGCGTCAGGGGGGCCTGCGACAGGGTAGTAGTAGTGGTGGTGGTGAATGATGGTGGTGGGAGGGGGGTGGGTTTCGGCTGCGTCGGTAGCCCCTTGCTGCGACGCCTGCCATTGCAGCCACTCATAGTACTGCTCAACCGTGTACTCTGACTCCTGCTGTGCTGGGACCCCTTTGATTTCGGGCCCCTCTAGATTCTTCGCCTCAATCTCTGACCCCTCATCATGCTTTCTAGAATCAGCCCCGCTTAATTGAGGTTCAGGATCTCCGACACTGGCCTCAAAAGTTTCCCCGCTTTCGACTTCCTCAGCGTTTCCTTCGTCTATATGAGCTGCTAAAATCAAACTCTCTAGCTCGCTTTCGTTGACGTCGGACTCCGCTTCTTCCTCTACTTCTTCCACAGAAGCGGCACTTTCTCCCCGCCGTTTCTGCAGGTCGTTCTCTCGCAAGTGGTCCAGGCTGCCTTCCGTGTCCTCTTGCTTGAAAGGACTCGAGTACGGATCTTTGGGCAGCGGCTCGACAGGATGACCGTGCATTTCCTGCCACGAGCGGGGACACAAACCCTTAGAAAGGCCTTCAACTTATCGTACAGATTGTCTTCTTGACCATTGTGATGCTTATAGCCACTCCTGTTGACCATTGTGAGCCAGCATCACATGCCAAACGTCAGCTTCGACCAATCCAATGAAGTACCTCGCTAAAGGCTGAGATCAGAAATAAAGGTTGAGACTGATCAGGAGCACAAAGGACACTGATGATGTGCCAGCATGCAACAGCAGGCTTGCAGGGAGTGGATATAAAATGGGACAAAATTGCAATAGAAGCAACAGCACGCATTGTCGGAAAGCACCATCATCGCTCAATTGACACTGGGATCTTGTAGTCTAACTGACTGCCACACCACCACCACCACCACCTGAGCTCTTGCTTCGCCAATTGTGATGGAGATACATCAATTTTAGAAATTAACATCCTTATATGCCACCACAACAAGGTACTTGTGGCTAAGAGATGATTTGAACTAGATATCTTCTGATGCAACTTTTCAAAGGGCCTGCTTGAACCACAACGCTTCCTCCAGGGAACCTGATAACTACAACTAGTAAAAGATTGTCAGACGAGAAGGTGTCGACCAATGACAACAACTTACCTGGTACTTCTGCAGTGCTGAGTCGAAGGCTCGCACCAGCATTGGGTCATCCCACCGCATGTTTTCAGATCGCGGCATGTCCCTATTGGCCATCTTGTCCACTGCTTCGGGTTCTGACATCATCAAATGTCACTAACAAATTGCCCAGACAAAAGGTGGTACAATGTGTGTTATGTAGCAGTATCTCCAATGGGATACATTTCGTTCTCAATGCTGCACCCTCGAAAGCACCTAAAATTTTTGCATAAGTACGCCAATGGCACAACTGAAGGAAGGAGGGTAACACGAATTGTGTGGCCTTACGGATAAACAGCACGATGTTTTGTTGCGGTGGTGTCCTGATAAACGTCACGCAAAGAAGAGGCGGAGAGGCAGCATAGGTCGCAACCTCATGCGTCTTGTAGCCGCACCATTTGAAAGAAGTAGGACGCGCGCAATCGCCTGGGCTCACTCTTCACTCTTCGAAGTTCACCCTTCACTCTTCAGAATCACACTTCATTCAGGCTCAGAGACTTCAAAGTGCGAGTGAGTCAGGCCCGGCCGGGGGCAAAGAGAGACCGCGGACGTCCATAAATTTAATGTCGAGCATCTCGAGTCACTGAGTTGGCACTCAGTGGCGCAAAACTATCAAAGTAGACTCCTTTTGTTAGTGTCTCCGCCACTCTGATTGGTGTGAATCACTCTCAACCCACCTGGAATCTCCTGAAGTGTTGACAATTGTTGCAATCTGTCAGTGGTTACGAGAGTGGTTACGACCTTGACAATGAGACTGACATCGACATCGACATCGACATTGACCCGGGGCACTTTCTGTGCCATTAGGGTTACGTTGCAAACCTGTGACGGTTCACGCCAATCGACGAGCGCTTTGTTAGGGTTACGCCATTTCCAAGTGACATTAGGGTTACTCACTGACAGTGACAACCGGGCAAAATTCTTTTGGTTTTAGTTTTGTAAGCCACTTATCCCATGACCCGGTTCCATCCGTACTAGAAACCGTACCGCAAGTGTACGGTAAAACCTGACACAGTTTTGTTCAAAGGACCTGATCTGCCAGTACGGTCCACGCGGATAGCCTGTGAACCAATGATCCCGCGTGTAAGATGTACTCACACTTTTTTGGAGTCTGAGACACTAACAAAAGGAGTCTACTTCGTCGTACTAGCCTCAGTGGCAGTACTGGGATTGTCCGAACCGTCCAAAATCTGTGCCCGGCACAATCTGAACGGCCCAGATCCTGAGGGCCTTGGTTGCAGACCAACACGTAGTCGTCTGTCGAGAGGCCACGTCGTCTGAGCCCTGTGAATACGCAGGTTCCGACTGCAGTGCACACTGTGCACAGCACCCTTCAATCAGTCCAATGCCTGAACATGGGCGGCACGATCGACGACTCGATCTGGAAGACCGTGACAGTCTTCAGACTTCTGTGATCTGGACAGCTTCAGATCAGCATTGCTTTCTAGCTCGACTGATCAAACTTGCAGAATTCTTCACCTCAGCGCTTGTTATTCGAAAGCGCCATTTTAGCTTCACACAGAGATCCAACTTCTTACGGCTCGTACGTTGGTCATTCGTCACGCCATATCAAGTGAGAAAGCTGAGGATCGACTAACAGCCAGTTTTAAAAAGGGACCATGGCTTCCATCGCTTCTGCGGCTCGAGTGGCCGGGGCGCAGTCCCTTGCTTCCTGTGTGGCCAGTGCAAGCTATGGGACGCAACCGCAGGCAAATGCACTCTTTGTGCCGGCTCTGCCTGCAAAGCAACAAGCTGCTCTTGGGCCCCAATCTCAGGTACTATACGCTCGCTTTCTTCTTTATCAAAGTGCCCTTCTCAACCTGCATTTAGGTGATCTGTCTGCAAATGCGCATGTTTTTGTTGTGAGAATCTGGGCAGGCAGCAGTCTCATGCAGATCTCTCTGCGAGCTTTGAAAGCAGTTTCATAATGCAGATCTCAACCTTGTTTTGCCGTTGCCTCCAACCCTGCATTTTGCTGGCCATTTTTACCATAGTGGATCTTTGGTTAGCATAGATGGAAGGCATGTGGTAATGTAATACCTTGAAAGCTTAGCACCAATTTGAAGTTTCCACTTTCGCAGTAGTACTCCAAGCTTCCCTTTCTCACTTTATATGTTACGCTTTCTCTCACGGTTTTTGTGTCCATTGGGGGCTTGTTGAAGTGGTTGTGTTCAGCATCCAGGCGCAATGCAAGCTGTAAAAGTATTAAAGCAAAGACAGAGAATGAGAGGCACGGAGTGCTGCTCTTTGATTCTGGCACTGCATTGTACCATCGGTATGCCTTCTGACCAGATTTATTAAAATTCCCGCAGGTCGACCTTACCTCTTCTTTCATTGGCACTGGTCTGCCTAGCCTCAGCAGGCCCGCGAAGAGGATCAAAGCCCAGGCTTCCTCATCGAATAGATCTGCGGTGGTAAGCAGCCGTCTCTCATTCATAGATGATTGCAGCTGATCAAGGAAATGTTTTACCTGAGCATGAACGCTAGAGACGATGCAAAGTCGCTAGAGTCGCATGACATCGAAATCATTAAGTCTCTTGCAACAAGACAAGATGGGCATGTAAAGTAAAACACTCTGCTTCTGGTGGAGTACAGATTCCGCCAAGAATTTTAGGATCCAACTGTTCTGATAAATGGAAACTGGCCCAGACTCCCTGATTATGCTGTCAGAAGTTGTTAGAGGAAATGTATGAATCCATTGAATTCGGGGATGTCAACAGTATGCGCCCACTTGTGGCTGCTTTTGCCTATTTGATTGTATTGGGATAGTATTTTACACTAGAGGCGCCCAGTTTCGAAAGTCAGCTGAACTCAGAGACCGATCAATGCACTGAGTATTGAGTAGTAGTAAGGGGCTTGGCTTATGTACTCGACCCTCGCTGAACCAATTATTAATCTATTTTGGCGTTCCTAGAAAGAAGGCTGCCAGAATCTCATCCCCCTCTTGTGTCCTTCCGGTGCCGCTGTGCTTTAGATGCCGCTGTGCATTTGCAGTTCATCTGATGCCCGGTTACTGTTACAGGTTGCCAGGACTGCAGCTGCAGGCAAGCAAATTGAGGTCGACGTAGAAAAGCCCCTTGGTCTCACCCTGGGTCAAAAGTCAAATGGTGGGTCTCTTTCCTCCGCCTGTTTTCTTGTCTTAGTTTTTACCTGTGAATTCAGCGCTCTCTTGACGCTCAAGTTCAATCTAGAGCTTCCGTTGGAATGAAGCAGTCGGCTGTTTTCTTAGAGATTGTCTGACGTTGCATAACTCGTGACATACAGGTGTCATCACGATCACACAAGTCTCCGGTAATGCCGCGAAGGCCGGGCTCAAAACCGGTGACCAAGTTGTGTATACGTCCTCCTTCTTTGGAGATGAGCTGTGGCCGGCAGACAAGCTCGGTTTCACGCAGACTGCCATCAAGGCCAAGTCCGACTCCGTGTACTTCGTGGTGCAAAGGTGAGAATCATTGGGCTACCAAACAAAAAGACATGGACATAGTGATTGAGGTCACTGGCGCTTCAGAAGGACAGCGTTACTTTGCCGACTTGCAAGCGGCCCATGCTGATATTGTAAACGGTGGTGTCGAGTCGATGACATTATACCGAGAGCTGACCTTTGAAGAACGCCTTGATCATAGGAGAGTATGTTCACTCGTACCATGTTGTGGATGTTGATTCGATCTAGAGCACTGCATTAAGGAATAGCACCAGAGTTTCAGAGTCGACACACGTTTGTTTTGATGTTAAGACGATCAGGCTGCTGAAGAAGCTGATCTTGCAGGGGTGGAGAACCGGTGAACACCAAGCGGCTGTCCACACGCAAGGCCCCCTCCCGGTTTGGAAAGCAGCTGACTGCCGCACAGAAGGTGAGCATCGACGAGGACTTGCCGGCGTTTGAAGAGACCGGTCGAGTTGCGAAGTTGCTCGGAAGGAAGGTGCTTCCGAATCACATTCTTTGGAAATTTGTTCATTGATTTACGAAAGGCTCGGAAGAGGTGGACGGCTGGGAACGAGTTTCTGCAAAAAGACTCTTGACTCTCATCATATGAAGGCTCTTGCGTATTGGTCGGTAGAGAGTTATGATCTCGGGATTTTAGGCGGTTGGTTGACCAGAAAATTTACCCCGATGGGAGGCAGTCTCCACTTATATTCGATTATTGGCGGTCTGGGCCTGCTTACATCCGGTAACATCGTGGCGCCTCTCCTTCTGCTATACTCAATGAAAGTGTCATTATTCGGTCCGACATGCTGACCCGCCGTCATTTTCGCAGGAGCGGGCCACGCACATCTGCTTAGACTGTGGATACATCTACACCCTTGGGAAATCCTTCGAAGATCAGGTAAGCACGCCAGTCCGCACTCCTGCATTGTCTTAAACGGCGTCCCTCACGCTTCGAGACCACCCTACTGCTTGTTTATTAATTACAGTTTGGGAGCCTCGCGTTCAGGCCAGATTAATTGCTTCTGCCAGCTAGATTGATTGTTGAATCCAATCGTAGGTCGGAAAAGCATGCTCAAGCACGCGCAGCTAGCATTCCTGCCTTTTAGCATTTCTGTTTCTAGCTTCCATTCGACTAAGCTGGACTCTCTAGTTTGTTATCAGTAGTCCTGATATATGGATTCTGCGACTTGCAGCCCGACGACTTCCTGTGCCCTCAGTGCCGGGCACCAAAGACGCGCTTTGCTGGATACGACCCCGAGACTGGCAGGGTTTCGGGTGGAGGCACTCCGTTGAGCGTGTTGATTAGCATCCTTGTCTCAATCAGTGCAATTGGTGGCCTGTTCTATTACCTATCCTTGTAGATTTTTATAACCAACTAATTGCCAGGTGACAATCTTAGGCGACAGAATATTTGAAGCGTTGGGGTGAAGTCACACATATACACTTACCGCGGCGCAATTGATCGGACTGAAGCAAAGCATACTTGTACATTCCTTGCTGCTTTTCAAGGGCTTCCGCAATCTGTTAGTGCATTGCGCTTAGTTCGATTTCGATTCATAAAAAACTAGCCGCCTCCATATATACTTGCCGTCTTTACCTCAGCCATGACTCAACATGGTTGCCCTCAGCACATTGGATCGTTCGATCGAATACCATGCATGGATTGTAAGAGTGGGCGGCACATTTGGAGCTGTCGAGCCGATCAGACTGCAGGACTTCGGGACCCAGCTGGGCGGCCGGGCACGTTTATTGCATGCTAGCAACATGCACAATAAGATCGTCGACCGGCCGCGCGAAAAAGCACATGCATGCAATTATAAGCTGCTTGCAAGAGTCCTGGCAATGGAGCCCATCCGGAGAACCGATTGGCTCATCTTTTGCCTTTTAAATTTTCCACTCTGGAGCTTGAAATGCAATGCTATATAAGCATTGCGTGTATACTATAGTATGTAACTCCGGACAAACTCATCGTCTGTTCTACTATAATTTTCCAGCTTGAGTCCGCCAGTGCTTGAAGCAATCCGACCATCTACAGCCTTTGCCGCACCGGCCGGCCGCGCCATGCATGCCGCCATCTTTGCATGCCAGATTACAGCTATACTAAGCACCCGGCGTGCCAGTAAAGAGTGCCAGCCATGCAACCTATATGCATGAGCCAGACGTACCACGGTGATCAATGATGGTGAGGCTATATGTCCATAAGAGGACGCGGGCTTCAGGGACGGGTTAAGCCAGATCACCATTAACAAGGGTTTTAGCTAAGCACCTTACGTCTTCGACGCGCACAGTGTTAGCCTTGGGCCACTTCGCTTCTTGTACTCGTTATGCAGTCTTTACATTAAGCTGTACTAGGATCACTCCAATCTGTGTTCGATGGGACAAATGCAAAGAAAGGCAGATCATTAAACGGGCTGTTCGTGTGCACATGAGTCAACCACCCTACCTAAGAACGGACCTGTAATAAAACTCTAACATTTAATCACAGCGCAACAATCCTGTGGCAGAGCTTTTTCGTCTGCATTAGCCACCTTCGTATATCCACTTCCGCTAAGACACAAAACGCAACCTGAGTCTTATTCATCCTCCTCTCGGTGGTCGTAATATGACGGCGACCGCGAGTAGACGGGCATTGACGGCGACCGGAGCGGCGACGCCATCGAGTTCTGACTTCCGGCCCGGCGCATGCTGCGCGCGTTGAAACCCGCGAACGGCACCAGGTGCGTCTGCAGCTGCTCGACGACTTCCGACATGGTCGGCCGGAATTCCGCTTCCGGCTGCACGCACTCGCTCACAATCTCGGCGAACTTGAGGAGCGATTTGGCGGGGTAGATGCCCTCCAGCTCCGGGTCCACCATCTCCTGCAGCCGCTCCAAGCTGTGCAGCATCGGCGTGGCCTGCGTCCAGACCATGGGGCAGCGGTCAGGGGCTGAGGAGCCGTAAGCGACGCAGCGATTTGGACATCTCTCACCCGGAAGGCAAGCAACGGTTATAGAAAGGAGGTTTCGCGCTGAAGGCAAGGAGAAGTCAAGGGGACGAGGGAGCGGAAGGAGACTGACGTGCAAGAGAAGATAGGACGAGCCCGCCACGAGCCAGGCGGAGTATAGCCGCCTTCACTCGCTGCAGTCCGGGGGACTGTCAGAAGCACCTGAGTACAGTGCTCCATCGACGAAAATGGGGGGGGGGGGAGAAATCCTGCACCCCGAACGAAGCACGGTCAGCCTGTGGGGCAATATGCACTCACCCATCGCACGAGGCTCTGTTCGTAGCGCGGGCGGCTGCTGTCGAGCGGTCGCCTGCCGGTCATGAGCTCCAGCAGGACCACCCCGAAGCTGTACACGTCAGCCTTCACCGTGTGCTCCCCCGTCATCGAGTACTCGGGGGCCGCATATGCAAACGTGCCCAGCATCTGCGTCGACAGCTGGGGGGAAGGAGAGAGAAAGGGATGGTGAGTTCCGGCAAAATAGACGGGAGAGTGCGAACGATTACACTGAGAGCTCTACGCAAGACTGTTCAAATCACTTCGTGGTTAACCGCCCCGACGGATTGAAAAGGGCGTCACAGTTCAAGGCACACTCGTGCATCTGAGTCATCTGACGGCCCACATCCCATTTGCCTACGGCGACCTAGCTAGCCCATGGAGCAGAAACTGGTCGCCTGAGGGGGGACCGTACCAGGACGCCCTGTTCAAAATGCTTAGCCTCTCCAGAATTGCTTCCTCTCAGAAGGAGCCGGCGCTGTCACTTTTCAATATTGAAGGCGTCTGCGCTGCCAGACCCGGGGCAGCCCACCTGCTTATCAGCCCCCTGCGGGAAGAAGCGCGCGACGCCCGAGTCCGCGATCTTGGGCACGAGGTCGTGGTCCAGCAGAATGTTGGACGTCTTGAAGCAGCTGTGCACCACGGGGGGCGCCTGGCTGTGCAGGTACTCCAGCCCGCGCGCCATGCCCAGCGCAATCTTCATGCGCGCGTTCCATGTGATTGGCGTCCCAGGCTTGCGGCCTGAGCGGAAGGCAGAGAGAAACAGAGTGTTAGCATAAGCGTGTAGGGGATGTTCCACGACCATCTTTCCACGTCTAATCAGTCTCAAAACCCACACGTCAAGGAAGAGGTTAGACGCTGGCGAGGCCTGTTAGCTCACTGCAGCAACCGGCCTTTCAAGAATGGCTCTCCGCTGACTACGAATCCTGCCACGGTGGAACCTTGCGTTCAACTAAACAGGACCCGCAAAATGCGTCGTTCATAATGCAAATCTCAAAGAGCCCCGCCGCCTTACCGGTGTCTTTGTCCCCGTGCAGGTGGTCCTGCAGCGTGCGGTTGGGCACGAACTCGTGGACGAGGATGCGGTTGGTGCCCTCGCAGCAGTAGCCCACCAGGTCGACCACGTGGCCGTGGTGCAGCCCCGCCAGCACCGCCACCTCGCGCAGAAACTGCTCCTCGCTCTCGCCCACCTTCTGGTCCAGCCGCTTCACCGCAAACTCCTGAGAAGAGAGAAGTTACTCGTATCATCGATCAACAAGGACAAACCCTTAGCACTACTACCACTATCGAGGTATTGAGAGGAGCCATGCGCGAATTGAGGACACTTGAATTGTCCGAAAGACAGCAAGGTAGATACGCGAAGCACAACAGAAAAGCACTGGGAAAACGACTAGCCTCCTGAAAATGAGGTTCGAACATCTCAATTTCTTAAGCACTCAGCGTTCCATGTAGCTGACAGGAATCGCATGCCCACCTTGTCCTCCATTCCCGCCCTGTAGACTCTCCCGAGCCCCCCCTCGCCGAGCAGGTTGCCCCTCGCAAAGCTGTTCGTGGCCGTCTGCAGCTCCCGCAGGCTGAAGTTGCGCGCGGGGATGTCTACCACCAGCTTCGACCGGGCCGCAGCCGCCAGGGCATCCGCTCCTAGATCCAGCGCCGGCGGAGTGCTCTCTCTTTTCTTCCGCGAGAAGAACGACGGGCTCTTCTTAGGGGGGGGGCGAAATCAATGGAGGAGGGGACGGGGGCAGCGTGGGGGACTTGGCCGAGGGGCTCCTTCCCGGAGGGAGGGGGAGATTGAGATTTGGAGAAGGAGGGGGGATAGCCAGTTCGGCGGGGGGGTTGGAGGATTGGGCCCATTTTGTGGAGGGAGAACGCGCTGAGACGGCAGCGGCGCGGGGGGTGAAGTTCTCCTGGGGGGGCATGAAGGGCTGCGGCATGGCGACGGGAGTTGGAGACGAGTAGGCCGGGGCAGGAGCGGGGGCGGGCTTTGACTCAACAGGCATCGGTTCGCCTGCAACAAAGAACAGAAGTCAATGTCAGTTCTGGGTCCGTGGAGGCACGCTGGATAATCTCCCAGGACAGGGTCAGTTAGACAGCAGCCCAAGCAGCCCCAACGAGTTCACAATGAATTCTTGGAGCCCAATCGGTCCTCCAAACTCCAGTTTTGACCACGTTCCAAACGATTTCAAGAGACACAATGCTCTTTTCAGGTTGCAATGGCACAAATTGCGCCAGAGAGTCAACCCAGTGCAGTCCATCTCTAAGTCCGTCTCAAAGTCTATTTCTTAATCAACCAACAAGTCGAGCGAGGTCGGTCTGCATATGGCTCGTAGACGCTGCTTGGGTGTTCATAACTGAGCAGCACCAATGACAGAAACACGAGAGACATCAAGAATTATCCTACTAGGCACTCTTTAGAGATCTACCGTCTGCGAGGACTTTCAGATCAGAATTGTTTCGGAAAGTCGGATAAGGGGCTGCCATCATGTTCCAGAAGACGACAGAGACTGATCAACGGCAGGAGAATCTGCGCTTACCTGCTGGAGCAGGTGCATCGTACACCTGGAGCTCCGTGTGGGGCTTCGCCCCGTAGTCAGCCGCCGGGCTGAACGTCTCGTTTGTATCGCCGTGATTCGAGCGCCGAGTGACGAGCAGATACGCGCCGATGCACAGCGCGATCAAGAACACAACCACAGCCGCGACGATCCCGCCGATGACCCCGCCAGAGAGACCGCCAGACCCGCCCGAGCTGGCTGGGACGGGCGTGGGAGCCAATGTCGCGATGCCACCTGGCACAAAAGGATTGGATTGGTTGAGAGGCGAGGTAAGGACCAGCTGGGGATGTCTTGTTGGGGAAACGCTGACTCTTGAGGAGCACCAGCTAGAATGGCTTTATTTTAGGGGCATGGTAGCAACATGAACAAGCTTGTGCTGTGAGTGAGTCGTCGCTTCGTGGACTTCTACCTTGACATCCAACACCCAAGCTTGCTGACCCCTGTCAATTGGATATATCTCTTGCAGTGTCCAGAAGACCAACAGATTGCTAATGAGCAGAGCTTGTGATGTGCTCCAAAAGGTGTGGAATACCTTAAGTTCGACTCCGGTCTTCAACCAGTGCAAGGAAGTAGCAATCATAAAGCCAGTCGCGCGTCTCATTACTAAAAACAAACGATACCAAAGAAGCCGACTGCTTTTCCAGTTTACACCGCGAACGGCCTGTGGCTCTCACCTGTTGCCGGCGACACAAGATCGGTCACAAAGACGTTGCCATAGCGAGCGGCGTCCAGCGCAAGCGGGGTGTTGTTGCCCCCGAGCTTCGACCGGATGTCGGCGACCGTCTGGTTGTCGAACGAGGTTCCCGTGATGGGGAACAAGTCGGTGTTCACCAGGATGCTGCCCTGCGCGACTCGCGTGATGTTGATCTGGTTGGTGCTGAGCCCGATGTTTGAGGCCAGGTCGGAGATGAAGGACTGCAAGAAAGAAGGGGAGATACTTAGAATGATCCCTTACGTCAAGTTGTAGCGAAGCTTGAGGGGCGATCCCGCTTCACGTGCTCTCCTGAACATCGAAAGCGCACCGGCGGTTTTCTGTACTGGGCTACTGTTCTAGAATAACGGAGAAAATTCTGGGGCCGAAAAGTTGGGCAAAATTGAACCGGCCCGTTCACACGGTTCGGCATGAATCGACACAAAACTTGCCCGGTCCACAAGCATGCAGCTTCAGAAGGGCATCTCTGCTGCGCTTACACTCCGTGCCTTACATCGAACGAGCCTACTACAACAGCACCTGCCAATGCTATATCACTTACGAAGCAGATGCACATACTGAATAGCACAAGTTGGCACGGGAGGACGTACAAAGCATAAGTAGATGGCGACGTAAATGACACGACCTGCTGTCCCCTCTGCCACGGTTAAAAGGCGGACAAGAGAGCGAGAGGAACAAGAAATTGGGTCGACTTTTGCTCGAAGATTGGCTGACGTGAAGAAGTGCTTCTCGGCTGATATCAAAAGCCTGCAAGGTCCCACCGTGACAACAACTAAAGGAGCGTATTCTCACCGTCTGCAGGTCGGGCGTCCAGTCGGGCAGGTTCTTGTCGGCCAGTCGGAAGTTAGCCTGCATGGGGCTCACGCACAGGGGGCTCCCCGAGAGGCTGCTCACAACGTACCCCGCGGCGCAGGTTAGCGGCGCCGCTGTCGGGGCGGGCGTGGGGGGGGCAAGCGAAGGGGTGGGCAACACAACGACGGGGGCGGCGGTGGATGCAATGGGCCCAGGCGTGATGAGAGGGGCGGCGATGGGAGCAGGCGCGGGGCTGGGGGCAAACGCAACTGCAACAGAAGGAGAAATCCAGATGTCTGTCCAGTCTTCCGTCAAGATTGACGGTTTCTCAAGGACGATCGCTTTCAGTAGGACCGTAGAGAAACGATGCCTCTACACACCATTGAAACCACCTCGTAGCAACGATCTGACTCCTCCTCTACAAAGAAGAACCTCATTTTAATGGCAAATCTAAATACCGACGTGGGTAATAGCAGGCAAATGCTTCGATCTTCTTTACTGTCGCGACCTGCCTCTTTCCTGATCAAAGAAGGCCTGCTTGGCGACCCCTCCAACATAAGCGAGCGTTTGTGTCTCCAAGTTGGTCTTGCTTTCCCTCCCACATTCGGCGCTGAGATGAAACCCTCTAGTGCATGAGCCTACACGGCCTTCTCAGTAGTTATTACCACCCTCAGAAACACCTCTTGTGATTTACCAAGACAAATTGTCCTTTTAGAAGGCTGTGGGGCAAGAAGGAGTGCACCGATTCAACACGGAAGCTTTTACCCTGGGTGTCGTCAAGTCCGCTCAAGAGCGCTCTCATGCACGATTAAGCGTATGAACATACGCTTACGAGCCTCCAGCGACGTCCATGATCATATGTTTGTGCTCAGGGCACGTAAACACCGTCCCCAGCTGCTCCAACGTCACACCCGGGTTGATCCGCCAAAAGTTGGTCCAGCCGCCAAATGAAATCTTGCTGTTCAGATGATCTTAAACAAGTCTAGGGAGTCGCCTTACCTGCAGCGGGGGCCGGGGCGGGCGCCTGGCCAATGCACAGGGGGCCGGGGGTCCTCAAGCAGCCACCGCCCTGGCACACGAACCCGATCTGGTAGCTGCAGAAGTCGTTCGGGGTGTACCTGCAATCAAAGAAATGTACAACAATTGACGATATGAAGCCTGACACATTAGAATCTGCAGCAGAACACAATAGGAGCTGTAGAGGTCGTAAGGCGTTGCAGGTCGAAGGTGCAACATAGCTGAAGTGAACCGCGCCCCTTATCCGACTTTCCGAAACAAGCCTGATCTGAAAGTCCTCGCAGACGGTAGGTCTCTAAAGAGTGCATAGTAGTTCCGCCATTCCTGGTCTTACAAGCACTCAGTCGGTGACAGAGCTTTGTCAGAGACCAATGGGTTTTTCCGTCACTTTTACCCATTGCTTGTCTGGCACTTATGGAGCGGATGCTTCCCCCCTGTGGAAAGTCTTGTGCCCTTACCTGAACGTTGGGATTGAGGCGTAGCTCTGCGGGATGTTGCCGGTCAGAGTGTTGTTGTCTATCAGCCTGCAGACGTTCAGAGGTGCCCAACAAAAGTTAGAGGCTAGGCTGTGTAAGGAAGCCTGCAGCCAAAAGACAATCGCTTAAGCAGAGCGCAGGGTCTTAGCCTGACAAGTGATCGCTTGCCAGGAACTCAATCGATTATACGCAAGACCGTAGCTGAATCAAACTACTACAGGAATCTCTTGGCATAATCTACGACATAGAGCAAAGGGCGAGCCATCCTTAGTGGTAAGACTTACAGTGCTTTCAGAAGAGGATTCGGTGTAGGTGCGAGTGTACCAGTGAACTGGTTGTTGCTCAGCACTCTGAAGAAAGAAAAATATGACGTCAGAAGAACGCCTCTGTCTGGCAAGAGGCAACGATGGTTAACAGAAGGTGAACCAAAGCTTTGATAGTGCCATGTTGAACGAAGCCATCAAACATGATTAATGACTTTCTTGTCGAGCATCGACGACGGCCTCTTGCCACAAGCAGCGACGACGGCCGCAATTTTGCCAAGAATATCTTAACCGTAGCGAATCGATGGCCACTTACAGGCTGGTGAGACCAGGAAGGGCGAAAATGGCCGGGGGAATGGGCCCAGTCATCTGATTGTTGTTCAAAAACCTGCAAATACGACCGTAGCAATCAATGAAAAGCGATTTGAGAGACATCGGCTGCGGTGCTGACACAATGATTTCGAATCAGACGAACACGTACAATCCGTCGGACATACGGGCAATCACCTATTTATCACACGGAGACATCTGACAACGGGTCCAGAAACGCATGGCCCTGACGGAAGGTGTTGTAAGCGGGCACTTACAGCTCAACCAGCGAGGCACCGTTTGCGAGAGTCGCCGGGATTGGCCCTGTCAGCAGGTTCTGGTGCAAGTACCTGCAACATCCGGCGAAACCGGTTTCACTTTCACACAATCGTCCACGAGGCACGGCCCTCCATCCTGCTCATGCTCACACAACAGCCAGACCGCTTTCTCAGATTACCACAAAGGCAAGCTTAATCCTACATCATGGTTGTAATGCGCAGAGATGGTACGACCAGTGTCCTAATGCAGAAAGGGTTGTGAAAGCGAGATGGCAACTTCTATGACTACCCAAAACCCCCCACCATTCAGGTCTCAAAAGGACCAAAACAATTGGAAAGGGTGTCCTCCAATTTGGCTTCTCTGTCAGGTTTAAAATGTCACCAATCCTTCAGGGTTTCAACTTGGATTCTAGTTCCTTGTATCAAAATCGAGAGGAGTTCTCATTTTGACTGAGCTTGAGAATACTCACAGGCCCCTCAATTGCCTTAGGTTGCCAAACTCCTGCGGAAGATTCCCCTGGAGGGAGTTGTTGAAGAGAGCCCTGCAACACGGGGCCGATACGCAATCTATCACCACGCGAGGGGACTGAACCGCAAAAGGGGCTCGACTATCTTAACAAGCCCTCTGAACTGAGCAGACAGACACTTCTGATCAATGCTAGACGGAAGAGCCATTGGGCGAAGCTATGCGGAGCGGGCTCACCAGACCTGGATAACTCACGAATCAGTAGCTCAGGCAGTCACTTGTGTGCCTTAGCTGAGTACCGGTGTCACCTGATGAGCAGACAAAACACAGATGGGCAAACCTGGGTCTACTTACAGGGGACCCATTGAGGAGCACTAGACTTACAGGATATCCAGGTTCAGCGACAGCGCAAGGGAGTTGGGGATCTGTCCCGAGAAGTTGTTGTTCTGCATATACCTGAACAATGAGAGGGGCTCGGTCAGGTGGAAAGGGTGCCCTTTCATTCATGAAAGGAGCATCGCAGCGAGCCATGGCCTCAATCTGGACACGAGCGGCATGGACACGGCGCCTTACATCGAAAGTGGGGCCATCACCCGATAGAGCAAGAAGACAACATCCCAATGTGTCTTGTGGTGCAACTTACAGGCCAACAAGTGATGGCAATCCGCCAAACTGGTAGGGAATGCTCCCATTGAATGCGTTGTTCTGGAATTGCCTGCAATCAGAATGCCATAATTGATGTTTAACAGATGGTGCATGAGGTCCGAATGAAAGCAGGACCCTCTATTTGTATTGGTCAGGCTTCAAAGAAAGCCCATAACAACCTTACTTGCATAAACCACGCAGGCCGAGATCAGAGTGTCAGGACGGAACCAGCGATTGCTGGATTACGAAACTCTTCCTGCGCCGTCACGAGTCAAATGTTGGGCAACCAGCAGAAACATAGACAAGCAATTGTACCCTGGTTTGCCACCTTCTGACTCCGCCAAAGGCTTTGGCCACAACTCACATGGTCTGTATGCTGGTCAAGTTCGTCAAGTCATATGGCAAGCCACCACTCAGCAGGTTGTTGTCAAAGCGCCTGCATCACAATTGAGAGGGTTTTACGAACGCAGCAAAATAGGCTCCACCGCCGATCTTGTGAACTTCATCATCATGGAAAAGGCCCTCTGCGACAAACAAGGGCATGAGTCTGTCAAGTGTAATAGGCCCTATTGTGTAAAAGTGGCTGAAAGTGTGCGCGCCTGCTTGCCCTGGCCCTGAAGGGTTCCAAGTGCTAGCGCGTTTAAAGATGACCAAAGCACTGACGTGTGGCATTCACTATCAGGGCAGGCCTAACACACGTCAATAGAAGGTGACTCCGACACCCCCCCAAAAGAACACTTCTCGTCGTACCACCACTTGGTGTCCCTCACAAGCCCGTAAGGAACCAGGTGGCCCCTTTGAGAGTGACCCGATGAGCGCTCTTTGCTCGAGCGAATGAAAATAAGCAGTAAATAAGATTACGAGCAAGCGACCACTTACAATTCGAGCAACTGTCCCAGGCCGCCGAGACCTTGGGGGATCTGGCCACTCACTTGAGTGCTGTTGATGTACCTGAAATTCAGAAGCAGCAACGGGGGCATTTGTAACCGGGTGGACATGAGAAAGCGCACATCATCAGGAAGGGGCGTACGCCGCAGTTAAGCCAAGCCTTGAGGAACTGCAACAGTGCCCTGCGTACCGCCAAGCTTATGACACTTGCTGCAAATGATTACGACCTAAGATGGGTACAGCCGCAAAGAGGCTCGGTGTGATGCACAGCCTGAGTTCGGGTATGCACACTCACAAGTATCGGAGCTGCGTAAGGCTGCCCAACTCCTTTGGGATCTGCCCTGTGATTGGGTTGCCCCCAAGGTTCCTGCAGTGGGGGCACATTCACTAAGATCGAGAGCGCTGACCAGCGGAATTGAGTGCATCGTGGGGCCCATAGGCGCTTTCCACCGGTATGATTGCAGTAAAAACCAATTGCTGGGCTCGCCCTCTTTTAGACTCAATACAGCAGAGCGTCTGGTTACTCTGAATAGCTGGGACGTGCAGCGTGTCACCACTTACAACTGTTGCAGGTTCGTAAGGTTCCCAATCTCGCTTGCAATCGGGCCTGCAAGGTTGAGGCCAGGCAGACTCCTGCGGGGCACACGCAATTGCATCTCGTGAGGGCATGTCATGAGCCATGCAATGCTGTGAACCCCTTCTACGAACCTGGCATCCAAAAAACATGCCGGATGATTGGGTTGCAGACTACCTCTAGTATGCAATCACTGAATAGGGGAACACCCTGACCAACTCTTTCCAGGCTTTTCCGTTCCACTGTATCGAACGACTCAGTTGATGAATGCAAGAGGCGTCATCATGCTGTTGCAATCGACAAAAAACGATCCCCTTCATGAGAACGATTTTTAGCCAATGTCTCTCCAACTCACAATGCCGTCACAGTCACGTCAACGCCCAACGGAGCGCACGTGACGCCCACCCAGGCATTCGTGCACGGATCTGCGTTTCACAAGAACCAATCAGCAAAAGCTCACTCTCAGGATGCCAAAAGGCCCGGCTATAACAAAAGCCACCGCTCAAAGAAGAGGCTATTGTCAATCCTGTGGACTACATCAGTCAGATACTTCCGCATTTTGCTCTGCAAAGCCTGCGACATGAATTTGGACGCATTGAACGAGACTTCTAAGCCTCAGCCCGCGGATCAGCAGCCTTCCGGATCACCTCTACTTGTGCCAGAGTCTCTGAACGTTCGCACAAGGCTGCAAATCGCTCTGCTCCACCAAAGACATTTGCGTATGTCCGTGCAGACAGCCTTACCATTCACCCAGCTAGCCAGCGACACCGGGTTGCCCCACAAAGTCTTGAGGGCCAACAGCGCACTCACTGCAACAGTGGAACACATCACAGAAAATTCACTCTCAACAGGACGGCATCAATGCTCCAAACTCACACCAGCTCGAGTAATGCTGAGCCCTTGCATCAGCTTGGAAGTAAGGGCATCGCTGCAGGGCATTATGCCGCACTTTCCGAAGCCCGTGAGGGGACAAGATGTGCAGCAATTTGGTATGGCAATCATGGTTTTTTGATCTCGCTTCGACCAGAATCATCGATCAAGATGGACCGGGGGAACTTCCTTTGATCATCCGACCGTGGATTTGTCTCACTGCGTCTTACCATCAGCCAGTCTCGTGGCCACTGCCGAATGGAACCCGACCAATGCCAGCAGGAGAAGCAGCTGTGGCGCTGCCTGCTTGCCCATCATGTCCCGCCCAAAGCTTCCCCGCTTTACTTTCTTTTGACAGCACCAGATCTCATCCTCTGAGCGCTCAACTTGCTCTTCCACCCCAGGAGGTTGTGTCCAAGTGGACAAGAGCACCGCCCCTTCCGTCGTGAACACCGGCAACGAAGGAATCTACTCTCAGGTGGGAAAAGGCCAACTCGTACCAGGTGTAATCAGAAGCCCCAGACCCAAGTCACAGACTACTACAAAAGATAGCAACACACAGATCAGGATAAAATAACTGTTGTATAAATACTGCAAGCGGCTGCTTGCGGAGCTCTCCTTGGAAGTGCCTCCTAGTGCAGCTCTAAAATCCAGCGACTGGCTAGCTCAAGGTCCACCAAAAATAGCAGATTGGGCGCCCTACCGTTGAATCCCAGAATTCCTGCTCCCTTGTCCAGAGCTTCTGGACATTGCAAGCCGAGGGACGATCTGACATTGACAAGGTGAGTCAGTCTTGAGTGGGAGGAGTGACTCTGACCTGGACTCGCTGGAGCAAGGGCGCACAACTTCCAGGCAAGTCTTGAGTCTTGAATGTGAAGATCGAAGCATGAGCTTGGAAGATCACGCGGATTCAGGCCCTTATTCGCATCGTGATCGTCAATTACCGCTGTTGCCCGTGCACGAGCGAGGGCCAATGACCGTTGATTTCGCGGTAGCTTTGCACGTGTGGCATTTGTTACGCTCAGCTTTTGGCTGCAGCTATCGACGGCTTCTGTAGATCGGATGACCACAAAGAGACCAATCTACCGCCACATTCCATAGCCTGTTTTGTGAGCAATGATGTCATTACCTAGTCACGCAACGCGGCGCAATTTTCGGTAGAGGTACATATCATGTACCGTATGCTAAAACGGGCGATCGGACGGTTCAAAGCGACTCGCGATCGACGAGAACTCAACTCGCAGATCCCAGATCGCGTTGCGCCAGACTAGTTGTTGCCCTGGCAGCTTGCGCTGTCCACGTCCCACTTGCGCGTTCCATCTGCTTTTTCCTCGCGAGGCAAGTTGGGGGCACCAAAGTTGTCAATTGAGCAGCTGGAGCTGTGAGAGCTGGGAGTCGGGCGCCATGGCAGCCTGTCAAGCACCTTCTCTGTCCACTTCCTTTTCTTCTCTTTCCACAGCGGTCGCTGAGAATTCACTGACAGGCAGAGCGACTGCACATCGCGAGCTTTGGGCGCTGCCGCTCTTCACCAGCGGCCAGCACTCCCCTTTCTTTCCATACGGTTCCACAAAGCTAGCAAGTATCCAAAGATGTTCTGCAAGAGGTGCTACTCGCAGGACAATATCTATTTCCTGCCGTAGTGGAGGCCAGGTCAAGGAGTCAGACAACTTTGATGAAAAAGCCGGGCCCCTGCCGGAAGTGAGAGATGCACAGGTTCAGAAAAGGTCCAAGTCTGCGGTGCACGCAGCGCCAGCAGTGGCTGTGCTTGTTGCGGCAGCAATGCTGTTGGGGAACCCGAGCGAGGGGCTGGCGGCCAGCAGCGCGGGGAGAGTGGGGGGCAGTAAGTTCAAGAGCTCCGCTCCATCAAGGTCATACTCACCACCAAGGAACAGTGGCGGGGGTGGTTCCAGGTTGGTAATTTCAACTGCTTGAGTATATGGGTGATATGATGTTTTCAGATCATCTACTTGCTAAAGTTGGTAACATAAAGAAGGGTATCTGCTTCTGCGGGCTCAGCCCGTCAAAACCTGCTCGTTCAAGGCTTTGCTGTTCAGCTTTGATTGACCTCAGCAACACTACGCCGCGCTCGGCTAACAAGTTTCGGTGTTCCAAGGTTTTAGCTTCTGGTCATTAAGTCCCCCCGTATAACTTTGGGGGGACAATGATCCGACGTAGAATCAGGAGCCAATCCACTTCAATCTTATGTTAAGAGCTTCCATAGATTTTCCCAGTAGTGTTTAATCGAAGTTCTTGTGGAAGTCAGACAGTGTGCGCCATCAATATACACATCACGCGCCCGTACACCTGGGCTTCGTCCTTTTTTTATAGAGAGGGGCTTTGCGGACCGTGTTTGTTGTTGCAAATTGATTGGTTTTGTAAAGAAGTGCTGCCTCTGCTTCGCAGGTCTTACAATAACTATAACTTGAATATCAACCCACCAACTTATGCGCCACCAATCTACGGAGGCGGTTACGGAGGTTACTCTTATGGGGTCCCCTTCTTTGGCGGCGGAGTCCCCTTCTTTGGTCCATCTGTCTATGTAGGTGGAGGCGGCCTATTGCAATTCCTACTGGTTCCCGTCATCCTGTACGTAGTGTTGAATGTAGTTGGGAGCTTTTTCAGGAATAGAGATTAGTCAGCTTGCTCAACCCCAGCATACACCCTGTGACTGCACAGCAGCGTGAGTGTTGCTTGTAGGCGCCCCAGAAACGTGTATAGTAATTTTGAAGCTTGTCCAGCCAGCTGGCTAGGGATAGCACGGGCTGGCTCATCGTAGTGCTCGCAACTGTACCATCGGTTTCGAACTGACTTTGTTGTAACAAAGAACTTCATGAGTTCGGCTTGGTCTGTAACCTCTGCGGTCTTCAAATGAACCTTGTACGCTGTTATTCTGCAATGGATGATCGTGATTCTTTTTCAGCTTCTGATTTCACATGTTGATATAAATGAGTGCCAGGAGCTACTCATGCATGATTTGCGAGCTAGCGCAGGCGCGCCTAAGTGATTGCGCATGGAGATGATCCTCATTGATGTGTGGCACTTGCATGAGTCCAGTGACTGCGCCGCGGAGTGTCGCGCAACTGCGCGCGTCATGCAAACACTTCGTTGCACTGGCATGTCCCTCGATCCTCGGACATGTTTTTCATTCGACATACGGGTGGCTGCAGAGACACTGATGCAGTACAGAGAGTTGGCGGTCCCTCTCATTGAAATTGTTGTTAAGTAGCCTACATGACTCATTGACGCTTGTTCGTACTGCTATATATCACAAAATTGTCCACAGATTTATGGCCTCGCGTTTGAGCGTTTTCATCAAGTGCCCCGCACATATTCGAAGATGTGAAATGAAGATTGGTTAGGGAGCACCCCGACGTGACTCTAAGCTCGTCCACGAGGGTCGCTTTCCTCCAGAACGACACCGCAAGAATCTTCCGTTGCACACAACGGGAGCGTCCCTCTCTTGCTCCACTCAGCGTCGACCACATTGCGCGCCCCTTGGCCCAGCACCACCGCAAACACAGCATCGAAACCGCCAGCTGCGGAAAACGTTCTGGATCATGTGAAAATGAGTGTTCACTCCTAACCCATAGACATTGGAATAATTATTTCCGCTCAGACTTGCCCGGAGGCTGGACGAACGGAAAGCCGCCGGCAAAGATAGCAACAACATAAGTACCAGATTGAGAAGAGAAGCAAGAAAGACGCCACTGCCAGAGATGGAACCGTCACAGCACAACGCGATGTGCAAGAACTAGAGAGGGACTGGTTGCTTACCCCCCGGTACGCCGGCAAAGAGGACCCCTGGCAAACCCTCCGTGGCGTCCAGCAACGCGGTCTGCGAGGGCGGTTCAATCTGGACGAAACAAAGTCAGAATGAAACCACTCATTTACAGACTGATGCTTGGGGCGCATTGAAAGTCCTCGAGCCGAGATTCTGATGATCCTTCCCTCCACTTTCCAAACATAGCAGCGCCGATACTGACCGCTTCTGTCGTCCGGACTGCTGCGGGAATGTCAAGAGGGCATGGCAAGTGCGCTTAGTATCGGGAATTTGTTGGCTTTACTTCTTCAAGCACACAGTAGCAGCATCGGAGAAGGGAGTCACATTCGCCAGGTTGACTGGAAACGAAGGCCCGCTCTTAGTCACCGACGAACAAGTCGGCCCTAACACTTTTAAACAGTTGAAGTACGATCCGGTTCAAGGGCGACAGCGCAAGAAGGTTGACATCATCAAAGGGCCTTCGCAAAAGTACAGCGTTCATCAAGGTCTGCTTTCCCAAACTCGAAGTCCAGATCGTTCGCGCAACTTTCGAGGTATGCGGATTCTCCTGTGCTATTCGACTCAGGAGCTGATTAGAGTATCCTCGTGATACAACTTTGATACCTTCAAGGATTCCTCGCACGGGATGCTCACCGGTACGTTCGCCTCTTCTCCTATTCGTCTCAGCAGTTCCCGAACTGACCGAAAGGCGGCTCGAGTGGCTAACAGAGCGGCCAATGGGCTGCCCTGCGAAGGAGGCCCCGCCCACGCCGTCTCTTCCCACTGCATTCAGACAACGACGAACTCAGCTTCCGCAAGGCAAGGCCTGACACCAATCTAGCAAAGACGGAAGCACTTGAAGCGAGGAGCGGACGCTTGGTTCTGGAGACTATACATGTCGGCGAGTATTCCCGTCAAACTCTAAACGTAGTATTGCGATTGCTTGAACCAAAATCTCTCTGCTGCGATCTCCACCGCTCAAAAATCTGCAACACGTGCCGGCACGAGCAGCTCTCACTAAATCAGCGAGATGAAGTCGCAAGGCTGTTACAAGTGAGAGCTTTCCAGTACATGCTTTATGGCAGAACGGTCAGCCTTGAAAACTATTTAGACAAGACAGAAGCAGAAGAATCATCTGAATATGCTCGAGCCGTCAATTGACATCGGTACCAAATGTTTCCACGAAGTCTGTGGCAGACATCAACGCGGACTGACGACGCTGATCAAATTGACATAAGCGACTTTTCTCAGAATCAAGGAGCAACCGGCTCAACGGCCCATTTCAGCACCGAAACAATTTGATAAACGCAACGCGTTCCCGCACCTCGTGGCTCGGACGTCCGATGCACTCTTCCAGCGTCCGTTCATACGCCTCCCTGTCCGACACCGCACACTCTGCCAGCTGGCACAGGCCTTGCTCCACTTGAGAATTGGCCTCCGCCAGCGCCTCCCACACCGGCTGTGCGGCAGCCGCCTTCTCTCTTCGCCACCGCTGCACGGCGCCGACCATGGACGGAGTGGAGGAACCCCCTGCCCCGGGCTCACCGATCACCTATGTCAATAGCAAAACGATGACGTCAGCTTCGATTGACATTGCGGATTCTTTATTTCTAAGGGGGTCAGGTCCGCTTGTCTCTCTCACAGAGATGGTGCAAACAGCGAGGATGGACCGGAAGTCACAAAGTGAGCTTGTTCATCAACCAGCCCAGGCATGGATAGAAGAGATTCGCTTGATAGACTTTGTCGCGCCTCTGTTGCTTCTTGCGAGTCGCGCACTTAGACTGGCCCCAGGACACGGGAACTGCTCGAAAGAGTCGAGCAACGAGGGGCTGCTGCAAAGGAAGGAACGGCAACCACAAGTGCCTTGCCAGTCTATCATTCACTCTCCTACCCGCCAAATGCGTTCTCTCGGCTCAAAAAGTGAGGAGACGACATCAACAATCGACCGACTCGGTTTTATGCGGACGAAATACCACTGGTCAACGCAGAAGCGCCGCCCGAAGGGAGCCCACCCAATTGGGTTGCACGGTGCAAACCTCAAAAACGTTCGAACGCAGTCAAGAAGAGTATGATTGAGCAGCAGAGGGTGAGAGTTCTTCCGTAATCCAGATGAAGAACGGAATGAAGCCTCGAAAGACTTACCAGCACCAGTCCTGGCGGCAGCACAAACCCCCGTCGCTCCTCGTCCCACGCTGACGCCAGCAATCGCCTCACGCTTTCCAGCACCGGCTCGCTTTCTCCACTCTGTTGCAGGACGCTCGGCGAGAAGCGCACATACCGCTGGCTGCCAAACACGGCGGCGCTGACGTCAAAGCCACTGCCCACCTTGCCCTGCGCCGCGCAGTGTGCGGCTTGAGCCAAACGGTGAACTGTGTCGAGGTCGCGGGAATGGGACTCGCGACCTTCCCCTGGCCTGCATAACCGGAGCGCGTGACATTCAGAGTGCGATTAGGGCCTCGCCGAATCACCACCCGTTTGTGCATGAACGGGGGATTGGCATCGGATACGAGTGCACTGCGGAAGCTAGAAGGGGAAGTCGGATACAGTCCAGTGATTCCCTGGGCCCAGAATTCTACGATGTCACCAAACAGATCCAAAGCAGACTCGAGCTTTCTGATATCTTCTCTTACACTTTCCAGTTTTCGCCTGTCCAGCGAGAATCTGAATGTTAGCAGCTAGTTCTCACAAGTAGGCATCACTATTCCACTGACCTTGGCAGACTGACCATGCCGAGATGCTGGAGTAGTCCTGCGACGACAGCTGTCACCATCGCAGCGGAGGAGCCGAGCCCAGTCTTGGCAATTTCGGGGATAGCACTATTGGCAGGTGTTTCGGGAGGGGTGTTCATGGTGGCAGGGGAGAAAGGGGGCAGGCCAGAGAGGGTGGAGGAACACAACGGAAGGCCGGAATCTGCAATCTGGACAGGGGGCTCTGTTGAGATCTCGTCTGTTTTGAGACTTTGCCTTTAAGAGGTGCTGAAGACAAGGTATGCAACAAGTAGTTGAAGGGCTGATCCCTGGTGCATATGGGATTGCATAACAAATGCATAAGAAATGAAAGAGTAGTGAACCCCTTTCTTCTTTCCTCACCCCGTTTCTCCATTTCATGCGATTTGCATGGCATCAGTTTAAAGGAGAAATGATGGACGCATAGCGCTGTTTCTACTTTTCTAGACCGCGGAAGCACTTTCAACGACCAGAAAGACCAACTTCTAGGACCCATTTTTCAAATGTTGTGTTGCCGGTGCCGCTGAAGTCTTATTGAATATAACTTTTCTGCTGAGGATTGAGGAGCATCGAAGTAAGCTACCTGTCTCCGGTGGGAGTAGAAGTCGTTGTCTCCCAGGATGGTTACTTCAAGCCCTGGCTTCAGCACATCTCCCACAGATACGTCGAGCAACTTGGCGGCAGCCACCGTATACTGGATGGCGGCCTCCATAAACGGATTGCCCCTGCCATTGCTTGGTGCCACGTCCAGGCTGCCAAGATCTAGGGTGAAGATGTCTGCTCTGTCCAGCTGAGGGGAACGGATGAGAATTGGCCTCGATGCAGGCTGCAAAAACGTAGAGATGCAGTCAGGAAAGGCACATGGAATGGACAGTTCATTTCTGACTTGCTTCCTTGTAGTCAAGCCCTTGGTCGTTTGTACCCTGTCTCCCCCAAAAAGTAAGGTTGATAGCATTGCACATGAAGGAGCTGTCCAATCAATACTCACATTTGGACTGAGAGGCTTTCTAAAAATGGGGGCAGAAAGAGGCTGGCTTACATCAACAGTGGGAGAGTCGTTAAGGAGTGGAGCAACAGTTGCGTAGAAGCGGGCTGAGGTCGACAGAACGAGCCCCGGATTGGGGCGCTCGAGGATCAAGTAGGCGCCAGTGAGCAAGACTTTGCCAGGGGCTGAGACCACGCTGCAAAGAGGACCACACACTGCGATGAGCTGGTGGTGCTTTTGAGTCAGGGGAAATTGAGTCGCACAAAAGCTTACAAAGATAGAAGGGAGCTATGCCAAACTTTTGTGCTGCAATAGCTGGCTCTCTAATGTGTCACTCACTCTGTCAGATCGACTTCCGTCCCTCCTACCATGACAGCCACAATGGGGCCACAGTGCACGTCCTTTTGCCCCATTGCCCGTTTCAATGCCCCCCTCGTGGTGTGCAGATTGAGCCGTCCCCTTGTGGAACAGATAAATGTGGCGCCTTACAGATGCAACCCAAGCTGTTCACGCCCATGAAAAGGTGGCACATTGGATCATTTCGCAATGCTGGTGGTGGCATTGAAGAGTGGAGATGCTTACATGCTTTTCTTGTCCGCCATGGCACAGACCACTTGCTGGCAAATCACTGCGTACCAAGTCCGTTTACTGATGCATGAAGAATGATGATCATCAATCAAAATACCAGAGTTCCTTCAAAGATCCAAGTTGGAGACGATGTGGTCGACGCCTGCAAACCTCCAGTTTTTATGCTTGTTTCTGAATTTCTTCAAAAGTTGCTTGAAGTTGAACTTTCTCCAACCTTAAAAGCAGCTGTTGCACTGTTTTGTCCCTTCGCCTTCTGGAATCTGTCCGGAATCTAGGATCTGGAAATGAGATTCAGTCGGCTTGTGCAATGGTTCTTGTGCTCAAGCAAGGCAAGACGGAGGCCGGCCCCGGCCCGAGGGGCACTGCCAAAATTTGCAGGCTTCCAGATTGGCGCCAATAGTAACGGTCTTTGAAGCGGTAACGGACGTGCCAGCAAGGGTGCCACTTGTCGCCTGCCAATGCAACGTTGCCAGCTGGCGTTGGCCGCTCCGATTGTGTGTTTGTTGCCCGTCGCATTGCATTTTGCAATTGATTCTGAAGAATGAAGTGCTTCTGCAAGCAGGAATGTTTCTTCAGTGCTGGGGCTGGCATCGGAAGGTTTGCTGTGCACGGCCTTGCCTGATATCCTTTCTGGTTCAAAACTTGTGACAGCTCGTGGTGCCTTTGGTTGTGATCACCACTAGGTCCTTGCTTTATTCTCCTGTAATGGCAAAGCGTGAAGCGCCTGCCGAAGCACCGCCCGAGATTGTGGTGAGTTTCTTCTCGCAATTTAGCAGGACCAAGAGCTGGCCACAAATGCATGCACTCCCATGTGCCTTGACTGCTTCCTTTCAATCTGAAATTTTCTGCAAGACAACAGGTCTCTTGTCATCGATGCCTTAATATAAGTCTCATAGACACCCACGGATGCGCTGACCGTCTACAAAGACCTTGACATCCTTGTTTCAACACTTTCTCACTTCTTCATGAAGGTATTAAGCCATAATTGGGAATGTTAGTAAGGCAGTCAGGCATCGCTCAAAAGTTAAAAGAGAATGCTACCTGTTTGACACTGCAGCAAAAACATGAAATGTACTTGTGTTTGGCATCTTTAGCTTGCTTATGTTGGGAGCTTTTGCATATTCCCATTACTCTGCTTGGTAGAATGATAAGTAGATTGGTGCGCACAGGGCTGTTAACTGGGAATTTTCTAGCTAGAGAACTTGAAGTCATTGAAGTCGAAACTTGGTAGTCATATCCATTGAAAAATGGCTTCAGAAAATCAATGTGTTCCCTCCCTTCTGGATACTAGGAAAAGGATCCAACCCGTCGACAGTTCTACCCTCTTCTACCACTTTCCAGTTCAATTCACAATCTTATAAGCTGCACCTGGTCAAACTCTGTCCAACACAATGCCACGCATAGTTTTCGCTTCACAGACACCCGTGACAATGACATCCTTTACGTCTATATTTGACTGTGTTTGTGTCAATACCTTCAGCAGCAAAGATGATAGATTCTCGCTCCTCATCTACTCATGTTTTCTGTGCAGGCCTCTACAAGCAGAGATGTGGAGGCTGCGGGACCAGCCCCGCTCCCTGATGACGCGATTCGCCTCCCGGAGAGTTTGCCTGGTTGGAAGTATGATGGAATCCTCTACTTCTCACGGCTACTCAGCTTTGTCACGGCCACAGCGGCTGTCATTTGCGCCGTGATCCACGGGCTGGCAGCATACCGCAGTTTCAAGTACCATGGAGATGTGAGCACATGTCTGGGAAACTGTTGCTGGGGCCGACCTGATTGATGACTGAGGGGATGCCCAACGGTCTGCTGGGGAGTCTCGATGCCTTTCAGAACTCCTTTTCTCAGGTTTCTTCTTCTGAAACAATCAGTTCCTGTGCTTTCCGGTGGCTTCAGAAATAGCACCCGAACTGAGTTGAGGTTTATCTTTAAGATCGAGCGAGTACTGTAGCATTGCTTCGAGAATCCAGGAGTAAAGAGTGAGTTGAGGTGTCTTCAGAAGGGTCTGGAATCCACTCGAGCTTGATCGGAGTTGACCGCTGGTCCCAAAAGCATTCGGTTGACTTTAATTGGTTCTGCTTGTGAAGCTGCATCACTCAAGTCTTCTCTTGCATAGGTTGTTCAGATCTTGTTCAATCAATTCCCATTCCTCTTCTTCCACATTTAAGTCATGCAGAACCTGAGTGCGATCAACGATATGTTGAACCAAGCTCATGATCCGCAAAGCTTCTGCTTGCACTGGAGAAAAGTCTCTATCCCTGCAGGTGTTTCTTGGTATACTGCGGATATATGCTGTCCTGATATCGGTCTGGACGGCATTAGCAGAGACGGAGTGGGAGTTTGTCTTCAGGTCGTTCTCAGTCCTCCAATACTGGATCGCCCGCGGTGTGCTCCAGATCTTGTAAGGCGCCTTTCCTTCTTCTCGAGGTCTGTTATGCTTGTTGAGTTTTGGACAAAGCTGGGCAGATATACAGAATTCTCTGGTGTCCCAGTCCGTTCCCATTCGATAGAGTTCTCTCGGAACAAAGTCGGAACCAGGCCTGATAGCAAATATTGCTTTGCGAATATCGGGACCGGCCTGAATTCACCGCTCACCGTGCCTGCCTGTCATTCCCCAATTGCCCGCGGACGTCCATGTACTGCTATATGTCCGTCACCAGAGTTCCTCCTGAAAAAAATTGGTCCGAGACTGGACCAAGCAATTGTGCACCTCCAATCAATTATTTGCCGACATCGAACGATCGTTGGCAGTAACAGAAGCTGTCGAACCTGCCACAAGGTACTATTTGGTCTTTCTGCACGCTCGACAGGTACGTTTTGCCGAATTTTGGACAGTGCTGGTACCTACTCTACCTGACTCGGCGTCTTGCTCGCTTGCGCAGCGTCGCCGTGCTAACGAAGGCGCTTGGCCACACGGTGTTCTCGAGCGACTACGAGGTCCTTTTGCACATAGTGGCCAGCTGGATCCTCTTGGGATGCGGAATCGTGTACATCCTGGCCGTGAGTCGCATCTAAACTCCCTGCGACGTTTTGAGCATCATTTCCAACAGTCGTGTCTGAACCCGCTCGTCTTAAGTGCAATCTCGAATTGATCGTGCGTCACCCAGAGTCATGTGCTGCAACACCATCTGAGTGACTCCGTGCGAAGTCCAGCTTGAGAGACTTGTGATGCTTCCGTCTACTTATTCGGATCTCGAGACCGAACCCATTGTGCTGGTATGACATATGCCGTTGATGTCAACGAACTCTGATGACAGAAGTTGTGTTTCTGTCATGCAGGGAGCCATGTGCATCGGCAGCTTGAAAAGGACGCGCATGCAAAAGGCCTTGCGGCGGGAGGAAGCGATTCGAGATCTGCGGGAAAGTCACGGAGTTAGGGAACGTTTGCTCGCCTAGGATGTCTCTGTATGTCGAGCGGACCGGCTTCTTTAGAAACCTTTGACAGGTCGCTGTACGACGGTGTATGATCCGGTTAGGGAGTCGAGACAGTAGTGTAATATAGGTTGTCAACAATCAGAAACATAAGAGCCTCCAACTCTGGGCTGAGAGGCGTGCTGAGAGGCCACCAAGTGAGTTTGCAGGTCATGCATCACGATTCTAGCTTAGAAAGCATACGAGCGATCCCGACTGTCCCTCTCAGCATGAGAAGATCGTAGATAAGAATAAAAGCACTTCTAAGCAAAGCCCGAGTTGTGCCTCTGTTTTCGCCTTAACGTGTCAATCTGCAATGAATGAACCGACTGGGAGGGCTGCCACGTTCAGCTCGAATGCGGTTTAGAGCGAGCTTGTGCAAAGGCAATAGTTCACATCGCCCGCGCCGGGTGCAAGCTGTAGCCGCCACTGACCTGTTTACCCAGATCTTGGCTTATAGGCTGTTGCAGCCAGCGCACCTAGGTGGCATGCGGCCAGGGGTAAGCCCGCGCAGCATACAAATATGGTACATAGATGCATGTAATAATGACCAGCTGGACGCTCTCAGCTGATACAGGCGTGACGGCTACATGCCGAGTCAGTGACGTGCGCGTACGTGTACGCACACCATGTTTGCGCCACGGTGCAGGTTGGCTGGATCCTGGAAATTGTCACAGATTATCATCTAACATTGTATAAAACGGTTACTAGTGTACTGTTGTGTAAGTGAAGCATGTCGGATGTTCGTGAATTGGAATGCGTATGAATTATATGCTGAATCTTGGATCTAGATCATGTCCTAGCGGACTATATCATTACTGCACTGAAGCGCCGCCCAACGGATTCATATGCTAGCATGACAGTTACTGAGCCTGCGCAGCACATTACGAGCTTGCGCACATGTGCATGACCTGCGTTGGACTTATTGCAGCCCCGCCGCGCGTCTAGAGAATACCAGTCCCATGCCGGCATCTTCCACATTGAAAATGAAGGTCACCAAGAAGACACCGACAAGCCGGCGGCGGCGGGCTAGATTGCAGAACTTGTGCGCAAGTCGATGTTGCTGTGAGTTGCGCTAGCGGACGAGCTTATATGGATACTCATGAGCAGAGGGCGACCGCAGGGCAGGTGTCTGTTGGCGACTTTATAACGGATGTATTTGCGAACGGACGAGAAATGGACCCAAAGCAGAAGCTATGGCTCAAACAGAGTCCTGAAAAGTATAGAAGACCTTTGAAGGCGTCATGAGCCACAAGATCAATGGAAGGACAACGAAACACTACTCGAGTGGGAGGGGTTTTCTCAGCACCAAGCTGAATATTCGTCCCATCAACCTTGGTTCTTATAAGTCTACTTCCGAGCTCTTAGCTTGAGCTGATTCATTCAGAACGGCACGTAACCTCAGCGGCAGGTTCAACCTGCCGCCACGGACATCAGTGGCACAGATCCTTGTGCCCCTCTTTCCAAGCCCTCTTTTGACAATCTGCAAAAAGAAGTGCAACGGGTACTCAGCGAGATATAAATCTTGCAACCCTGACTACCTCGAAAGGAATTTTGCGGTTGCAATCTCTGGTTACCCACCTGTCTGGTAGGTGAGACTGCTATTTTCCACAGTGAATAAGGCTCAAAGTGATTTGAATTCTAAACTTACTACGCTTACACGATTGTCCCATGAGGACTTTGAGTGATTGTTGGAACTAGTCCTGCGACAATGTTGTCATTTCGCTAAGCCAGACTTCTAAACACTTCTCGTACAGAATCCATGCAGTCTCATCATGATCTTGAGATACAAAAACTTGAAGTGTCTCACCTTTGCTGCAGTAGACAGCCAGCTTGCATCTTCCACACACCTGAAACTGGCCTGCCACAGACTCTGTATTGCCGCAACCAATGTTCGAGCATGTCCTGCGCTCGAGGCGTGCCCTGAAGGGAAGGGTTGCAAACTTTCGTCTCTCTTCACTGGAGCGTTGATCTTTGTCTTGCTTGTTTCTCCGCCTCTCAATGTGAAACGCTTCGCAGATGTCCTGTGGTGCTGCTGAGGTAGAATATACTCTGCATAGTTGAATTGCCCGTTGCACTGCCTTCTTGTCATCTTTGAAGCGCTCAGATACGTCTAACGTGGCCATCTGTCCGCCCTGAACCGTCTGGATCTCCTTTTTCCAGAAGTCATTCGCCGCACAGTTTACCAAGTCCCGGGCAAATTCGCCGATTCTGTCTCCCAGAGAAAGCAAGGCAAGGATTGAGGAGCCAAGAGACGGGTACTCTGAGATGCAATTTTCCTCCAAATCGGCGTTTGCGGTCATAAAGAGGAGCTGGATAGCCATGTCAATTTGCACTCGGCTTTTTGCGTTTGCCAGCACGTGTTCCACAAGCTCGTACAGATCTCGTTTCAAGGCCCGCAGATCGACCTTCTGTGTGAATGCTGCATTTTGGACGATCCCAAGGGCTATGAAATATGATTCCGCTTCCGCTCTACTCGTTGCTTCGTCCACGTCTTTGATGCTCGCAGCATAAGTCAGGATCCCCTTCAGGAGAGCAGTATTTGCTGCATCTATTTTTGTGAAGCTTTCAGATCCCGCCATCAGGTTCATGAGCATTTTTGTCAACTCCGCCCCTGCCTGTCTTCGCAATCTGCAGGCTTTGTGATGACTGACTTCTTCGGTTGACGGCTCCTCGAGTAACATACCACTTGCAATCTTAGCCACATCCGGAAATTCTTTGAGAATGAAAGCTACACAGCGGTTGTCCACGGCGGCCAAGGAAGCGAGACACTGGCTGTAGATCAGAGCTTTGTTGACCGTGATCTTCCGGGCTGATTTTGAGCTGAGGTCCAACGATTTTTCAACCAAAAGATGTTCCCAGTTCCCTGTTAGAACTTCTCTCATCCCTGACGCAATGGCTTGCACAGCACCCCTTTCAATCACGAAAGCGGCAACATGCACGTAAGCTTGACTCTCTCTAGTCATATGAAGGTTCTTGAGGCATTGCCTGATCTGGTATGACCCAATCAACCTTCTCTCTGAATCTTTGGACCGCGCTGATTCCAGGATCTCGAGCAGCAAGCCACACGTCTCGGGTTTTTGTATCCCTGCGCTCCTTAGAAGCTTAGTCAGAAGGACATCATCCGCGTAGCTGCTAGATCCGACGAAGCCCTCAGAGGCACCTGCCATTCCAGACTCGAAGAAAGATGCAAGCCCCGTCCTGTTGCTCGTTTCTTTCTTCCAAGACGTGCTCAGTATCCCTGAAAGGCAGGCTCCGCTTCAAGTGCAAACGTCGCTGGCGCCCCTGTAGGAAGGTTTTTCTGCGTTGCAAGCCACTAAAAATGCGAAATCACGGGAGTAAGCTGGAATATTGTTGCTCATGATGAGACGAACATCCCGAAAACGTTTCTGTTTACGTCACAGAAAACAAAGTAGGCGGCGAGTCGCGTCAAGCATGCGTGCAGGCTGGGGTGCCTTATCTAATCAGGCGATTGTTCGCAGCTTCCTAGGAGCCATTGTCATTGACGTTCCAAGTGACGGCTAAATTCGCATGTCACAGTCACAAGCTTCCCAGTCGCTATTCTAGTTCTGAACAAGTTTGCTTCTGCAATTTCGAAAAGTGGCTTGCATGGTCGATTGGTCGTCTGGGGGGCGCGTTGCTGACGTTGCAGTTTCGACATGCGCCGCAACGTGACCTTCACGCCCGCGCGCGCACGCGCGCACGACGGCCGGGCGACAAGAAGACGTGTGGATCGGATTCACTGGCACACTCTTCACCACTTGAAGCAGATACAGTCGCGACCGGGGCGACAGCTTTTGTGCCGGTCTGGATGCACCTCCGAGGAGTCCTAGGCAGACTCCAGATTGTAGCGGCCGCATATGGGCTAGCTTTTCGCTCATATGCAGATCATTCACGTAGAACTTTGTTCGATTGCAGATTCTCTGCAAGTTCAGGAGTCAGGAACGTGCATATGCGCAAGATGGATCTGAGCAGATCCGCCTGCTGCAAATGCATTGAAACCTCGAAAGACTGCAGATAAACGGCACGAGACCCATGAGAAGAGATACGGACATTCATGAGGGGAGCGATCTCTGTCTGCTTCACCCTTTGTTACTAAGGCTGAACACATGCATGATACAAGTTGCCATGAGATGATGTTTCGATCGTCTATACTCCAAGTGGGCAGTAATCGGTACAGTAGCTTTAGGAGCAGTGAGATGATCCGTCATGCATGCCATATGGAGTGCTTTTGAGGAACAACTATCGGCCGTCGAACCTTCTTCTGTAAACGTTGATTCGGGTTATCCGATTCTGGACGGAGTCAATCTGCTGATTGCAACTAACGTACAAACCATATTCCGCAAAGCCGCACGTCGACTGTAAGGCTTCGAACTTCAGCAGGTTGGATGCAGCCTTCAATGGCGAGTAAGGCGACTCTCAATGAGTCAGATCGCACTGAGCTCATGAGTCATTCTGCATAGGGTTGCTTGAAGCTCTTCCTCTCAGACCTTTGGTAAGTTGCCACGGTGCTGATCCAAAAAACGTCAGAAGAAGTAGGCAGATTGACATGATGTCTGTTTGGCGTCAGTCAGTAGAGCCTGGATACGAGCTCTTGCACGAGCTCATTCTCCGCAATGTCCTTGAACGTCACCCGCTCCGCTCCTTGAGAAGCTCTGCGAGCAGAAGAAACGAAGCGGTTTTGCGCAGTGCCAAGATTACGGCTGGCACCTCTCAGAACGGAACAGATACGTCATATTTGTGGTCTTTCAACAACTCTGGTGATGCACGCCAAGAATGCGAGTAACGCAATACCCAAATCTGCCGGTCTTCGAGAAGCATTTTGATCTTGAATTGATGATCTACATAGCCGTACCAGTGCTGATTAAAGACCCAAGCCTTCGTCATCCCAAGGACGGAGGCCAGAGTACTAGTCTGCCCGCTTTGAAACGCAACAGTCAACAAGAAGCAATTCCCCGAAACTTTCTCGTTTGTCGATTTGCTGATCCGAGAGTAGGTAAATGGTTGGAGGGAATTCTGGAGTCGACTCACAGGTCCCGCGATAGCTCCGCGGCAAATGTGGTGGTGACGTCCTGATCTCGCGCCGCTAGAATTCCAAACAGCTCCAGGAAGAGCTCCCGGGGCAGTGTCCCCGCCTCGTCTCCACAGACCAGGAACAGGTACTCGACGACAGACAGAAAGTTCTGCAGGGCTCACTTTCGTTCGTCAGTACTCTCCTACTCTCCTTGTTGCATCAGATGAAGCGTGCGAAGTTCAGAGCGCCTCGAAGATCAATGGCCGCAATCGTTAACCAGGAGTTGCTGCTAATATGCATAACGAATGTTCGAAACCGCTTTGAAGGAAAAGGGCGCATAGATAATACGAAACTTTGGACGGAAAGCTCAAGGCCGCCTTTGCCATCCACTTCGGCATCACCCGTCCGCAGTTGATGCGCAGCCAGCGAGATAAGCGATTCAAGCGACTTAACCGCTGTATGCTTACGAAGGACATGCCTACGAACTGGATCGGTAAGTCTCCATGGTCAAGGACGCAAAGGAAGGGAACCCATACGTACGTGGACACCCTCAGGGCCTTCTACCGTTTGAGTCTATTGTCACGGCTTCTCGTGAAGAAACAAAAGCAGCGTTGCAGCTTACCGGGGCAGTCATCGTGATCAGGAGAACGAGCACCTCCTTTGGATTTACGGAGCCTCCCCAGTTGCCCAGCTTCCATGCTTTCTCCTGCAAGTGGACTCGTACCTTTGAGTCCGTCTGATGAGGTCCTGCAGACTTCAAAGGTTTTTCATGCGAGTATCTGCAGACGACGTTGACACCGTAAGAGAAACATTGCCTCCGAGAAACTCCAGTTGCGCACTGTTCGTCCGAGCTTGCCTTGCGGACTGGCCTTTTGAATACAGCCTCTTCCATCACACCTGAGCATCTTCTGTTGGTCTGCAGACTTTGGAAGCTCGCTCCGACGAAGACACGAGTACTCAATCCACATCTATCTGAAAGCAAGTCGCCTCAATAGTCAGGCTGTCGCTAGTGACGGTGCGGAGGGCGAACCGTTTCGTAGTAACCAAAGCAACGACCAGTACCCTTAGCCACCCGTCCCAGCTACCTCCCTGAGAAGCCAGAACAAATTTCGTTACTCTAGGACGAGAGGGAGAGCCCACCGTTGTGCCCTCTGAGATACCCGCTGCCGAGCAGGCCCCTGCTACTGCATCTCGAGACATGCTCTCTGCCTCTCTGGTCCGTTCCCAGACTCTTTGCAGCTGCTCTTTCGTGGGCAGACTGTCGCTGCTCTGAGTCTGTGTGACTGCGGCCAGGTTTGCGAAGTACTTAGCCGAGAACTGGATGAGATCGGCGGGCTGGTGGCGCAACACCTGCAAGCGCCATTGAGATCGACTTCGAAGAAGAAAGAAGGACCTCACAGAGGCCTGGAAGCTTGCAATCGTTCGTTATCCCTTACGAATGTCGAAGAGCTTAAGTCGTAAAGAAAGCTGATAGGCAGCACGATTGCTGATGGGAAAGTGTCAAAAAGCGTGGCCAGCTTGGCAAGTTTGATGAGTCTGAAACGAAGCCCTGTTTTGCCAAATGGACACAAGCGTAATGACGCAACCTAGCCGAGCCACCCGCTTGGCCCAAAAAATCGGTCAGATCTGGGTCTCTAGGCTGGCCGCTTTATGTGGCTTCGTTAAGCATAGGGCAACGCTCCGCCAGTGTCAAAAGCTGTTCTTCTATAAATACCACATTCTGCCGTGTCTGCTTTTTGAAAGAAGCCCCAGGTGATTGTTGTATGCGTGAGCCCATCAGTACTCTGCTGACCGTACTCTGCTGACCTCCCGGGGGATACTTAAACACGGGCGGGAGCGCGTGTCGGCGAGGCGCGCAGAAGCGTGGCAGCGGCGCATTACAAATGTGAGCTGGTGAACGTCTTGTTGCAAGATTGTGCTTTTCCTAGTCCATACCATGAAAGGCAGGAATGGTTCCCAAGCAGAGGGAAAACGGGTCCACCTCTGTGAGGCATATTCGTGTGTGTGTGGAGGTAAGCCACCCAGCTGCAGCATGCTCTCACCTCCTTCGTAAAGGCCTTCAGAACATCTGCCAGGTCCGGTGGTATGTGAATCTGCTCTGCGCAGTATATCGGCTCAACATCCATCTTGCCCTGTACTTGCGTAGATCAGAGGGTCTGCATTGGGACAAACAGTGGAAAACCTTGTAAAGAGCTCCTCTTCTACATCACTTACAATAATTCTCACTGGACCCAATCAACTTGGGCAGCATCGAAAGGCTGTCTGAAGCCTAGGAATAATCCACTCTCTTTTCAAAGCTTCTCTCAGAGCTCATCCAACTGGACGCAGCTGAGTTAAGCATGCAGCACCACTAAAGTTGGGCAGTAGCACTGAGAGCTCCGGTTTCTGCAATTTGAACGGCCCTTCACGGTCAGGAAAGTAAGGCAAGGGCGTATGGTCTAATGTGCAAACATAAAGTGACCCTATGTTGATAGAGGTCCAGCTTTCATCATGGCAGCAAGAAAGCATATTGCACCATAAGAGCTGAGCGCTGAAGTTGAGGCACTCTGCGACCGGGCTGCCCGCCCCTTTCCTTGTGAGCAGAGATAGTTGTATGCGTGGGCTTGGGACATGTGGATCTTTGAACATGTGCAGCTGTTCCAAAGCGCATCCAAACAATTACAGACTGCTGGTATGGTCAATTTTGAAAAAACCCGCTTACTCTGGGCCAGTATTGCGAGCCCGAAGGGCTGGAGCCTTGAGTAGAATCGTCCCCAGTATCTGTTAAAGTGCTCCCACGGACTCACTTGAGTAAGTGATGCACAAATGACTGCTTAGCTGGTTAGGAGGAGCTCAGTTGCTGCTGATGGGAGCCGCCAGAGACCTCAGACGATATTGCGCTAAGAGAAACTGTGAGATCTAAAGTCGTCAAATTGTCTTCCAAATTCAATGCGATCTGTCATGGGGCAGGGCCGAAATTCGAATGTGGAGCATCATGCATGGAAGGGAAGACTACTACATAGTACTGCTGGAAAATTCAAGTTGCGAGTGCCTAGTAGTAGTGGCAGACAGTTTTCATCCGCCGTCTGAATGGAGACATGGCCTTGAAAGCGTCAATCGGACCGCTCACAAAGTGCATCAAATCAATCTGACGGTATAAACGTGCTCAACTCTTGACACAAACGACCAGCTCGTTTCAGCTCGTCTGCTCGAGGCAAATTAATTGAAAAGACTTTCCTCGAGAGCACACTGAGCAAAACTTACCAAAAGACAGTCTATCCTAAATTAATACAGGCCCCCTTTTGCCATTTTGAAGAAGAAGAAGCTGCTGCATTTAGCAATGCTGTAACTCGTCATTTTCGTCCACAGCTGCCCTTGAGCAGCCTGCCAGAGTCCGGTTGCAGGACGCACTTTGATGGTCTTGTTGAGTTAGTTAGATCTGGATTGAAGTCTCACCAATGTGGAATCGAGTGTAGAAAACACGGTGCTCTCTATAGTATAGAGAAGATATTGTTTGATTGTAATTCTGAACAAGGCGTACATTTCAATCTGCGGGCTTATTAAGCTTCACTTTGTCCTCTTAAAAGGAGAGCATGGTCTTCTCCATTAAGTATGAAGTTTCGGAGAAGGACCGTAGCAAGGTGATCAGCGGCAGCTATGAGGTCAAGTCGGATGAAGATACCTTTAGAGGGCTCGCTGGTAAGCCGCCCTGTCGTTCTGTCTTGGGTGTTGCTCGGACCATGTGCATAAGTGACTGCTGCTTCTTTGGTTGTCTACATGCAGAAGCTTTTACAGTTTGTGGTGTAGCAAAACCGGGGGGAGCTGCAGTGGCATCTCACACCTAAAAGCCTTGAGTTGGCACGTTGAATAGCAACATAGAAATAACACTCAAATGGACCATAGAACGCCGTTCAAAGCGGACATCTAATCTGCACCTTCTTCGTTTGCGGGTAGAAATGAGTGTTGATTGTCAAAGCAGAGCTACTCAAAGAGGCGACTTTTCACTTCATTACCCATTGGTGCCAATGTTTTGCAGAGGCGGTGGCAGCCATTTACGAGCAATCGACCAATGAATCGGTTACATTCTCACAGCTCTACTTGGGGAAAAGTGGCGGAAAAGCTACAATGCATGAAGTTCCAGAAGAGACTCTTGATGGCAGTCTCACTTGTAAGTGTCGTCGAGACAGTAATGATCTTGTCCTGTTGCGTTTCTGCTCTTAATGCTGACTGTACGTTGTGGCTAGCATTGGTTCTCCTGAAGTCGATTAACCAATTGCTATTTTCTTCATGTCTATTCAGACGTATGCCAGTGTATCAGCTTATATCGATCAGGTTCTGTTGTGATGCTACTTTGCTATGCCCCGCAATTCACTGGCACTGCTTCGTCGACTACCTCATGCAGCGGGAACTGGGTAATCGAAACGGCAAGTCAATTGTTTGCAGATGACCTGATGTCCGACGTTGTTTGGGTTGTCGTCAAACGAAGCGAGGGAAGGTCAGGCATTGTTGCAGGCCACCTGGCTCCAAATAAAGCTGACAAAGCGGTCTTTACTGTAAAGTACGAAGTGTCCAAGGCAGACCGCCAGGGTTTGATTGACGGAGTACACAAGGTGTACTCGGACGATGAAACATTCAAAGGGCTTGCTGGTAAGTTGGTAATCAAAGCTCCTCTCGCCCGTGTTTCAGTGACTTGGAAGCTTCCACGTTTTGTTCCGCTGCCCACGACATGTTCCGCTCTGCTGTGCGTGCAACCTGATCCTCTTCATATGACGTTATTTCTTGAGGCCGTTTCTCACGACCTGTCAAGGATGATTTCAAGCTTTGCAGATGCACATCGGAAGCGTAAGGGATGAAGACAGAGTGCCACCATCATCAAAGCCTTTTATTTGTTTGACTACTTCACTTTAGTTGCGAACCAAGTCCTTCTGAAAAGATCCGCTTCCTTCTGTAACCTGTAATCATTGCACGATTCGCTCCTCTCTTGATTTATGAAAGATGACAGCGACGTATCTTGTGCTGTGATGACAGACGCCTTGGTGGCAAAGTACCAGGAAGCCACCAATGAGCATGTCGACTTCTCCAAGCTGTACCTGGTGAAGAAAGGAGCAGCAGCTGCTAGTACGTTTGAGATCTCAAAAGAGTCTCTCAATGGGAGCCTTACTTGTAAGTATCCTCTTCTGTCCTGCTTATCAATCTCGACTTAGCTGTATGCTTGGCAACTCTCAGATGAGGTCTTGCATCAAGGGACCAACATTCTTTTCTGATAGATATTGCGAACCACTCAATTACACAAAAATGCGTGACCCCCTCTACCCAGATTCAAATTTCGTGTTTTCTGAGAGCATACCTAGTACACTTGCGTTTTTGACAAGAGAGAGCATCACACAAGGTAGTGATGGCTCCAAAGCAAAAGCACCCGTTTGGCCTGGTTTCAGACGGGTTAGCTGATCTTTTGACGGTTCTGGCTGGGCGTTGACGACTTGAATTTTTTTTTACTATGCAGATGATTTGATGTCGGATGAGGTGTGGGTGGTTGTCAGAGCAGCTTAGAGAACTGCACCAGCATCATGGGATCAGAAAGGATATGTTTAACGTACATCCTTTCTTGGTGGTATTTTGTACATTTAGTCCACGTACACAGATGTTCGCCGTTAATAACTCGACTCAGAGAGATTGCAACTTTTGTATAGATATTATATTGTTCGATGTGAGCTAGTATCGGAAGATATAGACCCTCACTTGACTTCAGCTATTTATATACTGGAGGATTCCACACGGGACGGGCAGGCTAATCAGGTTGCCTCCGGTGAGCCTTCGTGGCAGATGTTAAAACGTGCCTTTGTCAAGGTACATCACATAATTGATTATGTCGTAAAGTCAGGGATGCACGTTTATGTAGCAATAAATCTCTCATGCAAGATTACTTTCGTTGCATAAAAACTTCAACGCGCCAGCAGATTGAATCAGCCAACAACTGAAAGTTCAAACTCAACGAAACTTGATTGGCTTTATCAGGTTCAAAGCTAGCTACTGGGCGGCATTTAGTGCTAATTCCGAATTAGTTTTGAGGATCTGTTTGTGTTAAGCACGGTACACCGTACAATCCCGATCAAGAATTCCTTATGTGAGCTATTATTGAATATCCTGCACATTTGATTGTGGAGGGTATTATGCCAAGCGTGAAAATTCATACTAGCTTATGATTGAGGAAATTGTCACTAATCTGTCATATATTTAATCAATCGAAACGAACTGAGCCCTGGCATGCATGGACTAGCGCGCCACTGATCTACTATACTTACGCGTGACTCGCAAGCATATGCAATTACGATCGCCACCAGCCCATGGGTGCAGGATCCTCACCGTAGCGCATGCTTAGACTGCTCTGCTTTTCAGGTATGAAGAAGATCCTCATCTCGGCTCAAAAGAAATGACGTGCTAGGTTGTGCAGTGGGTTCGTTGGTTTTAATCTTGCAGTGAGACGAAGGCTTTGCAGCTGCTGTTGCAACCCATTCTGCGTGTCACATGCCTAATCTTAAGCAAACCTCTGTCTGCGGTAGCTCTGCTGGGCAAAGCTTGTGGGAGTCACAGAACACGTTTCTCGGGACTTAGCCAAAGTAGAGCTTAGGTTTGCAAGTTAAACAAATAGCAGAAGGAAAGGACTCAAAACTAACTACAGTGTACGTAGTCAGTTAGCAGGACCTTTCATTGAATTGGATGCCGCTTTGAGGTAACATATTAGCGTCCATTTCTGCTTCTTGGCATGTGGATTATTCATGATTCTCATGGTATATGATAATCACCATGCCCTACATTTGAGAGCTATTTCGTATTGAAGCATGGAAGACGGAACAAGTGTCTGACTTGTTCTTCAGACAGAATCATTCTTGCTATCTTGGGGACCGCAAGTGGTGAGAATGCTTCCAGCTCTGCCATTCGTACGATACACATGCCAAAATAATTGCAATTGGCTATTATATATCGGAGCGTAAGCCGCCCTGCTGGTATTGACCTGGTGACCGCCAGATGCCCTAGATAGGCTCATGCCCCGACAGTCCAGCCTGGCCGCCTCTCTTCAAGACGGTATACGCATGTTGGACTTTCTGCACAGTGCGCTTCGCGGTGCTGAGCCTTGCGGAGACTTGGGCGGATCCATGGGTCGGACTGAGAGCGCCAGAACATCGAGTCCGACTTTCCCACATTTGCCCACACTGGTTGGGGCTAGTTCTGACTCAAGTCTCAATCTCGAGACGGTCTAGATTGAAGGCGTCCGCATGTTCACAAGGGAACGTAGACGTATTCCTCGCTGCTGCCGCGCAGTAACATTGACACACAATGCTCTGCCCCTTGCTGTTGCACTGCATGGCAATGCTTAAGCGACATCATACATTATGGTGGCCGTGTGCTCATCAATCATTGATTGGAATAGATTGTCGACATGCTTCGCAAAAAGGCTCGTTCTACTTCGCTACCAGAACGATTCTCTTAAGCTGATCCTCTCTAGCCGCTCTACCTCCTGTTGCTCTTCGTTGACCCTAGATTAAGACTACGGTTTCTTCATGACAAGCATGCAATCGGAACTTCAATTGACGTGTTCCTCGCGCATAATCGAAACTTCAATGTCGCGTAGCAATGTCTCTTAAGCTCCAAGACGAGCCGACTCAGTGCCGATTCATCGTCTTGAAGGTGGCCGCGGCAGATGGGGACAGTTTGCTCAGATACCGGAACACCTAGAGATAAGATCGACGTGTTATTATCAGTCCGCAAATTTTCCACCAGTAACCGTCGCTTACGTGGAGGACGCGCTATGAAAGACCAACCAGTCACAATCAGCATTCTAAAATCATCACCGGGCTTTCCGAAAGCATCTAGCAAATTGCTCTCACCTACTCAATATCAAATTGCGTTCAGAGGCATGGGTGATAGCGCACTCCGTGCTTGATTCGTATTCAACCAAAATCCATTCCGGGCCTTTCAAAACCGGAAGTCTTAGCAGCAGAGGGCAGCGCTGCACACTTAGCTAGACCCAGGTTCTCAAGGCACGGAACGTCAATCTTGCGGTCGATAGTCGCAAACAACAAAGGCGTACGAAGCTGACGCCAGCGCCTCACCCAGAGCTTGAAGACGGCGTCGATGGTGACGGGCACAGTCGAGACGAAGATGTAGATGCTGTGCTGCTCCACCTCGAGACCATAGTGATCCAAGACCAGCTCCACGATCGTCTCCCACCCGTGCTCCGAGTGGTACCCCAAAAAGATGTCCGTCAGCAGAATGATGATGAACGCCTTGCCCGTGTCGCTGATGTTGGTGAAGATGCGCTGCCCCGTCAGCTTGAGCAGAGCGACGCGCCGCGGGTTGAGAACGAGTACCAGGAGGCCCGCCAGGAACGCCACGAAGTCGGACACGATGTTGGAGAAGGACGACCGGTTCTCCGCACGAATCTCCTCACGCAGGTGCAGCCTGAGCATGTGATGGCGGAATTAACCGATGAGTGTGCGTGCAGTAGGCGTGCCATCCATACATGATGGACAGGAAGGACTGAGTGAGCACGCGAGGGGTGCTACCTCAGGAAGAAACGGTGGGGAGTCACGGAGGGGCGTCACACTCGCCGCACCAGTTTTGTAGCCGCAGAGAAGCTAGTATGATGAGAACTGATACTTGGTTTTGGTTAAAAAGCCACTAACAATCAAGGTTCAGAAGTGAGGGCATCCACAAGGCGGCAACCTCAATCCTTTCAAGAAACAGTCAGCTCGTCAAAAAAAGCGTCCGCTCCGATCTTCTCGACCGGGCCAGTATTATAGAGATGTCTTCTATTGGAAACAAATACTGAATGTTATCGACCCTCAAAAGGAGGTACATACGACGGATCCGACAGATTCGCGTTTGCAAACATGGTGCACGAAAGGCGGCGCCACTCACGCCTCCTCGCGCATGTGCTCGCGCATCTCCTTCTCGGACAGCGGCGGCGCCTTGCCGATCTCGGCCTCGAAGCGCACGCGCTGCCGCTCCAGCTTGAGCCGCTGCACGATGTCTAGCTTCTGCTTCTCGCGCAGGTCGAACGCCTTGGCCACCAGCGGGACCTCCTCCGTGTACCTGCGCAGGGGCAACAAATCTTGAGCTTTGGGCAGAGAACCGGCTGCGCAAGCTTGGAGATGAAAAGGTTGTCGACCGAATTTAGATCTCAGATCGTGACTGAGCTCTTCGTATTTGGTGGATGGCGACCGAGGTCTAGGGTGTCGGAAAAGAAGGTGGGCTGACGTAGAGTTTTTCATGGGCATAAGCGTGATTGAATGACAGCTAACAGTTGGCAGTCCCATTGACTGGGAGCTACGCTTCCCCGTACCAAAGCGCTTCTGGCACGCTTACAAAGTGTTAATTCCGTGCAACCACCGGGGTGACCGACTACGTCTCCAGAATGCAGGCATCGAAGAGACCGCTTGTGATCTCAACGTAGTCTAAATTTTGCAGCCAGCAAGAAGAACGAGATTCACTCCTGAACGATTTGGCACTGTGCTTGCCAGTGACAGGTTCTTCTATTGTAGGAGATCCCAAGTGAGAAGAAAAGTCAGAATAATGTAGAGGGTCCGCGCTTCAAAAAAAATCCGGTTTCACTCTAAGCTGAAGGGCCGACCTCACAAAGCAACTCGATACGTTGCAGAGGCATGGACCCTCAAAGTGGGAAGACAGGGCAGCTTCTGCTTTACCATGCTCGGGCAGCCAATGTGGTGCTGACGAGCACTCCTCGTCAAGGGCACGAGAAGCCTCACCTCCTCATAAAGGGCACGAGAATGAAGTCGTGCACGATCCAGTCCGACACGGCGAATGTGAAGATGAGGGCCACCACGAACTTGGCCTGCCAAGTCGAGAAGATCACATCAGCAAGAATATAATATTTGGCCCTTTTTCTTAATCTCAGGATCCCGGTAGGTCAGCGCTGAGAGCCCCTGCTCAGGCCCCTGCGGTGCAAAAGCTGGTCTGGTGTAGGCATCCCAGTCAGCCAGCGTCCCAGCGCTAAGGTGTCCGTTCGAGGCAACTTGTATTCCAGATGGCAGCCTTGATTGTGGTTCTGAAGCAGAGCCCCGAATGGCGCATTCAATTTGTGAAGACGTGAGAGGCTGGTTGACCCGATAGTCAGAACGAGAAGGATCATGAAGCCAAATCCTGAAACAGAAAGGCGACCCAAATGTCCACATGTACTCCCAAGCTGGAGGCTTGGAAGCTCACCGTTTCCTGAGTGGTGAACCGGAATACCCGCTCCTCAAACGCCAGGTCGTCCTCCACCTCATACCGCGGCTCAAAGATGCGCAGCACCATCTCCTTGATCGTGCGGCTCATCCCCCGCTCGGGGATGTCGGGCGGCAGCCGCGGGTTCCCACCCTTGAGCCACTCGTTTTCCTCCTCATACCAACCGTTCCCACTTCCCCCCACGTAATCCGAATACTTGTTACTGTAGCTCTCATCCAGCCAGTCGATCCACTCCCCCGGGGGTTTCGGATAGTTTAGCAACCGGTCCAGCGTTTCGTCGAGCTCGCTCGGCCCCTCGCCGAGCGGCTCACCTTCCAGGGGGGCCCCGTTGTCCCTCCTCGGAGGACGCTCCGGCCGGCGGTCCCCATCCCAGGGGGGACGGCGCTCAGTCGGCGCAGACTGCTTGGACCCCCCCAGTGGAGGGAACAAGCCCTCCAGTCCCCACCCCCTTCTCCTACGGCGCTCCCACCAGGGGCCTCTCCGCCCACCCCCCCATGCGTTTCGCCCTTTTTTCTTCCGGCCCCCCCGAAAAATGTCCCACCAGCTCTCCTCGGGGTACCCGTTTTCTTCCAAGCTGTCTTCCAGGGGGTACTGAAACCGGCTAGCTCCCCCCAGGGGCTTCCAGGTGTCCGCCCTCCTGTTTGGCTCAGGGGGGCGTGGCCGGCCTGCTAGCTCGTCTAGAGTGTTCACCCCCCGTCGAGGTACCTCCGGCCGTTCTGGCGGCTCGTCCCGCCTCCGGCCCTCTCTGAAGAGATAGCAAAAGTAAGGAATCTAGGCCTTCTCAGAGCACCCATGTCTTGTCGCTGACGGACCGGGCCTGACATTGCGCACCGCCTATCCAATTCCTTTGCGTAAGCTTAAGAACTTGCGCCACTTCTTATTGCTCGAGGTGCTCAGTCCCAAGGCAGTGGTACTGGCTTCGTCTTTCAAGCAAGAGAGCTTTTCTGATCAAACTACCTCAATCAAACTACCCTCAGTGCTCTGAGGGTGTCACTCTTGTAGTAACAAAAGCTACTTACGCGCCAGTAAGCTTCTACGAGCTTTGGCCGCTTTGTCAGTCAAGCGATCAAAAGCAAGGTCCTTCAGAAGACTAGTGTTCTGCTCAGGAGAGGGTTCCAGAACAGAATCGTGGAATTTCACTGACGAGCTCAGATCAATCCAACTTGAATTGAGATTGTACTTTTTCTATTGTAGTAGGCACTGGCTCCGTTATCAAAACCTTGCGGCCCTTTGCTGCCATCGGCGCCTCAGCAACAGCAGCAAAAGGTTTGTGGAGCACTGCCAGCAGCCTCACCTGCGATCGCTCCCTTCGCCCCACGGCCTGCTTGCACCTTTTCTTCTTTTCCCCACCCCCAGCTCTCCCAAGAGCTCCTGCCACCACGGAACCTCATCCTCCTGACATCGCACGCCACTTCTCCGCTTCTGCCCCTTTCTGCCCGCCCCTGCTGGTCTCCCGCTGTTGACGGCATTATTGCGTCGGCAGAAGCGCAGCTCCTGAGCACTACCACTAACAAGGAAAGACGACGAGGCGCTACCAATGAATGTGCGAGAAGGGGTGGAACAAACTCTTGCCGAACCTTCTAAAGCGGTGCCAGCGTACCTGGCGTCTGTGACACAGCCTACTTGACAGCCCTGCGTGTCCAAGAGTCTCTTTAGTGTCGTGGAAAGGTAAACCTGGCGGCACACAGGGGAGGGAAACCTCCTGCTTCTGCCTTGTAAGGGGAACAGTCTGCATCTTGGTGGATGCGATTTCACCGATTGATGGGACATCGGTTCTCGCGCCGAAACTGGACTGCGACATGGCGACAACAGCTGGCTGCTATGGCAGCCTGTTCTGCATCCTGTCAGGCTGGGAATTTCTTTCTTTGGCCATTCAAAAGCCCGTGCCACATTGCACCTCATTGTACCCACCAAGTGTCAGCCATTGGTATCGGAAATCGGCAGACCTGTAAGCAGCGCCAGATTGACTGCAATAGACTCTGGCAATTCCCCGAAATGCAATGCTGGGGTTCTTCAACCAAACAATGAGCGCCCTTCTTAAGCACCGCTGAAAGGCTTGAATGTGTGCCACCACTGGCGGACGCTACATTTAATTAGCTGCTTCCTAGCTTGGTCCTTCTGGTGGAATGGCGGCAACGCCTTGACTGTGCGCACTTGCCAAGTGATTCCAGCAAAAGTAGGAAAGAATAACAGCCTACTGCGGAGGCGAATGCACCGTAATTGCACAGCGCCTCAACTCCACCACTCCAATTGCAGCAGCGTGCGGAATGCCGGTGCTGCGGCTCTCAACCACGTAGCCAACACGCCTCCCACCGCTGCTCTCTCCCTCCTAAGTCCTGGCGGAGCGGGCGGGTTGTCAGCGTTGCAACACTGCCAATGCCAATGCTCTGAGTCTGAGCTGCACCTTGTGCATGACCCTTTCAACGGGTGGAGGAGCTGAGGAGGCGCAATTCAGCGGCAGTGCGGCCTCAAGACTTCAGCCTCAGGCTCTGGTTGGCTGACCGAGCGGCTAACCTCGTACTGATTCTATCGCAGTGAGTAGCCCAGTTGCTGTATTTCACCAGGGAGAATACGGCTCAGCCTTGACTAGTAGTCAAACTTAAATGAGTTTCCAACTGAACTGACTTGGGTTCTCAGAGAGAAATGCTCAAGAGAGAGAAGTTGAACTTGACGAGAGAGAGAGGCGTTCAGAAACACCACTGTCAACAGAGAGTCAGAAAAAGAAGTCGCCTTTCTTTGAGCATCAAGGCACGGTGGACCTTGCCTCGTGCAGCAAGGCGGAAAGGCAGCAGGTTGTGTGGCAGACGAGCACGGAAGAAAGACTTTGGAGAAGGGGAGGTACGCTACGGACTTTCTGTGTACTGTAGTCTCAGTGCCTCGCAGATTGCCGATTCTGTCGTTTCATGGGTGCGTCTTGTTCTTGATTGCAATTGCAAGCCACTCTCAACCTTCGTTTGCAGGTATGGATCCGGGCATGGACTTCAGTGGCCCTCAATGGACGGCTAACGAGGTGCAGCTGGGGGTGAGAGCGGAAAATGCTTCGAGAGTTTCCAACTTGCTGGCTTGGTTCAAGGACAACTGCGTACATACTGTGTGTATTGTGTAATACAGAAAATTTGTTTCGAGAGCTGCTTGTTGTCTTGCTTTGCCAGTTTTAGGGGAACAGGCAAGTGAAGTCGGAGCTCTTTAAAGGTGCCAGCTGACTGGGCTCAGTTGATATACATCCAGTCTAGGTTGTGTGCAGAAATGCCTAGGTGAAGGCTGTATCACTGGTGGCAGAGCCATAGCTATCATTTTCCTCCTAGAGAAGGAGGGTACATCTGCCGTTATTAATCTACTTATGTACCCTCATTAAATTACTTATGTATCTCTCTTGTCAAATGCGCAGTGGGATCCTAAATTTAGGGACACCATAATTGTTGCTTCGATTGAGAGTAGCCAAGGAACTTCGAATGATAAGTCAGAAATGAATCCATCTAAAATCCTTGAGCTGCACGCTGCAGACAACGATCATGGCGGTTGAGTTTGATGGGGGAGTGGTCATGGGGGCAGACTCGCGGACATCCACAGGTAGGGCTCTGAGATCTTTACAGTGGGGAGTCACAGTGGGGAGGCACGAATCATGCACCTCTGCTCGGGGGGCACATCTCTGACCATTTGCACAATCGCAGTCTTCTCACAATCGAACTGTATCTATCGTTTATCATGGACGCATGTTAAGCACCAATACTTTCAAGTTTCGTTGGCATGTTTGTCTTGACATTGGGCTAGCAATTATTCAGGTTATACAAGTTCTTGCCGCAGGGGAATACCTAGAAACAAAGGAAAAAGTCCTGATGCCTAAGCTTCTGAAAAGTCTTAAGCTGCTCCTTTCCTTTTGGCACTCAGTGCTGCTTGGATTGCCGCGCAGGAAACTATGTATCGAATCGGGCGTCAAACAAGATCACAGCCCTGACAGACAACGTGTACATATGTCGATCGGGCTCGGTGAGTTGATCACCCCAACCTCGCTGTCATTGTGATTTGTGCGTGCTCACATGCTCAAGCAAGGACCTGAGATGAGCGACCGAGCTTGCATAGCTAGATCATCCTGAGGGCCTTTGATTATGAACAATGCTCACTACGCTGAGACCCTCACAACTCTGGCAGTCAGGCGTCCTACTGAATTCCATGTCGCTTTGCAGTCCATCTTAGCTTGAAAAATCGCCTCCTTACTGGATAAACAGAGTGTTTCCGGTCAATTAGCAACTCTTGAGATGGTTACCAAGTACTGAAGCCTGTTAGCTGATTTCTCTCGTCTTCGTCTGCAGGCTGCAGACACACAAACGATCTCGGACTACGTCAGATACTTCTTGAATCAGCACGTGTGAGTTACAGCTCAATGCCTTATCTCCTGTTTGCTGGCCTCAATCCTGCAACACTCCTGGGAAGGCAAGCGAACGAAGTCTGTCCTTATACTGCCACTTGTGAGGCAGAAAGTAGAGTTTACCCCTTCCGAGCATCTCCTATCTGTGCACTCAAGAACACTTTTTGTCTGCTTTGACATCGTGGTCAAGCACCGCACTGACAAGCACCCCTGCAACAGAGTTGAAAAGGGCGCTCCCGCGGACGTCAAGACCGCGGCCAATCTGGTGAAGCAGATGGCGTACCAGAACAAGAACAACCTGCAGGCGGGCATGATTGTGGCCGGGTGGGACAAGCACCTGGGGGGGCAGGTGTATGGCATCCCCCTTGGGGGCACGCTCCTCAGGCTGCCCTTCACCATCGGAGGCGAGTGTTCAGTTCGATTTAGCAGTCTTTTCACTCTTGCATGGTTCGGTGTTTTGCAGTTGTTGGGGGGTTGGTTTGTGGGTCAACTGGAAAAGCTAGCAGCGGCATTGAAGATGCGGACTTCCCAAGTCAGGCAGTGGTTTAGAAAGCGTGTGGCGGCCCTTACTGAAAGCTCTTTGCACTAGCTGGCCCGGCCTCTGCGCTTTGCAGATGCGAGCGCGTTGTTCAGAAAGTTGCGTGAACAAGTGCACGGAGTGTCCACGTCAGCACACCTGGGCCATCCTACTACCTACGCTCTATTCTGTGTCATCCACGCACTCAACTTTTCAGCGATTGAAACGACGCTCCTCACCCTGTAGCAGTCGTTGGGAGGGGCTGCGTGTGGCTTTGGGGAGGTGATTTACGGTAGCATCAGGTGGCATGTGCCTGGGGGAGACAAAAGCGAAGTTCTTCTGGAGGAAATAGCGACTGAGGAGAAAGGAGACCAGAGAACAGAGACTGATTGGTGATCTGACATGGTTTGCTTTTGCCCTGCAGGTTCCGGGTCCTCGTACATTTACGGCTTCTGTGACCAGGCTTACAAGGAGAAGATGACGCAACAAGAGTGCGAGGTAAGTTGAGACTCGCTCGACTGAGTCGCAGATTTTGGTGCAAATCTTGGCGTTTAAATCAATCACTGCAACAACGCTATTTTCTTAAGTAGTAGAGTTCATGTCTATCAGCTTCGAAAGGCCTTCTGCATTGTTGTGGAGACTCGATGTCCAATCAAATCGTCCTTTATCGCATCTGCGTTTCTCGAGATGATGGAAGGATCAATTATCTAAAGAGGCCGCTGAGCGAGTGCACAGGTATTAGTTGGGTGGCTAAACATATGTGTTTCGTCCGCTGCCACAGGACTTCGTCATCAAGGCCGTCTCCTTGGCCATGGCTCGGGACGGCTCCAGCGGGGGGGTCATCAGGACGGCCACGGTAGGTTTGCCAAACCAATGCTGTGTTCTTTGCCGATTGAAGCAAAGCTAAGCGGGTTGGCACTTGGATTGGAAGCGCCTCTTCTTGTCCTGTTGGTTATGTCAAATCAGTCGCATTTTCAACGATGTCCTACCGAGGTCGACTGCAACTTCAAAAGTCTGCCGAAACCAGCTTTTCCGACTGATTACCAATTCCAGAAGAAAGTGCTACCCCCTCTGAAGTTCCGAGTAAGGATGGTCGTCCTTGCGCTTCCGGAAAGTCCGGCTTCTTGAGACGAAAGTGGGCAGCTAGACAGACCCGCTCAATTGCCCGCAGATTACGGAGAAGGGCGTGGAGCGCAAGATGATTCCCGGAGACAAGCTGCCCCTGTGGTTCGAGGAGATTCCGGTAGAACCAGGGTTCAGGCCTTTTGCCAAGCCAGCCGAGGAGGCAACGACCGCAGCTTGAGTAGCTATTTAGCAGTTGCGACGGTCTCGCTTCCAACTCGTGCACTATTTGCAATAGCTGTGCCCAACCAGTCTTGAGCAAGCCATTGGCATCCGTATGTGCGTGATTGATTACGTTAATTACAATGAGAAAAGACGTATGATATGCAGATTAAGAAGCTGCCATTTGCAACCGTGAATGGAAACATCACCATCAAATTTGCGTGCTTACTCCGAATGTAGAAGCATGATGACAATGCGGAATGGCGGCCTGCATGCCAGGGCCGCAATGATGCAATTGAAGAGTTCCGAGGCGGCCTGGTGCGCAAATACCCCGGCACTTAGTATATCAGATATAACCAGTAAGGAGATGTATATGTCCCGTCTGCATGTAACGAAGATCCGGTGTTAATTAAGTTGCTATAGATATCGCACGACAAGCTACGTGCAGTTTCAAAAGCTGCGGACTGAATCAAGATTGTCATTCAGTACGTTGCCAGACGTGACCCGCGCCGCGCGCCACCTGTTGCGCCATGATGAATCAACGATCATGCAAACGTACATGAGTGGATCGCCCATGTGAACTTCCTGCATCCTGCCATGGAGGCAACTAACTTTCTTCCTACGCGTACATGCATGAGGGGTACATGGGTACAACTTACATCCACAGTTCTTTCGGTATTTATGTTACGACTATATAGTCCTAATCGAAATTTTTACCAGATTCGCTTCTAGCAGTGGTGAGGACTCTCCAACAACTCAATAAACCACACTGGCGCCACGTGCATTTCTGACCCTACGGCCGCGGACTTACTTCCTGATTGCCGTTGTTCGCGGCCAAAAGCTTACTTTTGAGTGCACGCAGTTATTCTTTGGTGACCTACCTTGCCGTCGAACTTCTTGCTGCCGCCTGCAACACTCCTGCCTTCGCTCAATTGCTAGGTCCGACAGCTGGCGGCCGCACGATTCTGTTCTATATTGCGAGTACGTGCAATTTTGTACGTAGGCTCATCATGACACGTTATAAAGCTACAGCCTTTATGAGAATCGTAAACAGTTTTGATATAGTCATGCAATCGTCCCTGTGCACAAAAGCGAAATCAGGGTGTCCTCCTCACACGACCTCAGTATTTGCAAGTCTTTTGCTCATCAGCCGCCGCTGTTGTCGTTCCCCGTCATCCGCCTGCGGAGACATTTCGCCACTTTCTAGGGGGACCGCCTCAGTGGTAGGATGATCCCCCTACGAGACCATAGCGGGGGCCTTCTTGACTTTGCCCTCCGGCATGCCGTGCCGGACCGCGTTGAGGTAGTTGGTCGGGCTGTGTGCCCCGATCGCCGGCAGAAAGAGCGCCGCGACTCGGGCAAGCACCTGGGGGACACTCTCCGAGGGGCGCCGGGCGGGCTGCGGGAAGAGGACGGCAGCGATCGACTGCCACACCGTGTTGTAGAACAGCTCGAACACGGCCGTGGCATGCGCGCGGAGCATGCGCAGGGGTGGCTGCTCGTCGAAGGTACCGTTCTGGAAAGGGGGGACACGGGGAAAGGTATCAGAGGGGTGGAACGGCAGACTTCAGCGTCCTTGATGAGATGGAAAGCGGATAGGGAACACAACGACCGCCGGTCACGATTTTCATTTGTGTAAAGGGGGACGGTTTGATTGCGTCCTCTGTGTGGAGGAGGACGAATTCAAGGTTCTGGATCGGTAAGGAGTGTCTCATTCATTCACACTCTCCGACAAACCGCTTTCACTGACATCGTGAGAAGATATCAGAAGCAAACTGCATCGTCAGCAAATTTTTGGCAACAAGTTCACGTGTACCGGCCTCCATGCAAGTGGATGCAGTCGAGTTATGTGCTCAAATTCCAAACAGCCCACATGCGAAGCAGGACGACACGTGGCGAGAGGGGGGGCGTCACCTTGACGTGGTAGAGTGAATTGGCCCAGTGGAAGGGCCCCACGTGTTTGAATTCAAACAGGTCCGAGTCGAACGGCACGCGCGGCACCAGGTCGGAGCCGTAGACCATGCGCACGTACCGGTGCTGTGGCACGTTCAGCCTGCACACAGACGAAGGCCAGCGTTAACCAAGCTCGGTTTGTGGTTGGTCAAGTGCCGTTCTACCAAGCGAGCGTGTTTCATGTCTGGTTCCATATCCAGCGAGGTTCTTTCGTCTTGTCGCGAGAAGGATCTTACACAAAGCGGCTTCGTCGTGTGCTCAAAAGAAAAACCTGATGGATGGTGCCCTTTCAATTTTGGGCTGGCTGAGCCATGAAGGGTTGGAAAGATACAACAAATCGACGAGGGGGACGAATGTCCGAATGCCAATCTCAAGGATCCATAAGCAGGAACTCAATTCAAGTGTGTGCTGGGGATTCGATCGATCGATACCGGACATCCAGCGATAACCTAAATCCTCTTGACACAGAAGGTCCAATTCGATGCAGCTCCACTTAGAGGACCTTCACAAGAATAGTCGAAGAGAAGGACATTTAACTTTCCGAACGCACAGACCAGCACTCACACAAAACACTGCTCATAAGTGATGCCCAACAATGAACGCCCACCTGTTGTGCAGGAACCAGGCAAACGTCCAGTCACCGATCCGCGGCTGGCCGAACGTCTGCAGCGCGCTGATGCGCTGCGTGATGACGTCACTCTCCGCGGCGACCAGCCCCGTGAAGAGCGCCGCGAGCGCGCCGCCGAGGCTGTGCCCGGTGATAAAAATGTGCGCGTGCGGATCCGCTCTGATGTGCTTCAGCAGCTCCGCGCGGATCTGCCAGTACAGCGGTGCGTCGTTCTTCACCTCGCGCGGTTCCTTTTCGGCGCCGGGTTTCTCGCCGGCTTTCTCCGCGCGGCTCGCGCACTTGTTCGACTTCTCGGCGAGGACGTAGTTGTCCTTGAACCGCCACTTCTTCTGCGCGCGCTGGTCGTCGAGGTCCTTGAAGAACTTCTCGCGCGCGGGGGTGGTGCCGGTCAGCGTGGACCGCTCGGCGACCGCCTGGAAGCGGGTCATGCACGTGGAGATGTACCTGAGTGACACGTGGCGGCATTGGGTCTAAATACGGGGTCCTTGTGATGGAGAAGGAAGCAAATCCTGAACTTGATTGGCAGAAATACGGAGATTGAAGAACGGGAAAGCTTTCATTGAGTGAGCGTGAAAAGACTCGACTTTTCAAGGACACCAGCCGTACAAACTACGGGTCTTCGCTCTTGAGCAACCCATCCACAGGATCCTTGAAGCGGCTAGTGGAACTTGAACGTACCTTGCTACCATGACGCACAGCTTCACACATTGCGCTTCACAAAACGGACACAACATCCGTTCTCACACACCGCTCTTGGGAAAGAGAGAGCTCACGCATGTCGAGTAAAGTGGGCCCTGATAATCTGGATGTTCGTAGCACGAAAACCATTCCCAAAAGCGAAGCAAGTGCTAGCGGCTCACTCGGAGAAGTCGTCCAGCTTTGCATCCTCGTGACGCGACGCCTCCTCCACCTCCCGCGCGTCGTCCGTCGCGACGGGGGCGCCTGTAGGGGGTGCGCGCTTGGGGTGCTTGCGGTCGATGGGGAAGCCCAGGCCGAGGCCTTGCAGGAACCCGGTGTGCACCCTGAAGAGCACAGCAAAAGAATCAATCTCAAAGCAGACCTGTATAGAAAAGATGGTGTTGAAGCGAAGCCGGGTCAGTAAATTGAGTGCTCTTCTCGCTTGGCACTCTCCGTCTATGTAACGGTTTACGGCTGGTAGACGGGCCTCGTATCAGGACCGTACTGAGGACAGAAGGCCGCACTAAGGAGATACAATGAAAACAAGTCCGCTTCTACCTGCAATTTGCGCGAGTAGACGCCGCTTACGGAACAGACCGCTCTGTGACGGCGCTGCTGAATCTTTGTTATCTTCGAGACCGCCTCTCACGGTTCATCTCGCTGTCAAGTCTGGTTAGCAAACCCTCGGTACTGTGCCCAGGAGGAAGCCGGAAGCCTCAACACTCCTTTTAACCAAAGCGCACTAAAATCCCTCAACAAGAGAATGCCAACTCACCTGCCGAGTGCAGGGATCTCCCACCAAGGGAAGTAAAAGTCGGTGGCCCAATCGACGGCGCTAAACGGCTCAGTGCCACGGAACGCCAGCACGATTGTGTTGCCCTTTCTGATTAGCATCGCTTGGGTCTCTGCACAATGACAGTCCATGAAACCCGGTAAGGGTGCCAGCGATGCAGCTACGGAGCATGCAAAAGGTGTCCTGAGACGGCGAGGGACCGATTGCAGCTTTCTCTAAAACACAGAAGTTTCTCATAGCATTCCCAGGATTACTTCCAGCCTGCCAACTGCAATGAGTCCGCATCTCGATCTGGCAAATTCTATCAAAACGGATCTGTCTTGATGTAAGGGCAGGTTTCCTGTTGGCGTAGTAGTTTTGGAACGAGTTCTCATAGAAGGGAGCTCACCCACTGTGTCGCCCTTCGATCCCTCCCTTCTCCTTGCGTAGGAGAACCACTTCAAGAACTCGAACTTCTCTTTTGGCGGTTCGATGTACTGCAAATGGAAGTGGGAGAAAATTGCAGGGGCTCAATCAAGAAAGGGATTGCTCGAAACTTTGACGTTGTTCTTGATCGTCCCTGGCAGCCTGCCGCGCTCAGCGCCTGCTGTGCAACGCATACGTGCGCAAGCCTTGACGACCCCAGTGCGTCACTGTGAGGTGAACTTCAACTAGACTGCTAGAAACATGTATTGAATCGGCAAACGAGCCACGATGACACAGTCCGCGCGTCTGGTTCTCGGCTGACCGACTGAAGAAGCTGACATCATCAAGAAACTTCAACACGTTCAACATCAGACCTCCCCACCTTGATCCCCCGCCCATCCTCGGTGACCTGCACCGGCGAGTTCCACACCCGGTCGATGACGTCACGCACGACGGCCTCGTCCTCGTACACGATCTTGGACGCCATGATGCACACGTCAGCGTTCGGGCGGGCGCTCGGGGTGGGGGACGGGAAGAGGCGCAACGTGTCCTCTTGCAGGGCCACGCGCTTGTCGAGGAGGCCGATGAGAGTGAGCGGAATCTTGGTGCCGTCTGTGGCCTGATAGCCGCCTGGGGAACGAAAGTGGTCTGGTGAGATGGCGGTCATGAAGGCTTGAGGAGAAGCGACTACTAGCAATGGGTGCCTTCTAGCCAAGTAAGCAAAAAGTGCTTCCCATCGTGGACAAGTCTGGCTTGGAACAATTTCTGGCGGGCTACCTGGGTGTTAAGGTGCAATTTGACCTAGGTTGACGTAGAGTCTCAGGTACAGATGCCAAGCTGAGCAGCGGTCATCAAAAGGGAGGAACGTATATAAATTTCATCTGCAAGGCTTGAGGTGAAAAAAGCAATGAAGCTCTGAAGCAGGTGATTGCGTCAGTTATGCGGAAGGCGTATGAGTGGCCAAATGCTGTAAAAGTTTGACGCTGGTAATCAGCCTCGAGTTCACTGAAGTCACTTTGAGAATCTGCTTTGAGCCTAGCTGCAAAAGAAACAAAGAGTGAAAGTAGGGCCTACCAAACATCTCGTTCCCCTTCCTCTCGATCAACCGGCCAAAGTCCTTGAGTGTTCGATCGTTGAGCGTGAGTACATTGACAATCGCGGCAGACAATCCTTCCTGCACGAAGGTGGACAAAACGATCGAATGATGATGGTGAGAATCCATAAGAGAAACCTTTTGAAAAGGTTTGGACTTGGTGGACCGTAAAGAAACTGATTTAGGAGCTAGTCGTGATACAAGAGCATCTACAAAGTTTCCGAATCAGACTTTGCTAAAGCTTTATTCAACAGGGATTGAGACCGTCAACGTGAGCTGCTCTGCCTATCAGCACGGAATGTAGCAAGACTGGAATAGTGCTTTCGTATGGTTCTTGACTTAAAAAATGATGCTGGAAAGCAAGTCAACGTCAAGGAGCCAGACCTTCTCTTATTAAGTTGTTCAAAGGATCATCCGCTTGTCATGTAGAATTCTTGAAACAGCTTGAAAGGCTACTCCTACAATAAAGGTGGGAATCTAGCCCAGATACTTCACCTCAAAGGAGATGAACTGAGCAACAAACTACCTCAACATGGACTTTCTTGACCTAGACCTACACAGGCAGACTCATCAAGCAGTGTCGTGCCCTGTACAATGGATCAAGGTTTGACCCCAAGCATTGACCCAGCTCTTAACTGGGCACCAACCCTAACTCGAACCTGGCCCCCTCTCACCTGCCAGCCAACAGTAACCAGGTAGCGCGTGATGCGCAAAAAGTCGCGGAACTGGAGTATGGGGAACAGCAGACGCTTCATCACAAAAATCACCACCGCTCGGAGCTGCTGATACACACTCCACACATCCTGCTTCAACTGCTCTGCCTCGTCGGCTGCCGCTTTGTACGATCTTCTGAATGAGTCGCGCAGCCTCTTCTCAACGGCGGCCAGATGGGGATGCCCCCTGTGGTGCTTCTTATGGACAGGGGAGCTTCCAACGTGGCCATTGCCTGATGGCTGCATTCTCAAGATGGGGTCCAGGGAAAACCTGGAGAGAAGGAGCTGATGTTTAGTGACTTCTATCTTCTATAACAATTTTCACATGATTATAAGGGTTTGTTACAATGCTCCATATTGACCAATGACTGCCGTGTTCTTACCCTTGCAAAAGGAGGAGGCCTGATTCTTGATTGGTACATGCAGCAATCTTCATCTCTTTATTTATGAGTAGAGTGGACCCGGCATTTCTGCTGCGAGTTTGTGTCTGATACTGCAGCGAGTTCCTTTTTTGCAAGAGCTACTTGTGGAAGGACATCTCCTTGGTAGATATAGATTTAAGGCCGTGGAAGATGAGAGGATTGAAGATGCCAGGAAAGTTTTTGAGGAGCTTTCAGGTTTTGCCTATTTTCAATCCAAAGCGGGGTGAGGCCAGCAGTGTGAGGGCTCGACACTTGAGCGTGCAATCTCGCGCGAAGACAGGTCAAGGCTTATCAATCCTACTCACACGAGAATGTTGGATGCTTCTACCCAGAACAAGGTCTGAGCTTTGTGAGCTTCAGGCCTGATCCAAGGTGCCGACTTGCGAGTTTGATGTAGAGTGGGCAAACCCATTTATGTAGTGAACAGGAAGTCAGATTTAGGAATTGGCCAATGTGTTAGCCCACTAGAGAGAAACCGTGCCTTCGGAAATAGGTGCAAGACGTGGTCAACATGATGTACGGGGCAAGGCAGACAGACATCACTCAGCTCGTCACAACCAATCAGAACCCTCTATTGCTTGAACCTAATTATATCAAGATACGGGGATTTTTGCACTTGAACATAGGCAATGCTGCAGACAAGCCAATAAAGTCCTGTGTTAGAAAAGGGTGATCATGATGTGCATTGAGCAGAACCATTCCAGTCTAGCAGCTTTGCAGCCACTGCTTGGACAACCCTGCTGTATTCAATGAAAATTTTCACATCAGTGCAGAAAGGCTTGGGCCAAGACTGGATTCCAGAAGGCTCCCTATCAGCGATGGAGCTGATGAACGGTTTGCTTTCAAATCAATGGAGGCCTTGGCATGTCGGAACAAGTCTTACTTGGAACCAACCAGTACTCCGCTCCTTTCAGCAGCTTATGTTGAAAGCGTCGCAGCTCTGTTCTGTGTGATAAGCGCAACGCTGCTAGTAGAGGGCTAGTAGATGGACATCATTGCAGCGCCACTGGCCTCATCAGGTGCTCAATGCAAGGAGGAAAATCTGCTGTCCACCTTTGTTGTAGACCTTGTTCAGAGTTTGATTAAGCTGGCGGGATGCACGTGCCTATATTGATATTCTTGTACCTACTACCTTTCTGAAAAGCGAATGTCTGCGCCGATCGAACCTTTCAATCGCACGCGGAACAGCTTTCAGCTCTCAAGCATGCGGATTCCGCTACATGGAATTCAGGCATGTTTTTGAGGACCAGCTCTGGGAAATTCAAGAGGAGAAGGAATCAACTTCTCGCTTTTGAGAGCTCATGACTCATGAGTCATGATCCATAATCCATCACTCCTCGTGGTGCAAAGGAAGACGAGATCGTCACCATAATAATACGGTAGCGACAGGATGAGCATTGAGGACTTGCATGGTATGAAGCAGCAAAAGCTAGATACATATGACAAGCATGCCAATCTTCATGCAAGCATATGAGGACTTGCATGGTCATTACTGCAATATGCCAATGGTCAACGGTACGGACTCGCAAATGGGCAGTCAAGACTCAAAAAGTCGTCGGGACTCTGAAGCCGAGCCGCTCGAACCCTGCGTCACGCGTGTGGGGCGCGGCCGCGTGGACCGGGAGGCCCGGCGCCGGCGATCGTCGACGTAGGCCACCGTCGTACGGTAGTGAGTGACTGTATGCAGGCTACTACAGTGCATGTGGACGGTCAACTGATCTATGATCGAAGAGAGACTACATATGAGTCTCACATTTTGCAGGTTCGATGAATGCCAGTGCAGCCACATCGTGCCTGGCAGATCAAGTCACTGGAAGACAGTGCATCATGTGTATTGGGGCTGAACATGTTGTAGCTCACAAACGTTAATGTGACTGCACATACCTCATGCAATTTTCGTGAGCATCTTGTTTCATAAGCAACAGTCAGATCGAAGATTTAGCGGCTTTCACATTCTGCAATTGCCTCATATCATTTGACATACCTCTGGTCAATCACTGAGATTGCCAGTGCCGACTACCAACAACGCATGCAACTCTTTGACCCATATGCTCGCTAGCTTTGACTATCTTAGTGCTGTCACTACTTCATCAGTACCACCTCCGTCCGTAACTGTTATTGACGTACTTGTCTGCACTTTCGTTCACACACCGGCCTGTTGCTCTACTTGAACCCGGCACATTGATACACCGGCCTGCTGCTCTAGATACTTATACGCCGGCACAATAAGATTAACGCTAGGAACTGAGATAATTTAGACGCAAAGACGCAAAAGGCTTGGCCACATAGACTCATCTCTTTACTGCCCGACCACGCTTTGGACAAGTGGATGCTACGCTGAATCCTGAAGACCCGTTACCGCACGACCGGTCAGCAGTGGGTCGGACGCCAGCTGGTGCAGGAACAGGTTGGTCATGCTCATGGAACCGCTCCAGGGCGCCACGTTGCCCACATAGCAGCACCGCTCGTACTTCCACGTGAGGGTTCCGCAGGGTTTCTGCACCACGAAGAAACGTTTCCGTTCACGAGAAAGGGTTTTCGTCTAGAGGTGTTGCGTGTACGAGGTGGCTGCGCTTCTCCGTAATATGGACGTCCGGTTTACAGGGTGTCAAAGTACGCTCTGAAGTGATACTCTGAAGAGAAACGGTACCTACCAATCGAACCCACAAACCGGTTTTGCTCATTTTACAGACACAGGCGGCTGTGACGTGACAAATAGTAAGTCCGCTAAGGAGACAGCCCAAAGAGGAAGTCCGCTCAAAGAAGAGTCACATCCGCAGTAGTTTCAAAGGAGACGTCCTAAGTGGTCGTAAGGCCGTCCTGATCCTGCCAGCTGGCCAGTGGACCTTTTGCTCAGCGACTTTTCACTAAAGGAATTTGTCTCGTGCCAGATTCTCGTTGGAGGCTAGTCCCCGAGGGCAGGCTACAATCCATTTACGAAACCCCCTGCAGCGATGAGGGCCCAGTTCTGAGTTGCGCCGAAGACCCACCTCGATGCACTTGTGGGAGAAGAAGTGGTAGCTATCGAGCGATCGATCCGGCCTCGCGTAGACCATGTCGAAGACGTCCTGCAAACCGGAAATCCACTTGGGTGTCAAATTTGAACAACTTTCCCCGTTGGCCTCACCATTATGAGACTCTGGGACTTCCAAGTCAAGTTCGCTGATATTGGATCAGCAAATCGGAACGGGCCTTATCTCTCAAGAAGCGCGACAGGGCTTCTGGAAGATCCTGAGCAATTTTAAAGGGCACCCTGTCTGGCCCACAAGCAGCACGCATCTGCTCACGCAGTGAATTGGAGCGGAATGCGAATCAAGTCTGATCAGATGTATCCCACGGCTTTGTCCAACCTTGCTTACCATCAGCAACGGATTCCGGTCCCAGCTGGCGGTGCCACCAAAGCTCTCCAGCAGCATGCGGTCGGTCTCCAGCTTCTGGGCGCACACCTGCCACGTGGCAAGCGAGGGCTGTTCAGTATGGCTGCAGCATAGTGTGCCGTGATCTTGAGTACCGAACACGAAGCTTTGCGAACCGGAATCACGTGGGTGTACAGTCTGCTGAAGTTTTCTTGTCGGCAGTCTCTCGATGTCCAACCGCTGCTCTTCGGACGCTAGTATGCCATCGGCTCTTTGACCACATGACAACAAAATGAAGTGTTGTCACAGATTCTCTCGCAAACCAGGAAAATCTCCTCAAAACACCCAAAGTCCGGGTCTCAGTCCTGACAGGTCAGAGTTGTAAGATCGTCCGATATCTAAACGTTGAATTGCGCGACAAAGCGTCGTAGAACAATGTTGCAGACGGTAAGCTAGATCTCAGCAAGCCAAAACATCCCACAGCGCAATCCCACGACACCAACTTCCAAGACATTCGCCAAAACACCCACCTCCCCGACGTCAAACACGTGCTTGTACCCCTCCGTGCACATGTTGTGGTCGTCAAACTTTCCGGTGATCGAACGGTACACGACTCTCCCCGGGAACGGCTCCACGCACCGCGCCTTGACCACGTCCTTAACCTCCCACTCGCCCCCCACGCTCGCATTGTAACCCTCTCCAGTTACGGGTAAACCAAGATTTCGCAACCCTGATTTCCAGTCGCAGTCGAAGGGGTCGATTCCTTCTTCCAAAGGGATGGGCATTGGGCTGTCGCGCTTGCATCGCAAATGGTCCAACAAGATCCGGATGAGTGACGTGGGCGCGCAAACCGGGCTGTACCGGTGCCACCACCACAGGCCGAAGTTGGCCAGGACTGCCCGGTAGGTCCGCTCGGGGTGGGCTTCCTGTCGAGACATAAGTTTCAAGCATGAATGGGCGTTACAGCAAAGTCGGCAAGTAGACCCGGCAGGTAAAGGTCGTGGTTACTCCATGTTGGAAAGCTTAGCTCTTCCATTTGTGTGGCAGCGTATTCGACGTCGTTAGTACAACGTTCTCGAAGGTTGGCAGCTCAAGAAGCATTCCGCTTCAGCTTCGAATTTTCCAGAATCCCGTACTGTTCGCTTAATTCGCTCGAGATGCCAATAGCTACCGTGCGTTTCCGTAGCAGGATCAAACAGAGAGACGGCGGAGAAAAGCAACCAGACATAACGGGCCGGTCTGCCACCGAGGCCACCCAAATTAGTGAAGATGCTCAGATGAAGGCCTTCAACTTCCCTGCATTCTACAAGTGCCACCCTCCCGCGAACTCGCCTTTCCAGTTCAGAATCCCTCGTTGTTGCGAAGGCTTTCAAGTCCATCCCAAGACGAGCAAGAATCTCTTTGTTCATCCCGCCTTAGTCGATTGCAGCGTGCGTCCTCCATAGTTGAATGAAATGATCCTGAATCGTCGAAAAGAGACCATTCAGATCCGAACAGTTTGGGCGCGCCGTTCAGCACCGGACCTTACCACGTGCTTCCAGACCTCGGCCTGGGCTGTCGCAAACGTCTCCGGTTCTCGCGCTTCGATGTACCGGATACGGACGTCCTCAAACTGCACACAGCAGGCCATGTGTCAACAGAAAGACTGGAAGATCACCGAGAAAGGGGCCGTGCTGAAGACACGATTCACTTCCTTGTGTAAAGAAGGAGGCCATATCTGGATGAATCCCAAAGACCTCGATTTTGCGAATTGTACTCTGGCATCATCCAGAATAGCCAGGATAGAATCCAGCAAATCGTAAGATTCTGCCGAAGACCAGTGCTAACTCATGTTAAGAGAAGGGCAGCCATTCTTGCTAAGGCGAGGCAACTAACAGAGTCTCTATGCAGATACATCATACGATAGGACGGCTACAGAAAAGTGGCCTTGCAATTTTGGTCGGCCTTTGATTCGTCCAAACCGAGACCGTGAGAGCGCCTTGCTTTCGGTTAGCGGAACTAACCTGGAACGGGTTTGGAGAAACCACCGCGAAGTTCTTGCTGACCGGCTGCAGGTCGTTGTAGCCGCACGTGCGGTAGTCCCAGCTGCTGCTGCCGTCTGTGTGCATCTCGTACGGTCCGGAGAAGAATTCGGGGCCGTTCTTGAAGTGCAGCCAGTTCTGGAGGTCGCAGAACGTGCCTCGGACCTGGAAGAGGGGGACTTGCCATGAGAAGACGTCGGAACGGAAACAGATGCTGACACTCACAGGCCTACTGTGAGCCAACCTCACTGTTCACATTGCAGCGGATTGACCTCTGAATGAGGCTTTTGGCGTCAAGCAGCCCGAAAACAGGCTGCACACAATTATAATCGGCATTCGTTCTTTGTGGTAGCGGTACGACTGCCCTTTTCGTGCATAAGAGCTTGTCATCAGAGGGTCTTTCGCCGGCTCACCGTGGAATCCCCCATGAGAATCAGGTCCGCTCCCGCAAAGCGCCGTCCAAACTCCTCCCTTGAGAAGAACGGTAGCGTGCATTGCCGGGGCACCCACACGTGTTCGTCATCATGCCACTCCTCCACCGCCCCAACCGCTTCCAATCCGCACTGATCCGCCAGAACCCCCTTTGAAATCCACTGCCCTCCTAGTGTGCCAACATCAGGACCAGTACACGGTTGACAACCTCGCGGGGCAACTTTCGGGTTTGGGAGAACAGTGAGGGTTATGGGGCTTTCCGCAATGAGTTCGTGGTGATGCCAGGGGACGAATTTGGAGTTTGGGGGGAGAGCGCGGACCGTCCCGTTGGCATGGGAGGTCTTGCAGGAGATCCACAGCTGGTACTCGCCAGGCTGCAAAACAAGGCTGGATGTGAGCAACAAGGGGCGGCGTGCGACAGACGTTCGAACCTGGGAGTATGTGCAATCTGGGGGCAGTGACCAGCCAAGGAGGAGAGATGTTTTATTCACTCTTGTGGAGGAACGCCACACATGCAGTTCAGAGAAGGAGACACTGTTGAACACAAGCTTTCCATTGCTCGCCTTGCATCCTGCACTGAGGCATTGCAATCTCGTCGAAAAGCTGCAACTAATGTAAGCTTAACATTCCAGGAAGCATCCTGATAAATTAACTCTTCTTTATCTGGACGCACGTGTGTCTTTGAATAGGACCAACAGCTTCACTAAAAGCAACCCATCATTTTCTGTCCTGTCAAGATGGTTCTGTTCAGCAGATTCCTGAGGACATAGAAACTTCCTGCAATCAGCCCCTTTAGAGAAAGCTCTCCGCGGCAAACAATTGCCTTACCTCATGGGCTGTGTAGCTTCCCCTCAAGATGTGCAGGCCCTCAAACTTCATTTTCACGACAAAGATAGCAGGGCCGGTCATCCGAGCATAGCAGTTGTCCTTCCAGCTGCAAGCACGACACAGCCAGTAGGCGGATGATCAGGTTGGCAGTTGACTTGCTTATTCTGCTCAACGACTCAGTCTTGTCTTGAGATAAACCTACAAGCCAGTACGCGGCTTGTATTGTAAGCAACTTGCCATGTCAAGTGGCAGCATTTCATGTTTGTTTTGGGGGAAAAGCACGAAACAGGGCAATTGAACAAAAAGGCTATTTTGACAGACAGGCACAGAAACATCCTTCCTGTACTCAACTTATGATGTAGTCAGAGAAATCAGTGACGTAACGGATGGACAACGACAGCAAAGCGAAAGAGGACACATTAGTGGACTCAACAAATAGCGGTGGACAGAGGCCTCTGCCTTTTGCCCCTCGGACAGGGACAAGCTCTCCTAAGTAGAATAGGTACATCAATTGTTCAGAGGAACCTTTCTTCCGGTTGCCCAATGCTGCCCCGCCTTCTTGTCAGTTGTGTGCCAAAGAGCTTTTCTCACATACTGCAGTGCATGCATAATAAAAAACAGAGATACTCAAACATATGTTTCTTAAATGCTGCCCCGCACTCACTTGAACACGTTGATGAAGAAGTAGGTTGGCTCCATCACTTTAGCCCCCCTGGCCCCAGGACCATACACGCACGTGGCTTTCCCCAGTTCGTGCCCTTTGCGGCCACACTGCTCCCACTGGTAGGGAACAGCTTGGTCAACCCATGGCAGTTGAACTGCTTGCTCCTCAATGACAGTGTCCTCAGAGTACCCTGCAGAACCTTCCCCTTGCAACGCCTCCATGCTCCTCTCTTCCAAAGGTCCATCAGGGACTGTCACTTCCAAGTCTGCAACCCCCCTGTCTTGCGCAGCATTGTCCCTGGTAGGACTTCTAGCTTCTGTCAGACTCGTATTCTGCACTTGGAACTCACGAGTTTCACCTTCTGCTAGTGCCACGCTCATTAGGTCCTCAAGCTGTCCCGTCCTCTCTGCTCTAATCTCCTCATTGTCGATGTTCAGGAGGGTTGTAAAGCTGACGCCTTGGATCAGGAACTGACCAGAGGCGGCCTTCTCCAACATGTTCTCATCCGACTGAAGGCAAGCAATCAGCAGCAGCGCCAGCAGCAGCATTGTGCATCCTGCAACCGTGGGCCTCACAATGCAGTGAAAGCTCGCCCGTAAGCTCCCCAGATCCATCATCTCAGCCCCGTCCTCGGATAATCTATATCAGCAGCCCTGATTCACAGAACTGGCACTGGGGTCAGTGAGCATTTGTTGCTGAGGATTGCAGGCTCAGATCTAGCAGACTAGCTGGCCAGTGCCCCATAATGCCACCTTTGGACCCACCTTTGATCCAACTCTCAGAATTGGATGCTTGAAGCGTTCCTTCACCTTTAAATTCAAAGCTCACATGAGAGACCGCCCTGGTGGCCACCCTGCCAGCTTGCCCAAAGAAAAGGCAAACCTGCAATGCAATGGCAACATTACTACCGGTGTGCTTGAAGTTGGAAGAGACACTCCATATATGGTGGCATAAAATACAAGATCGAGCTAGGGAGCTGAGCTGGACCAAGAGTCGAACTAGAGCGGGCCGCACTGAATAAGCTCCAAATTCTTCAAAGCGGGCAATGGACGTTAATCTGACAGTGACCGTTCAACCATTTGCACGTGCAGCTTTCACGGTTCGATGAGGGTGCCGAAAAACCCGGACACGTCCAGTATACGATCCATACGCAACGTGAGCCATCGATACAGCGCGAAATTGATCGACGGCAAACATCTGGTATCAAGGCAACGGTCTACAATGAGCCACCTGGCAGGCGCCTCGCCCGAGAGTGGCTGCTGCGGGATCCCCCAGGACTCACGTGCTCCACTTCTATACGTACTCCACTTCTCCACTTCTACTGCAGGCTGTCCGATCTTGACCGATTCATTCATTGTCAAAACCTATATATACCGTAAAAGCAGATGGTCAGACGTACATGGTCCGGTCTCTTCCGATAGCTTATAATTAAACTTGAAAGTCCATTACATTAGTACGCGTACGGATCATCAGCGGCAACAGCTAGTAATGTGGACTCAACCATGGCGTCTTTTGCAGAGCTAGCAAAAACTATAGACTACCGATCTGATCGATCATAAATGCATAAATCAATTGCAATTTTGGCCTCCAAGCGATACTGACATGTACAGCCCTTCAAGTCACGAATATATTTCCGGCTCCAGGTCAAGCAAATCCTTGAACCATGTCCACTTACGTGAGTCAAGCATCTCTCAATCTCAAAAATGGACGGCCAAAAGATCAGGCCATATCGAATCCAGATTTTAGATGTTTGAAGTGAAGCCAACGGTACCTTTACTTGAGTAAAGATGACAATCACAGACATTTTTGTAATACAAAATTGGTTCGTAAGCTGAGTCCAAATGCATGCACCGCGGCGCGCGTGCATACAACAGGGCTGGCGCGGTCTCAAGAATAGCAATGCCCGTTTGGGGGCCGTTTTGACATCAAGTGCCTCAATAAGCGTCATTTATAATATCCACTATCAATCCAAGTCGAAGTGGCACGTCTGAACGTACCGATCATAGAATCTGAATTCCGAAGGATTCCCAAATTGCACCTCACTTTTACGGACGTCTTTTTGAACCTACTGATTACAAGGTTTTGCACGAAGCGTTAGTTCACATGCAAACTCGTCATGTCTCTACTGAGTGCCGTCCGACCGAAGACCCTTTACAGAATCTCCACATTGATACCTGCATTACATGAAGGTGTCAAAGACGAACTGAAGAACTGTGCTGATTCAAGAAGCTTGCTCATCGCTACTTCATGTGCTTGTGTGCTGTTCTGAGATGACACGCATGTTTGAGCAACTTGTCAGCTTTGTTTCACATACATTCGAAGATATACTCGGGGTTACAGAGGAGGTTCGTCCGCTCACCAGGTTTGTTGACCGCCACCGTTCGATAGCAGATCAGACACCATCTGGTCGATCTTTGATCCAACCAGCACTACCTTCACTACTTGCGCCTGGGAAGAGGAAGCAGATGCAATCTAGAGTCACAAACGGCTTGCTACACCCTTTTTCAGGATTGTAAAGCATAATCAAGAGTCATTCCCCTAAAAAGCTTGCAATGGATGCAGCACAATAACAAGCACACCAGCGTCTCACCTTTTTGTGATCTAATGGGACATTCCGCTTAGGAAGAAGGCCTCTAGGGGCTTCTGCTACACAAGCTCCCAGCAGAAGCACGTGCATCTTCTTTGTGCCTGCCAAAAATGGATCTACGAATTCACTCAGTATGTAATGCCTTGAAACATTCATCCATTTTCAACTCATCGAGATGCTTCATTAGATCAAACGTTGCCGTTGCGTCCCGGAGCAAGCATAGGTCACATAAAATGGGTGAGCAAGCAAAGATCTCAAGGCATGTCGAGCTTCTTTTACGTGCAGAATCCAGTGGAATGAAAGCACTTGAGTGCACCTCCGCACAGGGTTTTGAACCAGCTCCAGATCAGGATCTACATCTGTCCATTACTGCACGTGTCAAACCAGCGAAATTGCACGTTCAGTTTCAGACGTACACAACAACGAATGCGCCAAAGTACAGGAAAGGGAAGTGCACGTACCTTGGATATTGCCTCCAAAATTCATCCGGCTTGCATTCATCACCAAGGCCCTCACTACCTGCACGTACCACTCTGGCCACTGATCATACCACCCCAGCACAGAGAGTGGTGCTAAATCGAAATAAGTTCCTTAGAAGCCGTTGCTGTGCGTGAATTACCCTTTGCCCAGCCAGTTCGCAAACTCGTAGTTGGTTGCAAGGCATGTTTGTGTCTGCTCACCTTCTTGGCGATGATTTCAATCGGTTTCTGGACGGCGTCAAAATTCTCGTCCTCCCTTAATAGGCTTACACTGAATTGCTCACGTTGACTGTCTGCAGGCTCAGGCTGTTCGCATATGCTGCTACTGTTGACCTGGATGGTCCCAGACTGTGAAGTGGATTCAATAGCATCTGGTTGCCTAAGCTGGTTCAGTACCCTAAAGTCGAACTGGTAGATGATGCTAGGGCGCAACAAGGACGGGCCAATGAGAAGAACGGCTGCTTTGGAATCTAACGCTGCAATGCTGGTGGCTGTGATTGCATCAAACATTTTTTCAACACCCGCAACGAACTGTAAAACCAGAGGACGGGGCCCTCGTCAAATCATCATGGACACAGTATCTTAGTCTGAGTAGGCAGTTGCATTAGTGATCAGATTCCAGGACATTGCTGCAGCAACCTGTGCAACTTGGTTAAATCATAGCAGAGCCTTTGCTACTGCCTGCCACCAAGCGCAGCACTTCAACACTTGGTGGGAAGCAGCATCAGCGTTCGTATCCACTGTTACTTTCACTACCTTACACCTTGCAACCAGATGTGATGAGGTCCAAGTGCCAACCTTGTAGGTTCTTCGATCTGAGATCTTTCTGCGGGTGGTTCCGAGGTTCTGAGTAGATCCTGACTGCTGACATGTCGCTTTCAGTGTGTCGTAAATACTGTGGAAGGAGAAGAAAGTGATCAAATGCATGAATTGTTTCCCCTCTTGCAGATAGGGTGCGGTGAAATTATGGCCAATGGTTGTTGGATCATGAACGCGAGTATACCCATTAAAAGAGTGAGTCCCTGAATAACATCGTCGAATGTACTTGAGTAGACATTCCCACTTGGAGGGCAAAAGTGGGGGCTTAACTTGCACGTGGCAATCAAAACGAAGCAGATTGATAGACAGGGGCTGACTTTTAGCTTACCTTGGCGTCAACCCTTGGTCATACAAGCAGAACTTTACAAGCTCCTGAATGAGATGTGCAGCTGCCTCATGTTCGTAGCCAGAGATTCTGCTCTGCTGCGCCTCTGAAAGCTGCACCTCAACTTCCATACAGGCAAACTAGCTGAAAGTAACCAGGGGATGAATTTCAAAGCAGCAACAATTCTGCAATCATGTTGCAGAGCTAGAGACTGCGGATTCTCAGACTTGTAGATCAGGAAATGCAGAATTGCCAGCCATCTGCATCTAGCTTCACTGCAGGTCAAAAGGTGGTGACTTGGCCACGACTCTGGCAGCCTCAAGCGTGTCTTCGTCGTTGCGAGTGCAGATGGAAGCACTGTCACATGCCGTTCTGCTTTTCAAGAACGGCATCTTCACAAGAAATGCTTGTCCAGAGCTCTTATGCTGCATCTTCCACATCCAGCACATCTATATTTTAACAAAATTGGGAAGCGGCTGTCCCCTCCCTACTCCCTACTCCCTACTGACAGGCAGCCTAAAGTGCCTACTCGCAGCATTAGGAGAGAACAGCCGCCACTGCTGGCACCACTGCCACCAGCATAATTTGCAAGCTGCAGCACCACCGCTGCGTGCAGTTGGTGGAGTCTGGTCTAGCATTGGTACTAGTAGTAGTACTACTAGCAAAGTTACCTACCGGTCCAAGGTAATGATTCCGAATAAATAAATAATTATTTGCATTCGGAAAACCGAAGATTCGGATTTTACATTCGGAAAGTGGAAATCCGGAAAGATTAGTTATTTCTGAAATGGTCTTCGGAAGCCCGAAAACGGCCAAACTCGGCCTGAAAATCCCCTTTCCTAGTGAGAGCATAGGGCATTCGGATTCTTGTCGGAATCAGCATAAATAAATCCACTTTTCTGGTCGGATTGTCGGAAAATAATTCCAATTAAAATCGTTCGGAATCATCACTTTGGATTATGGTAGTCTGCTGCCAGAGCGGGGACAAGGAGAATAAGTCTTCGCAGGATCGGAGCCGGGGACACTGTTGGGAAGGTGGTCACTGACGTCAGGCTGGGCTTTAGCCTTTGAAGTTGGATCTAACCGTCGATGATCTCGAGGAACTCAATCTGACGGTGGGAAGGACACTCTGAGTGGGACCTGCACAGGTTGTGCCCCGGATTAGTCCCGAGGAAGAGCCGTCGATCCTGTGTCCAGGGAAGCATCAAGGGCTGAGAGCACCGCCCTGGGACCACACTCCGACAGGGTGACACCGTCCAATGGCAACAGCGCCCCCGGTTCCGATCTTGCGAAGACTTATTCTCCTTGTCCACGCTCTGCCAGTGCTGGGTCTGTGCAGCTGGTTGAGTCTGATCTGTGCGCGCTGAAAACGCGCAGCTTCAGCCAGCTAGCTCCAGATATAGATAGGTAGCTTCAGAAGTCCAGACGGACCCCCGGGGCAGGGCCAGACCTCCTTGGAGAAGTCGGGTTTTTCTTGCCGAGGAAATGACCGGCTGTTAAAGACTTCAGCCTTTCAGGCTTCCTGTGTTGCTTGTCACCCTTTGTGGAATTTAGAGGCAGAGAAACGTCAGGCGAGCTGCTGCCGGTTCGCTTCGAAGAAGAGAAGCCCCCGGGCACGGCTCTTTGCCCCGGGCTTCGTGCTGAGTGGATAAAATGTGCTGGCAACGTGGCGCCTTGCGTTGCGAAGTCGATGAAATGAAGGGCTCACAAACCAGCATTTGAGCTGAGCAGCAATGCAACGCAGCTCAGCTTGACTTGCAACTTCTGCCAGCAGAATGTGGCAGAATGGTCGTCTCAGGTCGTCTTTCGTTTATAGCTGCAGCTGTGATTCTGCCCTCAGAGGCGAAAAGGCTGGTCGTGGTTGTGGTTTGATGGGCCAAGCAACCAACTGTGCATTGAGTTGGTAATGGTGCTCACCACCGGTTGGGTTGAAGAGATTGTGCACGAGTTTTGTATCCAATTTGATTTTTAGTGAGGGTGCTTGAGTTCTCTGATCATCATAAGCAAGTCCTTGTTACTCGTCTTTGTTGCATTGCGTTGATCAGCGGGTAGGATGGCGGGCGCCTCAAGCTGTGCGGTGGTAATGCAGACAAGATGTGTGGAGCTTGCATTTGCTGCTCCAAATAGATTCCGACAATCTCCATCAGCTTCCCACCATGCAATGAAAACTGGCAGCAGCCACCTGTCAAGTCTTGGGAGTACCTTTGTGGGTAGTGCAATACATGCAGGCCAATCACCACAAAGCATGAGTAAGGAGACCACACGAATGTGGATCAGAATGTTAGCAGGACGACATTGCCTCTACTCTACGCTTGTTGCGAGGGCTTCCATGAAGGGACCTCATCTAAGGTCTCTTTTTAGTATTTTTAGGGGAAAAGCATCCAACAGTGTGCAGGTGCACACCTCTAGACATGTCAAAATACACTCTTGTAAATTCCTCACACAGTCATCTTCCATCCTGAAACGTATCGTCTGTTGACAGACTCTCTTGACCTGGCTCCCAATCCATGCCTGTAAGCCAGAGACTCCTACTGTCTCACCCTTTCCTGTTTTGGTGCTGACAGACTGCCGTCCCAAAAGGCTAGGTGGGGCCAGGGCTGCCATTGAGGAGGAGAATGCAGGCCGGTACTCGAGAGAGGAGATAGAAAGGCAGCACAAGTTGCTGGCTGAAAAGATCGCATCCGGCTCTTACTCCGTGAAAAGAAGACCGTGAGCCGCCCAGTGCTGCGCGAACTCCTTGTTCCCTATTATCCACTGGCAGCAATTGGCACCTGCAACATCCAAGCTCTACATCGTTTTCAGCATTAGTACCTTTTGAGAGGACTGTTCAGAGCGGCCTGTCAATAATCTGAGTGGAACAATGGTACTTGATTTATCAAACATTTACTTGTCATAAAGCTCCCAGTGATCAACACTATACTGTGGGACATCAAGGCAAGTGTCTGGTTGAACTCATACAATTTAGAATGTCTGAACAGTCTGGTCCCCGACCTGACAATCTCTGCATTTCCTAGCACCATCGCTCCTTTCTCCTTTCTCCTTTGACCAAACACTTTGCTTCTCTTGCCTTGTTGCAAAAATCACAGCCTGCATTGATTGATCCATCTCGCACCACAAGGCTCTCTTCCTGCTGTCCTCTTCACACTTAGCGGCCTCATGTTTCTTTTCAGCCCTCCTTAGCTGTCCTTTTGTTCTGCCTTGATGCCACTCCAGCAATTCTTTGAATCACTCACATTGATAAACATCAATCATGTTAACCCATGGTTCAACTCACTAACCCTGTTCCTGGGGTCCGCCACAGCCCCGGCGGCCTTCTCCGATTGCGGCGTGTGCTGGCGCGGGCTGGGCCCCCAGGCCGCGGCGCTGCAAAGCTGCTGGCAGACATCGAGCGCGGGTGGCGCCTCCTGGTTTCCGCCAATATGCCGGAGGCCCGGGGAGACATCCGAGAGATTGTTGGCCAGCCAGTGTTCGTGCCGCTCTACCGGCTGTTTCTGGTGTATGGGGGAGTCTTCCGCCTTTCCTTTGGCCCAAAGGTGAGGGTCGATTCGGGTCACAGCTTAATTTGTTTGACCAAAATCTTAAAAGTTCGGATACTGCAAAGGCTTCCTGTACTCCTTTCTCAAGTTGTCGTGTTTCTTGAACAGCAGATAACCTACTTCATTGAATTTCCTTTTAAGATGCTGCAGCAATGGTCTCTGTTCTGGTGATACTGACCGTTGCTCTGCTTTTCATGTGCAGTCTTTTGTGATCATTTCCGACCCACTCGTGGCGAAACAGGTTCTGTTCAAGAACGCAAAGAATTACTCCAAGGTGAGCAGAACCCTCAGACAAAGGATTTTTGTGATGGATGGCCGCTGCTATTTTCTCAATCTTATGTGATGCCGACAACGTCAAAAAGAATTGCATGGGTCTCGACAAAAGATCTCTGAAAGTTTGAACATTTCAGCAGAGTCCATACCGAAAACAGACGAAGTGAGCAGGATTTGATTAAGAGACCATCCGATTGGTGGTTGTTTTCACTCAGGCAATTCCTGTATCAAAATTGCTTGTCTTGTCCAAAAGAGCGTCAAACAGGCACTGTGACAAAAGTTGTGGCGGGGAGATTAGATCGGGACAGACCCGTTTACTAAGTTGTTTTCTGCTTACTTGTTTGTGCAGCTTGTTCAGGATTTAAACAACCAGCAGGTTGCAATCACCTAACTTGTCTTGTGGCTCGTCACCTCTAATCTGCCTTTGAAAACGATGAAAGCGTCCGTGTATGCTTTGCAGGGGATCCTGTCAGAGATTTTGGAGTTTGTCATGGGCACCGGACTGATCCCTGCTGATGGGGAGGTCTGGAAAGTGCGTCGGCGGGCAGTGGTGCCTGCGCTGCACAAAAAGGTGAGCCCCTTGGCAGCGTCACCTGAGACTTGGCAGCAAAGTCCCTATTCCGACCAGAGAATCAATGCAGAATGACGAGGGACGTGAACATCGGTCATTCCAACGCTCGACTGTGTGAACAATGTGCTCCAGTGTCTTTCCTCGGAGTATGACACAACCTGCCAATCGTATTCCGACAATGGCCATTGCACTCCAAGTTTCTTACTTCGAAAGCACCTTAGCTTCGCAAATTAGAGTTTCTTCAACCCCCAGCTGTTGGTTGTGCTTCAGATAGCGCTTGACAGCAATTCATTTCTTTGTCCAGTACGTGGCGGCCATGGTATCGCTGTTTGCTCGATGTGCGGACCGGCTAGGCGATAAACTAGAGGCGGCTCATAAGAAGGGCGAGTCGGTCGAGATGGAGTCCCTGTTTTCGAGAATGGCCCTCGACGTGATCGGCAAGGCCGTGTTCAACTACGAGTTCGACTCCCTGTCACACGATACTGGCATCGTTGAGGTGAGGGACTTGCAAACAGTCGACTTTAAATCTGGGCGCTTTCCGGTTAAGGGATGAGCCACAATGAGGCCGAACCTGGCAGAGGAGCAAAGCGAACAGCATAGGGGGAGATGTGGTTTGTTGGACTGTAGCTTGTTGTCTTTAAAGCGATCGTACAAAATCAGGTGCGAGGGGAACTGCAACGTTCTGAAAGGTCATTGGCAAAGCTGTTGACCCCTTTTAATAGCAAGGTACAAGCGCTATGATAATCTTTATTTTAGCAAGATTCTTGATCCGAGCTGAGGGATAACAATCAGAGTGCGATCAAGTTGACAAGCCTTATTCACATCCCGGCTTCTATATGACCAGAGACGCTCCCGCTTCCGTTGAACTCGAGCGAACCCGGCTGTCGAACGTACGGTCTCGCGTCTTCGCAATCGAGACTAGATGGAACTACAAGCCAGGACTCTTCTTGGGTCCAGCACTGTTTGTGCACCACTGTCAAGAAAGCAAGAAGGCGCTTTCCTTCACGTACGAAGTCGGTTTCGAAGCAGGTTCCCTGATGCAAAGTTCCAAAGATTCTATCGACGTCGCCCATACTCCCTTCGACTTTGTCTCGGCGTGCCGTCTCCGCAATCAACGCCTCAAATCCTGAAAACCGAGCCACATATTGAAGAGTTCAGGCTTTGAGGTCCGTTTCTACGGCCAGTTAGCGTTGCTTAAAAAGACGCACTAAATCAAGCGCACTCCTTGTCCGCAGGCTGTATACGTAACCCTGAAAGAGGCCGAGTACCGCAGCGTTGCGCTCTTCCCCTACTGGAAGGTCGCTGTCTTCAACTGGATCGTGCCACGGCAGCGCCGGGTAGCTGCCGCCCTCAAGCTCATCAACGCCACCCTTAACGACCTCATTGCGCAGTGCAAGGTGAGTCTGCGCCGGGCTGAAAACAAACTTTCTTCGTCCAGTCAAAGCTGCACGTCAACACCGGAATCTTAAAGAACGGGGCCGATTGATGGAATTGTCGTGGAAGGCAAACCTTCTGCACCTCGTTTCAGTCGTGAAGGCTCCTTCGTGAGACCGTAAGAAAAGACAGGACATCCAAGTTGGTATGCTCTGGATGCTTTATCCCGCATACGTCTGAGCGAGTACGAGGTTTCTCTCGTTTGTATTCAACAACCGGTATGCCTGGTTTCGTCGTACTTTTGCTGGGTGCCATCGGTAAGCCCAACCGAAGCCTATGGTGGGTGACCCCTTTGAAACTCCAGCTTTCAAAGCAGTTTTTTTGTAGGACAGCCTTTACCTACTCAAGATTTCCACGTGACGAGCCATCCCGGCAGAGTCCGTAAGGGAGATGTTATTGTGACTCGAACATAATTGCGTGTTCAGAGGAGCTCGCATCACGAGATACATTCCGTCCGCTTGTGATCTTCCTTGTGTGAATGTTTCAACCTTTCGCTAACTCTGACACCTCAAGAGCAGCTAAGGCTGGCGAGGCAACTTCAAGTTCGTTGCCGATATTGCCTGCCTGCTTTCCTTCTGGCTTACAGTGCATCCTACTGCCCAAGCATTTGCTCGTCGTCTGCGTTAACCTGCCTCCCCTAACCCAAGTTTGCACCGCATGGCCTACAAGGACACAAATGTCCACGATTAGTTCTCCTTTGCAGACCTTTTTTCACTCGTTTTCCTGAATCTGCACACCTTTCCTGTCTTCTGCTGACCCACTCCCTTACCCCGCACCGCCCGCAGCACCTGGTCGACGAGGAGGACGGCGAGTTCCACGTAAGGAGTTCCAAATGAGGAGTTCCTTTCGCGGATTCGTCTGTAAAGCAAACTCTCGAAACCATAATCGTGCCCTCCGACCCGCTTCATAACCCGCAAACCGTATGGCGCATAGTTGACGAGCAGGACGCCGGGTTCCCCGTGCGATTTCCCTCACGCAGACCCATGTGACAGTCGAATTTCCCGAATCAAACCATAAACTCTCTGGCTTCGGCTGACCCGTTTCCCTGACCCGCAAACCTTCAGCGCATGGTGGACGAGGAGGACGCTGAGATTCACGAATAGTTTTCCTTTTGCAGACCCGTTTTTGAATTTGCAAACTCTTCGAAACAACAAATCCGCCACGGTGTCTGCTAACTCAATTTATAACTCGCAATCGCCAGAGCGCATGGCCGACCGGCAGGACGCCTGCTTCACGCTTTTGTGCAGACCCGATTCAAAATCAAGTTCCCCAAAGTGCAAACCTGCCACGGCTACTGCTAACCCCCTTCTCACCTCAATAACCCCTACAGCGCATGGTTGACGAGGAGGAGGCCGAGTTCCACGAAGAGTTCCCTCTCGCAGACCCGTCTTGTATGTCGAGATCTTGCAAACCACATTCCTGCCTGCTAACCCGCTTCTTAACCCGCAAACCCTACAGCGCATGGTCGACGAGGAGGAAACCGAGTTCCACGAGGAGTACGTGAATGCGGAGGACCCCAGCATCCTGCGTTTCCTCCTGGCGGCCGGGGACGAGGTCTCGAGCAAGCAGCTGCGGGACGACCTCATGACCATGCTCATTGCGGGGCACGAGACGTCTGCCGCGGTGCTGACATGGACGACGTACCTGCTGTCGCAGGTGAGAGCAGCTGGCCTCTTATTAACTTGAGTGTGGTGACTTGAGTGTGGTCGTGGTGATCGAGACTGCAGAATGGGCTGTCCCATAACTGGGAGCCTGGTTGTGTGGCAATGGCTGGGGCTTGTGAGGAGCAACACGTCGGAAAATGTAGAGTTTTGAAGTATTTTGAGCAGACTCGGCTGCCGACTTGTTCTGTTGGCGGTTGGAACGGCGGAGGATGCAGTGGAGAAAGACTGACTACAGCGAAGTCTCTTTTGGTGTTTGTGCTGCACGCCTGCAAAGAGGACATGAGACATTGGATCCTTGATCAGACAATGCGCATGCCCGGCTTGTACGGCGGCGTTGAACGGTCATCATACGACCTCCGGACCTTGCAATCATACCTGGAGTCTTTTTTGCAAGCATTTGAGCTAGAGGGAGATAGTTGCTCACTTCTCAGTCCATAATGTGGGCATTTATTTGTATTTTGTTAGTAGGTAGAATGTTTCAATTCATGTACGATTTTTCACGATCGAGGTTCCGGTAGGTTCCTGTCTCTGTTGATTTACCAGCGTGTATGTAATTGTCCTTTCTTCGGCTCAGGCTCCCTCTTGTTTGACGCCAGCAGTCATCGGTCCTCCTTATCAAGCCTTCTTTTGCCCCTCATCCCCGCACTTAAACCTCCGGTTCTTGCCCCATGGCCCGAGCCTCCCGTAACCTCCTCTTCCTTCCGTCCAGCACCCTGCGGAGGCCGCCAAGCTGCGCGCCGAGGTAGACAGCGTTCTGGGGGACCGCGTCCCGACGATCGAGGACATGCGGCGGCTGCGCTACACCACGCGCGTAATCAACGAGGCAATGCGGCTCTACCCGCAGCCCCCCGTGCTCATCCGGCGAGCCATGGCGCCCGACGAGCTGGGGGGCTTCAAGATCAAGGCGTGAGTAACAATCTGGTGCCCAGCGAAATATCGCTAGGGTAGTTGCAGGCTCGACTGCGTGCTAAGACTCTTGGTTCAGCTGATGGCTGACGTGTGAATGAGTGGCGGGTCTGGGCCCCAGATCTCGGTAGCTTCTGCTGCTGACGTAGTCAACGTGTAAGGCATTGGCGTACGTTAGTTTGGTTGTTATCGAATTGTCTACGAGGCGGTCGGGCCTAGTCTGAGATTGTCACGATACATTATTCCGTGCAGAGGGCAAGACATCTTCATCTCCACTTGGAACCTGCATCGCTCCCCGGCCATCTGGGACCGCCCGGAAGACTTCGTTCCTGAGCGGTGGCCGCTGGACGGACCGGACCCGACCGAGACTACCGAGAACTACAGGTCTGGTGACGTCATGCTTGTGGTGCAACCATTCCGTGTCCCGTTGCCGAACTGTTTGTGAAGCAACAATCTCTAGCTTGAGACCTTCAGAAGGCATGCTGGGGTGCGATACTCATAGAATCAGACGATGAGCTTTTTGTATCATCTTCCTTCCTACGTGGTAACCATCAAATGCACGGATCGCTTGGTGACCGTGCGACGGACTCTTGACTGTATTGCTACGTCGACTGTGCAGTTACATCCCCTTCGGAGGAGGGCCTAGGTAAGCTTCGACTTTTGGAGAAGGAAGCCTCCTTCAATGCAAGATGCAAGGTTACTCTGCCGATGGCTTTGACCGGATCGACAAACCAGGATAACTGCGTCACAACAAAAGTCAGGAAAGTGGGAAGCTCTGAAAGCCTTTGGTTGGGGAGCGCAGTCTGTGTAAAGGCTGAGCTCTGGTGATATTGTGTATCGATGACGTGTATCCAAGAAGGCTCATCGCCGTCGGTTGACAGCCTCGACAAGAACGCTCATAATATAAGATGTTTGAAAAATGTCTCCACCTCAAGCTGTGGAGCAAAAGCAAGACCCAGGCAACATTTTGAAAAGGGGCTGACTGCCTCTCTTATGATTTCAGGAAATGCTTAGGCGACCAGTTTGCACTGTTTGAGGTGAGCTTTGCTTCTGGAGCGCAACTTCATGTGTGTATGTAACTGCACAAAAGTCCGCTGGATAGTTGCTGCTGACTATTGCATTATTGATCTGACTCCCAGGCTATATTGAGATCTGCGTGACTCCAGTCTGTGGAAGCGAGTGAAAGCGAGTTGGAAGTTCAGGAGTCAGATCATAGCTTAACGTCTGTTTTGCAGTCCGTGGTTACCCTGGCGATGCTCACAAGGCGTTTCACCTTCGCTTTGGCTCCGGGAGCTCCAAAGGTAAGTGCGTCACGCGGAATTACTGATGGCATCTGCTTGCCGCTTTGCATGAAACAACGAAGACTGCTTACATTTCGGCAACGCTGTAACGAGGTCCTATCCAACCGCTTCCCGATCAGCAGGCAGTATGACTGTGTCTGCTGATTTTCCACTCCGGCTCGGTGAATTGGGCAGAGCAACAACGACCAAAAAACAAGTGGAAAGTGTCTCGTTCGTTACCAATCAACGATAGCATTGACGGTGCTTATGGAAAAGCTCCTGCAAATGACAGGGTGTATTGCTCGACTGTCTCCAAGCACCGTGTTCTGTACATGCATATCCCAAATGTGCTTGCTTATCCCAAGCAGGTGGGAATGACAACGGGAGCGACTATTCACACGACCGACGGACTGCATATGATAGCAACGCCTCGACAACATGGAACCGTAGCTTCAGAGCAGACATTGTTGCACGAAGAGAATGGAAAGGCGGATAATGGGCACGCCGGCAATGGGGTGTTCAAGGAAGTCGCAGAGGAGTCGATACCCATGGCAGCAAAGCGATGACATTGGAAGGTACAGTCAGGTAAGGTGACAAAGACGTTATGCATCATGATAGGCCGTCGCAAACGTCCGGGACAACTCGGTAGACGTGAGGTCTTGCTCACAAGCATCTAATGATAGAAAACTTGCGAACAATAAATAGATTGAAAGGTGTAACATAATAGCACATTGACCACCATAATCTGCAAACCTCGCAAGCTGAGAGTCCGAACTTGAGTCCTGAAGCAAGCTGCGTGCGGTGGTTAAATAGGAGGAGGTTACAGGTAAACTTCAGCTGCATGTGATTTCTAAGGGGTTCAAGAACTCCAGTCGAGCTCGCGCCGCGGCTTGAGACCTAGCAATCATTGCTCGTGCTTCAGATAGATGCTCTTCGAGTCGGAGATCTTCAGATTCGTACACTCACACTATGACCGTCCAAGCTGCTAGAAAGATGCTCGAAAGAACCAGCTGTTGGCGCTCGCGCTGCAGGTACGTATTAGTATTATATGGCAAGCTTCTTTGATTACGTTGCAAATACTGGGCCCGAGGCTAAACGTTGCATCTCAAAGCACGGCATGTACATACATATCATGATTTAACTAGCTACACAGCCGGTTCAATGTCAGCAGTTCTCTTATAATAGACCGTCTATTCGAAATATCATCATATCTATACGGGCTGGGCCGCTGCAAGTCAGGTGTGCAACGTTGTGTCATATCTTGTATCATGCACACCAGATTGCGGATCATGAATGATTTGTTGTATGTGCATCGACGTACAGCCACCAGCAAAATTTGCTGAGTGACTACACCGTATAGGACGTTCGGTTATAATCGATAGGCTCCTGATAGGGCCTCTTTATCGATCAGCTACTAGTGTCAGTGCTAATAATCTCAAGCTATAGTACCGATCAAGAACAACGATTTTCAAGTACTTGTGATACTCTCATGACTGATAAAGTACAATTAACCATGCAAGGCTTGCACAAACATTCAATTGATTTGTTTGCCAACTTCACTAACCGTTCCTCAAATTCAAGCACGTGTCTAAATTTTCCAATCCATTGAAGCGTCACGAAGGCTCCATGGCACATCTACATTGAATGATCCGTGGGTTTGAGCATACCTATATGCGCACCCAGCTGTAATCAACGGTCTGAGCTTTTTGGCCCTTAGAACCTCCGTGGAACGTGCGTGGAACGATGGAAGACGACAAGGCTATACTTGCATACTTGGTCTGTCGATACCTAAAATGATAATTTTCATCACAAAGAAGTCGGGCCGGCTCAGTGACATCTTGTCACTTGACATCAACATCTTGACATCAACAGAGAGAACGATATCTTGTACTGTTGTACACTGTACAGCACTCACAGCACTTGTCAATGCATGAAGCAGTGCCGCCGCACGTTGGTCGGGTGAGCGTGTCAGGCCTGCTCCGGCCGCCGGGCCCCGGCCTTCGATATGTTCCGATCATGCCCACGTGTCCAAGAACCGAGGTCCTTAACCTTTGGATCAGGATTAAAATTGACGGTTGCAATGCACCGGTTGACTCTGGACTGTCCGTGCGTGGTAGGTACGTAGGTGCGGTACCTACCTACGTGCTGGTGGTGACGTGACTGGATTGAACCGTCCGCCTTCGTCTGCCCCGGTGAATAATACCGGCTGCCCGGGTGGGTCCCTAGGTTGGGTTCGGCAAAGATCGGCAAAAGCTCGCGGAACGTTGGCCGTTGAGCAGTCGGGACTCAAGGACTCAGGAAGTACGGTGAACTGAATATACCTATTTAAATATCAAACCCGGTAGGAGAGACAACCGCCACCACGGTATTGTGACGGTACCTGTTTCAGAAGTTGTACCTACTGGGCACGCTCGGTTCGTGTCGCGTGACGTGGTTCCGACGGTTCCAGGAACCTGGGAGGGCAACTGAAGTCCTAGGTACAATTGAGCCTTAGGTATATGTATCGTTACCTTGTGTTAAATCTGACAGCAAAACCAATACAAGTGAGGCTTGCTGAAAGCTTGTCGAGAAATCACCAAAAGCAAGGCGATCTTGACACCAAAGGTTGGGTGTACTGGTCTCCGCGCAAGGCCTCAGCGCAGCCGACGCCAGCCAGGGACTGCTTTGAGCCAGGAAACCTCAGCCACAGATGCAAAACGGACAAATGCAGCCGAACTTTTCTTTGGAAATACCTAGATAAGTTGCGGACGCAGGTTTCTCACTTTTGGTCCAGTAACCACGACAGGCAACTGGGCACTCCGTGTGACATTAGGGTTCTGTTGCAAGCCTGTGACGGTTTTTTTTAAGGGTCGCGACTCGCGCCACCCTACTGTGACTGAACTACGATTTAATAGGGGTACTCAATACTAACGGCTCAGACATGTTCTTCGATTTCAGTGTTGGCAAGGCTCCCGGTATTTCTAAACAGTGCCCGGTTTGCTAGATTGAACGGTGTCCGCATATTTTTGTCCAAAAGAGAAGTTCGGCTGCTGTGTGCCACAGAACCGTACTCCCAACTTCACACTCGGCGTACAGTAGGTGCGGTACACCCTGCACAGCATGTCAGGGACCACAGCTAGCAAATTCGTCAGAACACCTGTGACCTGGTTAGCAAAGTTGTGCTGCGTGCAGCTTCATGCCAGCCATACGCGAAAGGGAAACATTCGTTGGCCCTGGCGCCAGGAAAAAGCGTAGACGGAGAGCATAGCAGGGAAGCATCAACCGCAACTGTATCATGGCACTGAGCCACACTGTCTCATCGAACGCGGCAACGAGTGGTAGCCACCTGCAGAAAAGATCTGCCCATCGCTCTGCTTCCAGTGATCTACCCCTGCAGAACTCTGTTGGCAGGTCGAGCTCGAGCCCCTTGGTGCAATCCACTGCTTTTGGATCCGTAAGATCTGGATCAGGACTGTCAAGGATCAGCGCGCATGCAGCTGTAAAGGAGATTAGGAGAGCAGGGGGGTCGAGTAGAAGGGTCAAAGGGACAAATGCAAGGGTGAGACAGCATTGGAAGGATCAGGCACAGGAGTCCACTCATGTGTGCCCGCTCTGCCGAGCTGGATCAGGTGCCTGTAATGCCTATGGGACTTCAGCATGGGGCTTTGATTGCAGGAGTGCGTCAGTAGATCGCAGACAGTCTGCCCTGCGCTGTTCGCCTGACTCACCTAGCGATTCGGTTATAGAAGCGCCCCCACCTCGTAGTAGGCCAGAAGCCCCCACATTACAGCCCCCTTTTGACACGTTCGACAACGTCCCTGCCTTCGACAGTCCTTTGCCGGAGACTCATGATGGTGTCTCGAGTTTTGACAGTCCTGGCCTGACGCCTGATGCTCACATCCCCCCCTTTGAGGACACCGTTCGGTTGGGTCGAGTGGTTAATACGCCTGGCTTGGATGATCCAAGCTTAGCCCCTGACTATAATATCAAGGATGGCACTAATAGAGAAGGCACAGCTGAGGCTTCCCCTGCCGTCATTAAAGATCGCTTCAGCAGGGGTGTGGAGGAGCCTCTCCGCGCGGAAGATGATATCAGCAGGGTTCCGGCGTCGCAAGCGGTGGCAGCAGCTAAGCCTGCGGTGCTGGAGTCACCGGTAGAAGAAGACCTTTTGGATCAGGGGGACTTATGGGAGCAGGCCAAGAGGATCATGGCATTTGCAGGTACTATTCGTGACCCCTACGGTTTGATTCCCTCAACATAGAAGTGCTGGTATTACCTGCCTTATTTGACCACAGCGGAGTGGTTGAAGAGGCTTGCATGCATCGATGTGACACTTTCTAGCAGAGGTTGGGCCCTACATGTGAAAGTGAGCCGGCCAAGGGATGAGGAGGAGGATGAATTTTAGAACTGCTGAGTTTGCCGTTTATCACTGCTATTGCTTCTTCGAGCTCCCCAGAAGGTGCCAGACTGTATCTTGATTTTCTCTGTGGCTATGCGCAGGCCCGGCACTTGGAATCTGGTTGGGTAATCCAACAATGAGTTTGGTAGATACGGCAGTCATTGGGACGGCAAGCTCCTTGGAACTCGCAGCGCTTGGTAAGCACCACCTTCTTCATGGCAGTCAGTGTTGTTGCCAGATTGCAGTCATCTGGTCGCAACGTCCGGCACAAATCGATCTGTGCTGGTTCGATTGTCATGCAATTTCTGACTGGTAGCTTAGCTGACTGATTGAACCTTGTTTCTCCTCTCAGGACCTGGGACGGCCCTCTCCGATGGGTTTGGTCACCTCTTCATGTTTTTGTCGGTGGCCACGTCGAATCTGATTGCAACTTCGCTCGCCGAGAAGGTACGCAATGTTGCACAACATCCTTGAGCATGGCCATTGAAGAGACTTGATCGAATGTTACACTTGATGCAATCCTGCTCTTTGCCTTCAGGGGCCCACTAAAGCACATTGTTCCAGCTGTTTGCTGTATTCCTGGATGCGAGTCTGACCATAAAACTTTGTGCCTTTAACATCAAGTTTGGGTACTGAGCAATTGAACAGGCTCATCATGAGCCCCAACTCCGGCTTTGTACAGGAAAATTTTGACATTCCGTACTCATCTGCTGCCTCCTATTCAATGCAGGAGGCAGTGTGTGGAGGCCGGGCAGTACTTTTCATTGCTTGTGGTCTGTAAAGTCTGACTGAAAGATTGGAGGGGAAAAGGCCTCTCCTTTGAGGGACAGTGTTCTCATTACCTTGTGTATCTTTCGGTTGCGCAGGATCCTGAGGGAGCTGCCCGATCCTTATCTCGTGCGCTCTTCATTGCCCTGGTGTGTGGGTTTGGGATCACTGCCATTTGCGAGACGCTGCACACGCCCCTCCTCAAGGCGTTTGTGGGGAAGAATGTGGGCCTTATTCCCGCTGCCCGCGTCTATGTTCAGGTCAGCAAACGGAACACATGTTTCATTGTGGTCACCTTCCTCTCATTGCTAGTCATGTCTTTTAGAACATCTCAGTCGTTCTTCTCACCTTATTTGTTTCATGCATCGAATCAAGGTTTGCAGTGATTCTGAATGCCTGTACATTTGACTGTAGACCTGTGAAACTCACCTTTTCCTCTATTTTTTCCCCTTTTTTTTCCTTTACCTAAGCTGTACTTCCTCAGGAAGTGGTTGCTTTTGTAACCATGCTCCTCAAAATTGGCATCACAATCCCCACCTCTCTGCAAGGCAACTGCCGTGTTGTACAGATCCATCAACAATCCTTCACCGTCGATGACCCCCCTGTTTGCAGATTCGCGGGCTTGCTTGGCCCGCTGTGTTGGTTACCATGGTGGCGCAGAGCGCGTGCCTGGGCATGCAGGACGCGTGGGGCCCTTTGCGGGTGCTCGTGGTTGCTGCGTCGATCAATTGCCTGGGGGACATCCTCCTGTGCAGCGTGTTGAAGATGGGGATTGCAGGGGCTGCGTGGGCCACAGCCGCCTCGCAGGTGAGTGGACCCCTTTTCTTGAGTGGTCTTCACTGGACTTCGCTCCCTGTATGAGCGTTGGAGCTACCTTTTCGAAATTGTGGAGTTCGCGACGAAAAGTGAAGCTGCCAAAACCCCTCTGGCGGCCTCGAATCTGTCGAATCTCGTCTGTGGTACTAGCAACGGGAAGTGGATAAATTGACCCCAATTGGTTGATTGGGCCGACAAGGTTCTGGTGGTGTCACTTTTGGCAACATTAGGTGGGGTGGACCTGAGATGTAATGCTTTTCGATTCCACAGTTTGTAGGAAGACTTATAGAACAACGAGTACTTTGATGATTGTTTCCTTAAGAAAAGCATGTGCGTATAAAGGGCCTGGGGTGAATCCTGACCCGATGCATAGAGCACTCTGAAGAAAGCAACGAGTGTGGTTTAGTCGTTTGTCAAGAAGCTGACTGCTCCTTCTGCAACTTCCATGAAAAGAACCGCCAGGTGGTTGAGTCTCCCACTCAGCTTCTTATGGTCAGCTCAAACCCAGGCTCCTTTCTCTTGTGCAGATTGTTGGGTGCGTGTTGATGCTGCAGAGTTTGCGTAAGCGCAGCACTATTCCGCTGTACCTGTCAGTCCCTCGTTTTGCGGACCTGGTCACATTCATGTCCATTGCGGGGCCAACGCTAGTAACCATGTTCAGCAAGGTGAGCGGGCGCTGCTGTTATCGTTGGACATGTATTCGAATCAACAATTGCTTGTTAGCTTGGTAAATAGTTGCTCGGCCCCTTGTTGTTATCCTACTCCTATCAAGCTGAGGTTCAAAGGGTCGTGGTTAACGAGAGAATCATCATGCTCTGCAACCCAGCAATTAAGGAAAGTTCAGGTCTCAATACTCCATGAAGAAGCCGCTCTATTCCCCGACGATTGGTTTTAAGCGCCGTTTAAGACAATGGTACTGTTTGGAGTACGATTCGTCTTGGCTGTATCACAACTACGCATTCTGGCGTCATAGTTGGTGTTTCGTTTCAGACGGAAGTTTTGAGTGAAGTCTTATGCTATATTCTTGTATGCAGGTGTCGTTTTATACGTTGATGACATACGTTTGTACAGCTAACGGCACTGCCACGGGGGCAGGCCATCAGGTAAGACAATCTCGCTCTTCTTTGCACAGCATGTGGCCAAAGACCTTGCGCTTATCTCTCATCCTCCGAGTCGTTGACCTCCGTGTGTGACTGCCTCCTTTTCCTGCTCTTTGACCGTGGTCTTGCTGCCGACCCTCACCTTCATGATGCCTACTTTGACGCCTTCGATTGTGTAGGACGGAGCCTTGAGTAGGGGTAAGAACACTGACCGTCTCAAGCTTCCAAACTCCCTTTAAAATTTGTGCCGAGTGACAGTTTGGACGAGTAATTGGGACCTTCGTCAGAAGCTGCGCGGAACCGAACCCTCCAATAAGCGTCCCGCTTGCCCCCGCAGGTGATGATCGGACTTTACGCGTTCTTCGCCGTGTTTGGCGAGCCGCTGTGCCAGACGGCGCAGTCGTTCATCCCCGAGTTCATCCGCGGCGCTAACCGGTCGCTGCACAAGGCGCGCAAGCTGCTGCAGTCGCTCGTGCTCATGGGCGGCCTGCAGGGCCTGGTGCTAGGGGCGGGGGCGGGCCTCATGCCCTGGGTGCTGCCACAGCTCTTCTCCAACGACGCGGCCGTCATTGATCAGGTAAGCGTGTGATGACGGATTTGAAGGAATCTGCTGATTCTGAGTTGCGTCTCTGCTGATGGGTGGATTTGAAGGGATTTGAGTCGTAGTGCAGAGCTTTGATCGTAGTTTGCCGATTGTTTTTGAGTTCTGATGTCAACATATGAGAGCTCTCAAACGATAGAAAATACTCTATAATTAAGATCGCTGTCACATTCTCAACAATCTACATCGGATGGTTGTGCTATATTCTTTCAAGTAAGAACCTTCAAAATACGGGTTAAAAGGAGGTTGACCAACGTTGCTGTCTTGCAAAGTGTGCCCCGGGACTCAGCGTGTTCAGATAGGATCCACTACAGTAGTGGCTGACATTCAATACAAACGATTGCACAGCATCTGCAGTTGTCATCTGCTTGCTGTATTCTGATTCGCGCTGTCTCGTACAGATGCGTCGAGCGTCGTTCCAGATTTTTGCTGCTAACACTATCAGCGGGATGAATCTTTCGATGGAGGGCACGCTCTTGGTAAGCTGTTGCATCTCACGCGTTTTGCGTTCTTTGATCCACTACTAACCCGCCCACTAACCACGCGGTCACCCACCTTCTTTTGTGACCGCAGATGCGTCGCGTGTCTGTCCAGATATTCATAGCAGTTGTGCTCACCCCTGTGAATCTGTCCATGGAAGGCACGCTGTTGGTAAGTGCTGCATGCAGGGGCTTAGTTACCGTTGTGAATTATGTCTTTCGTAGGGCGAGTCGTCAGTCTTACTAGAGAAGTCTTCAGGGATAGCGGTCCTTAGAAACATCACAACAACCAATTCCAAAGAGTAATGTAAGTCCGCCTTCACAGGCAGCTTTGCAGCATGTTTCCTAGGGTCTCACAAGAAGAATAGGAAACAGAAAAGTAGCACCTCACGCAGATGACACTTCGTGTGCTGGCGTGGAGAGTAGGTTGCATATCAACATGTTTCATTCAGAAAGTTTCGGCGAACTCGACTGCAGTTTGTCAGGAGTGAGTGCTACCACAGGGGTCCTGATTGCTGTGATCTCGGTTCCTGCAGGCTGGCCGAGATCTTGTTTACCTGGCGATCAGCATGGTCTGCAGTTTCTCCATCATGGCTAGCGCTTTGCTGGTAAGACGGATCTGTGACAAGCTAGACTTGGTGGCGTTGATGCCAGGGTTTTGCTGTCCTCAACTGGTTGCAATTGCTGTTGTACACGTCGGCAGCTCACATAGACAGCCTTCCGTTCAGCCGCTTCTGTTGACTTTATTCAGTATTTATTGTCTCTAAGAGCTGCTCTCAGCGCGACCGTTTGCCAGCCAGAAGTTTGTATCTTATGCGGTAACGGGTCTGAGACGGTCTGAAATGGTTTCACATACTTGTACAGTTGCAGCGTTTCTTGCTCTGCTTCACTGGTATGGACGGAATGGATTAGTAGCCAGTCAATTTGATATGGGCTTTGTGTAAATGACGGGTTTTAAAACTCAGGTGAGCTGTGGCCCTTAACACCTATGGCATTTTTGCAGGTGGGCAGCAAGAGGGGTATTGGTTTGGGGGGCATCTGGTGGTGCCTGGTCGGATTCCAATCGGTAAGGCAACAATGGACGATTGGTGTACCTTCTCGGAAGGGGACACATTGGTTTGTCAGCCATAAGAGACATCCATGGCCGGGTAACTTTATACTGGAGACTCCTTAGCGTTCTTTCTGCTTCATACGTGCTATTGGTTGTTGACAGTGAAGACTGAGGGGTAAATTATGTAGATTGCCGTCCGGCAATGTGCAATTTCTCGCACCGCAGGCGGACTCAATGTTATCCTCGGTTCTGCTTGCAGATCCGCTTTGTGTCAGCATCAATGCGCCTTTCCAACCCAAAGAGCGTCGTTGGTGGTTTGAGGACAAGGAGAACGTCACCGGAGCCCATTCCGGTTGTTATGGGAAAGTGATCCGATCCTTAGCTTGGACATAGACAGTTGGATTGTAGATGGTTGCGCGCCGTCATTCTTTCTGCGTAGCAGGTAAACGGTGATAGTTTAGAGTGCAATCGTGGGCGGCTCAACCATCTAGTGGGAATTAGTATGCAGGAATGTAGTTGGAAATCGATGTTATCGCTTCCCATTTAGTTTATAGATATGCTGAGAGTTGAAACCCTAGTGTAGGTGAACCAGGATGTAGGCTATTGCAGCATCACGGGGGGGGGCTCAGTAGTTGCGTAGGTGATTGCAGGCGTTATAAGCTTGTGCTTCAGGGGTTGGTTATACTACAAACGCAGAGTGTACAACATTCCGCTTTCAATTGTTTCACTTCTTAGTTTTCGAGTGTGATTTTCACCACCAATCAGGGTACCCTTACATTGAGTTTCGGGCATCAGTTTCCATATTATCGATTCATATGATGCCCGTACTGACACGAGACCCGAACCTAGGCTAGGCGCATCTGGTGCAACCATCATGATGTGGTTTGCATACCTCATCATGTTGTGTGCCATGATTGTGTACGTGCTCGAAGGCTTCATGCAACATGGCGCTTCGAACCTCACATGCAGCCCGCCCTCATGTTAGCGTACGCGTTTGGACCATGAGCACAAGTGCATAGCTTTTGAATATGTGAAGGACCTTTAAATGCATGATCAATTCGATCCGACCACGTCGAATGCATGCATGCAACGTACTGCAATTTATTTAGCATGTTATGACGCGCGCTGCGTGAAAGCGATCAGCCCAGACAAGGCATCATCATGGGGCCCATGCGCGGTTACTATATATACACCCCGATTCACAAGTTTTATAACGTGGACTGATTAACCCTACGGGCAATTGAGGCCATTCTCAATTGGTTTCAAAATTTGGAAAATTAGCCAACCCCTATTATGAGATGTTTGAGGTGCAAGCACCTTGAAAGTTGATGTGAGGTGGCCAATACAAAAATGGCAATAAAATACTAGGACATGTGCCAAATGGCCTTGTTTTTGCCACGAATGGTGGTGACCCTTGTGCGGTAAGGCTCCATTCTTGACACCTCAAATGGATTCTTCTTCCTTCCAATGGTGCTTTGTGAACACAATGGCTTGTTGTGTTTCCCCATCGGCGTTCGCCGGAAGAACCGTACTCGAAAGCCGGTGGCGGGCGTACAAAGTCACATGTCCGCCGCGCGAGTTTCGTTGATGATGGAAAGCTTTGCATTTTAAATTCCAGGGGCCTCGTGTTAACCCCAATCCATTGGTAACGGACCGTTTTGCGAAGCACGCGAGTTTTGCCCATCAAAAAGTGATCCATGCAAAACAGCAAAAACTGCATGGAGTCGGGCTCGAACCCGCGAACCCGCGACCTCGCGCTAGGCGCTCGGACGCTCAGCTCGGCTACGGACTACGAGGCAGAGGCGTCAAGAGGCCATGATCTGGCGCAAATGCTGGCACATTGCTGGCCTCATTTATACCATATAGGGTTGTGCTTAATTTGGTCAGGTCAAAGGACACAACCCAATAATGTGTTAACCGTAACCCGGTGAAGTTGCCACGTCATCCGGGTTAGGTTACAAAACTTGTGAATCGAGGTGTAGTAACCGGTAGTACAATATGTACCTGAAGTGTTGTTGTTTGCCATGCAGTTGAACTTGCAACATTATTATGGTATCGCGCGCCTCAGCCCCCAGACAGTAATTGATTTGCAGACATTATACCTCTAAATGTCAACTAGCTGAAGCAGGCGGAAGCGATCCGATGATCAACAGCCTCCATGTGTCCAGGCCAGCCTTATAAGCTGAGCTGTTAATCAGTGCATAATGTCACTAAATGTTATCGCATGATTGAGCTATGCACATGGTAGAGATGATATGTGCAGAAAACGATTATAAGTACCACATGGGAGAGCGAATACACATGCTCGAGTGCACTGTAGATGATTGGCAGTTTGACAGGAATGCAAAGAAATATTACTGGCGTCAAACCTAATGTCAAACTCCGCTCCTGGTGTTGAAGGTGACTTCCGTTGTCATGCACCAGACACTAGGCTACTAGTCACCCGATAAGAGTCTATCTTAATTGGACCACAAAACTGCAAGCTTCTGTACTTGTCCTAGTGCGTCTGTGTGATTTTACAAATCATCTGTCTACTTGACACTACCGCTATATGGGTCCCCATAAGAAGCATAATGTTTCTCATATGAAACAAGAATTTCACTACAATTACTCTAGTCAACGTGCCAATTTCCTAGATCCGAAAAATATCAGTGGAGTGCTGAACGGTTTCCATCTATGCCAAAGCCAAGCTGCAAACGCAACACAAATGTCCCGTATGTAAAGTACCATGCGATTAGTTGAGCAACCTCACTGTAAAGCAATCTACACCGGATCCTACTGTCACTGCCCCAGATCGATTAAACAACCGCGGCTACAGTCGTTACCAAGGAGTGGCAGTGCAGTATCAAAAAATGTCAATCTACAAATTGCCATTACCCGACCTGCCCCTTGTTGGGCTTGGCAGGGTCTGGCATTCTTATGCTGGAAGCCTCCAACCCTGGGTCTACGGTTCAACTGCGAATAGGCAACATTGGGTGCACCCAAATGCTCCCCCCCAGCTTTGCCAGCGGGGTATGCATCTCCCCAGGTTTCCCCCCCTTCCCCTCAGATTTTCTCCTCCTCGATCATCCTCTGCACCCAACTGATGTCGGGCTCCCGCCCCTCCCCTCCCACGTGGTGCTTTGCACGCGCGCTTTCCACGTCCTCACGTTTGGCCCCCCACTCTGGAGCTCCCCCCGGCAAGCCCCAGTCAGAAATCTGCCCCTGCCAGGTGTTGCTGCGGGCAAAGCGGCTGTGCGCCAACCGCTGACTGTCAAGAACTAGGCCGTTCTGAACCATGTTCTCCTGGCTCATGCTGCGGGGACTCCCGAACCCGCCCGCTCGCCCGGAAGGACCCCCCTGCACCGCAGGCAAGCCCACCGCACCCCCTAGCGGGGAGCGCGGGTTGCGCACCTGCCTCTCCAGGGGCATCTGAGGCGACTGCGGCCTGTCATACGTTCTGAAAAGCTCCTCCCCAGAGGCAGCGCGCATGGGGGGCACTGGAGGGGCGGTGCTGGAATGTGGGCGGAAACGAGGGCTGTGATGAGGGCCCAGAGGACGAGCGCGCCCCCCCAGGTTGAGGCTGCCAAGCTCTGCTGCCAGGCGGCGGGCCTCATAAGCATCCCCGAGCTGACGCACCCGTGCCGCTTCCTCTTCCCTGCTGACCTCATGGGGTGACATCAGCGGACCCCTGGCAACGCGCGGCGACATCGCTTCCTCGTAAGCCAGGTCCAGCTCACGCCTGAACTCCCCGCTCAAATGTTGCGGGCGGATCATCTGGGGCGCGCGCAGGGAGAAGTAGTCGAGGTTTTCACTGGGGGACCGCGGGGGGCTCAGGAACGCCTGCGGTGGGCTCGGTTGCTTCGCAACCGGGCTCCCCGGCCCTGGCGAGAACGGGCCCTGCTTGAGCAGCACCGAGGACGGGGAGACTGGGAGTGGGGGGGAGAATTGGCGCTGGTTCTGCTTTTCCAGGGGGGAGGGCGACATAGGGGAGGCGTAACTGAGGGGCAGGGCGTGGCCCCAGTTGCTGGACAGCGGGCGGAGCTCCTCGGGGAGGTGGGCAAAGAAACAGACGCGGCGGTCGCAGCCAGGGCCGTCCTTGCAGAGGCGCGTGCGGTACTGCGCGGGGTGGAGCCACGACTCAAACACGCCGTGCGCAAAGTCGCCTGCAGGGAAGGACAACAGGTGGTGTTCAGAAGATGCATTCTATGCAAAAGCAGAATTGAGGTGATTTAAATAGTGCGGCGCGGTCTGCTTATGACCAGAATAGCATGACATGCTTGAAGGGCTGAAATGATTATCGGTTCTTAGTGTGGCCATTGCTGCCGGCAGAATTCACCAACTGAGTCTAAAGATCGACTCCCGTGTGTCAATTGGTGCACCCTAAACTGGTATTAACTGTACCCTCTCTATCAAACCTCGTCATACAACAAGATTCATTGCCCTGCTGAGTGAAAGAGGCTGGACGAACCCGCAGCTGGCTGAAAGCACATGTCTCATGAAAAGGGCTTGTTTACGGTCTGCCTGGTAGTTGAGGATGCCCGACTGATGAAAGTTCACAAATTGAGCTCAACCTCCTTACAACCAACTGGAGCAGACCTCAGCACCGCAAGCATAATCATCCAGCGCTTATACGGGGCAATCAAAGCAGACAGCTGCTACGCCAATACAAGCATCCCAAAAAGAGGCTCTCCCTGACCTCCTCTGATGGACAAATCAACAAGCGATTGTTAGGATGGCACTCACATGCATCCCCCTTGGCGCAGGCGCCCTTTCGGAAATCAGGGCATGGCAGGCAGCTGTATGGATGCTGGCGGGGGTCCCGTCGGCGGGCCGCCTCTCCCGGGTGAGCAAACGGACAATCTGTCCAGTCGTGGCTGTAGCTACGCGAGCAAGGCTTGATCTGCACGCGAAAATTCAAGGTTTTGTATGCAGACCAATGAGCAGGGGAGGGAAGGTGAAAAGAAGGTCCCAGGAACACCAGAATATGTGTATGTTAATCTGATGAGATTGCGCCCTTGGTGACAGCCCTGCATCTATGCACAAAGACGAAGAGTGGGAAGAATTTTGTATGGCTCTGATTGAAAAGATACACCTTAGGTGGCAGACAACATTCGCTATTTAATTCGAGCTAAACTAAGTTGTTCCAGAGAAAGAGAGCATATTTCACTGTCTATTCCAGGGAGGGTCTACTTCAAAGACAGAAGTAGAAATTGGAAGAACCCTGCCAAGCATGAGCTGTGGAGATGCCGACTTAAAAAGTGACATAATATGTTCTCAGAGGGTTGCTTGCTGGCCAGCCTTCACAATGGATCTCAACACCCATGTAAGTCCTTCAACAAAATCTTATCCTCACCTTGAAGCTGAACATCCTGAACTCATCGCTCATGTAGACGGAACTGGTCACATCTGGAATGGTCGGATCCAGGACAAACCCTCTATGGTCTCGTCTCGCCTCATAGGGACCTGGAGCTAGAGGAGAGCCCCTCTCTGTTGCTGCAAACTCAGGGCTCAGGTATTCATGGCGAGGCGAAACAGGGTTTGCATGTGCCCTGGCCAAGGGACTCCCCGGGATGTCAACAGCCACAGCCGGAACATTTGTCCACTCCCTAATGGGAGCTGGCGCAAGTAGCTGTCGCTCTAGGGATGCCCTGACCTGCAGAGAAGAAGAATGAGCTGCTCAATACATGTGGCCAGATAATGAGCTGTAGAATTCAGCTGGTTTTGGTGGTATCAGAACCAGAGCTTGGTGATGCCAACAATGAGGCTAGTGAACGCCACTGTCTGGGAAGAGCAGGATGGAAGAGCCCCGAAGAACAAACTCACACAGGTCACCAACATTCTGCTCAGAACAGGATCTGCTGGGTGTGAAACCCTTGCACAAACCTTCACAGATCTGGTTAAAGCTTGGAAATCTGAGGAACCACCAGCTGATACTTTCAATATGGAGGAACACCAGGAGTACAATGACATACACATGCTGGAAGTCCCCCACCGCGTACAGACTACTACTTTCTTTCCTCGAAGAAAACTTGTTCCATTATGGTCACAACGTTCTTCCAGACATTTTGGAACTGGCCTAGCAAGAAGAGCACAAATGTAATCTAGTTTTTCCTCCTAAAATCCTTATAAGGTTCATCCCCTGGGATTGTGAACCGCCAACAATGACTGAAGGTCAAGTCAATCTGCAGGAGCACCAGACCCCTTTCTGGCAACCAAATTGTTCTAAACAAGATCCTAAGCGATGGTTGTCACATAAAGCAGCCTTGTGCGCATGCATGCATTCAATTCGTCTCTCACCTGGGCATCTTCACTGTATATCATGTCCAACGGCCTCCTCCCAAATGCAAGATCTTTGACGCTTCGATCAGCTCCTGCTTTCAAGAGCATCGAGGCTGCTTCCGCAGCCCTCTGGCTGCCTCCAGCCACACAAAAATGGAGGGCGGTTCTCCCGTCCACCCTGCTCCTCCTGTTCACATCCACTGGCCCCGAGGAAAGGATAAACGAGAGCACGTTCACACCGCCGTGCTCCGCCGCGACCATTGCTGGCGTCCGCTGATCCACCAGCAGCTCATCTGAGCCGTCCCGCCTCCCATACCAGGTATACAGAGCATCCACATCCAGCCCCTCCTCTAATACACTATACCGAAAAGCTGCTAGCTCATCCTTTGCCGCCAGGTCCAGCAGGGACGGCCCCCTGCCCGCACTCCTCAGAAACGCCGCGAGGTCCATTTCGACGGGACCTTCGTCGACATGACCGTTCTTGTTCCTCCGTTGCATCTCCTCTCGTCCGTGAGGGACCCGCATCAGGGCCCTTGCTGGCCGCCTTCAATTGAGGCAGCCATTGGCGGCCTTATCCTCTCTCTGCTGAAGTGCTGACTCACAAGCGGGTTTCCACGGGCCAGTGCAGTGGAGGTTGGAGCGCAACCATGATCCTCTTCGAGAAGCAAGCAGCCCCGCCTCCGGATTCCTCGCTACGCTTTTCTCCACCTGTTCTCGGGAGCGCCGGGCGTATCCTCTTGATTGGCCGGTACAATATAACTGGCCAAGACTAGTCGCCACCGTGAACCGTCTTCTGGGCCGTTTCCAGACTTCTAGCCAGCGACCTAACTCCCCCAGAATAAAACACTGGGAGGGGACACGACAAAGGGACTGCTCTATAAGGAACATCTCGTATCAAAATCTCCCAAGAAGCTGGAAGGACAGTGGCTGCAGAGGACAATGCGTCCAAGGGGGAAGTGCCACCTTGCAAGGAAGTTACAGAAAGTCAAACATGGATTTCAGTTTGCACCTTGCTCGTCTGGTCGCCCGATTGACTAAATCACCAGCCGTACATCGACAGAAGGCGGTCCAGACTCCAGACTCCAAGGGGCTATGCACACTTGGAGGGGGGTGTCGGGGTTTCTCTGGTAAAATGGAGACCCGGGTCTCGAAATCGACATCCAGCATCCCTTTCGGGCTATGCACACTAGTCGGGGTCTCGCTGACGTGTCGGAGACCCGGGTCTCGAAAATTGTCCAAAATCCGAGACCCGGCCCTTTGGCCGGGTTTCGATCGACAGTTGACGTCACGGGGGAACGAAGGACGCGCCAAACGTACTTTTGCGGGCTTCGATCGGTGCGTACACAAACTGTACACGGTTAGGTACACAATGCGTTGAGGGCCGGAAACCCGACATCCCGCAACCCGGTGTGCATAGGGTCTCGGGGTTGCTCCCGAGCTCGGATCCCGGGTCTCCGACAAACGTCAGCAAAACCCCGTTTTTGCCCAAAAACCCCCCTCCCAGGTGTGCATAGCCCCCAAGCGTCTCGATCAAAGAAACTACCTATCTGATCCCAGGACGTGACGGTGACGGTGATTATACGGCCACAGAGCGCCGAGTTTCTGGCGACTGTGCAACCCGCCATTAATTGCGCGGATAGAGTCTGGAGTCCAGAGTCCGGACTCCGCGAGTCCGTGTGCTCCCATGACTCATGAGCTCCAGCACTGCCTCCCATGACTCGTGAGCTCCAGCACTGCCTCTCGCGACTGAGTCTCGACCTTGTCTCTCGAGTCCTGCTGATTGAGTTCAACACTCGTATTCGTTATGAGGAATATCTGTGTGCAATATTGTCGCTTGATTCGATAACTTGGAAGTGTTGAAAGACTATATAGTATAAGCACATGCAATCTGTCTACCGCAAGCAAGATCAAGCTACACGGTGGGCGGTGTCAATAGCAATGACCACAATCGACATCATAATTTGCACCTTCACAACAGATCGGTCTACATACGTAGATCAAAGGGAGTTTTTGCAACTTGTCTGCCTGGTGAAAGGAGATAGAACTTGATAACTTGACTCAGATTCATCATTGGCAGATTTGGCGCAGATTGGCCATGCTTTAGTGGGGCCTTGACGCAAGCACTTGGCTCTTGCAATGTATAAGATGCATCCCTTGCTGGAATCGCCTATGCGCGGTGGCACCAAACTGCCTCAGGCCATTCCAAATTCGATCAAGTATTTATTTTGCGGATGTTCGATCTGCAAAGTGTATGCCATGGGTATGCAATGTAGCGATCATGCACGGCTTTGCACATGGTGCTTACGATGCTCAAGCTCGGGCTAATTGAATGTATGGACCTTTGCAACGGCGAGGCCAGTCTGATTGGCCCGCCATACAAACTCGGTGGACGAATGTGTGAATCCAACACTCGACCTGTAAAAGCACGGGTACTTATCGGTGATGGCGCAAACTGACTCGTTCCCTTCACAGACTGACTTGGACACTCCAAAAAAGAGCGCAAAAGCTTCAAAAGCGGGTAATCTGGAGCATGTCAAGCACAGAGTCTGCCGTCCAACCTGAGCATGTAGGCCAAGAAAAAGATCAGCTTCCCTATGCAAGTATAGGATATATAGCATCTAGTTGTCACTTCACTTCCTAAATCTGCACATTCAATGCATCCCTTTCTCCACCAGGACGAAATTCCTGCAGAGAGAGGCGATAGCCTACTCACCTTCTATGTTTGCGATAAACCAGGATCCACGCGTATTATCTCCGGAGGCACGTACGGTTTCTCCTTTTCCCAAGCCTGTGCAATTCAAAGCAATATCACGTTAAAGACGTATGGTGTTGACTTGACCGTCTTTCAGATACAACACACGCAAGTGGGCTGCGCAGATCCAGCAGCAAACGCTTGTCAACGACGGGCAAGCTCTTTGAAGGTAAGCGAGGATGAGGATGAGTCGGAGTATCGACAAGCAAAAATTGTGGCCCTTCTATGTCAAAAACAACACTTCATGCTTGAAGTCTGAAAGTACTCTACTATACAGGTAGAGTTGGCCAGGTCCAAAAAAAGAGCGAAAGAACAGGCGCTTCTTGTAGGGCCAACGGTAGGGCACAGTATTGGCAGCGCTCTAGTAGTTCATTGATCTGGGAACATGGTTCTGAGCAGAGCCTGCCAAGGCCGCTGAATGACTGCATAATCTCATTGAACCGCTGACAGCAGCAAGTTGCGGATATCGAAATGCCGCGGCATGCCTCATGGTCACGAAACATTGCAGCGACCGAAGGAGAGGATCCGCTTTGAAGTGACCACATTCCACGTCTCAACAAATTGAGACCGGGAAATGTCTCTGAAACCAACCACCATAGACAACATGAAAGACTCTTGAAAGCAGAACAAGCAAAAACTTCGAAAACAGCAAAGGTAACTCCATCGAAGAGCGACAAAACGCCAGGCTCGTTGCTTGCAGAATCCGGAAGCAACTCTCGAAGAAGGCGGCATGAACAAATGAGCATAGCCAAGACGTTGGAAAGTTGCAAGGATCCTAGATTTGGCGACCTGTTAGAACACTCTGGAGAATCAAGGCAAGGTAGACGGATCCAGCCTGAAGGTTTCACAACCGCGAGAGTCCGCCCGTGGTTGATCAGATGTCCGCAAATCTTGTTGAAACTTCTTGATAGACGAGGGCTGATAACGGATATTACGTTATAGATCCAACTTATCCAGCTAGCCCTTCTGAGGTCAGACGTACTGGCAGATCAAGTAGCAGCAAGCAGCGAGAAGACCCAACAAGCTTGAATTCATTAAGAACTGAAGCCGGAGACGTATCCGTCCTGTTTCTTCTTGCGAAAGGGCGAGCGTTGTCTCGAATACCCAGCAAATGCTGTACAAGCATCTACGGTTCAAAGCCACGAAGGGCACCATTTTAGACCCCTTCAATTCGAAAAAGGCAAGAAATAGAAGTTGGAAGTCCGCCTTCAATCTTCCCCAATCTCATATCCTGCCACATGCCATATGTTTGAAAGGAGGATCCAACAGCTCACTTGGATAAACTCTTTGACGTTCATCGCTCTGAACGACTGGAAGAATAAAGCGGCGACGCTTGGGACTTGATCATCGAGATGGAGCAACCGTCTCTGAAGCCGCCAATCTTATGTGGCAACGGCTAGACAAGTCGAACACATTCAAAGGTGGAAGGTTGAAGGTCGCTATTCGTGGTAGAAACGAGCTCGCTCAAGCGCTCCGAAAGTCCTTCGAAAAGATCTTTCGTTTGGTGTCAAAAAGCGTACCAAAACGCAGATCGACAAAACATAACGGGTATCTTTAGAGGGGCTCACCAGCTGGGCCAGCATGGTCAGGCTGGACCGGGCGTCCCGTTCGTCGACGACCTCGCGGGGGAAGGCAACGCGCAACTCCTCCAGTTGCTGCAATCAAGGTCGGCAGGAGGTTTGGGTGAACAACGAAAAAGGACTTAAGGACTCTCGGTGTTTCACAATCTGAGACGGTTACGGACTTAACATGGCTCTGAAAGTCTGGCACTCTACAGCACACCTGGCACAAACCAGGTTGGCTTTTGAATATTAACTATTGTCCAAAAAACTGCCTCCAGCCTCCACCTGATTTGTCGCAAACACACTCCAGATTTTTAATACGCGTCCGACCTTTCAAATCTTGTAACTTAAACTGAAGAAGAACGGCTTCAGTCTCAACCCTCCAAACCGCCCAAAGTATGCAGTGACAGTATCTCGACGAGGTCTGAAAAGACACCTATGCTTTGGCACTAAATTCTCACCGCAGATTTTGACAATTGTTTTCTCGAACACTGGAGCAGCGGCCAGCAGCAGGAGTTTAAACCTTGCGGTTCGCCTCTGAGATTCTCAAGACTCGCTTGAACACTAGATAGCATTAGCTGGGGGCCTCACTTTGGGCTCGTGGTACAGGACCTGCAGGTTGAACCCGAGGCGGTCCACCCAGGTTATCCGCGCCACGTCAATGTCCTTGTCAGCGCCGGCCAGCACGCGGGGGAAGCGCTGGATGTCCTCAAACATGAGCTGGTTCATGTCCTCCACAATGGCCGGCGCGCAGTCTCGCAGGGGGTCCGCCGTTGCTGCCAAGTAGTCCTGACCGGGCACCCACAGCTCTTCCTGCGGAATGGAAAGTATATCTTCAAAACATAGGTTTCCAGCAATGCTGAATTGACGGTCTCTCAGCAGACTCCATCTGGCATGAGCCCCTTGGACTTTCACAGCCAAACCGCTGAGGACCTTGACAATCCAATTGTTGAGATTCGAAGCACACCTTGCTTCCAGGGTTCCAGGTAAGATGGGGACATAGGTGCTCGCACACAGCCAGAACCGAAATCTTAGGTTAAGCTTGATTCGCCAGACCCTGCTAGTAACCTTCATTAACCGCAGGCAGAAGTTGGCAACAATTGACGCACCAAAGAATCATGTCCGAGTCTGTCCGCTAGGAAGCTTTGATTGGGCCCTGAGCATCAGCCTTCGCGCCCTTTAGTACCACGTACAGGTTGCAAGCTATGGTACCTGGCATCAGGCTATCAAGGTTTCAGGTGCCGGCCAGCCAGTAGATTGGAGTAGACTAGATCTGCGGGCCTCACCACTCCGATATCTGGGGCATAAAGCACCTTTTCCACGTCCAGCCGGTATATCTGAGCTTCGTCGCTTTCCTCGCCGTACTTCCGCTCCCAGGCAGTCCTCATCGCCTGCAAGCACCATCGACACGATGTTTGTGTGACCAAGTGGTGCGAAGTACAGGACTTATCATTAAAGCAATGCTTGTGACCACCATTGAGAGGCACAGAGGTTACGAGCACGACTTCTGACAGAAGGCGCAGGTGCTCCCATTTGGATGGACACACGAAACGGCAGACTCCATAAACAAAGCAGGTTGTCAGCCCAACCGCTTCAGAATGTGTGTTCCATAGCCCCCTTTTCGTAAGAGAGTTGTTACCAACTTTCTGTAGCCAGCACATGGTGGTGGCGCTCTTATCGCAGATTAGTGTCCGAGATTGTCTCACCGTGAGGGCCTTCACGTCTCCCTCTGGGGGGCGCCGGATGTGGCCTTTCAGGGTGACTTGCGGCTTATGCCCTCCTGGCAGAAGAACCTGCACCAAAACAGTCCTTCAAAAAGGCGAAGAAGAATATGTTGCTCGAGATTTTTCCTGTTGCAAGATGTTTCTCTACTGCCACAAGATGCGGGCTTAGGCCCGTCATACAAGCTAGCAGGCTTGATTCGGTCATGCCGTACCGTCAGTCTAGCTCTATCCCTCTGAATACCCTAGCCAAGCCCAAGTGCAACTTTATATTGACGTTGCTTGCTGAATGTCCCTTGCAATCAAAGCATAGAAAAATGCTTTGATACTTGATACTTGATCATCTTCAATGTGGAGATTAAATGAAGCATTCCAGTGAGAATGTGGCTCTGGCTCATCCCTCTTGTCAATGCAGCAATGCTGCTACGAAACACACCACCAAAGGATGTGACACGCTCTTCGATGCAAACCTGGACATGAAGAGTACAGCGGGCGTCCGCCTCCACATGGCCAGTGTGAATAGCCCTCAAGTGCAGTAGCAGCACAGGGTTGCCGTCCTCTGGAAGAGCAAACCGCACGTGCGTCCCAATCGGCCACCCATCCTCCCCCACCGTCCCAAGAGTTCCCTCGTCTGAAATCTCAACCAGCGTCCGAGCCTGCTCTGCAAAGGTCGGCGTTGCAGGGTTGCCTGACTGAGCGTCCACCCGCTCTAAGAGAGCTGCCGATGCTGCAATGGTGGCCTGAACGCGACTACCCACTCGCCGTGTTTTGCTTAGAGTGGGGAATGTTCTGGAGGAAAAGCGTTTACAGCCAGGCTGGGAAATCAAAGAATTTGGTGTCAGGCGCCGGGATGGACGCCAGACCCGGTACTCAAAGTTGCTCCCCTCGGTGGCAGGCCCCGTTTCTCTGTGGGTCCCTAGATTGTATAGTTGGGAAGCACGTCCAAAAGCAGTGCTGTATGTGGAGGCCATTGTGCTAGTGCTCCAGGTTAAGTGACAAAAATGAGGCGAAGGACGCTAACAAACTGTTAGAAACACGGGGACGAGTGGTAACTCTTTGAAATAGCTGATGAAGAAAATGTGACAACTGCGCATTAGCGGTGCCGGTACTCAAGGCCCCTGGCCGCAAACGCTGCCCCGTGAGAGTTGGCCCCTGCAGCAACTTTCAGTTTTCAGCAGCATTTACTTCAGGGGCCTTCTAGCACCACTCTGCCTTTCGAGCATCCGGCCAACAGCTTCCTTCTTCACCTGCAGCTCAGGCGGGCAAACACTTTGAAATGGAGCATTGGCAATGTGGACAAGACGAGCACCTTCCCGGCCTCTCTAGTCTACAGCAACTTGCTACACAAAGAGTACGGTAAGCGAAACTTCGAAAGGAGTGTCATGGATAAGATTGTCATCAAATCCTACATGTCGACTGTACAGCTTGGTGATAGTTGACACTCCCTACTGTTTAGGGTAACGCATAATCATTAAAGAAAGCCCTGGCCTGCACTATGAACTTTGATGGCACCCACACATTTGGGTGCCCAGCTGGCCGTTGTGTGGTTGTTTGGTTCCTTCACGAATTGCAGAGCCGGCAGAGGGCGACTGTCTCAAGCCAGCTAGCGCTGACATCAGGAGGAGTGAGAACGGATTTCAAGCGGCATTGCAGCTGAGGCTCTTCCTCGTTCCTCAAGATGTCTGCCAGTGGGGTGGTTGCGCGCTGCCAGACGCAGTACAGCTGCTGCCATAGGTCTCAACAAAATGCACAATTGCGCATGCAATCAGGATGTCAAGCAACACCGGGTGGTGCGCTGCGCTTCCAGATCTTAGCGACCAAAGTGCCCAATTGCTGCAGCTTGCTGCAGGCGAGCGAGCGTAAGGCAGGCAAGAAAGTTAGCCAGCAGAGGTGGGGGAACAGAATGCTGGGGAGTGCCTGGCAAGCAAGGAGTAGAAACAGGGTGGGAATTGTACAAATGGGGATCAAGGCCGTCGAAAATTTCAACACCGATTTTGAGCTTGATTCTGTGGTGAGGAGTTCTGCTGGACATGTGTAACTTTCCGTCCGCACTTTGTTTGGCGCATCTCAGTTATCTGATATCAGACAGTCTGCTCAATTATCGCCAGAGTACTGCAATTGTGAACATTACCTACTGCCACCACCAGCTGAAAGCATAGAATTAAGTGGCCGTTTCTCATGTGCCAAGGGTAAGCTCCTTGGATTCCTTAATGCAGATATGCACCACCACCACATCGCATACATCAAGCTGCCTTTTCCTGTATATGCCAAGACACAGTGTGTTCTTTCTCAATGTTTGATTGCTCTGTCGCGATCCTTCCGGTTGCTTGAAGTGTCGGCCTACAGTCTTTCTTGAAGGTCTGCATGGTTGAGGAATGTCTGCAATGACAGTGTGTAAGCTGCAGACAAACATCACGAGAGTTTCTTCTTTGCGCAGTCAGAGGAGCTTCTCCACAGTCTGCTTCGTTCAGATGTGTTTGCCGGTCAGGTAAGTTTGTCGAAGGGCCCCAATTGTGCAGTCTCCTTGTACAGCACATTTGCTCTAAAAACCTGAGAGCGGTCATATCTGGCACCAGTGAAAACCTGTCGCCGTAATCAATTGGCCATGCCAGCTTTCCATGACCCTCTACAAATGCCTCGAAGAGTCTTACTTTAGCACAGGCTTGGTTTGTTTGAAGTGGCGCGAGGTAGTCTGCACAACATGATTGTATCAGTGTGTTGCCCCTGCAGGTCGCAACTCAACCAGGGGTCCCTCCTGATTGCCAATGGGAGTTTTCTGGGATGCTCTTCCAACCTGTGCCATGGAGTGTCAACACAAAGTTTGGGATGCCACAGGTAAGCGGGATGCTCTTCCAAACAGAAGCTGTGAAGTCTCCTGACTTGGTAGGCATTTCAATGATATGCAGGTTATTTGAGTGCAGGCATCACTTCTCTGGCGCTCACCTGTGACATGTTTCTAGCGGTCACCTGCCATGGGTGACCGCTCTTCTTATTCGCTAAAGGAAGTGTGATTGCAAGCTTTCTCTGCTCGCCTTTCATACTTCATAGAGCCCTGCTACTCTCCAACCAGCACTCAGTAGACCTGAACGTTTGGCAGTCAGCGTCACTATGATAGAACCAAGGTCACTGTCGTTCCGCCGACGACAAGCAGGTGTGGATTCCTCGAGAGGTTCTTATGACTCCCCACGTACCTTGTTGGCCACAAGCTTTGCACACGATTCTATGTGCAACAAACGGATTTCTGATTATTGCACATAGAGTCGTGTGCAAACCTTGTGGCCAAAAGATTGACAACCTCGCGACAACTCATTTCTGGAGTCCCGCAAAGTCATGACCGACTTTGTTGAGCCTTTCAAGCACATGCGCATACGTTCAAGCACACACCAGCATGGTTCGAACAGACGTCCCTTAGGCAATATTAATGGAACCGAAAGTCGTTGGGAGGTTCAGGATATAAACTGAGAAGCATTCGTAGATGCGTCATGTTTTGCAGTGGTCTTCCTTGTTTTGCCAGAGCAGTACGTCTACTTAAGCTCTGAGCTGATACAGATATTCAGTCAGAAATCAGTGTTGCAGATATCAGTTTTGCAGTTATCTGACGGCCAGTCCAATATCAGGGTTGCAAAGACTGAGCCTGAACGAAAACCGAACTTGAAAGATATCTGTGAAAGATTCAGAACTGAGCGGGGAACTGTGATTATGTCGCCAACTTTTATCTGTACTACGCATCTGTCTTGTGCTGAAGTGACAGATCGTAGATGCTGCCTCCAATTCGACAGTGTTGGTTAGTACAGGCCAAGTTGGTTCAAGCGTTCTCGAATCATGGTCGAATTGAGGCGCCTTACTTCGTTAAACCGGCAGACGAACCGGGGGGAAATCTGCTTTGATTCCGGTTCGAGGCCGAGCCATTGAGTTTGTCCCCGCTTTGTGGCCTGTTTGGAGCGGATGTGCCTGAGTGTTGACCGCTTCTTCGAGGCATTTGAACGTCTGTGCACCACTCTTTGCAGGAGTACGAGAAGTACTTGCAGGACAAGGAGAATTACGTCGTCCTGAACGTGCCTCCGAACTACATGTTTCAAGCAAAGGTAAGAGATACTCAATTTTGCTTACACTATTTGAGAATCACTCTCATGGTCGATGCAGCGTCTGAACGTCTGAACGTCTGAACGTCTGAAAACTTAGCCTCTTCTGAAACGGGTGGGCTGTACTTTGTTGAATCGTTTTCCACTAGAAAGAGCCAAATTCGGGAGACAGTCAGATCATCCTGGAAGTTACAAAACATTTGGTTCTCCATCGAGATTGTTACGACTATGCGAGCAGTAGCCCTAACCGGGCACCGTGAGGTGTTTCAAATAGCTGGGGGCTCTGGGCAACAGATTCCGGAAGTCACAACAAAACCGCTGATTTAAAGGCGCCTGCACTCTCCACTTTGCGGGAACGCTTCCTCATAAGAGGTCTTCTGATCTACCCCCATACTCTCACGCGATTATGGAGATGGTGGTTAAAAACGCGGCGCAACTTTTTCGGACGCGGTCTTGCCGACCTGCCTAGAGTGTTTGACAAGAGGAGCAGGATAACTTGACTCCTGTGATGGACTCCGCTGAAAGGACTCTATTTGATTGTGGTTGGGCGTTCGAACCTGTTCCACAGTTGGGATATGCTGTGGCACTGGGCCCTTTTGGCCCCAAGCCTTGAACATGTCGAGCTGCAACTGCAATTTCTCTGTAATCACCACCCTAAGGATGCCTGCTTGCGAACAGCTTTAGAAATCAGTTCACCTGGACAATCATGTTTGTGACCGTCCATTAGCAGGCTGTCCTTAACGCTCTTAATTAGACCTACCTCCTGCAGATCTTTCGCCCCTCACGACTTTGCGCAATCTTCCAAAGAAAAGACAGCGGCACAAACGCAACATAGTCGCTTTTCGTCAACGCACACTGCCTGATTCCGGGAAACCCTGTTGCATTATTGTTCGAGTTAGAGCTTGGGAAACTTGAAAGGACTTCTCAAGTAAGTTGGTGTACGAAAACGGAGAGGGCGAGCGTGACCGTGCCTTGAAAGCTTATTGATGTGGACGATATTGCTGGGCGAAAAGTATGTTGGACCGTCACTCAGTTCGTGCATCCGTCAAATGGTGGCGGTTGTTATTTCACTCGAACGAGTGCGCATTAGGAGATCTGGTCTCTCGTGCCTTGATTGGTCTGTCTTAAGGTACATGACAGATACACGTGTATGCCACTTATTATATTCGTTTTGAACCGGACTTAAGCCAGAATTTTCGGCAGGAAGGTTTGACTAGTTTTATTGTCAACATTCAAAGCCACGCTCAACTTCCACACAATGAAGTGGAAGCTTCTCAATTAATTCCTACAACACAATAAACAAAATCATACGTAGTTGGCCAAGCTTCAAATCGATTTAGGTCCTCGATATAGCTGCCAAGTTGTCAGTGTCTTTTTGCGTGCATATGAATGCATACATGTTGGGTTCCCAAGTTCCCATGATTATACCCGGCGATTTCTTCGGTACTGCTAAATGATCAAATCTTGTTTTGTCTTGCATGTGATGCGGAGGAGGGGCGGAGGAGTCATGTGGCAGACGGCTTCTCAGCTCTTTTGAGCTCATGTATCAGCACAACACGATAATTGCAGTGGCGCCCCTAAAACGATTATTCCGGAAAACACAAGATGCTCAATAAGCCTGACTCCTGACCATGGCAATCGCGCAATCGTCAGCTGGTAAGCTGGAGGCGGAGTCCCGTGCCGTAGCAGTGGGCCTGGCCGTCTTGCTCTCCCCTTCAATGCTCTCGAGTCTAGGTACCTAGCCAACTAATAGTACCCACAGCTACGGAATACGGTAGGTAGAGTACAGCTACTACCGGTAGAGACCTAGCTACTACCTTAGGTACCTATTGCAAACCGTACACGGTATGATACCTACGCATAGGTACCGCAAACGTGCCTACGGTACCTACCTATGTCTTGTCGTATACGGTACCGGTATGGTACCTATACGGTAATAGGTAGGCACCCTGAAATCATGTCATGCCTACAGGCTACCGTACGTGGTTTGTACCTATGCAGAGTAGGTACTAACCGGGAAGTTGGTACCGTAGTGGTGGGAAACCCCGAGATCCGGGGAGAAAGTACCACCGTGACGGTCCGGGTACCGTATGGCTCCATTTTGGCGCAATCTATAAAGTGGTACCTACCTTTGCAAGTACGGTACGTACCCTTAGCGCTGTGCCTGTCTTCCAGTACCAACCTCACATTAGGTACATACTAGGTACTGTACCAATAGGTAGGTACCTGCATAGGTAGATAGGTACCTAGGTACCGTAGTGCGAATCTTGGCCCTTGCGTGCTCGGCACTGTAGTGTGCACACGCTGACAGTGCACACACTACTGAGCACATAGGGAGATCTTCTACCATCCATTTTGACGCCCTTCTCTCATCGAATCAGAATGCTTGATAGTGGACCGCCTCAAACTAAGAGGAATCTTGCACCGTCCACGTTGATGCGACTGGCACAAGCCCGAAGGAAACGACAACCAGTGGGTATAAAAGCTCCAACCGAATGTGCCAGTCAGAGAGGACAATCAACGACTTCACCTGAGGTGTAACATCACCCGAAAGCTTCCCGTATCGTTACGCAGTCCTCATTGACCGAAAATAACCTCCAAGGGGGTCTGCTCCAAGTACCCACAAAGGGAGACCTTCGGTTCAGACTCGCGTTCCGTTCTGCAGCCAATGGGGTTTGAGCGTCGATGCTCCGTGAACGGAGCGCAACTCCTCCACACTTGTCACGCTCGTGCTGTAGCCTGTAGGTACCTACTCGAGAGTCAGCATGTACAAAAGCGTACATTTGCCATGCGGTCACCGGTGGCCAGTGTTCAACTGCTTGGTACGGTAGGTACCGTACTCGTCAGAGTTGGCATGTTTTGCACCCACCACCTGGGGGCGGCGACTGGATTCTGATTCTGTGTGCTTGATTCTGCTTCACTCGATTCTTGAGACGCTGCAAGCTGTGCCGCAGTTGTCGCCCGTACGTGCATGCTTGGGGCAAAGCAGGAGTGCCGTTGTCCGCCATTCAAGCTGGCAAGGGGACTCGTGCTTGTGTTGCAGCATTGCTTTTGAAAGGGTTTCTTGATGTTGACTACTCGATCACAGGTCCCTGAAAAGTTCATTGATGCACGTTCCGTAATTAGGTGTCCTTTGTAGTTAGCCCTAGGTTTTGGTTTCTTGGCTTTCTTTCTTCTTTCGAGTGGCCCGATCAACGGGGGAACGCCTGTTCCGCAGTCACGCCCAGTATGCAGCAGAGCGAATCAGCAGACAGTCACCATGTCGAAGCCATGTTTGCAGACGGGAGCCCCACATCCTCTGCAACCTCTTTCCCAGCACTCAGTCGCGTAGTTGGGCCCCCTATGCTGCCAGGCTCTGCAGCTTTGCCCGCCACGGACTACTTGAAGTGCGACGTCTGTCAGGTTAGTTTTGTGGCCCGGTCTTGCCAGGTCTGGAGAAGGAGAGGAGACAAGAGTTTGCGCTTTGGGGCTTGTTCATCTTGCGATAGTGCTTTCAACAATAATACTGGCTTTGTGCTTGGGTGCATGCTGTTGGCCAGCACCCTGTTTCTTGTGTGCCCCTTCCTCACTCTTCTGTCTGCCCGTGCAGGAAGCTCGTGCAATCCTGTTCTGCCCCCGAGACCGCTCGTGCTTCTGTCAGCAGTGCGACTTTGCCGCTCACGCAGGGGCTCAGTCCACAGCCTGCCACGAGCGATACGCGTTAGCTCAGACAAAAATCACCCGCATGCCCCTTGAGAAGCCAGCTAGCATGCCTGTAGCGGCGTCCCTTCCCCAGCGGGTCCCCCCAGGGTGCACTCCGTCTGATGAGGAGGCATTCCTGGTTGATGACTTGCTGGACCTTAGTGAGGCCAAGGGGGAGAGCAGAGTAGACAGCGCTTTCTCCCCAAGCCAGGAACAGCAAGGGCAGGTAGAACAGCAGAGGGAGCCTGAGAGGGAGCCCCCCTCAGCATCAGGGGCAACTTCATGGGACTCTGAGGAGGTTGGGGAGGTGGGGGATCTGTGCGACTTACCGGTGAGTCTATCTTAGAGCTGGGGTCTAGCTGGACAGGTGGTTAAGTTGTAAGCCTCGACAGGCAGGTTACTTGCTCAATCACGAAAATGCTGCTGGATTGTACTTGGCATTGCCTTACTTGAGCAAGGCAGACATGGCAGCTGGTAGGAAGCTCAGGGTGTCCTACTATCCCCTAACGCACCAGAGAAGAATCCTGCTGAGACAGCACAGCATTCCTTTGAGCCGTCGCTCGCTAAGTGTCTTTGGTCACCATCCGAGCACTGGGGCTGAGGCAGCCGTTGTACTTTGACAGGGGTGGATATTGATTGAAAGCCCACAGGGTGCTGGTTTGTCAGCTTTGCGAAGCCCTGGCCTCCTTCATTCAGTGCCCTCGTGGTTAGGTTGCAACAATGTGGGGCAGAGCAGGCCTTGAAGAAGTGCTTGCCATGAGTTTGTGGCAGGCTGTAGCTGGCTGGTGAATGCAATGCGCGCATTGCTCACATCATGCTGACGTCACTATGCAGTGCGACGACCTTGCCGAGCTCGATTGGCTGTCCACGTTTGTGGAGAACTCCTACTCCAGCCCTGACGGTGTGCCGCTCTCGGCGCCTGATGGCGGGGGGGGCCTCGCTCAGGGGGCAGAGCACCCCCTCAAGGGCGTCGGCATGCGCAGCAAGCGGCAGCGGGCCAACCCAAGTCGCACCTGGTCCGCTGAACTGCTCATTCCTCGAGATGACGACCTACCGAAACGCCCCAAGTTCAATCGCAGCTGGAGCACCAGTAACCTCGCTCGCCCCTCCAAACCCTTCCATCGGTCGGCCATCCCCGAGGCTGCCAGCTGCTCTGACCTCTCTGCCCTCGAGAGGGCCTGCACTCAGTCCCAGGTCGGAATTGAGTGCGAGCCGGCCCCCCCTGAACCCCCTGCTGGCATTGCTGGTGCCAATTTCGAGCAGTTGCCCCACCCGCTGAGGCGGTGCCTCCACTGCGCCTCCACAAAGACCCCCCAGTGGCGGGCTGGCCCAATGGGTGTCAAGACGCTCTGCAATGCGTGCGGCGTCCGGTACAAATCAGGGCGGTTGGTGGCTGACTACCGGCCAGCGGGTTCGCCTGGATTTGCGGAGGGGAATGGGAACAAGCCCAACTATGGGGGAAAGGGGGCCCCGCCCTGCCCGCCGATTGCGAGGAAGAAGCTTCTGATTCCCAAGGCTGCACGCAGGATGGTGCCTAAGCCGAAGCGAGAGTTTGGAGTCGAAGAGTTGTCGGGGTATTCGTGCGACGAAATGGAGATGTAGGTCCCGGAGTTTCCCTGTGTGTTTGTGTGTCGTGTTAGTGTTCTTGGTAGTGTGCCCTTTAGGGGTGTAGACATTATTCTTTGTCGCGGGTGGGAGGGGAGCAAGTACGGGGCCTGTAGCTGCAGGCTGCTCCATGGACCAAGTTGAGGCGACCCCACTGACCGATCTGCGCCGCTGTGATCTGCGCATCTAGAGTAGTGTAGCCTTTGCTTCGTGCACATTGCACGCGGGCAGGGGCAGAATTTGCGTAGTTTGCGCGATCGGTAGCCTCACTGTGACTGTCCATGTAGTAGTAGGTCAAACATCTGACTGCAACAGAGCCCCTGTGTAAGGCTCAAAGTGTTCTGGAGGTTGGGGAGGTAATGTACTTGACACAAACGTGTGACTGTATTTAGGTCGTTGTTGGGTCTCGGCTTGAGAAGCCTTGCATGATTGAACAGTCCTCCTCAACCCTCTTGTTGGTTGGTTGCATATAAACCAATGTGAAGCTGAATATGCTCGCGTCAATTCTCAGTTGCCCCTTCTATGCATACATTTTGGAACATGCATGCATGATCGTGAAACCTGCAATCTCATGCATACCTGTGCATTGCATGATCGGACGCATGTGTGCATTATCATTTGCAAGAATGGGACAATTGACTGAAAATTGCTGCATGCGAAATATACATGGACTCGGTTAGCATTATAAACAAACGCGGTCAGCAATTATTCCCCTACAAACTGCTTGCAGAACAAACGTTTTCGATCATGATATTTGCCACCGTAAATCCGAAATGGCATGGTCATGATTCACGTCTATCTGACCACAATTTATACAATTTGCCTGTCCAGCAGAGGAGTAACCATGTTTGGACGTGAACAAGACTCTATTGGGCCCGCCTCATCATGGCTGATGGAGAGAAAGTCACCCTTCAACTCTCGCTTTGCCGGCAGCTTGCTCCACGCTTAAGAAAACATGCGAAATTGTGCTGATCTGACTGATCAGCAACGGAGCCAACGGAACTGAATCAAAGCAGACCAACGAATGCAAGCTTACTCGCGGTGGATATCCAAAGCTCAGAAACCAGGCCTAAGGGGGTAAACAAGCCTTATCACGTTCTGCTTCGGAAGCTTTTTCACTGGGTTCTCCACACAGGGCTGACGATCCGAAGGGGACAATCATACAGATCATACTGCCCCTTCAACTCGAAAAACCGGTTTATTCTAGCGCCTGCTGTACACGGCTGGCTGATCCGAGGTTGGTTGGCTTTTGCGAGTGAACTTCAATAGCAGCGCTTCTATAGATTGGCCGGGTGTTTTCAACCCTCTGCAAGGAAGAGGGCCGGTGTCAGGACTGCATACTCCTGCTCAATGTCACCCAGTTTTCACTTCGAAGCTATAGTGTCTGGACGAAAACATAAACCACGAACGAAGCATGCCCTCTGTGCTTTGCCAAGGAGCAGCGTGTCACTGACTGGCTTATTTCCGGAGTCTGCAGATACGGAACGTCGGATCCGGCTGGCTCCTTGCTCGTTCCTGCCCTAGTTTCCAAACAAAGCCAGACAGTCGCCAGGCCTTCCACGAGCATCAGAAGATCACAAAGGGGTATTGCGGGCTGGAATCGACAGTATTGCAGCCTCCCTTCTTCCCGATTGACTTCTGGGCAATCACAACGTCAGTCCATGAAGATCTTTTCTAAAATGGCACTACTAGAAAGAATTATTGAACTCGTCTCCCCAGTTCTGACCTCTTTTGCATTTGATCATCAACGACACTCAGGATAGCTGCAAAGATGTCGGTTTTGAAACAGTCCCCGGAGACCGATGCTTTGAAAGACTCGGCGACTCACTTGAGGTACGGCTCCAGGTCTTCCCAGTGCCACCGTGGCTTCTGCTGGAATAACACGTCAAACCGCTCCGCAGGTTTCGCCGGCAGGAGCGCGGCGCTGAACGGCCGCAGCCACACCTCCCCCCCCACTTTCTCCTCCAGCGCTTCCCCCCTGAGTAAGCTGCGGTCCGGTTTCATCCCCACGGGCAGGTCCTGCGCCCACGCCTCCATAAAGTCCTCCAGCCGCCACTTCGACCCCGTTGCAGCCAGCAACTGCCGAGCTCGGTGGAGGCAGACCGTCTCTGAATGCAAGGCCCACACTTTCTCCGGTTTGCTTGAACCCCTTCCGGAACCTCCTGGCATGCCCCCGCCCCTCCGTTCTTCGTCAACATCCATGTCGGACGGCTCCTCTGTAACATCAGCAGCAGCGTCTGTCTTTTCTTTCTCTCCCATTTGCCCCTCCCCACTCAGCCGTGCGCAGGTTCTAAGGCAGTGCCGGACCATGTGTTTCGAGTAACCGTCCGAGTGCATTGCTGACACGAGCGGCTCCTCTGGGAGGGCGCTCAGGGGCCAGTCGTGTTCCACTGCCGTGCACAGGATCATGTCCAGAAGCATCCGCATGTACTTCTCGTCCACCAGTCGCCACTTGCCGTTTACCTGAAACACGTTAACTGCTGATTGATCAACACCAGTTTCACTGCCATCCTTTGGATTAGAGCCATGCTAAAACAGACTTAGACTCATGGTAGCCTACTGTGGAGGATCGTACAGAGGCTTCACAAGCTCCGCAAGCCTTTCACAGGGACGAGTTTTGGTTCTATCATGTGATATCATGCCATTTGACACCTCGGGAGGGTTGAGCATTGGCTACCACTGAATTCCACCTCACAAAAGACTCGCATCCTGCCAGTGCCGTTCCTGAGAATCACATCACGTGGTTGAGATAAGTCCTTCGTTCGTGATCTTTGACTTTTGAGCAGTGACTTGTGGCGACTTAGTGCAGAACTTATTCGAGAAGTCACAGCTCTTCCTCCTTATGCATTCAGATGGGAGAAGAGAATTGAAAAAGTGGTTTCCAAACTCAAACTCTTGCCTGGAGCGGCTACACCACTTGGTTCCTCACCTCTGCTGCATTCAACACCCTCAAAGCTTCCCGCAGCTCTTGTTCACTGGCCTGTACCCGCTCCAAAAGGTCCTCAAACGAAAAAAGCTCCTGTGCTGATTCGGGTGGTGATTGTGGACCATCATCTTCGTCGATCGCTCCTGCCTCGATCTTCTCTTGCTCCAGCTCTTCTGCTTCACTGTTCTGGACAGGAGGGCAGGCTTACGATGTCAGATTAGTGACAAGTATGGCATGGGCAAGTCCAAGATGTACGGCCACTTTGGCAGTACTGGTTGACAGGTTGCTTCTGGTCGTATGCCTTCATTGGACACTTTCTGACAGATAAGCCCGGGCGTATAGCTTCAATTAAAATACAGCAAGTCAACAATGTTTACTATTTTCTGAGTGGCAGGTTGACGATGCTTTAGCCCAATCATACTCTCTGCATAGAATGCAGTAGCGCTATCTAGACCTTGGCTTAAAGATGCATTCGAGTAAATTCTTCCAGATCTGGACAGATTGGTTACACATGCCCATAGGTAGCTCCAATTGGCTACAGTCATTTCCCCCAAAAAGTCCTGTGACATTGAGAATATCTCCTGGTGTGCGCTCAAGATGCCAATGCTGGCAGTAGTGTAAAGTCACAACTCTGAGAGAAACCGGTCAACACTATCTGAAGTATCTCACCTGATCATACCGATTTCTGCTCAGCAAGGTTTTCAAAGTGTCCAGTTTTGGTGCAGTCTCTACCAACTCCAAGTACCCCGGGGCTGCGAATGTGACCAATGCTTGCGCCCCTGTCCAGCTCCCACGACTGCCTCTGGACTCCTTTTGAGATTCCTCGGGCATAATGAACATGGTGTTTGAACTGCCCACAAACTTGACGGCATACGTCTTGCTCGAGGTGCAAAGTACGGCTTCTTCCTCTGGCTCTCCCTTGATGTGGACACTGCAAGAGTCAGCAAAGAGCTTCAACTTGTGCAGATCGGGATCAGAATGTTGGAGAATCAGACCTAGACAGATGTAACTCTCTACATGGCTTTCAAATGATTGATCTCGTCTTTTACAAAGAGCATGGTTTGATTGAAAGTGACTTCTGCCTTACTTCCAACATCCATAATTGCTCCTTTTATGTGAATTAGATGCACGCGCCGTACATGCTTACCCATTTCGCAGCATCTCCTGCAGAATGTTCTCCTCCAGCTCCACCAGATGCAGGTCGTCTGTTCCAAACGCAGGGCCATAGGCAACCTCCACTTCTTCCCCAGGCCGCAACTTCATAACTGGCGGCCGGTCCTAGTTTGGTGCATAAACTGGTCCTTACTTTCTGATTTGAGAGATCGAAGAAAGAGCAGCTCTTCTTGCGGCGCCTACTTCTTCCGCGTCTCCAGCCTCCAGGTCCCCATCATCTGTTTCTTCCTTCTGCTACCTATACATGGCCAATTGAGCTGTCAACAAAGGTCATGATCAAAGTCAAGCACAAGTTGAACATTTCCCGCCATATCCAAACCCCGCAAACCCTGAACCGTACGATGTGCAATCGGACGACCCAGAACACACATGTTGCGTCGGACTATGCCAGTGGCAGGCTCGCGGGTTACTTCTGCAACACCGCGACTCTGCAGCTATCCTAGCCTGTTGAAGGAATCGTGGGCGCACCTCAAGGCTCACCTAAGCCTAATCGAGGCTGGAGGTGGTGCCAGCAAAGATCATTTTGAGGGAAAAGTCAGGCTGCTCAAACGTGGCTTTCCTCCATTCCTTTTGAGAGTCATTCTTTGCAGAGTGGTGCAGCGTGCTGCATTCAGCTGTTGACTTGGCACAGGAGTATGGGGGCCAGCAAACGATGACCTCCAGATTGCGGGTGTTGCAGCGCTTGCACCTGAATTAGAGCCAAATCCTATTCTGGTGAAAGATGGAACCCCAACAAATCGCTGGCCCACTCAGGGAGCTGGTGGTGAAGTTGCTAAGGAGTACGGATGACGGCACGAGCAGCACTTCTTCAGTCCCGGAGGCGTCCATCTCTAGAACTTATCAGTACGCTTTGCGGCTTTTGGGAAGCAGGATCTCGGCACCCTTGGCTAGTGACGAAGCTGCAGTAGTGGACTCAATCAAGAGGAGTCTGATTCATAAGGGCAGGGCGTCTGATGCTCTTACATTCTCCAACCTACATCAAAGATTAGGGGGTCCACCTGGGCCTGGCAAGCTGGGCAAGCGGTGGAGCCTCCTCTACCTTCTGAAAAGTATTGCGGAAGACAGGTATGTAGCTGCCTTAACGCCGGAACTGATGCATACACTGCCACCAGAGCTGGTGAAAGACGGGTAAAAATAAGTCTTATGTTTGGATCGCCATCTGTGATTCAAGCACCTCCCTACAAGAGATGATAATCTGGTCAATTGTGATTTTGTTGCACTTGCAAGTTTATCCAGGCATAGAACTGAGGCACACAATCAGTAGCCTCTGAAATGAAACTGACCCCTCACAGCATTGTTGGAATTGAAGTCTTCCATGGTGGTGCAACTGTCATGACCAATTACTCTCATGTAACTCTCTCTTGAAAGGCATTCATTGCTGGGACTTCAACTTTTTGTCATGCTGTTATACTTTATCCATTGCGTGAGCTTTCTTTTTGTGTGCACTACGGCTGCTTACCATTTCTTCTCATATGCAGGGCCTCTGATGAGAGTTCCTCTGGACACGGTTCTTCCGGCTTTGAGTGGAGCATCTCTACCCCTGCGGCAGCTGGAGGCCTTCCTGCACGTCCCTTCGATAGTCGGTCCAGCACCGCCAATGGAGTTTCTGCAACCAGCAAGAAAAGCCACAGAAGCACTGAACAGCTGGCTCAGAACGAGTCTGAACTCCGGACGGACAGTACAGCACAGCTAGCGGTCGCCCCGAAAGGCAATGTGGACTCTCGGCAAGCAGCATACCAAGAGTTCATGCACATAAGACATACTGATGCTCAGGTTTCGGAGCAGGACCTCGTTCGGGATGTAGTATACACGTGTCAGGGCATTGACGGCAAGCACATCAAGTTTGATGCAAAAGCGGACGGGTTTGTGATCACCGACAGCGTGCGACTTCCAAGAGGGGCCCGATTACTCATACTCAAACTTTGTGAGTTGGGGTGGTTGTATAGGAGAATACGGACATATGTGAGTGAGCGCCTCTCGCCCGCATCGCTCGAGTTGGTAGGACAGGCGTTTGGTTCCGCTCTGCAACAAGAGCTGGCTGACTACTACAGGCTCATGGCAGTCTTGGAAGCACAGGTGCAGCAGAAGGCGCCCGGCCCTGGGGAATTGGCAGGCCAGAGTACTGGTGGTGGTTCCTACTTGTCCTTGCGAAGGTGACTTGACTGGAAAACTTATCACCGCCTTCGGTGTCGCTTTGAATACTGTCTCAACGACTCAGTTTTGCAATCTGTAAACAACCTGCGACTTGCCGTTGAAAAGTGCGCAGAATTGATGCATTTCAAACCTCGTATCCTGAATGTTGGGTTTGTCAGATGCTGAAGTTGCTAGCCCTTTGTCAAAACGGCATGGAGACCTCCTCGTCAATTAGCTTCTCGAAGTGCAACCAAGTTTCTTGTGCAGGTTAGCGGTTTGGTTGGCTGAGCCCTTGCTACGAATGCGTCTGATGGCCATTCTCGTGGACAACTGCGGGTCACTGAAAGGTGGCGCTTTAGCTAGCGCGCTCCACATGCATCGACAGCACGGGGACCCGTTTGTGCACGAATTCATTGGTCAGCTCCTGGAGAAGGTAAGGAGTCAGGTGCCAGTGCTACTGGTCGCAATACTGGCATCCCATTCTTTTCCATCTCCTGTCCCAATAACGGCGACTGCTCCCCTGAAGGGCATCGCTCGAGAAGGGTAAACAAGCCTTAACAGGCAGACCTTTTGAGTCTGCTTGTGATCAAACTGTCGAACCTTCAATCGATTGCAGTGCAGGCATCTGCAGAATCGTCCGAGCTTTTCGAAACATTGATTTTACCTGCAAAAGTTCGACCCTCAGGCACACCGCTTTAGCCCCATCCTCCATCGCTCTTTTCTCTCAGATGAGTCGCAAGATGATCATCGGGCTTCTTTTGTCACCAGTCAGCATCCAAGCAGATGACGAGTTGAAGAAAGGTCCTTGTTTCAGGTGTGCTTGCCCCTCCTGGAGATGATTCGGCGTTGGGTCCTGGAAGGGGAGCTCGACGACGGGTATCAGGAGTTCTTTATCTCGGGGGACCTGTCCGTGGGGGACGACGGCCTCTGGCGGGACTGCTACAAGGTTCGGCAAGCCATGCTGCCGTCCTTCATCTCTCCGGAGCTGGCCCACCGCATCCTCAGGTGAGCCGTATGCTTTATGAGTGGTGACGTATTCAACAAGAAGGAACGCGGAAGGTATCCTATGCCGTGTGCAGAAACGTCTGTGCTCATTCGGTTGCTCCACAATCTCCTACGCGACGAACACAGCGAACTTTCGAATGCAACAGGTCTCCAAGCTTACGGAGCCTGTCCAGCCGTCTCGCGAGGATCGTGCGACGCAAGCACTGGTCTGAGTAGAGTCATTTTACCTCGTACGTTCACCGTCCGCGTGCTCAGTCGTCCATTCGACCCGTCCCATCCCCGAGCACAACTCTTTGCGAACCTCAAAACTATTCCTTTCGCTCTCCCCTGCAGGGCCGGCAAGTCCATCAACTTTTTGCGCGGCTGCTGCCAGGACGAGGGCTGGGCCGAAGCCACCGACGCCGCCGCGGCCGCCGCCCCTGGCGCGCTCTCCCTGACGTCACCCTCCGGCACTCTCGGCACGCTCGTCGAGGCGGCCGACCAGCGCATCTCCGCGCGCCTGGTGGCGACCATCTTTGGGCGGTACCGCTTCCGGGAGCACTGCCTGGCGATCAAGCAGTACCTGCTGCTAGGGCAGGGCGACTTCATCCAGTACCTCATGGACCTGATCGGGCCGGACCTCTCGCAGCCGGCGGGGCTGGTCAGCAAGTTCAAGCTGGCGGGGCTGCTCGAGGCGGCCGTGCGCGCGTCCAATGCGCAGTACGACGACAGGTGCGTGCTGGATTGTGGGATGACTGTGCGTCTTGCAATCGTTGTCTTTTTTCAACAGAGTTGGCCTCAGTGTTGCTGCTCTTAGCCCATAATCGCTGCAATTGACTAGGACGGACCCCGTGATATCGAAACTTTTGTCGAAAGGAAACGGCAGACTAGGAGATTAGAGTACTGTTACTTAGCTGGTTTTGCAAGTTAGATCTAGGCAACGGTCGATCTCTGAGGTTGATGGATTTCGGTATAAAAAGATGTGGTGTCTGTTGTAAGAGTATTCCTCTGTTTATTCATATTGAGTGGGTCCAATTCTGGCTCGATCGGCTTGAATTGCTTCGTTTGTCCCATGCCTGTTTCGGCACGTTCACACATTGCAAAGAGTCTCGGCCCATTGCTTCAAAATGGATGGTTCGTTTCCTCCCTCGGGCGCCTTCTCACCCTAGATTCCCTCGCGCTTCCCCTTTGCAGTGTCACTCTGGACAAGTTGCGCACGAAGATGCTGGAGAACGGCAACGGCAAATTGCCTGTCTTTGGTGCTTCAATCCCGGTTGCATCCACTCTCGTCGCCCCATCACCTTCACCTTCTTAAGACTATCTCGACCATTTTCTGAACACAGTCTCTTCGTTTGTTTCCTCGAGAGCACTCCCATTCAACCGCTTCCGACCTCCGTTTTGCAGCGCCACGCTGGACAAGCTGCGCGTGAAGATGCTGGAGCACGGCGACGGCGACCGCGGGTGGGACGTGTTTTCGCTGGAGTACCAGGCGGCGTCGCCGCTGAGCACCGTGTTCACGGAGGCCGTCATGCTGCGCTACCTGCGCATCTTCAACTTCCTCTGGCGCCTCAAGCGCGTGGAGCACGCGCTGAGCGCGTCGTGGAAGGTCATGAAGCCCAACGCGGCGGTGGTCAAGCCGGGGCGGGGCAACCAGGAGAGCGCGAAGGTGGGAAGCTTAGTCTCTAAATGTCTCTCTTCATGCAATTCCCTGGAGGTTTTTGAATGTGGAAGACTCGTCAAAGAAGAGTCAAGGTTGAGGGCATCAAACATGGACAAGAAAAGTCAGGTCGCGAAGATTCTCGAGGAGAGCCTAGGTCCGCTCTTCGCCATACTGTCAGCTGTAAAGTCGAAGAAGCACCAGCGGTGAGATACTCGAATCTTCAGGCCACACTCGAACAAGCGATTTGGTGATTGAGTTGGGAGTTAGGTCAAGCGACCTTGGTTAGGACGGCATCGGGGGAGCGGCCAGGCATGGTTGGCTCAGTCATACGTTAAGTTGTACGCAAGATTGTCGTGACAGGCAAAAAAGAAAACTCGAATTTTGCGCTGCCTTTGCGAGTACGCTTTGAAACTGGCAGTGCTGTGTCGTGCTGTGCTGTGTCGGACGGGTTTAAGCTGAATCGTCCGACACAGCACAGGTCAAGTAGTGCTTTTGGCAGCCTTCTTGCGGTGTTGTCCGCAATTCCTGCGCTTGCCCATTCTTCTTTTCCAGCCCAAAGCACTGTGACGCTTGCGAACCCGTCCTCATCGGCCGACTTTGTCGTATCTTCTTTTGCAAGACACACTGACGCAGTTTGCTCTTGCAGACCTTGGCGGATGAGCTACGGCGGTGTCACACTCTCCGCAACGAGATGAACCACTTCGTGACCAACCTCCAGGTAAGCCTGAGGGCCTAGGTGACGCAGGGGACGGGTACCTCTTCGCATCAAATGGTTGGAAGAGCGTGACTCCATACCGTGGTGAATACGTTTCAGCCCGTGGACGCAGCTTTTCGGATCGAGGCAACCAAAAGTTAGCCGGAGCTGGTGGGAAGAAAAGGCTGCGGCAAGAAGCTCTGTCCGGCATCCTATTCGTCTGTGCAGGCAGCTGTACGTCGCGCAACGCTGGACGGACCAAACCACAAAGGAGCAAAATAAGAGCCCCATTCTTTAATACAGGACAGCCTTCACCAAGATGATCTATGTTGAAGCCAGCCTCCGCAGTGCAACGACATCGTCACATACCCCGCCATCCAAAAGCTTGTTCTGCCTAGCTGGTACTCCCTAGTACTACATAGTACTACCTATCCTCCGAAGTTTCTTTTGTTCAAGCGCTCTCGGGCTCTAAAAGTTTGCATTGACCGCCGTCCTGTTCTTCCCCGCGCAGTACTACATCATGTTCGAGGTGCTCGAGTGCTCGTGGTCCGACTTTCTGGCGGAGGTCGACGCAGCGGCGGACCTCGACGCGCTGATTGCGGCGCACGACACGTACCTGGACACGATCCTCAAGAAGAGCCTGCTGGGGGAGCGCTCGCAGCAGCTGTGCAAGCGGCTGTTCACAATCTTCGACACCGTGCTGCGCTTCAAGGGCTTCGCGGACCGGCTGTACGAGATCGTCCGGGACATCCAGGTGAGGCGCAGCGTCCGACTCGCAGATTTCAGATGTGTAAAGCTACTATGTTTTCTCTCTGGCCTCTGTAAAAATAGGGTGCTAGTATTGTGGGTATCTGATTGGTCATAGAAGAGACAGTGAGGGCCCAGCTGACTGGTTCTGTAGATTGTAGGAAAGGACTTGAGATGAAGGAAGTGTTACCAGCCTCCATTTTCTGCTGATTGTTGTCATCGTTCTTTCTGGATGTGACTCGAAGTCCGCTGCGCGGCACTTGCAGTAGTCCAGCAGCCACATCAGTGCGTTGATCCGAGACTATCGTTTGATCCTCTCAGCACCCCCTTGTTCGCACTTTGTTTTTGAAGCAGTTTGCGATGCCCCCACAATACGCCTTCATTAGTCACCAACGTGAGGCTCCTGGCGCTCACGCTCGACCGCTCTCTTCGTCTCCTCTGTCCCCCGCCTTCACGTAAGCCTATCGCTCACAGCGTCCAATGTCGTCCGTCATGCGCAGCACAAGCAGCGACGGAGAGAAGCCGAAGTGAGCGCGCGCACGGGGGCCGGCCAGTGGGGGTCGCTGGGGGGCGAGGACGAGCACCACGAGTCCCTGGTGCAGGAGCAGCTGGACAGCATCGGCAGGTGAGCCCGGGCCGGGCCTTGTTTTCCAGATCCTCGCCCGTATCTTCTGGCAGTTGCAAAGGCACCCGAGGCTCTGCATGCTTCGTCGGGTGATTGGGTGATCGTCCGATTGCCTGCCCAGCTTTTATATGAGCATGGGGGAATGATTCTGCCCGCCGTCTGAGATGAGCATGGGGGAAAAAACTGCCCGGCCTCTGAGAGAAGCTCGTGGGGATTATTCGGTAGCAACGGAATGACTCATTCAGCGACAAAGCAGATCCGTGGCCTCTGAGGAGGTATGAGGGCCAGCAGTACAGGCGCAAATAAATGTCGCAAGGCCGTTCCTGCGTGCTTCCGTTGGCCTTGTTCTATCTCCGCTACCATTTGCGTGTGCCACTGTGGCGATCTCGAAAAGGACTACTTCTGGAGCACCTGTCCAGACTCTCGACAGATCTGTTTCCATCGCTAATCATTGAGGCCGTCTCGTGTAAGGTTTCTTCAACCATTTGCTGCCTGTCGCTGAAAGGAGTCGAGGTCTGAACTCGAAGTACTCATTGCAAGTCATGTACGCATTACCACTTCCTGGATTCAAGTGCTTTGAAATGATCTAACAAAGTTTGAGCAGATTTTAAAGAGAAGCCCGTGCGAGATGAACATGCAATCTTACTTTGACAAAGAACTAAAAGCATTTCGTTCTGCAGGAACCTTGACGCAATTGCTGCCGAGTACTCGTCTCTTTTGGAGGGTTTCACGGATCAGCTCCTAGTGCAACAGCATGTCGACCTGCGATTCCTGTCCTTCAGACTCGACTTCTCCGAGTTCTACACGCGACAGCGGGCAGACAGAGCCAGCACGCCTCTCAAGCTAAGATGGCCTGGTTTGTTAGGAGGACAGCTATAGCTCAGGGTGATCCACGAGGTCGGTTGGCACAGGATGAGAGCCAGATAAAGTGCTCGTGCTTGAGTACTTTTGAACGTATCTTGCTGGTCTGCCCCATGCATATGGCAAGTTGAAACGTGGCGATGTATCATAGACTCATGTCCCAAAGCAGTCGATTGTGACTCTCAAGGCGCATGAGAAACAAGGGCACTAATAGCTCCAGCCCGAGTCCAAATCACGCCGAGCTCCAGCAAAGAAGAGCCCAGCATGGGGCCTGCCAGGCCCCGGGCGGGTGGCCGCCGCCCCATGGTCACTGGTCAGGAGCTACTGCAGTCCATTACCCAGGTAAACTACCGTATTTAAAGTGGGCGTAGGGCTCGCGAGCCCACTTTTGATCGAACGGTACTTTAGACCGAGTGAAATTTATCGAACGGCTCAGGATCAATCCCATATTACCACGGTACGGGACCTCTCAAGGAACCAGCCGACTACGGTACCCACCGAGTTGGGGCTCCAGGCAGGGACCGGAGGCTATCCAGAGGTATCGTACCACTGGGTACCGCGGTTTCTAAATCTTGACGTCACTCTGCGTCAGCTGCGGAAGGGTCCCAAAAAGGAAGCGGCAAAAGAGAGCAAAATGTCAAATGTTTGGATTCGAACCAGCGACCAGCCCCCGACTCTGGATCGGGATAGGCGAGCGCGCTTGCCATTTTGTCAAGTCGTCAAAATTCGCAGTGCCGGACGTCAAATTGGTCGCGAAAGAGGGGGTTTTATACCCCGACGCCCACTTTAACCTGAAGCAGTAGCGCAGACGCCAATTCATGGTCGCGAACTGCGCTGTGTACGTGGGGCAGTGTACTCACTGCACTGTGTTGCCTACCGTATGACGGCGTAGGTACTAGTTAGGTAGTAGGTAGGTACCGTACTAGTAGCCTATGTATATGTACCGGTTTCTTAGACATAAATTTGTACCGTAGGTTTCCCTGTAGCAGGGGCAGTACTCCAGTAATACCAGTACCTACAGGCTACGCTGAGAAGTTGAGAACCGCCGTATACGGTACTACCTACAGTACGGCGTACCGGTAGGTCCGTGGACTCTTCGAGAGTCGAGCTCCGAACCAATAATTGTAGACTGTGCGGCTCGGAAGTTGGACCTTGGTCCGTACAACCCGAGATGGCGCCGAAATTAGAATACCGGTGGGTACCGGGGGGCCCCGGGGCCAGCCTCAGGCCCCCGGGCAGCCCAGTGCTTTTGGCACAGAAACTGATCGCTGCTCGATCACGAGCTACCGGCCAAGTCGCAGTTCAGTTCAGCCTCTCACATCGTCACAGTACCCGGCCGGTTATGGATCCAAACAAACCGGGAAGGGATCCAGCGGCCATTCCAGACGGATCCCCGCCCGCATGACGGCCACCGGTGACCGCAATCAACGGTGACTGACGGAGTCGAGTCACGAGTACCCTCGGGGACTCGGGAGTAGGGGTGGATCGATCGCGCGCGATTTCGCAGCTACCAACGGGAAGAAGTCCTTTGCATGGCATGAGAGCCGCGCTGTCACCGTGTCATTTGTGGCGTCCGCTTCACCAGAATCCATGCGAATAATTGGATGCATGGCCCCGGCCGCTCAGCCTCCCGAAATATATTGTATCAGTCCCGACTTCCGGGGCCACCGGGCCCGGCATAGCCGCCCGGCGCGCAAGGGGCACATAGCTGCCGAATCTTTTGTCAACTTTCGAAATCGGACACCGGACGGGCACAGGCAGTCGTTGTCCGAAGTGCCATATTTTGGGACCCGGTTGGTACCGGGCCTGCTTTTGCCGGACTAAATAATGCCCGGGTTAGCCTGCAAACCACATTAAAATCCTAAGAACAGTGACTTAGCCGTTAGTAAGAACCCTAATCTGAGAGCAGTCACAGGAAAGGGAGTAACCCTAACAAACCGTCACAGGAAGTGACGTAACCCTAACACACTATCACTGCTTTGTAGCGCGAGACCCTCAGGTCACTAGGAGTGCCCGGTTGCTTGTTGACGGTGCATACCTACCGTACGCGGTCAACGGTACCGCCCGGACCGTACGGTACTGAGTACGGTATCGGACTCATGTGGCAACAACTTGGAGCGTAGATCCTGCGGACGGTGCACGATCGGACGGTGACACGCATATGACTGTCCGCAGTCCAACGTCCGATTTCGAAAGTTGACAAAAGATTCGGCAGCTTTGGCCGTTTTGCGCCCGGCGCCCAGCAGCGCCCAGCCACGGCAAGCACAGACCAAGCAGGGCACAAGTGTACACTCTATGGTCACAGACTCTACCGACGACTACCGTATTGGGTAAACTACGGTGCGGTGCCCGGTTCTTGTACCATGTGGTACAGAAATACTGCCCTCACGTACCTACCTACCCTACCCGGGCCATCAAGTTCAACGGTAACTTTCATCATTCATGGCGGCCCAGACGGTACACGACGCACGTCCCTCAGTGCTCACAGAGAGTCGATCCCGGCGCAAGCTTGCAAGTCAAGATTCAGGAGTCTGGGCAGACCAATCCGAAGATCAGCCGTAGCTAGAGGTCAGATTCATGTCAGAGTAAACAATTGCCAACTTGGAAGTGGTCGCACATTGAGCTAGATTGTGTAAAGGCAGTTTTCAGATCACCTACCTAGAGGGAGTCTAACCCGCTGCCACCGTTGTCATTCTAAGTGTTGTGTGAGCTATTTGCTGACGACATGGCCGCGTTCACTGCAGTCCTTCTGTTGGCCCTGGTCGCTTCTTCAGGTGAGCTCTTCTCTGACCAATGTAGTTCACAATGCTAAGTGTATCCTGCGTCCATTGTTTGCAGCGATCTGCGAAGGTGGGCATGAGGTCCCCTACTGTTCTTGCTTTCAATAGGATGCCTTCACTTCTTGCCAACCTGACAATGCTGTTGATCATTGCACCACTCACTGCCTTGCGAGCTCTGAATCGAGTCCCTCATGGATGGTCCTATCGGCATTGGATGGCAAAAGGATAACATGGTCCCGAAGCATATCATATACTGCAAAAAAGAAGTTGCTGCTAATAGACTGACTCTCTTCCTGCAGCTGCTGTCCAAAGATCGCTCCTGCAAACATCAAGTAAGCCACAGATCCAGCTCGCTTCTTGCTTCATTGAAATTTCGTCAAATTAGTGACTCGATGTGTCCACCAGATCTTTGATGACCCAACAAATGCCAAGGTGATTGCTCTTGTGAGCAATGCTGTCAATTCATCGAGATGTGCACTTTGCAAAAGTGATGATCCCAGAGTGTGAGAATGTTAACATGTTGTGAAAACGGGATAAGGACTGCAGAGACAAAGTGGACTTGCATCCAAAGACCAGTTGTTGGCTTCATCATGGAGGACCGTATCGTTTGTCAATGGGAGCAGGTGGCAACAGATTCCCGGCAAGAACTGTGGTCTTAATCAGCTTGTGGTTTTGCAGAAAGTGATCTATAATGCTGTCATAGTAACCACCTCTTCCCTGTGTCTCTTCTGCTTACATCAGTCGATCCTCAGAGGCCCACATTAAGCTGGTGCAGTCAGAGCTGAGCCGCCCAGTTGGCGCTTCCTGAAAGCAATTCTCACCGTCCGCACCAACCAAACCTGGGGATAATGACTAACTTTGCGGACAAGATATTTTCACTTTCATCAGTCAGGAAAAGGAACCTACTTGCTCAGTTTACCGTACCATTCTTTCTCAGTATCTCAACCTTTGCCTTGACTTTGCTGAATACTCTCAGCAATTGAATGAGCAGGCTGACCTAGTGAGAGGCCACTCCGTTACAACTTGAAAGCAGGCGCTTCTCAGAGGCTGGTGCCAGTAAACAAATTCCTAAGCCTCGCTACTTGTGCCCCAAAAGTTTGTTCCCTATGGCTTGGACCTGAACATGTATGCCTCCTCTGCAGGCCCAACCTTGACCAACGGAGACTTTGCACTCCCCGGGACAGTCGCCCTTAACCCTGGCGGTTATGCGTTCCTGAGCACTCAAACCCCAGATGCTATCACGGGGTGGAACATCACTTCTGGGAGCGTGGACTATGTCTCAACGAGCCAGTGGGAGGCCCCGCCTGGGGCCTCATACAGTGTTGATGTGTCAGGCGATAATGCGGGAGTCATCTCACAGGTTAGATCTCAGTCTCGCTTGATGTTTCGGCAAAATGGTGAAAATCAGTGGGCTCGTGGTTGCCGCAAGAAGTCTCAAAATGAAGGTTAAGAGGACAGAAAATATATCCTGCTCTTGGCAGAACTTTCTCTCTCAGCCAGACAGATACTGACACTCTTCATTACCTCAGCAGGGATATATGAGGCAATCAGAGTGTTTCCTGGGAAAAATCTTTGAGATCTTCTGATTCAACGACTGCGCTTTCGATTTTCACTTTTCTGTTCTGTATTCCCACCCACCATTTACTCTGTTCAAGGGCAGTCCCGTCATGATTTCTCCCCTTGACAGCAGGTCAGAGAAACAGCAAACAGAGAAACAACCATCAAGAACCCTGCTGCCTTGACAAACATCCTTAAGGATTGAAGAGCCAAATCACACCCCCCACGCTCCTGCAGACTTTTACCACCACGCCTGGTGGCGCCTACGACGTCTCCTTCTACCTGGCTGGCAGCCCCTTCGGTACGCCAACCAAAACCGTCCAAGTGACAGCGGGCGACAGCAGCCAAACGTACACGTTCGACATCACCAATGCAACGGCCACTCAGATGGGGTATTTGCCTCAGACCTTCAGTTTCGTAGCCACAGGGGCGAGCTCCACACTGCAGTTCACCTCGCTCACCAACGAGCAGGACGGGCCTGTCATTGGAAGTGTCGTTGTTACAGGCGGAGGTGCGTTCAGCGGCAACCTGCAACCTTTCGTTTCACAAAAGCACTTCCCTGCTAGGATCTGGATTGAATACCATCTGTGGCGGTAAAGTCACTGACTCAGCGGCTGGATGTCCTTGTCAATGTTGTTCCTTGAAGTGTAAGCAGCATCTCTTCCTTCCTACTTTGTCAAGGTTTCTGCCTCATACCCTATGCAGGACCCTTTGCCCATATTCGATTCAATCCACAGAGCATAGAATCAGTAGTCTCGAGCTTGCGCCCACTTTGCATTTGAAATTGAGAATGACGAGTTTCTGGATCCTTCTTAGGCTGCCCCCTGCGGTTAGACACGTGTCAGCAGACACCATCGTCCAGCATGCAGTATCTTCAACACTTCTTGTTTACTCCTCAGGTGCTATCAGCCCCTCCGCTGGACCAGTCCCTGCCCCCGTCCCTGGCCCTGCAGCAGGCCCCACCTCCGCCAACGCAACTGCACCAGCCCCCGGCCCCGCTACAGGTATGACACAAGCACCAACTTTTGTGCAAAACTTCTCTGGTGTATCCATGCCAAAGTGAGTGGTGAGAGGGCGTCCCCTTCTCGCTGTGTCTATGGATGCCAAAGAAGACTTGCTACGGTGTCGTAATGGAATATCGGGATGGCAGACGAGAATGACCCACTGAGCATCGACGGCTTTGCTTCCGGGAAAGTGGAAAAGCAGCTCTCAGAGTCGAAGACCTAATGCAAAGGCTTACCCCATTATACTTATTAAGTTCTGTTGATCCATCTGTGCTTGCTTCTCTGCTCCAATTGCGCCACCAAGATTACTTGTGCAAACAACCAAATACAGCTCGCAAGCTGACGTCTCGCTCTCGTCATCTTCCGCAGCCACTCTGAACGCCACCGCCCCCAGCCCGGCTGCCAACGGCTCACTTGCTACCAACGGCTCACTTGCTACCAATGGTTCACTTGCTGCCAACGGCTCGCTCGCTGCCAACGGCTCGCTCGCTGCTAACGGCTCTCTAGCTGGCGCGCCTGGATCCGCTCCTGCTATTGCGCCCGGATCCGCCCCTGCTGTTGCCCCGGTTCCCGCACTCGCGCCCGTTATCGCCCCTGCCCCAGGTACGTCCTTGTCCGCCTTGCCCAGAAAATTTGACGGCTTGAATCTAGAAGTGAGGGGAAGAGACCTGGCACCCGTGCGCTCTTCAAGATCAGGCCTTATGGTGTCGAACTTGACAATTCGTTACTGGTAATGTAGAAGATATGGCACTGACTCGCTTGACGCCGAGCGTGACGACTACTCACCTCGGACGATACCTCGTTTCCATGTCGACTCTCAGGCCGCTCTTTGACGCCTAGATATGAACTTTTTGAGTTGGCCTTTTCTCATCAAAAGTGCGCAAACGAAACGTAGTGGTCAACTCGAGACAACCAGGAATCTGAATGTTTGACCCTCTGGCTGTTCAGCGTCGACCACGCCCATCATTGCAAGCTTCATTGTGCCGGTCAATGTGTCGGCCCTCAACTCGTCAGCTGCGTTTGCGGCCGTGACAGCCGGCCTCGCGGCCGAGTTTGGCACGCCCAGCACCACGGTGAGCTGGCGGGCGGAAGACAAGAATGGTGTGACCTTACAGTCAACAGTCCAGAAGTGTGGAACCCGCAATTGGATTGGTTCTTTCACAACCTGAGGGGATGTGAACATTCGAAGAGTTCGAAGCCTGACCTCCGGAAAAGTCAGATTCAGCTGGGTACAGGGAACTCCACTCTCTTACTACAAGACTTCTGGAAAGCATAATTCTGACTTCTTTACCCTTGATTCTCGTTGTAAAAGGACGTTGGTTGCCAACGTTCGAGACGGCCAACGAGGGCAGGATTCGCTGCTCTTTCATCGAAGGTTTTGATCGCCTGATCGCCTTTGCTTGACGGCTACTCATTGACATCGATTCACTCCAAATATAGGCAGGTACAGGGCAGTGAAATTGCGCTTCTTGTGGTCTGCCGTCAATCAGAGCAAGGGAAGAAACTTTGGAACTTCGTGATATTAGAAGGAACGCGAGATCTCTTTGGCGCTCAAGCTTCTTCCGTCGCCATTCTGTGCAGCCCGTCATCACGAGCATCGCGCCCGGGCCCATCCCCGCGAACGAGACGGCCGTCACTTTCGAGATGCAGTCGGCCACCGGGGGCGCCATCCCGCAAGCGGAGCAGGATAACCTGCGCGCCGCCTTCACGACCCTGGTCCAGAACAAGGACACGCTCGTGCTGCCAGCACCATTCAACACAGTGAGCCGAACTTTCCGGTACTTTGCTGAAGGTGGTCCTTCAGAGTTCGAAGACCTTGTCTGCAGAACTTGGGCGTGATCTTCTCTGCAAGGCGTCAACTGCTGAGACCAAGGGCAAAGGGCAACACTCCTTTGACTGTCACGATCTGGGCGGCAATCCTGTGAGGTCGTTAGGTCTGGAACTTGCTTTTCCAAAATAACAGGGCAGGTTTGACGCCTACTTGACATGACTACTATGGAGTTCGACGCGGGGTTCTCGGCCTGAGATTTGATGCATTTCTGCTGAATGAGGGCAGTTCCGAAGCAAGGGCGCAGATTTGACGTCTCCTGACGCGCTGTTGCAAGTGAATCTGAGGCTTCCAGGTCCCGCCTCCTTCATGGATTAACCGTTTCCTTTCTAATGCACGCCGTTACGATTTCTCCTGCAGCCCTCCAACTTCTCCGTCGTCTCCTTCCCGGGGGGTCCCGGCGTCATCGGTTCCGGTGCCCCCTACGGCGCAGTCGGCGCCAACGTGACGACGGCCCTGCTCAACTTCACTCTGCCCCGCAGCGTCGACGAGCTAAGCGCCAACCAGACCGCGCTACTCCAGGGGGTTTCTGGCGCTCTTGGTTTGAAGCCGTCTGAGGTGGGCTGCCATTGGTCGTCTAAGGCCGTCTAACGGCGGGTGTAGAAGCTGCCTAATGGATTTCGGGAGTCAGACCTGTGGATTGTTGTCACGATTGGAGGACTGCAGAGATTTGTGCTTGCCCGTCCGCACGTGGTCTGCAAAACCACATCAGCCAAGTCAGATGGTGGTTAGCCCAGGCAGCGTCCTGTTTCGCCGTCAGCCGCTCTGCCTTATTCTGAGAAGTTGCTATCGACAAACTTCGCCGGAGGCTTGCTCATAAGACTGAAGTGCCTTTTGGAGGGCTGTTGTGCATCCGGCAGCAACTTCTTATCGGGCCGAAGCGAGTCCCGCAATCAACCCTAGTTTGCATCAGACCTATTCCTAGCGCTTGTCAGTACGACGTTCAGGAACGTGAAAGGGACCACTTGAAACCATTTCGTGCACCGTCGATTGGCTCTTACGACCAGGGGGCTCACCGGGCTGCATTTGCGCAGGTGCTGACGGCGGCTCTGACTGCGGTGAACGGCTCTGCGAACGCGACCGAGGTCAGCACCGCCCTGACCACCATCGGCGCGTTCGCCGACAGCCCCGCCAGGATCGCCGAGCTCGCAGGTACGTCCCTTTCAGCCGAGGACATATATAATTTCGAAGTGTAATGCTCGGTCAGAGAGGTTCGGCGGAAAGGGTCAGGTTTTCACAAACAGACGTGTCGAGCTCGCTCCGCCCGAAACCCTTGGAAGAGCCCCTCTTCGTAAACACGACGCCTTCGTCTATTGGACGTCACCTCTGAACGCCTCACGTCAGCATTTGAAGCCGCTGAATGCTCGAACTTCTTGATAGTAGATGCCCAGCTGTGAGCTACATTTTCACCACTTGAATCTTACTAACTCCAGCATCAAGATTCTTACCGAGGATTTCCCCTTCGCCTCCTGCAGGCAACATCAGCGCTGCTGCCACGAACGGTACCTTCGGCCTGGATCCCGCCACTTTCGGCCTCCCCTCCAACATCGTTCTCAGCCCTGCCCTCGCCGCTCTCCTTCCCCCGGGCACCACTTTGCCCCCGAGCACCACGCTGCCAGCTGGCACCATCCTTCCCCCGGGCACCACTGTTCCCCCGACCTCTGTAGCGACCAACACCACCCCAGGAGCCTCGCCGACGTCTGGCGCTGCCACCAGTGAGCCTTCCTCCGACAATCCCGTCAAAAGAAACTCGTCTTTTCTCGAAGTGATAGTACTCCCGTTCTTGTGCTGGAATGAGTTCTGGCCTTTTTTGGTGTCTAAATCCAACGCCGGGACGGGCCCAATGAGAGCTCAGAAGAGGCTCACTCGCGCTCGCCCTCAGTTCGTTTTGAAAGGCATCGCACTCTCCTCGACTTCCTGTCTTAGAAGCTGGTCACACAGCTTTGACTCTACAATCAGCTTTCTGATAGCCTCGAAACCCTGTATACTTCGGAAGGACCGTTCTGCATTGTTCGCTTGTGCCTGATGAAGTATTCTGTACTACTGCAGGGGTTGGGTTCACCCTTGTTGGGCTGGCCTCCGCTCTGTTGGTGGCCACTCTCTTCTAGAAGCCAAGAAGCTGGCGCCTCGTCAAAATGAACTGGAAAAAGTTTAGTCGAGTTAAGTGTTGATTGGCAAGTTAGAGCAGGTCTAGAGCAGGTCTATTCTTCTGAGCATGTCAATCGTAGTAAGTATGTGGTGCCAAGCCGAAAAGGCTGGGTGCTCATGCAACCTGCCCTTGTGTTGAGCGCGTCGACATCTCCTGACCAATGAGAAGTTGGCTCGGAGTTGCGGCACTGACCTTAGAAGGTTCTTTAGCTCTCTTACTCTCTTTATCGGTGAGGAATTTACAGAAGGCAATTGGTAACCACGAAATGACTAATTGCCCGCATTCAGTTCCAGCATAAACCCAATTGCTTGTTCTAGTTACATTTACAATAGAGACCTAACTCCGATCGAAGTAGGGTAGCTTGAACAATTGACACCAAGCCCGGTCTTAGCGAGCTCGAATAACGGTCGTACCAGTGGTAAAGGTTGTGAACTTGAGTAGCGAGTTTGTTGATCCGGCCAATACCTGAGTTGTTGTTGACTGCCTGATTCTTCTCGGCCGATGATGGCCTGATCATGGAGAACGTCCAAAACAGCAGATGTACGATTGAATTTGAACCTGACCAGTTTACGAACGCTAATAGGTTTCGATTATGCATCGCATCATGCGCATACTATAACATTTGATTATGATCCATGACTTGTAAACGTCTTGGCATCCTTTATGACCCGGAAGCTGAACCAAGCATACAATGAATCATGCATGCAGTAGATCTCGATCGATTGGGTGGAATCACCCATGATAGGTTCGTCGAGGCCATGCGCAACAAGACAGTAGCCTAGCTACCATCATTCCATGGGCTGGGCCGTGTTTCCATTAGTACCGTCGCGTAGCTTCCAAAGCGAAAAATGACTTCTGAAGTTCAGAACTCATTTTTATGAAGGATTTGTGTTTCTTGTTCCCCTTCCTGATCGCTCGGATGGGTAATTCTTTTGAAGAAACGTACGAGTATACATATGTAACCTGCGGCGCATAGAATAGTTGTATAGCTCAGTATAGGTGTGACGCGGTTTGCATGCGCGGACTTATAACATGTCGGATGCGGAATCGACTTGCTCAGTAAGATTTACTATGATGACGATCGCTAGCAACCCGGCGTTGAACTTACCATGCACAATTCTACTAGACTAAAATTTGACATGTGCACGTGGTTCAATGATGGTTCATGTCGGTGCGAGCCCGCGGGCAAGGCCCCAATTGACCATGCCCGGCATGCGGGCCGCATGAGACAAACGATTCCGGTTGCCCGGATCTAGAATTTTGGCTTACTCACTCATTATACTAGCCCAAATTCGAAATTTGCTATCCAGACTGTGCGCGGAGAATTTTCGAGTGCATAAAAACGGCGCATGCAGACGTAAATCATGATCCTGGCGCTTAATTGCACAAAGATTCACGCCAGCATCCCAGAGGGTGTCCGCGGCACTTTCAGTATAAGCCCGTAGCTCACTTCATGATGATTGGATTAACCCGCTCCCAAGATTCACAAGCTCGATTTTCGATGCACGAACGCCAAGAATTGTTCGGAAGCTGCTATGGTCCCTTCCATTAAGTAAGCCTTGTTGTTTTTTTCTATGGTGTCAAAGCGATATTGATAATTTACCATGATCCCAGCGCTACTTTCCATCCGCAAAGGCGAGTCGTCCGCCAACCAATTCAACCGCTCTACGGTCTGCATCACAGAGAAGAAAGGCAGCGGTGATCAGCAGCGAACATGACTTCACCATAGAGACGCAGCGAGCTGTCCAGACCAAAAGGCAAGAAAGACAAGGAAAGGAAAGGCCGAAAGGCAAGAAAGACAAGTAGAGTGATGATCGAGCCTGCTCCATCGCCGACAAGCAAAGAATTGAACCACTTTGACCTGCTACGCAAGACCTGTCCGCAAATCTTTGACCGCTTCTTTTGTCGACCACCTGCCAGCGTGATTCAGGTTAATGCTCACCGCCCCGTTTCGCACGTGGAAATTGGTAACTCCATCCAACGCCTTTCCTCGTTTCTTTTCCTTGTAAATGTACCTGAGAGCACAGGACCCACGACAATCATCCGGGACGTCCCATTCGCTTTCTGCAAGATTACTACCAGGTTCTGTACGACTCTTTTCGGTAGCCCTAGCAACAAACCTTCTTCTGTGCACTGATTCCTTAGCCGCACCTCACAACGCCACCGCCGCCTGCAGCGGCTAAGGAAGCGAGCGAGCGAAAACCAGCCACAAAGAGAGGAAGAAGGCGATGCGTGTCGACTTTTACTGAGCCCACCAGTACAAGCGGATCTTACCTTGCGCAAAGCCGCATCAGCGGGCCCTGGAGGGCGTCTGCATGAACTGGGTTGCGGACCCAATCTGGTCCGTCGGCAAAGAGAAGGCTCGCCAAGCAGCCGCACGCTTCCGCATGAAGCGTCCGATCGCTCCTGCAGATGTGGGCCAAGGATGACCGAAAAATCTTGAAGTGTGCCATACACGGTTTTTCAATAAAATATGCCTGAGGCCTCCCCCAGCTTACAGCGGAGAAAGAAGCCAATCTCTCGATGCTTACCCGCTGGGAAGACTGATTGCAGCAGAGATTTAGGCCAGAGAATTGAGGTTCGGGTTGAACTATACCAAGGTTCATGGCCAGTATCCTCGAAGTACGGAAGCTGATTGCAGCAAGACCGGTTCTTTTATCCATCACCTCAAGACACGGTGCACTTATCCCAACCAATCAACGGTGCCAACGCTCTAGCAAGCAACCGTCCGTAGAATTGCAACTCCTGTGCCTTGAGCGTATGCAAACACTTACGAGTCTTCGACCAGCTTTGCAGGCAAGACGGCTCGTAGGATTGCCTGCGCTTCATCTTGGTACAAGAGTTCCTCGGCGAAGGAACTGTCGACGTCCCCGGTCAGCGAAGCGTGCAGCGCGAGCTTGGGGCGCAGCCAGGGGAGAAAGCCGGGGACCGGGCTCAGCGTCGAAAAGATCTGCGAACGAAAGCGGGCACCGATTCGAGGTCGTGCCAACGCTCTCCGGCTGGCGTCACAACAAATTACTATCTTAGTTCGCCGCGCCGACTCTTGAGTAATAAACGTGAGGAATTACGTTGGACCCTCCACTGCCCGGCCTCAAGCCTCTACAGGAGCTCGGAAAACGGGTTCACTTGAGAGATACTTTGACGGCCAGGCAAGGATCCATCAGTCTGCTTGTGCTATTTGTTACGAATACTTTCGCACGTTTGCCAAAGTGGCCGCTTCACCTTCCTCCTGATAGAACGACGGCAAAGCTTGGACCTTTCAAGAACAAAGCGCTGCCACCATCAGGTCAGGAGGCCAGGTTTGCCGGACTCTGCGGCAAACCATAAGGATGTCGTTTGCAGAGAGCAAGTGCCTGTCCTCACCTTTAGGATTGACTAGACCAACATTTGGACTAGGCCTCACCTCTAGGTTGGGCAGCTCCGCTCGCAGGATCTGGACGACGCCCTTGAGCAACAAGTTGCCCAGATCAATCCCGCTCAGGCCCGGCTGGGTGGCGTCGATCGAGTAGAAGATGGCCGCGCGCGCTTTCTCCTCGTCGGCCTGCGGCGCGGCAACCTCCTGTTTACAGAAAGGCAGGCTTGCTGTTGAGGGGATTGAAGATACTACACTACCTCGGCGTGAAACAGCACGTCGGTTCTTTGCGCGAGATTGCAAAGTGGAGGACTGCTTGCGAGTTTGTGCTTGCCGACGAAGCACTGGCTAGCTTTGATCGACCGAGTGAGCAGACACTTGGAAGGAGATCAAAAAAATGAACGAGGGGGCCTGACTAGTCAAATTACCCTAGAGTTCGACAGCTTATTCCGGGCAGAAACTCACAAGGACAAACGAGGACTCATGATGACAATTAAGAAACGAGCAGCATAAGCAGGTGAAGCCGTTCTGAAGCCCCTGCGTCTCTCAAAAGAGTTGTTCAAGCACGCGACGGCTTCTCTTCATAGACCGCATCTCCAGCCGCTTCCACTGTTCGAGATCGTCACCGAGCAGTCATGAGGTTGAGCAAATTAATGATCACAATATGTATTACCCGATCCCACGCGCTGATTGTGGTCAAAAGCTGCGACGGATAGACGATATGCATTTAAAACGTTCAACAAATAAAGAGGGTCAGTAAACCCGTCTCTCCTGCTGACGAAGCTGTGAGAAACGGCCTAGAAACTTTCAAGGACTCTGGACAAGGATCTTCCTGGCATACAGTCAACTTCTTATCGCGATCCAGGTTTTTGGTACGAGAATCCGTGAAGACGGAACACAGGTTTGTAACCGCGGCAAACGAAGCTCTCAAAGTGACGATGAAGCGTACCTGCATGGTGGCAGCCAGCTTGTCGAGCAGAGCGACCTCGACGAAGATGAGGGGCTCGCCTGTCCACGAAAACAATATAATCTGACTTTCCAATCGATTCTGAAAGAAACAACCGCACAAGACCACAGCGAGCCTTGCACAGGGTCTGATATCAAAGAAAGCTCATGCGTCCTTGGAACAGATTTGCATCTTTCTCAAGGAAAGTGAACCATGCGTGGTCTGAAAGGGACGATGCGACTTTTAAGTCGTATTCAGAAGCATCTCACACGCCGAGCATGCCATATGCGAAGCAGTAAGACAATTCTCTTTCGTCACAGACCGGTCAAGTGTAGCTCGGCTCAACGATAACACGCTTGGTTTCGAGCGATCCGCAGGCGTCCATGCCCATACATAAAAGATTGAGGACGATAGTTTGTCACGATGCAACTCGGCCGTGAGGCACGTGGCGCGGAGGGGCGAGCAACGGCCTACCGGGCATGGACGGGTGGAAGTAGCCGAAGAGGCGGCAGCCCGCTCCCAGCCGCTGCTGCAGATCTTGCACGCTCCGAATTGGATGCACTTGCTGAACGAAGGAATGAAGGCGTCAGAATGCTGACATGAGGGGATCACGAGCCATGACAAGCTGATGAATCGTGCAAAGGCGGCAATAAGCAACCCCAGCAAATGTAATCGACGAGCTGTCGGGCGAAAACGGCGCATGTCTTCTTTGAAAGTTACTTTCCTGCAGTTGAGGTTTCAGAACGGAAGCATCTGTTACGGTGAAGAGCGCACAGCCTCCTTTCTTGGATCCAGCATTCCTTTCCCGCCTCTCAGAACAGAGGCGCTTCCACCGTCCTTGCCAAGAATGTCTCTTGCCAATACGCTGTTGTTGAAAGTTCACAACCACCTTGGCCCAGCGCAAACAGAGCATGCAACCATCCGACACAAGGAGACTGATATCGGCACAGTAGATGTTCAGCGAGTTCTAAGCCTAACCTCGTGCTCCGCGACTTTCGCTAGGACCGACGCGGGGCTATCCCAGGTCAGCCGCCGTAGCTCCAGGTATGCGGGGCCGAGCCACGTGGACAGCTTCTCCTTGAGGACAGAGTCCAAGTTGCGCAGGAACGGGTCGTTTGTGGCCCTGATGATAAGCATAATGTGACATTTTGTCGAGCCAGGCGGAGAGGAATCCAGCCATTTGGAAGGTTATTTGAAAGAATCTTTGCAACTTTACAGGCGTCGCATCAGTTGGTTTCTGGTGTTGAACACTTCAGATTGCCTCCTCGAAAAGCGGATGCGTACACTTAGTCGACCTGAAAAAGCAAGACGAGACAAGGATCTCGAACAAACGCATGTTCCAAATAACCGTCCGGCTGGATCTGGAAACGGTTTGTGAACCCGACAAATTGAATCCCCCAAAACAGTTTGCCAGAAGGGAGCGTAGAAAGGATGAGGGATGGGCCGACGCACCTCACCTGATGCTCTGGAGCAGGTCTGCCCGCATGTCCGACAGGAAGCGCAGCCCGCCCGTCTGATTGTGGAGTGCCTCAAAGAGCCGACCCGCGAGCGGGTTCAACGCTTTCCGCAGCTCGCGCTCCGCATGAAGGAGTGTGGCCTGGCTCTCGGCTGGAAAGGGAGGGTTGCAATTTCTAGCGCCGGAGCGAACAGACCGAAGATGCAATTGCTTATCTGATAATCCAAGTGTCGGAGAAGAGATACCAGACAAGGTAAGAACTCCTTGTTTGCCTTTTATTCCTCATTTACACTTTTCTTGCTCAATAAATTTTAGTGAAGCCAGAGTGCAAATCATGGGACAAGGACGGCCTCTTTGACGCATAACAGAAACGGTCAGCAGCAGACGATGAATGGCAGTCTGGAGGAACTGACCTGTACTATGACTGCCCACGTCAGCCTGGACCTTCAAGTAATGAGCACATGAACTGCTGACGCTGCCTCTGTCCACGCCAAACTCCTTTGCAAGCACCAGAAGCGACTCTCTCCTCTCAGGAGGGGGCAGGGCGAGATAGTCCTACAGTACATGCAAACAGGCTGGTGGCATCGCTGTCAAGGTAACAGCCTTGTCTGCTGGCAGAAATTGGGCAATTGACAGAATTTTGATGTAGCAATCAGGGCCATCAATTTGCAAGCTGATCGGGGTGAGAGGTTATCCAATTGTCTCTTGATGTTCAGCTTTCTTTGTCTCAAAATCTTCACAGAGTGTTGATACTTAAGGTTTGTCACTCCCACTAATCCTGCTTTGATAGCAAACCTTCTAGTTCTTGAAGCCGTTTCCAGCAAACAGCGACCCTGCCACGAGCTTGTTATTCGATCTTAGGTCTTCGTGTCCATACCGATGTCTCTTTCTCATGGCACCCACCTGGCGAAGCTGCTTCAATGTCGCCGCTGCCATCTCGGCGTTGTCTAACTTGACAGCCTGGTGCATCAGCGTTGTGACCCCTGCTGCACCCCTGGAAGTTGGACAACAGAAAATTCTTTCTGAGCCCTGCCCCCACATAACCTTCCAGACTCAGCTGCCTTTTCAATTGGTGCAGTGAGTGAGTGACCAGTCAGTTCTGGCTGCAAGCTTGTGCTCAGGACCCTTGAACGCTAAACACGGTGCTCAGTGCCTCGGCGACTAAAGCCACGGCAATAGCTGCCCAGAACCATCTCGTGGTATGCAAGACAACACCATTATAGGCGGCTATTTCAGGGACTTATTGTTTCTTTAACGTCTTTGATTGCACTTGTCAACAGCCTCGTGACTTCCACCAGGTTTAGTAGTCAATGAAAGAATGAAGCCAGATATCCTGGTGGCAGGATAGTCTTCCTAGACCTCTAGGAAGGTCCTGATGAACTCCAGCTAGATCTCAATCAGATTCGGATCTTGGCAGTAGTCACTACCCACCAGGCTGGCATGGGTGGAAGTTCGCCCCGGTCCGTCATGCCGGCCACTGTTTGTACCTGGCCAGAAATGTCTTGGAATGAGCACAACTCCGAGCATAGGCCCTTGATTGCCACCCCTCTGAAAAAGTGGCAAAGACGGCACAGCAGATATCAGTGACTACCACGGTACTCCACACCAAGAATGTACTTGTTTGTATCATAGACGGGGGCGCTGATGCCCAGAAGTCTCAGTGGCAAGGTGCATGAAGACCACTTGCCTGTCTCCTTTGTACCACATCATCTAAAAAGTCAGGAGCTCTCTCGGACGTGCACCAGGAGCTCAGCGGTCTAGTGGAAGAGTAGCGCCACTGCTGTACCACCGCTGACCCCAAAAGGTGCAATTGTCTACTTTGCAAGACCTGACGACTGAAGGCTCCTCTGAGGGCTGGCAACATTTGTGCACTCTATTGGTGGACCTTGCAAAGCTTCTAGATACTCCTTATGAAGTCCACTGATCAAGGACGAAAAGCAAGTGGTGAGAAAGTTATAGATTCATTTCAAGGAAAACTGCCCGGAAGAATGCCTGCTTATTCTCTCCGGCCCGACATTTGCCGACGCAAAGGTTTTATCGCGCCTTGCAGAAGAAGCTATGAAATTGGAACCTTTCTGGAGGACTGGATGAACGCGACGAGCAGCTGTTTGATCAGCTGCTCGGTCTGATCTTCGTTTGATACATTGCACCTTCAAATTCAATGCTGGTACAGCTTCTCCCGATCAACCGGCCAGTTTTAGTGTCATCTAATTGAGACTAATTTCACTCAACAACTGACTGACTAAGTTCGTCTAAAATTTTCACAAATACTGGCAGGTTGCTCGGAAGAAGCTGTAGCAACATGCGCAGAATGTTAGCGTTGCTGCCCAAAGCTTTAGGCCAATGCAATGCATGGGGCATGGGCTTCTTGTGGGCCAGACTTAGGGTTTTACAGTCAAACCCGGGCATTAGGGTTTAGGGTTTGAGACATGACTCATGCAGGGGTCGCAAGCTGCATGAGTCTTGGAGGGCCATCAAGATTGCATGCATATTTTCGTGATTGGAGAAAGTGAATACCGGTAACTCTCGTGTGACCTAACGGGCGTGTGACCTGGGATACGAACTACCCGGGCACTTCAAACTAAAAAACCTAACCAAGATAATCACCCGCTCCGCACCCCAACCCACCCTAACCACCATACCAACCCCACCCGTCCCCCGGGTGCCTATCTTAGGTCACACGGCTCTTAGGTCACACGAGAGTTATCGGAGTAGAAAGTGAGAGCTGAGCTTCTTGAAGTTCTTCAGAAAGCAGGAAGGTTGAGCGCATAGTCCAGCGCATAGCAGCAGCTCTGGCCCTGAGGGCCTTGAGAATATTCTTTCCCAGGTTTGGTGAATGCTCGAGGAGGTGGAACGTCTAGGTGAATGTCGGCAACGATTTAGCGCCCTCGAAGAAGTGGTGCAGCATTGCAGTAACTATCTCCCTTTTACATATGATCCGTAGATTGTTGGCGAGGCCTTTGCAGTGCAATTTTGTCTTCGGCTGTCGATCAGAGTGTCAAGGACTGGCTCTTGCTCAAATGGGGACTCTGACACTGGCCGTTGGAGGCGACTCTTTGGCACTAGGGCCTCCCAATTTGTATACGCCAGCTGCAGAAGGTGGTATCAAGCTGGCTGTCCGATCGCACCTTCCCACCACTACTGTTCCAAGCAGCTGGTCAAAGACCCGCAGCTTCCGAGGTACAATCACGGCTCTTCTATTGCTCTGCTTTGTGAGAGGAAGTCGATCATTGTGGATTATCTTGTCTGACCATTACCATTCTGCTTTAAGCAGAGTGCCAACCGAGTCTCTTGCAGTGACGCATTTCAGGTCGACATATTGAAATGGTGTATTCTCCATGTCACTGAGGCTCCTTCCATGATTAGGGTTTTGTCACGTGTAGAAGTGCAGATGATGACCACCACTGGTTTTCAAGACAAATTGATTGTGTTACTAACCTGGACGTCTAACCACCGTGAGGCAAGAAAGAAGTGCTTTCTGCATTTTGTTCCATTGTACCTACATTCATCACCGCTCTCTATTACATACCAGCAGGCCTACACTTCATCAGAAAATAATTTCGAAACTTGCCTCAAATTCAGTGTGTGCCCCATCATTCGCAGCTGCTGCTGGATACGAAGGCCGGGCAGGCACACTGCCACTTCTTTCTCCCAAGGCGCTAACAAGTGGCGGCAGCAACTTCATTGGTGGTAATCTTGAAGCAAGATATCTGCAAAGCCCCGCGAATGCCAGAGCACATTCTGTCGCGGCGCCACCGAAGGCAGCTGCCCCTACATTAGACAGCACATCAAGGACTAGTCGCCCTCCACTTGCAAAAACCAGGTCGGATGAAGAGAGATCCGGCAGCCGCAATGCTGTTGTTTGGACAGGGGACGATTCTTCTGATATGCCAAAGGGGACAGTAGCGGAGGCCGGCGTCAAGTTTGAGTCATTGGGGCTGTCGGAGTCTCTGCTTTTGAGACTGCAGGACCTGGGCTATCAGCAGGCAACAGACGTCCAGGCTCAGGCTATCCCGCTGTTGCTAAAGGGCAAGGATGCAGCTGTTCAGGTGAGGGGACCTGGGAGGGTCTTATTTTTGCGTGCCTGATACCGAAATGAGTTTTTAGTTTTTCATCATTGTTATCTGTCCACCCTCCACGCTGTTCTGCTTTGGCTACCTGCAAACTCTGAAAGTTCGTCCTCGAGAAGCCGCACTCTAGAAACCCTGTCACTCGATTCTAAGCAGGTGGATCGCTGAGGGGGCTTTGAAACCCTGTTGGAATACAGGTCTTCCAACCTCATCAACAGAAAGAGTTGGTTGCTGATGTAGACTTTCTCCTTTTGCAGTCCTACACTGGCTCTGGCAAGACCCTGGCCTACTTGCTTCCCATTCTGAGCCTCATTGGACCCATCAGCCACTCGCGATGGGTCGAGAAGCGGGGCACAAGAGGAGTGGAAGCCATGGTTGTGTCGCCCTCCAGGGAGCTTGCGATGCAGGTGAGCAGATTGGCAGGCTTTGTAGATTTGGAAGTTTTCAAGTGATTGTTTTCTAGGCAGAAGCCTTGCTCTCGAGTTGTTCTTTAGTGCTTGGAAACAAATCAATGATCTCTTGCATCGGTCTTCAGTAATGTAGACAAGAACCACTGATCTTTGTATGGCCTCTTGCTTTTTCAACACCCTGGTATTGTAAGAAATAGCTACCACAAGGGCCGCGGTGGTAAATGCAGGAACACTTGGAATTTACTTCATGCATCTCGGAATTCGCTGGCCCCTATCCTATAGTAAATAGTATCCACTTGGAGGGCATTCAAGTCATCCCTCTACCATTATTTCGGCAGTTTAGCACGAACGCCATGCCTTCAACGGCGTCTATGCCTGTTTTAATTGCAGGATGGAATTTGAATCTTGGAAAGGCGGTCATTGGAAATATGCCGGCAGGTTTCGTGCTAACCGCAAAAGATCTCACACCACCAGCTGGCGTTGGGAATGTAAGTGCACGGTGTTTGCCAAGCGTGCGATCGCAATATGTGGCCATACTGTCGCTGCCGACTTCCTATCCAGAGGCACTTCACACAAAAAAACAGGGGGAAAGAAGGCAACCGATTGAATATCTTCGAACCTTTTTCGTGTGCCCAGATAGTGCGGCAGCTGGAATTGCTGCTTGGGGATGAGTACAAGGGCCTGGTGCAGCAGCTGATTGGAGGGGCCAACATGTGGCGTCAGGGGGAGCGCATCAAGGAGAACAAACCCATTTTTGTGGTCGGGACCCCTGGGCGGATAGCCGAATTCAGCAGATCGGGGAGGTGAGCAGGACTGGGTTGTTGATAAGTGGCTGGAGATTGAGGGTGTGGCGGCGCTATGGTGACCAGTGGCCATCCGGGACCCATCGGGCGGGATCCCTGAGGATCGCCGGGCGCTTGGTTCGACTTTTCGGCTGAAGAGAATATGACTCGACCACACTCTTGGCGTCAGTGGTCTTATGAATCAACTGTCCTACTCTAGGTTTTGGCTTGTCTGTTTTTCTCCCCGCCACGTGGAGCAGTAGAAGGCATCGATTGTTAAGTCCACGCTTCGATCTTATCGCAAGGAATTCAGCTCGCAAGGTGGGGCGCTTCACTCTTCCACTTCGCTATTTCACTCGACTTTTCTTACAGCCGAACCTCCAAGCAGAAGAAGAGGACTTTGCAGATCTTGACTAAGTTGCGTCTTGTCTCTCACTCTTCAGGTTGCAGACGCACGGGTGCCGCTATTTGGTCTTGGACGAAGCCGACCAGCTGCTGTCGCTCAAGTTCCGGCCCGACATGCTGCGCATCCTGGAGCACGTGGGCACCCAGCGCACAAAGGATGACATCCGCAGTGCCGAAGACAACGGGCCGAGCACGAGTGGGCGCGGAGGGCGGGACAGGTCGAGCGTCCGGGCGGAGAGGCAGACGGTGCTTGTATCTGCGACCATGCCGCGAACCGTCCTGCAGGCAGCGGTGAAGTGGGTGAGTCGTGCTTCAGGTTTCTGCGGGTGCTCCAAAAACGGGGCAGCTCGGACAGGGTGGTCGTAGGCGGAGACGCTCAAGTGGTGCAAAGAGATTCAGGAATCCGAACGATTGCCCGTCGACCGATTCCTTCTCAATATCGAGGACTAGGACTTCTTTTGGGGAAAACAGGCGAAATTGTGGGGTAGACGTTTCGTTGTATCGAGACGAAGATTCTCTGGACACCATGGTGGTCTTGTTTATGGGTTCTCTGCCTCTTTAATTTGCGCTTCCTTCTGGTCGACGCCCGGCTTGGTGTCGTCCAACGTTTTTTGAGACTCTCTCTTTCTTTCGCCAGGGCTACAACCCCGTTCACATCACCCCCGAAGGCCCCCAAGAGATTGCGGTTGGAGCGGCAGCGAAGGCGGCCGCGCTCATTGGCACGTCAGCGACTGGTGTCGTCGTCCCTGCCGCTGTTCCTTCAGCAGCTGCTACCGCTACTGGTGATGGCCTGGCAGCCAGCCTGCCTCCCAATCTGGATCATAGGTGAGACAGACGCAGTCGGACTGAAGTCAACTTTGAATGCAGCTGAAAGACAGGACGCTGAGAGGGCCAGGAGAAAGGAACGAGGGCAAAGCCCGCAAGGTGTTCTAGTGAAGCCTGCATGCTGTTAGTACCGTTCTCGTTTTTCTGTGCTCTTGATTTGTTCTTGCGTGGAATATGGGATATGTTATCGAGAGCTGTCTCCTGCCCGCCCTTCTCAAAGTTTCAGCGGGTTTAAGCTTGGTCGATTGCTGACATCTTTCTCGTAAACAGCGCGGTCAACTGTCTGCTCTTATGCTGATTGCTGGAGCTGACAGGGGCTGTCCTCCCGTCATGCAGATTCGTCGTGACAGCAGCTCGACATCGCGTTGACACATTGCGGAAGTGCATATACGCTCTGGACGCGCAATCGATCCTCGTCTTTATGAATTATGGCAGACGACTGCAAGTAAGTGGCCCCTCAACCCTGAGCTTAATACCCACTTTTCCATCCTGGCGCTTGACGCCGGTTTCGTGCAGACGATCTTGCCGATTTCAGAAAGAAGGGGCTTGTAGAACTGCAAGACATGGTTTCCCGTCTCAATCTTCGTCGGCCGAAGGTATCAGATTGACCATGCCTTGACGGACATTGATCTTTCGCGTCTTCCCTGATACAAAGTTAGATTGATAGATAAATGTGAAGTGCGGCTTAGCAAGTGGTACTCGACTACCGTGTGCAGGATGCTGTCTTCAAGCTCCAAGCCCGGGGCATGGAGGTCGGCAGCCTGCACGGAGGCCAAAGTAAGTACGCGGTTGAATCGATATCCTTCAACCCGTCACTTTCTTTAACCACTGCAAGCTCGACATCTTACACTCAGGATTAGCACCACACGATTGGAACCTGCTTTTTCATTTAGTTCGTCTAAAAGTCAAGAAGACGCCTATGCTTTGCAAGGATAACCGCCTTGTTTGAGGATTCACACGAGACACCGTAAAGGCAGACCAGGCTGCAGTCAGCTGCGCGTTCGTTGTGGTACTCTTCGTAATTACAAACAATCTGCTTTGCAGATAAGCTCCAGCGGAGCAACACCCTGGCTTCCTTCCGAGACGGCAAGATTCGCGTGTTGTTGGTTAGCGAGGTCGCGGCCCGGGGAATCGACGTGGTAGACTGCGATCTGGTGAGCAAGGCTACCCTTTGCGCTCTGCAACGCCTCACTTTCAGGCTCTTTCGAGTTGATTTTGAACTGTCCTGTGCACTCAAAACAAGTCTGCCAGCGATGCTGTGGTAGTCGAAGTTGGGGCTAAGGTTGAGTCAGCGGTGGGAGTAGGGACGTTTTTCGTCGCTATGGCATTTGGGAATGGAGATAAGGAGTATCTTTTAGATCAGCGATTCCGTTACCGCTTAATGTTAGTGAGGGTTTCTCCGACTAGAGGGGGTTGAGAGGTTTGCATCGCACCCAGGCGGCCAGTTGATTCTGAAGCCACCTATTGCCACGTCGCGCGTGCAGGTTGTCAACCTGGAGTTGCCCTCGGATGGTGCCCACTATTGCCATCGAGCAGGGCGGACTGGGCGTATCGGTCGGCATGGCAACGTCATATCTTTGGTGGAGCCCAACGTAAGTTTATCTTGGTGACAGTCAGCGCAGCCATGCTGTTTTGCATTTCAAGCTCCAAGGTGCGGATCAATTTTGAAAAAAGTTCCTCGATTGAAAATGCAAAACGTCAAGAATCTTGCAAGCAGGGGAGAATCAAAAGGTTTCAAAAGGACGAGGCTGGATGTTGAGCAAAGATTGTTCTGAGAGCCTCGGATCGGATTAGCGTGTTGCCCATGTCGATCCGAAACTTTGAATCCTTGCTTTGGCGCTGGTCGGGAAGTTGAATCAAGCGGATCCATGCAATGTCACATGTGGTTTGCTTGTTAGTACCGCATGTTGTCATGAACTTCTCTGATGCACTTAGGTTGTGTCATGCAGGAAGTGTTCGTTCTTAGAAAATTCGAGAAACAGCTAGGAATCTCGATAACAGAAGCGGAAGTAACGGAGGGGAGAATGTACGAGAAAAGCACTGTTCCTTTGCATCAACGGGAAGAGACCTTTGATCAAATGTAAGCTGAAGTTTCTTTGATGAATTAATAGCGCAGCACACCCCGCCTGGTATCCAAAACAAGCCTTTGTCCGTGCCGTGAGCCTGTGTGGTGAACCTTCAAGAGTCCGAATGAGGGTGTGGAACCAGTAGATCAACACAAGCCATGCAGACTCCTCAAATTGCTGCCGAGCATAAAATCTATGTAGAGCCGCATCATCGATAACTGCTAGCTAGTTCTATGCGTGTACGTTGTGGCATGGCCGGGCATGTCTGGTCAATTTTGAACAGGGTCGGGCCGCATGGCCTGAACCCACGTTCAGCAGGGCAGGTTAAAATGACCTGATTCTGGCACATCAACCATGCCCACATGCCCATGGCCCATCCGGGCCTGCATGCGTTCATCGCATGGCATCTTTTCCTCGAGTACGTAACCGGTAAAGGAAGCAGCAGCAAGGTAGCAGGGCCACAAGCTTCAGATATTGCCAGTTGCCGATAAGCCATGGGTGCATGCCCGAGCTTAAAATCGATTGTCGACACAACCGTCCAATAATGCAATGATCGTCAATTCATTCTTGCAGTATAAACGGCCAGTTTTTTATTTGGCATGTCATGCACTCCCCAGTCAACCATGCCACTGATATGCTTTCAATCCAAGGTGAATCGTCTAGATTCAAGCGGCACTCGTTGCAAAAGCTGTGCAAATCCATCATGATACTCAAAGTAGCCTGTCACGGCACTGCGCCCAGACAGGGACGGCGGCCGCCTTGCTCCTTTTGACGGCCATTAAAACTTCCACAAATCCTTTTTTGCTCGAAACGATTCCACGCTCCTGATTCCAACACTACGCGGCTTCAACCTTCAACCACTTCCGGACGTAGCTAAGTCTGACGCGCAACGTTTTGAAATGATCTTTCAGCTGCACTGTTGCACTGTTTCCAGAAAATGCACATGCGTTCTGTAAGCGGGATGTTACTTGACGTTAACGTTTGACACGTGGTCCAATTAGCTCTAAGGTCGCGAACTGGCAAGCGAAGGCTTCGTCTGGCCAAACCTAAAAACTCAACCCGAGGATTCAACGCCCTCTGACACGAATCAACCCTAACCAGCCAGATAACCTCATTCGTCACCCAGGCGCCTGTCTGAAGTGGAGTGCCTTCAGCTCGAGGTAAAATGGTAAAGCCTTAAGACTTAAATATCAGAAAGTTGGGCCAGCTCCCCCGCCGGAAACACCAATCTGATTTTCATATCCGACGCGAGCCTGCACCTTGAAAGTAGTCGAGAATTCAGCAAGCCTGGCGCATCACAAGCGGAGCATCATGCGTCACCAATCAACATACTCGATAAGCCGTAGCCGCGGACCATTCTCCGGAGCCAGTCCGATTCTGCGCTGATTCCTTCTTATAAATTCAAAGGAACGGGCAGCGAGGGTTTGAAGAATCTACCATCCAGGCCTTGATTCCTGATTCTGCCTGCTTTGCCGACGAATCTTTGAAGACCAGATCAACTCGCCCGTTCTCTAACTTCCTCTGATTCTGGTACGATAAGTAGGAGGAAGCCGAGGTAGCGAGCATGGCGTCTCCCACAGCGCATCTTCCATCTCGGCATGGTCTCCTCTTGGCGGTTCTGATGGTCCTACTTTCGTTTCAGCTGGTGTTAAGTCAAGGTCAGTGGAGTTACATGAAATCACAGCTCGCTGCAGAAGGCTTTTCCCATTGCTTCAATCTTCAGCTCATGGATGCTGAATCTTGTGGAAGAGATCCCTTGAAAGAAGGCATCAGGAACCGAGCTCGAATGTTCACTTCGTTTCAACATTTCGTGAAATTGAAGTCTTCTTTTGTGTCCATCTTTCTGAAGAGGTTATGCTTAATGTTTGCAGGCACATTGAAGTCTCCTGCGTGTCCGGCAAATCTGAAGCAGGTTCTCAACGTGACTACTCATGTTGAGTGTTTCCCATCTGCGCTGGTCTCGGAATTGCTTCCGCATGGCCTTGAGGTTCCTGGTGAGGAAGGCTCATGCACTTCAGGGTCCTTTCGCCTTTGAATATTGGAAGCAGATGCATGTGGTTCTAACAAGCGAGCACTAGACTTGACCTAGCGCTTGGATCTTTGACCATTTTATGGTGCAAGCTAACTGATTACCCTGCAATAAAGTAATGTTTCTGTCGATCTTGCATTGCGTTACATATGTCCTTGCTTGATCGAACATCTCTTCTTGCCGAGATCTTAGCTTCTTGGACTGACTGGAGCCCAAACTACCGGTCAAATGGTACTAACGAAGAATATTGTGCAGGTATTGGAAGTGTCAACCTGGACAGCGCGTGTAGAATAAGCCTCACGATGTCCAACCTTGCTCCCAATCCGCTGAACCTTACGGGACTCGAAATCAGCTTCAACTATACAAGCCTGGTAAGCTTCGTCGAGAGCTCGACCATGTTCGTCCTGGAAAGAATTATGACGGTGATTCAAGCCGATTCTACCTGTGCGGATCAGAGCAGGTTTCGCAGATACTAGCCTGAAGGAGAGAGCGGATTGCATTCTATAAGGCGGCACAAACAAGAATGTCATCGTAGATGCAAAGCGTTAAATTTTTCACTTGTCATGCTTTTGCAGGTTCTCGCAAATGGCTTTAATATGAGCAACGATAACAGCAGCGACCTCTTTGGACCCTCAAGTGACGTCTCTACCAGCTTTCCGGAAGTCAATTGCAATAACACCGGCGCACAGACCGACATTTGCTCCAAGACGAATTTGTCACAAGAAGGGAACCAGTCCGTCTTAGCTTCCTTCACCGCAACTCTCTGTCCCCTTTCGACTTCTTCAAGCTGCTCTCTAGCAACCGTTAGCATCTTCTTCGTTCAAAACCAGCTCCGCGTCATTAATACTGCAGTCGAAGCTTCTCCATGGCTCTGCTCAGAATCTTTTCTTGCAGCAAATCAGATGTTGCTCTACTCATCAAGCGCAAGCACAATCAACGGTACGAGCAAAGGGGTGAATGAAACATCATTGCCTGCTCAAGGAAGCAGCACACCGCAAACGAGTACGAGTTCAACTGGGACCCATGCTTCAGGCTTCAACCATTCCTCAACCTCTCCGGCTAACTCGTCTACACCTCATGATGGCACTCCAAACGAAACTGTCCTGCAAGCTTCAAGATCGAACGCGACAGCGAGAAACGAGACGATGCAGGGAGCAAATAGAAACGTGACTCGAGGTTCGGACCAAGTGACATCAACTGCTGAACCTCCCGCTCCTGCAAACGAAAGCGGCTCGGTTCCCAAAGACAGCACGAAGCCTCATAGTCCTCAGACACCTTCAAGCTTGATAAGAGTCCTTTACAAGAGATTCAACGACGAAAACAACAGGTCTCAGGACTCTTTCGCGCTTAAAGTCAGGAATAAGGGAGGCCCGATCGCGCTTTCGAAGATTGTGTTGACGTACTTCTTCAAAGGCACCGGTAAGGCTCCAATAAATTTAGCTGAAGTCAATCACTCATGTTTAGCGGGTCGATTTTGCTTCTTGAATCATCGCGTTTTCTGCAGGTCAAATCGACTCAACTCTCAGAAAGATGCCAGAAGACTCATCTGTTCTGTTCTGTCAGCAGGCAAGACTCCAGCCGAATCTTTTCTCGAAATGCAGGAGGCAACGCAACGGACTACAGCCTTTCTTGCCACGAGAACTTCGTGCAGGGACAACTTCTCAAGTAAGCATATCTAAGATTTCGGTGCCAGAAGTTTACCAAGCGGACTGCTGAAGCAAATCAAGTAAATCCATGAAATAGCGGTATGTAGTGCTCGAGAGCGTAAGTCATGTCAGACCAGACTGATTTTTGCCTTCTGGAAATCTGCAGATGCAAATGGCTGGATGTGACTGTCCGACAAGCGACTGGCAAAGTAAATGGACGCCACTTTGCTGCGAAACTTGCTTTCAAGGACGACACCAATCTCCCTGCAAACTTCACCTCAAATCCCGTTACTCTTTCAGTCCACAAGGTGAGAATCAGGGTCTATATAATCTGCAAAACCCGTCTGTATTTGGACACGAAAACTTCAGTATCGGAATGCAATTCTGGATCTTTCCATTATTCGGGTGCGCGTGATGAGAGATTTGTTTTTGGTCGACCCTTCAACACACTGGTATGACATCTGTGACACGTGGTTACCTGTCACAGTTGACTGGTCCGGCTTCGACAGACGGAGGAGAAGGTGACTTTTCCGCTGTACCTGGGTTCAACGCAACAAAAACTTTCTTCTTGGCTCCTAGAATCAATGTAACTCTCATATAGACAGCACACATCAGAGAGTTCTATTGGAGATGCTCACTAAAGTCGCATCGTGTCCGGAAAGTTGGTTAGCTTACCATTGGCGCAACTTGGTGTGCTTGCATATCTAGTCTCCGGGAGCTGATATGTTCGTTTTAGGGTCCTGGAGACAGCGAAAGGGGAGCGAAAGCAGGACTGGCAACAGACCTTTGCATCTTATATTTCAGATACCTTCGAGCGTCCCGGCAGATGTACCAGAAAGCACCAGTGACAATTGAATCCCAGCATGCATGGAGCTCGCGGAGAATTTGAAGTTCATGCAAATGATCGACTGCGAACCAGCATGTCACAAGGCTTCTTTGACTCTGGAGCTGATCGAAGCTAATAATCATTGCGCACAACCAGTATACAACCGTACGTGAATCATTACAGAACTATATCAGGCTAAGCATGTTTGCAAGATATTGAACGCATGCCCTGCACATATATCAGTGTTGGTTTTCGGATCCTCGATTGGCCAATCAATCTTGAGTATCACGATAAACAATTTACGCGCGCATTTGACTTGAAAGTCGAATTGAAGCGCGTTCACATGGGTGCAATTCTTAGCTTGATGCATGCGCTGCGGCCTGTGTCTGCATGTTAGATCCTTAATTTCATGGAGAAATTAACCCGAAGACTAGACAAGAACCAAGACTAAACAAGAACAACCCTCATTGAAAGGCGTAGCCACACATGTGCGGGCAATTGCATGAGCTATACTTTTGTCCGAGCCTAGCTCGTCATGTCCTTAAGCACTCAATCATGTCACTCATATTGTGCTGCACGTCCTGCGCAATCGTTGCGCGATGTAGAGCCCATATGGTAGCTGATAACGCGATGGCAACCGAGCTGAAACCGTCGAGAACTGTACAGGGTGCATGTCGAACAGAAACTCAATGCAGCTGGATAGGTGACTGTAGGAGGCATTGCTTCATCTGTGCTACCCATGAGGGCCTGGTCCAATCCAAACGCAACTCCTGTCAAGCTCTGGAGATTGGAGAGTGTCCAATCTCAACCTGAATCAACACTAGGAGACACTTTCAACCTTTTCAATGTTCTATACACTGACGAAGGCCTCGAATATGAGGCCTCCGAAGAATCTTTAGACACCAGCTAAAGGGGCCTGTGTGTACAAGCTTAGGCTTTATTTCCGGCCCCAACTCTCAGCTTCCTAGAAGACCGAGTTCTGAGAAGTATTCGCATATAAAAGCTCGCAGGTCGACAGTTCTTCTGATACAAACCTCCCAATCAGAATGAAAGTGCCACTAACTACTGGTGTATCATCAAGTTGGATCGTGAATGGAGGGTATATACTGAGGACCCAAGTGGGGGGCTTGGGTCGAGACGACCCTAAAACTCCAGGCACTTCATTTACCCCTCCGTAAGACTTCCGGAGAGGAGGGTGAATGTTCCCGCGTGGTCAATGTGATAATTGCCTCCATGCCCCGGCCTGCAGCGGAACCCAATGTCAGTCATGCACCTTACAGCACACGAGTGGTAGCCAACCAATTCTCGAACTGCAGACTCCTCAGAGCGGCAGTATGCCAAGGGAGAGAGTCTCTTGCTGACTCGGATAGCATACAGGTGGCTTTGAAAAGAAGAATCAAGGAACGTAAGACGCAACGCTTACTGGTCCCAGTCCCCGCCGCCGTTGGTGAGGACAAACTCGAGAGAGGTCGCCGGTATTTCGAGCATCTGGAGAGAGACGAGATAGTCAATGTGGGTCTTAGACAGTCTTAGGCTCAAACGCTGTGAGAAGCGAAGCCAGAATTCGTCAACCTAGCCGAGCTTGCTTTCAACAGGCTTTGGAGCGAAGTAGCAAATGTCCGACAAGCCCTGCCAATGGTCAAATACGATACGAACGACGCGTCTGCTCAACCCCCATTCCAATCGGTGAGGCGTGAAATGACCACAACGGAATCCTTCAGTCGCTAATGGCTGTATGATTGCTTTCTTACGATTGCCAGCCGGTTGCTTACCTTGACCTGCACCCCTGCCGGGCTGACTGCGTCCGTCATCTGCAAGCCGGGGGGCTCCGTCCAGCTGTAAATGGGCGGGAAAAAAGAGTTCGGGCACTGAGGATCATGAACTTTTCTTAAAGACGTTGTCATCTGCTGTTAGATGCTGGAAGCTCCTTGACCATGAACTCCGGCCGCGCATCAAGTATCAGCAGCCTCTCCAGTTCGGACGCTCAGACTGATATCCAATGAATGCATGCTCGGAACCCAAAGTTCTACGGAGAAGTAGTCAACCGAGACCCGAAAGACGTCCTTTGACCGTCTTCTTACCTCTGACCATCCGCTGAGCAGTGCACATACGCCGTCTCCCACCCAGTCTCGTAGTAGAATGTGATCGTCGGAGTATCCTCCCCTCCTTCACCATCACGTTCCGTGCTCGTTTCCACCTGCAGCCCGGGCCCCGCTTCTGGCGCCAACTCCACACCCCCTTTGACGTCATCCTCATCATAAACTTCTTCCGGTGCTTCCGCTGGTGCAGCCGGTGTTTCCGTTTCTTCTGAGGGAGGCCGCTCTACGCGCGCTGGGGGTTCCGTTTGCGCCGACTCGTCTTCCTCTTCCGGAGGAGCGACCTCTGTCTCGACAGGGCCCCCAGCCTTTTCTGCCGGTGGCGGCACCTCAACGGGTGCTGCCTGTTTCTCTACCGGTGCTGCCTCGTCCAGCTCCTCCGTCTCGTACCCGCCGTCAGAACCTTCGGAGTCGTACTCGTCTACATCCGCAGCGGCCCTACCGCCGTTCACCGATGCCCCAACCGCAGAAAGTAGGCTCTGCTCGACATTCGACCCAGCCCGACCCCCCACTAAGGACCCTCCAACCACCGCTGGGAAGACCGCCCCGTTTGTCGTAATCTCCCCATTGGCAGCGACCGCTGCGCCCCACTCTGCAGGGGGACCGCTCGCTCCCCCCTCTTTCGAGATCGACACCAGCAGGTCCGCAATCTTCTTCACCAGCAGCGCAACCTGCCCCGCCTCCGCCACCTTCATCAGGCTCTTGAGCTCCAAGCGCACCCGCTCTAGTTGCACCACGTCCTCTGCAGCGTCCTGCCGGCCTGACAGGGGCTCAACTTCCGACTTCGTAAGCGCACTTCCCGGGAGTTGCTGCAAGCACCCCCCGGCCTGACGCTCGCTCTCAGTCAGCGAGCTCTCCAGCATGGCAACCTGGGACGAAGAAAGAAGTACATCAAAAGCCGTCTCCTGACCAAGCTTTGGTTTCTTGAAATCATCTGCCTTTCTTACAAGTTCGATGATCGAACCCTGACGGAAGGGAAAGCAGTCACCAATATTCTGACCTAGCAACCCGAATGTGACTTTCTGCTCAAATAGATCCCCATGGAAACAACTTCCAAAATAAAAGACGAGTCACTGACAAGCTTCGGAGCACAATCTACCTTTTCCATCCAGCCGCCCAGAGAGGCCACTGCAGCCAAGCGTCTCAAAGAACCAGGAGCAGATTCTCTCGAGGCCGGAATATACGGTCGTTTATGCAAACACAGAAAAACTTCACACATATCGCTTACAGCCCCCATTAAAGCCACCAAGGGACGTGAGACTCATGCTGATGGAGCCCCCCCGGCAAACAAGCACGAGCCAGCTATCAGCAGACGCCCTCACCTGCAGCAGCAGAGCCTCCTTCTCCTGCACTGCCCCCGCCATGAACGTGCTCCTCTCCTCCATGAGCCGCGCCAGCTCCCTTTCCAGCTCCACCGCCCGCACTTGCTCCTGCAGCACCTCCGCACGCCGCGCGTCCACCGTCGCCTCCACTGCCACCATCCGTTTTATCGTCGCCTCTAGTTCATCGTTAACTGCCCTTTTCTCCCCCTCCCAAGCGTGCATCCGCTCTTGCAGCTCCTCCTCTCGCCGCTCGAGAGCGCTGGCAAATTGGCGCACCTCGTTCTGGGCATGAGAAAGTTCTGCTCGGACGGAGTCAACAGCGGATGCAACGGCGCGCTCAACCTCGTCCGTGGTAACGCGCTTGGACAGCTCGGCGGTGAGCTTCTTCACGACAACGTCGCGCTCGGCAATCAGGTTGTTGCTGACAACGGTAATCATGGACTCACGCTCGCGCACAAAGCCCTCCAGCTCGCGGATGCGCCCGCGCAATTCGGACACAGTGCCCTGCAGCTTCTTCACCTGACGGCAAAGAAGGGTGACGTTAGCACGCGAGGATTTAATCGCACCTTCTGATTCAAGAGAATCCGACTAGTTGCATCTGAGGAACAATACGCGCCCTGAGGTTCTGCAAGGATCTAGGAATTCCCAAGGTCGAACGTCACCTGTCGAATCACTTGGGACAATCGAGAATGCAGGCAGGCCGTCTCCCCACCTTTCATACACAGTCACTGGGTCCCCGAGTTGCCTTGCTCCTTTCGTGGTCCTCAGCCCCACGAATCTGCTTATCGGATCTATTCTCAAGAGAGTGCCACTGTATCCTGTGTACTGTTCCCATCATTTACCAAGAAGACAGTTGGTGATAGCGCTCACCACTTCGTCGTGGATGCTGAGCGGCACGCTTCTGCTCAGCTCCAGCTCTAGCTGCCGCACTTTGGACTCCAGTTCCTTGATGCGCACCCGACCCGTGCTGCTCTCTGCGGACTTGAGCTCTGCTTCCATCCGATGCAGTTCCAGCTTTAGGCGCTCTGACTCCGCTGTTCGAACCTGGAATAAACACCATTTTTGGTCAGGCAGTGGTCAGCAAAAGCGGAAGGACGGAGACACATGCTTTTCCTGTGAATTCGTGATTGTCCATGATTGAGAGTAGAAGGACTTTTACAGCATGTCGCTCTCATCTTAGAGTCACAGTTTGAACAGCCGGCGAGGAAAGTGTACCCTATTAACCTAAAGTTTGCATCTACAGATCGGGGCACTGATAAGGATAGAATTTGGACCCTTCTCTACTGCTGTCTTTGAAGGCTTTGCTACTAAAAACACTCATGAAACCTGCTGATTGGCAGGGCTCACAATCCATGATCTCCTCACCTCATCTTCCATTGCCTTGATCTTTTGCTGCCGAATGATCTCTGTCCCCTTCACATATTGCTGGTGCTTCCAGCTTTCGCTGCCGCTGGTGCTGGCAGAGTAGGAGCTCTCCGCCCGCACATTCTCTGAGGGCCCCAGGTCAAACTCCGCCTTCCGACGATCCGCCAGACCTGTGTCCAAGATGCTCTCTCCACTCCAGGCCCAATCCTGCATAAGCACGTCGAGTATCGACCAACGACAAGCCGCGACCAATGAATCTCTTGAAGCCGAGTTCCACATGAAAGAAAGTTTGGCTACACCTGCAGAGAACAATCTCGATCCTCCTTGGCGGCCCTTGCCAACTGCGTGCTTAGGGTATTTAGGGTATAACATAGACTGGCTTCAGACTGCTGTACAGCTCCATCCCAGCTTGTTTCGCTCCATCCCAGCTTCTTAACAAAGGTGCTCTTCTGGTTTCCGGAATGACCTGGAACGAAGTAGGCTACCGCCAGCAATCCTAGGCTGCTGAGGGAAGTGCAAACAAGACAACAAAGTTGTTTCTCGACATAGTCATCCCTGTGAAGAGGGTGTTCTTTCTTGCACATCTAACAGGAGTGCTTCAAGGAAGACTCTCCCAAGCATGCTACACTCACATCTTGTTCTGTCCATGGTTGCCTTTGTTCTGATGGGGCTTGCACAGTGCCTGCTGGCATCACTGGGCCCATGCTGCGGTCGACCTTCACGGGAGCCGGCAGCTCCAACTTGGAGGAAAGCTGCTCAATGACACGGCGCTCAATCTCCTTCCGGAATGCAGCCAGCGGAGAGGCCCCCTGCAAGCGGACCATCATGCTCACAATAGGGTATAGACCAAGACTTTCCAACAGAGACGATGGGAAGTATTAGGATAAGTTGCAACCACGAACACTAACTGCTGATGCTGCATTCCGCAATTGTTCTCACCCCTTTTCACATTGGCTGACAGTGAAGGCCTCACAAAATCCAGGACATGACTTAACTAGACAATGGTGCAATGCAGGAAAAGAACTCAATATTGACTCGACCATGGGGCAGATCAGAAGAGCAGTCCAATTGGCCAGCACAATTGAGGCAAGCTGCCAGGTAATCCAGTATGAGGCGAAAACCACAGCATCCATCAGACACATCAAGATCTCTCACCTTGCCAGCAGGTGCGCTGACAGCATACTCGGAACCCTCAACTGATCTGCTAGAAGAGGACTGGCTATCTGGACTCCTATGGAAGCCCCCTTCCTCCTCGCCCTGTCCCCCCTTAACAGCCTCATGCTGCACTTCCTGCGATCTAGTTGTCTGCAGCTTTCTGCGATTGTTCACAGCCACCACTGGCAGCGGGGCCTTTGACGGGAAGGACGACGGCACGAGGCTGCCAGGGGAACCCCTGCTCCGGGTGACAGTTGCACCAGAGTCGTTTGCTAACCTGACGATGTTCTCAAGAGAGCCCAGCTCGCGGGACAGGGCTCTCATGGTTGCTACGACTTGGACGGGCAATTCCCCATCTGGCCATGAGTGCTGCTCTGCAAAGTGCTGTAGACTGACCAACCTATGTAGCAGCCCCTCGCTTTTCTCCCTCACTTCCGTGCTTGGCTGATTCCCAGCGTCCCCATTCTGACCCCAGCCAAGCCTGACCTGGCTGATGCGGCTAATGAGAGCGCGGATCTGCGCGTGCGCATCATCACCTTCAGACTCCTTAGACTTCTTGTCTTGAGCTGTGCTCACACCTTTACTGCTCTTTCTGACGGGTGGGCCACCAATCCGCGGCTGAACTTGCGATGCTAGCGTTGCTGAATGGGGCCCGCTGCTTCGGGCCCGCACTCTTGGGAACGTTCCCGTCAGCTCCGTTTGTTTGAGGCGATACCCAGAAAGGGCATCCTTCTGCGGTCTGAGCACAGACGATGGGGGCTTGGATGTGCCACAAGCTATCCCTGGAGCCTGCAGAACTTGCACTGAAGGGCTAATCTTGAAAGAGACGTGCTCATTCAAAGCAGAGCAACAGTGAGCTCGTCGCATGGTCTCCATTGCCTAACCCAAAGCCGAAAGCTCTACAAATCTACTGCAAAAGGCTGGTGCCCCAGATATCAAGAAGTTTGGCGAAAAAAGAGTTTGACTCGGCACCACAAGGTTGACACTGGGAGACCCAATTCATCCAATCATGTAGCTCCTTTTTTCTCTGCTGCATGGCAAGAAAATGGAACTCAGTCAGCTGCAAATGAGCCCTGGGAACTAGTAACAACTTTGATGCGGCAGCGATTTTCAAATTGTGCCCATTTTGATAACTCTTAGCCTATATCACAACGGAATGAACAACCGAACGGAAAATGCGGGTAGATTATTGAAATGCACTTAGTGACAGTTGCGACTTGACCGGCGCTTGTCAGATCCGGCCAGTAAAGTTCCCTGATATACCACTCGTATGAGAATGCACAAAAGGGCAAGTGCTGGAAGAAGTATGCAGATGTCTCACCAGATTGCTGATGCTCTGCTCGCGTTCGGCAATCAGGAGTTGACTTGCAATGGACTGTGCCATCTGCATAGAAACGTCCATCCTACATTCCAACAAACTCAGGTACTCGCATTTCTACGCATTGAAAAGTCGTGTCAATCACACTCTGCACTTTTGAACCTGCCCCCACAACGTGATGCTCTTTGGAGACTTTATTCAAGTTTGCCACCTGCATGCTCCTCATTTCCGCACCAATCCATTGCCACCATGCAGGTTGCCGTCTACTAGTTGGGCCCTAATAAAGGTGACCTCCCTGCCTTGCAATGGCTCCACACATCACTCTGACCTAAGAATCCCTATGTAGGATAGCAACCGCCCTCTCACCATGTGGTGAGCTGTACACAGAGAGAGACGGTTTCAACTTTCAAGCATGCGATGTTCTGATTCTTCCCTTAAATCTCCCTGCAGAAGCTTCCACGGTTACGATGGAAGTTGACAATATCTACGGCCATTTCACATCAAGGCGCCAAAATTGATAGGCTGTGGTTGGTCGAGCATGCCGACGTGTCAAGAAGTTCAGCAATTTTTGTGCGACGGCAATGCTCCAGCACTGGCAGCATCTCAATTCTCAGCAATTGGTGGTGGCATCGCTCTAGTTGATTTTGCAACGAGCTAGCTAGCTAGCTGGAATGGCTGCTGGGCAGCTGGCCTAATGTGCCAATCAATGCAGTGGGTCCGTCTTCGGGTCTTCCAACTTGCGCCTGGTCCCCTTTCCGTCGGTCTCTGTGGCGCAGTGGCTTCATTTAGGTACTTCTTTACTTGGGGGTGACAAATGGGGTCAAGCATCACCTGAGCTGTGTTTACTGGGGCCGTAATGTTTAATCAGACGTTCAATCAGCTTATGATCCTCCTCGTCTGGAGAACTTGACAGCAGGAGTGAGTCAGTGCAACCTCAACATGTGATCAACACCAGGCACTCTGCTGTGGCAATCACGTGGGCAATGGGGTTCCGAAGCTGTGAGCAGGCAGCCCCACTGCATCGGTCCAGCCGGCAGGACCCGGCTTTTGCAGACTCTGCCCCCTCCTTTGTGGAGTTCAATGAGCACCAGACTGCCTCACTCGACTCCCTCGTCCCTCATTCTAACGAGCCAACCGCCCGTTACATTGAAACCCCGCACCTCCCTCCTGCGTCTCTCGACATTCACCTTGGAGCGCGCCGCTACCGGGCAACCTCGTCCCAAATGCTGCATCTGCCTCTGGAGATCACCACCGATGTCGCTCCCGGGCGAAACTTTGCAATGCCGTCCCCAACGAATGTCAGCCTGCTGAACAATTTCCCGTTCGCCTCGCCCGACATCAACGAGCCCGGGAGCCCTCTGGGGTACGACCTCAATTCTGGCATTCTGGACTCGAACCTGGAGAACTTCTCCAACAGCCTGCTCGATATCAACGCGGACGCCAACGGCCTCAACTTCTCGCCCTCCTCGGACCTCAACCTTTCGCCGCAGGAGTCGCCCATTTTCCAACTTTTCACGGGACCGTCACTGGAGCTCGGTCTGCCCAGCAACCCTGACAAACCCGTCCAAGATACCCCGTCCAAAGACAGTGACACCCTCCCTCCAGCGTCCCTCACGCTACAAGGGACCCCTCTCATGACACAGCCTGCGGAGAGCTCCCCCCGACGAGACTCCTACGCGGATTTGAGTGTCGCAAGCATCGTTCAACAGAAGCGAGATGACATCTTCTGGGCCGCCTGGTTCTTCTTCTCGCACTACTTTGAGCCGGTGCTGACACAGGGGGCTAAAGACTTGAGCATGCCTTTGGACCAGGGCCCTCTCAACATGGGACAGCAGATCGATCGCCAGGTGTTTGTTGTGCAGAACGACCTTGAGAACAGCTATATGTGGTACCTCAGCGCGCGTCCCGCCAATATGCTTGGTGAGTGTCAGCCTTTGATTACCACCAGCTTTGGTTCTCATATGAGATTATATAGTTCCGCGCAGGGCGACTTGGGGAGCTTTTGTTGGTGACTGTGAAGTACACAGCGGTTGGCGAGAGGCATTGCTAAGCTGCTTATGCTTGTCGATCGTGCTTCACTTGCCATTCAGGACCTTGCCCTTCTGTCATCATTGCTACCTCGTCTTTTATCGTTCGATGCACCCTGTATGCGCTACAGAGTGACATCGGATCAAGTGTCAGCAACTCAATATCGGAGTCTTACCGAGCAGTGAAGAGCGAAAGTTGACAATGTCTTCGTTTGCAGGTCGAATGCAGCTCCAGAGCTACATCAACGGGCGACACCAAGCCGGCCAGGCTGCCTTCCCTTACAGCATTTCAAACGGGTTCATTCGCAGTCACAAGCTACAGCGTAAAAAGTACAAGGGCCTGTCGAACCCACAGTGCATCCATGGGGTTCAACCGGTGGACGCCTCGACCTTCTCTGGTGCGACGCCTGAGCAAAAGCGGCGGTTTGAGGAGCTGACAAGCCGGTAAGCCACTTTGACCTCGTACAGTCTTCGGTACAATCGATCGACTGGGTCTCTTCCGAATTCAGGCAGCTTGTTGAGAGTTTAACCTGAGGAGGAAGCCACTTTGTGAAAGTTGTGTTGTGGTGCCACAAACGATCTGCTCAATTTGTCTAGATTCATATTGCCGTCGTGTTGGGCTCTCGGTAGAAGGGGAATCACTGCGCGGCTTGTTCACGCAGCAAGAACTTGATAGTCGCTCTCCTTACTGAACGCTGGGTGTGAGCCCTTGAGGCGAGGGGGGCTCGAATCGCATGTACCAACACGCTACCAGCTCGTCGTTTGTACTGATTGCTCCTCGCCTATGCAGGCCGCTCGGGACCCCCCTCCCCCCAGAGGCAGCTGACTATAACGCCTGGCGAAAAGTCCCTGAGCGCTCTGAGGCTTCTCCCTCTGTTGACACCACTGCCGCAGCCGAGCCGCTGAGCCAGACCATCCAGTTTCTTCCTGGGCAGGAAAGCCAGGAACCACCTCCAAAACCTCCGGCTTCGTCCCCGGAACCCTTAGGTAACAAAGTCGGGGGCAGAGCCGCCAAGAAGAGAAAGAAGGGAAGTGGGCCGAAAAGTTGCGCAGCAAACGAGGGGCCGCCAAGTGGCCCGACTGGTGAGCGGGGGATGTTCGGAGGGGGCGGAGCGGAAGAGCTGCTCTTGAGAGGGGGCGCTGGGAATAGCCCAGAGGTTCAAGGGTCCGAGAGAGAAGGGGCTGGGGTTGGCGATAGAATGACGAGACTGCGGGAGAGCTTGACGAACGGGGGTCGCACGACACAACGGACCCCGGTCACGGATCTGACGCTGCAATGGCAGGCGGAGATTGAGCAGGGGCGCAGTCACTTGTGGGGGCCTTCTTCCAACGGCGCGCACGCTTCGGCAGCAGCGAAACTTCGAGCCGCCGAGCAGCGCTCTCAATTGACAGTGCCTGACTCAGCAGCGACTGATGTGCGAAGAGAGCCGTTCAGGAGCGGGCGGGTCTTGACTTCGGAGAACGCTCCGACGGTTGGTACGACTTGTAACGGAACGGAGGGGCTGGAGTCTCGGCTGGCCGGGCCTGCGTTCGGACAGTCCGGCGAGGGCGCGGCAGCTCAATCGCGGCTCCGTGACGCCCAACTGCACCCTTCAAACACCGACACTCGCCAGCGGAGGGGCAGCATGCAAGCAAACAGCGGCCAAGCCGTGAGCGAACTCCATCGGTGGGGGGGTGGAGGGCCAGCAGAGACGGTGTCTGAGGACTGCCCCCCTGCGGAGCTGACGGGTTCTCTTGACGGAACAGAGGTGTCGGGCCCCAGTCGGCGTCCCTTCCCTTCCCCGCAAGCCCAGCGGCAGCCGGCGCCCGCCGGTGCGCAACTTGGCAGCGTTCCATTGGCCGTGCAGGATCTATCCCGGGCGCAACTAGGGGCGGGGGTAATGCCGAGAGCGGCGCCGGAGGCCTTGTACGAGGACGAAGCCGGGTACCTGCTGTTTGTGAGTCTGCCGTTCACCGACCTGAAGCAGGTTCGGGTGACGTGGCGCAACGTGGGGGAGACGGGCATCGTCAAAGTTGACGGGGTGGGGCCGGCCCGGGGGCTCGCTCGCGGCAGCCGGGTGCTGCGGCTGTCGAGCTGGGGCCGGGCCGGAGGAGACGCGGCACGGGAGATCATGCTACCGTGAGCATGCCAACTTACCTTCGTTCTTTTTGGAGGATAGTAAGATTCAAGTGAAGCCGAAGGGGTGTTCGTGAAGAGCCCGTCTCGGAGTCGAAATCGAGTGACGTCGTGCTGGCCTCAAATTGGTTCCTCATATCCGCTCGTGGTCTTTGTTGCGGGTGACGCTTCTTCTTGATTGAGCAAACAGACCTGTGGTGGATCACGAAGCGCATTTGATGACGAATGCCTTACATCTGCCATGATTACGAGTTCCGCCATTCACCTTCCCATCCGCTCATGCCAGAATTTGGTTCGCGTAGTTTTGAGGTTTTAATATGGCAGTCCAGATAGGCTCGTTTCTAATTGCAGGACCCGGATACCTGATGACGCCTCCATCGAGGCACACTTTTCTGCTGAATGTGCGGGTCTAGAGATCTCTGTGCCAAAGCATGCGGCTTGCACCGAGGAGAGACCTGTGCGGTTGTTCCTGCCGGAGCAACGTCAGCTTCCAAGGGGGTCTTAAACGGTGGATTCTGTTGTAATCAAAATGAAGTTCGTCGAGTGAGCAACTCGGTGGATCTTGTGCGAGATCATGTGCGAGACTTTTCGATGGTTAGGTGAGACGGTCAATGAGAAGCCTATGTTCCAGTGGGCTACCGTCGGCTCTGTAATAAGGGAAAGAGAAGATCATGCAGGCCGTGCAACTGGCAAGCCCAATTCGATAGCAGGCCCACCCGCATGTTTACCAGTGAATGGTGTGAGACTCGGGCTCACATATGGGGAGTCGATGATGCGCGCGCCACAAGTTCAGTGCATCATTCGAGAGCGCGTGCTCATGTACTGCATGGTCTACCGTCTGCATGTGGAACTTAGTACCGACAATTTAATGCATTCCGTTATGGATCATGCGTGCGTATACTTTCGCTACCATCTATAGCTTGTACTTTTAGTGCATCTGTCAGCTCCTCGCGTCAGGATCATTTGCACGATGATGAGGGTGTCGCAAATTGGCCATTGCATGCTAGACAAAGCCGGTTCAATTTTCTTATGGACATTAAGATTAGAGAATTTAATCCCACACAACTTCGATCGATAATGATAACAGCATAATGATGATCCGGTAGCGACTACTCTAGATAATGGTTGTGATGTGTCCGCTGTAATTGGAAGAGCTCCGCAGGTCGTTTTACTGGATAAGGATATTGCAGAGAAGGAGGGATCCTTGACGAGGTATAGAACATGAAAGTAGACTCCATCTGATCTGGCCCAAAGCCGCAGTCCTCGAAGAAAGGCCTGCAAAAGCGGCAATGCATCTCTGGATAAGTGCTCGAGGCAAAGAGGGTCCGTGGGACGAAATACGGGTAAAGACGCATCAATCACGTAGGGCAACATCGAGAGGAGTAAAGTGCTTCAGATTTTAGATGCACGATCCCGAGTGAATGAAACATAGTAACTGGGAAGAGTCTTCAGCTTACCTCAGGTCCGAGTTCGACAGAATGGCAATATCGTCGATGCCCCGCTTAGTCAGCTCCCTGCGAAAGGAGGGCCGTCTGAGGTTTTTTTAAAGAAATCGGGGGGAGAAGTCCATGCCCCATGACTCGATCTACCACGACGACAGCTCGAATGACTCCCTGTGGGAAAGCCAGTCACTTTTTGAGTAGCTTACAAGCCGTTACTGGACATTTGGTGGGAAGACCTCAAAGATCGCCGACTCAGCTACGTTCCCTACCCTTGAGATGCTTCTGGATTCAGGCACTTCGAGTTGAAGCGACGCTGATAGCGGCCATTATTGAAACGGTAAAACGAATAATACTAGCACAAAAATGTCTGTCAGTGGACCGACACAACAAGAAACGAACCTGTCTTCGACCACGAGTCCCACCGGTTGATTGAATACTCAGACAAAGCAAGTCAAACTTTCTTGCTAGTAAAGGAGTGAAGGGGGAGAGCCGGCTTTGACCCTTTCGATGCATTCGTAAGGTGCCCTTCAATCACCTGGGAATCGACAAGTTGCTTCAAAATGTGAAGGTGCATCGGAGGCTTACCTGACCGCCACCTTCACCAGTTTCTTCCCGATGCCCTGCCCACGCGCGCAAGGAGCCACCTGCAAGCCAAAGTGCTTTTGTCTCTGGATTGAACTTGGACTTGCTCTCGCAGCCGTCCAAACAATCCGTCTGCCCTTGCCCGTCCCCACGACTTTGTAAAAGCACTCGGCAGCTCAAGAGGCGAAGGATGCTGTCTCTTTCTCCAAAAACGCCTTTCTTGACGGCCTTTGACTTGCTACACATTCAGAACCTGACCAATTTCCATGGTACATTTTCACGGATTCGTCCATTCCACGACCTGGAGTCGACAGAAATCAACCAGACACAGAACCAGTCCTCAACATTTTGTCGAAGCACTCACTGCAATGTCGTGGACTGCGCCCACCAGGGAGCAGTCCGACGTCGTCCTTGCAAAGCCCACCAGCTTGGCTGGCCCCAGGAATCGCGTTTGTTGGTCGTCCCACCAGTCCGAAAAGCCACCCCCCGTTTGGTCGGCCAACGCTGTGAACAGGCTGCTTTGGGCGGGGCTTGGAGCAAGCCGCTGGGGCATGTAGTCGTCTTTCAAGTGGTCACGGGTGAAAGCGGCAATCACCGATGTGCTGCCGTTGGAACCACCAAGTCAACTATCAGAAACGGTTTGTAAGCGAAAGCGTAGGATTCAAGTGATCAAGTGGGTAGGATTTGGGCACATCAACAGAAATATCTTTCATTTCTGGACATAAGGTCGCTTTTGAAGACAGGTCTGGGCAGAAACATATGCTTATTCAGCCAATAGCCAGGGAGCCTGCGCCCTGGAGTGTGTTCGTTGAAAGCTATCTTGGGGGTTTTCTGGTCCATACAGCTCGTAGCTGTCATGACAATGTATTAGAGCTTCTGCTGTCTGTTCGTCGGACAGAAAGCCAAACCAATGTCGAAGTTGACCAATTTTCGCAAGCTTCCTGTGGGAACTTTCTGACAGTGGTGCAATCTCGCACGCCCTTTGTCAACTGCGCACCTGTAGTCCACTGCTCGCTGCAGCTTCTCCAGGTTCCACCTAGTGGCGCTCATCTCCTTGTCCAGGAGCCCCGTCGACAAACCCCCGGCCGCCAGCAGGAAACTCAGCTCCCGTACGTCGACCTTTCGCCGATCAAGACTGCACACAGTGAATGGTGCCCATCGAAGGGCAATAAGCTATGCCTGGTTACAATAGGCCTAAAGAAGCATCTTCCAACTGCGTCAAACAAGTCTACGTTTTCGGTCACTAGCGCCTAGACCTTTTTTCCACTAAGAAGCTAAGCATCCACCGCCACACGCAGCTTGAAAGTTCGAAGAACGTAACCCATCCTTGGCTGCCTGTACGTATAAGAAACCCCTCTGTGATGGGCTAAGCCACTGCTTGAACTGGTGGCAGTCCATTGCCAGGATTGGGCAGCCAAAGCACCGGTCGTGAGGGCAATGCATGATTGAAAATGGAGCCGGCAAGCTCACCTGAATGTTACAGCAAGTGTTGCGTTCCTAAGTCCCTGCTTCCGCTCAAGAACCTTCGGTCGTGAAGCAACACCACGTGCTTCATTGAGTGCTTCATTCGAAGCAGCTCGTAATGCTTTCCTGGATTTTTTCTTTTGAGGTCTTGAAGCAAGATGGTTTGGGGGCCTTCTCAATTGAAGTGGTTGCCCGGGCCTTCGCATCAGACAGCCGGGACAGAAAGGGAGTTCTGGTATCATAGAAGGTTCTGCGATGAGGGAGTTTTGCCGAATCGGTCTCAATGCACTTGCAGCATTTCTCGCGCAGACGACGGCTGCGCCTTCCATGACGGTGGGAGGCCAGCCCCAATGCTGCGACACCACACACACTGTAGTCTGCCGTGCTGAACAGAGTCGGTCCGACAGTCTGTGAGTTAAACTTTGAGTTCTGACAGACTCTCTGACAGAGCAGGCAAGGTTTCGTCCTTCTGGCTGGACTTTTCCTTGCAGCCTGAGGCTGCAGGATAGCTGAGCTGAGCGCTCCTTTGTAGCGCCCTAACCCAAGTTTTTTAACCCTCCTATGTCCGAGCTACTCGGGGCTGGCGAGTGTAGGTAACTGCTTGATCCTACATAGTTGACGGGCAAAGAAGAAAGACGGGCAAAGCAGAAAGGAAGCACTGAAAGAAGGGGCGACAAGCAGAGCTGACAGTGAAGTGAACGCCACCAGATGGCACGGCTCTGAGCTTGGCCCGAGTGCACACGTGGCCGTGGTCCCCATCCTAAGCAACAGCCATTTCTGAGGACAAAAGCAATGGGTTCCAGCTTGGTTGAAAAGGTGGTGGTCGTTTTGTTGCTTTTTGTTGGACTGGCAGCCAGCGTGAGGGTTACGAGCGAAGCGGACTCTGCTGCTCTGCCCTTTGTGATACTCCATGGTGAGCAGTACAAAACATGCCCGGAACTTGCAAGTTACACTGTCAATTGCGTCAAAGAGCTTGTATGGGCACCGATGAGTGCTGGGACACTCTGAAAAGCTGTGATGAAATTGAGTAGCAGCTGGAGCTGTCCTCTCACAGCCACAAATGAAGTGTGCACCTCAGAAAGTTTCCACAGAAAGTGGTGCAACTTGGTTCCTGCTCCACTGGCTGTCCGCCTTGGCCGCAACGTGATGCTAGTGTGTGTGGTGGCTGTGCAGGTATTGGTGATCAGTGCTCGAATCCAGGACTTGCCTCACTCACAAAAAGCCTGTCAAAATCGGCCGGCATAGAGGGCACTTGCATGTGCGTAAGTTCAATACCTGCTTTGCAGATGGATGTAGATGTTGTGCCACCACCTATTTTGCAGTGCAAATCATCAGTTACGTCTGTCTGGAGCTGGGGCGTTTCCTGCTCTTCTCTTGGGGCTTCCTTTCAAGGTTCTGCTGACTGAATCAGTCAAACCTTCGCTTTGCAGAGAGATAGGAGACGGCGTTTCCTCCTCCTGGTTGATGCCACTATATCAACAGGTGAGTACAGACCGCAGTTCCTGAAGTTTGGGCGGCTCTGAACCTATCACTTGTTAGCCTTACCAGATTCTTCTTGTTGTGCGAGTCCTGGGCTTCTCGCAGCGATGTGGGCAGAAAGCCTTGTCCATTGGCGAGCTCTAGTATCAGCGCAACTGAACGTAAGAAGTTGTGAGAAGCTTCTTGCGCGTACTAAGGTTTGGAGTTGCTTTATCAAACGCGATTGTTGGACACCGCTGTCTCCATCTATTATACTGGCTTAATTTCGACGCCTATGAAAGGGTAAAGCGGGTGGAATATAGTCCCTGTATTTAAAGACGGATTTAAAAGTCTTTACTTTGCCCAACCTGAGTTACAGACCATATTTTCTTTGTTGTGACCTGTGTAACTTTCGTTGCAGGTCAAAGAGGTTTGTACAAAGGTGAAAGCGCTGCCCCACCTGCAAGCTGGGTTCAATCTGGTGGGCTTTTCACAGGTAAGACTGAAACTAGCTGAGCACGGTCCCGGTATTCGAAGCGACGTTGCGCTGGAAGCGACATTCGGATGCTGCAGAGGTTTACCAGCTGAGCAGATAAACAAAGCTCTTTGTTAGGAAAGACTCTCTCTTTTCAACGTGTGCGGTTCTGAATGACGCTTACCTGTGCAGGGGAACGTCATTGGAAGAGGTTACATCGAGTGGTGTGAAGGTGGACCGCCGGCAAGTGCCGATACACCTGCTCTCGCTCCTCCCTTTGCTACAGAAAGGGCTTCGAGCATGCATGGGGTCGAGTCAGACCTAAAGCTTCCATTCCACCAAGTAGAAAGTTGTGGAAGCAAGGAAGATTTCGAATCTTTCGTTTGAGGACGTTGCCATCGTTCAAAAGTTGACTGGTCGGCAGGAGCTCGCTCGAGATGCTACCCTTTCGTCGCCTTGACGAGTGAGCACCGATTGAGATTTGTCGTTCTGTTGGGAGCTATTTGAGTGACTCCTTTGTCTTACCCTGGCAGGTGCATAACTTCGTCTCTGTTGGAGGCCCCCACGCAGGGACGGCTGCTGTTCCTCTTTGCTATGTAAGCTCCTTTGCTGTGCTCGAGCACCTCATTGCTTGGCCGCAGTCCGTTGACATTTCTCCACCCAGCAGTTTATTATGGTAGGATTTCTCACAACTTGAACTGCGAGGTCCTTCTTATTGAGAGTCCATAGTTCGTCATCCTCGAGGCTTATGAGAATCCTTGTTTTATATCCCTGCGTTTTGACTTTCGCGACCTACTCAATGAGGAGGATGTAAGGCATCGTTTGGGATACTGTGACATCTCGATTCTCGATTGAAGTCTGCATCCGACAGCTCGTGATCTTGTTCGCTTCTGTGCAGTACTACTCTATTTGTCGACTTATCAATGACGTCATCGAGATTGGAATCTACAGCCACTTCGTACAGACGCACATCGCCCCGACTGGATACGTCAAGATCCCAACGGTGAGCCCTTGCTGCCTTCTGAGTGATCATGCGGTTGTATGGCGTTGAAAAGTGGCGCTCTCATGTATTCCTGCGATCTTCACGCTATGACGCCCACGTCTGACTTCAGCTTCGCTGTTCTAGGACGTCCGCGGTTACTTGTCCGGATGCGAGTTCCTGCCATATCTCAACAACGAGCTGCCAAGCCACCGCAACTCGACGTACAAGGAGCGCTTCTCGGCCATCAACAAGCTCGTGCTAGTCATGGTAGGAACCGTCAACATTTCCTGAAAGTTGAGGACGCTGTTGCAGTCTTCTCTATGATCAATTGATGAAACGTTGGCACCTTCTTGCCATGCATTCATTTGCGGAATGAAGGAACCCCAAAAAGGGGAAAGGTCGCTTAACTTCACAAGATTTCTCACGCTGTAATAGTTCGCATGTAAACGAAAAGCAACTCAGAATCTTTGAGGCACTTTGCACTTGGGCTGAAGATCGATTATCCAACTTTTTCCTCTGTTCGCAGTTTGAATTAGATTCAGTCATCATCCCTAGAGAGTCTGCCTGGTTCGGGTTCTATCCAGAAGACGACATGCGGAAGGTACTAAAACCTCAGGAGGTACGAATCATCACTCGCCGCAGATCTTACTACTTGCCTGCTGGAAGGTGCTCTTTCAATTGCTTGATTCCGCCCACATCTTTTGGCTTGCATCTCATTTGCTACTCAAGGAAGCGGATTTGTGCTGACATACGTCGCCCACTTGGTTGGGTCGGCGTCATTCTCTGATTGTTCCTAAGGACCTTTGTCGGATTGCGGATCTTGGAAGATTGACACGAGCAAAAACTCATTTTGGTTTTGCTGTTGTTGCAGACTGACTTGTACAAAGAGGACTGGATAGGTTTGAGGACCTTGGACGAAGCCGGCAAGGTCAGCTACGTCAGTACCCCGGGCATTCATATGCACGTGACCAGGGGTCTCGTCGATAAGTACATACTTCCGAACATTGTCCCGCCGGGTAGACGTACAACGTCAGTAGGATTTCTTAAAAGGTTGGCCTCTCTCTTGGAGACACAAGCTGATGAGAACGAGGTCGTGTACAGTCCCCCTGTAAAGGCAAGCCTGTAAGATGTCGAGGTCTATCGAGGTTAAGGAGAGAGTTTAGAACCTGCATTTGATTAAATATTTCCGTACAAATTCGAGTGTATACTTTAATCCTGAGCTTGGAAGTCTCGATCTTTCATTCTTCGAAGCAAGTCACCAGGCTGCATGATCGTTAGGGCTGGGCATGCAGATGCACCTTTCAAGGGTTCAAAAGCTGAAGGCGGTGAGTCTTTGATTCAGGCGTTCAAAATAGCAGCGAAAGCAACGCGTTACGTAGCGGTTGCACTGCGGTCTTTGCATCAGCGGTCCTTGAATCCATATGAAATGGGGTCAACTAAGACCCCAATCTCGAATAGACTGTGGCTTGATTTTGACGGTCATCACGGGCTGCCAAGCTGTGCCCATCATGGGGGCCTCAATCTGCATGAGCAAAGACCCTTGTAATGGTCGAGACTCGAGGCGGCAGCAGCAGTGCAGATTGCACATGTGGGTTCTGGTGTAAATCGATTGAATTGCTTTACAGAGTGATGCACTACATGTGAAAGGTTATGCAAGACCAGATGCGTAGTTATAGTATGATCCCTCAAAACTTATGTTGACTCGCTGCCAATTGCCGCGCATGCCGGGTTAAATATAATTGCAATGGTTGGAATTGCGATTTAGGCACTGGCTCCCTGGCATGTGGTTCGATCAATGCAGATCCCATTGCGCGCTTAATTAAACCGTAGGTTGTTTCAATGCAACAATAATCCGTGGGCCTCGAAGCGTTGGGTCGGCTAACGGGCCTGAACATGTCAACCTCCATACGAGAAGACTCACCACTCTAGCCATGATCAGCTCACTTAAAAGCGATCGAAGATCGTCCAGACTAAGGCTCAGCTGCAAATTTCCGATATCGACTCCTGTAGTCTGTTCGATGCAACGCACAGTTGTCTGGTGCCATGTGACACAGCGTTCAGTTTGAGGAACTTTGAACAGCCTCCGAGTGCCGACATGCATGGCGCGCCAAAACTGAGCGCTTCGATTGGATAATCTTAAAAGAGACGACCTCAGTTGCGCGGCGAAGACAAGCAGACGCGAAGAGCGCTCAATAAGAATAATGTCGTCGAAGTCCGTTACGTCATTTGCTACTGCGATCCTCCCGCACCTTGCAAGACGGATAGGAAGGCGTCCTTAGAGGACTGGGAGGATTCGGGTCGCCGGCATGCAGGTCCTCCTATTGTAACGATCTTTGACGAAGTTAGCCTGAGCCCTTCAGATGCCCAGCGACGACTTCTCCAATCGGCATTTCAGGAGCGAGACAGCGCTGGTGTTTGGCCACCATCAGGAGCTTCAGGTCGGATTCTGGTTTCAATTGGGGTCTCGGTTGGGTAAGGAAGCAAGGGAACAGGAGAGGACGAATTTCAGGAACTTGGCTTTGCTTGCGCAAAGAAGGGAGTCCGCAAAGGCGACGCAACGGTGAGTTAAAAGGTTTCTGCTTCTTCTACAACAAAGCCTCGTCAATAAGTATGATGAACGGCAGGTCAAAAGCTGATGTAAGAATCTCCTCCTCGAGCCATCCCAGGAGGTACTTCTACACATCTGCATCCATTGCATATCCTTGTGCTTTCAGAGGATTTGATGGACCATTCTCGTTTAATGCAGCACCATTATCAGGTCAGACAGTCAAACAGCCTTGAGAATCAGGAACTACTTCATGTAGCCTGACATTGAGTTTCTATGCTTTTCAGGTGTAAGGTCAAAAGAAGATCATCATGGTTGCTGCACACACTCATGTTCTCGAGGGAATGGAAGCAGGCAAAAGCTCTGAAGAAGACCTCAGAGAGTTGGAGGAGGTCCTGAAGATCTTCAGGCCAGAAAGCATTCGGACAAGGCTTCTGCTCTCGAAGGGTCTGCCAAAAGTGGAAGAGAAGACTGATTTAAGCCATTATCTCTCAGAAGAACCGCAGGAGCAGTCTCAAACTGCTGCATGCACGTCCTTTGAGGCTGCTATTTCAAGCTTTCCCGATGGAAGATCCGACGCTGATTTGACTGCAGAACTAGCCTTCGAGCCAGTGACACCAGCAGCTTTAGCTCCACCTCCGTTCATCTTGGGCGACGAGAATCTGCCAGAAGAGCTCGCTGCAGGACAGGTGGAAGCCATTTCTGAGGGTTTGGAAGAGCAGAATTTGGAGACCCCTAGTCTAAGAAGGCCCTCTCAGACATACTCTCGAGCACAGTTGCAGGCCCTCAAGGACTCCTCAGATGCTGGGAACAACTCAAGGACGATCCTGGGCGCGGTGGATAGGGCCAGGCTGGGAAAGTCAAACCACCCTGTGACGCCTGCCTTTATGGAAAGACTCCGGCGCAACGAAGGCGCTAGGTCCAACGCTAGCGCGCAGGATCCGCAGGGAGGCTTTGTCAGAGGCAACAGCTTCGAAGCTTCTAGGAGCACTGCTAGCACGCAGATTCTGCAGGGAAGCTTTGGCAGAGGCAACAGCTTCGAAGTTGCTCGAAGACCGTTCAACAAGAGGGTTGCAGGTACATCTGATGCGCAGCAGGGTTCTTGGCTTCGACGTCCAGAGGAAGCCATTGGGCAGAACAACGGTGAGACACTCTTCAAATCCAGCCCTTCTGCTTACATGACCTATTTTGCTCAGGTGTTTCTGAAGAAACGAAGTCATTGGCGGGCAAATCATCTACAGAAGCATAAGTAAGGCGAGGCCTGCAATTTGCTGTCTTGATCGCTCTTTCTGCCGCTTGACTCAGAAGCTCTCACTCACCAGATTTATATTCTAATGTTCCGGGAACAGAACTTTTGAAGGATAGAGTGTTCTTCAATTTTGTTGATTTCCATTTGCTTCAAGATATACATGACGTTCAGAATGTTAGACAAATTTACAATTTAAGTGTACCGCTGTGATCACAAATCCTCGAATCTTTACTGGAGAAGACACCACGGAAAGGCAATTCGTCTCCCCAATGCTGCTGCTTTCATTTCCTTCGATTCTGCAGCTTTGGTTTAAAATGTGATAAAACGCACAGAATTACGATGCCATGGAGGACATGTCACTTTAGAGAGTGATACATGGCTACTGCTATCGGTGTCTGTCCTTCTGCATCTGCCATGGTGCATCTTCACATATCATCTTCGTGTACACGACTTTTGACACGCGGATCCTCCTTCTTGCAGGCATACTTGGCCTTTCTCCCAGCGATCACTTCAAGCCAGCACGTCTCGACATCCCAAGCCAGCCCACATTCGCGGACGATGACGGAGGAGACTTTGCCGATCGCGTACGGTACTTGAAGCGACGAAACACCAAGGAAGACAGCGGCCAGTTCAAGACAGGGGGTCCTGCAGTTGGCCAGGGTGTGGACAGCCCCAGCAAAACCCTAGCCGGCATCGAATTGGGGGCTCTTGACTCTTTCTTGGAGAACGGCGCTGCTCTGATGAACGCCTTTGCGACTCCCCTCTGTCAGTCTCCTCAAAATTCTGCGCGAGAGGCCCCCGAAGCCATCGGAGGAGACTCTTTCTTGGAAAAGAATACCGGGCAAAGCAGAGCAAGCGGCCAGACCGGTTCGATCGATATCTTTCCCCAGAGTGGCTCTGGAAATGCGGCCACCAGGCAGTTCAACTTCCAACCGGAGCAAGGCGCACTTTCTCAGCATTCAAGTTTCTCGGCAGGGCGGCTCCCGTCCAAAGGCGAAACAGCAAGCGACACAGGGGCAAGCAGCGGTGCCGGAATTGCAGCAGAGCCAGAAACAGGGTTCGGAGTTTCGGAGGAGCCTGAGGAGCCTGCCGCTGGCGAAGGGGTGCAGAAGCCCGCGGAATCAAACGGCTCAGATGACGCCCTGGAGGAGCTGCTCCGACAGATGGAGAAGAATTGGAAGACGGAGCGCCCAACGCAGGCAGAGTCTGGCTGCGACCTGGCGCGCGCAGGCAGTCTGTTGGGAGGTCTCGTCCAGGAAGAGACGACGGTTCTCAGCTTCAAGGCGGTGCGTGCGTCGGCGGTGGGCCGGTCGGTGTCCCCGAGCACCGCCAGTTTTGCGAGCGAGGCGGGCAGCGCAGAGCCGCAGGACTACCTGTCAGAGCTCGACGTGGGCACTTCGGAGTCCTCTCCAATACGAGGGCAGGAGATCCTGCGCGCTTTTGGCAGCGGAAGCTTCGCGACGGGCTGGGGGCTGGAGACCCAGGGGGTGACGTCAGAGTCAGAGGTTGAGCCGGAGCCGAACACGCTGGTTGCAGAGGGAAGTGCGTCGAGACCTGAGGGTGCAAGAACCGAGGGCGACCGGAAGACAGGGATTTTGGCGGTTGAAGAATCACGATCAGAGGAGAGACCAAGATCGAGCCCCCTGAAGCGTCCGAGAAGTCCATCCCCAGAGCGAGGAGTCGGAGGTATCCGGGCATTTGCGTCCGAGCTTTTGCTCTCGGCTGACACGAACCGCGAGAAGCTGCCGGCAGTTCTTTCCCCCGGAACTTCTCTACCCGAAGGCCAGGAAACGGAGGAGAAGCCCGTCGGAAAATTGGCTCCAGAAGCCAGGCTTGACAACTCTTTGCCTCAGCCTGTCCAAGCTGCTTTCGGGGGAAGCTTGACGAGAGAACTCGGAGAGGAGCAAAGAGCAGACGGTCTGCTGGGGGGTTCGGTCATCAAAGAAGCGCCGCCCCCTTTCGTCTTCGGGGAATCAGCTGCAACCGGAAAGCAGAGAGAAGGAGCTGAGGGATCGGGGTTGGATTTGACTCTCGCAGCCTGGAAGAAGGATCCGGAAGACCCCCTGTCTTTCCCTGCTGGTGAGGGGCGGGAAGATGAGTCAGCGCAGGATGCGGAAGAAGACTCCCATGCTGAGAAGGGGTGGGTTTCGACTGGAGAAGGCTCGGCAGCGGGGCCGGAGGTTGCCCAAGATACAAGTGTCCCGTCTTCCGAAGTTGTGCAGCAAGTCCCGGCTTCACCGAGCAAGCACGTAAAGAGTGCTGTCGAAGCTGTGTCGCAAGCTGGGGAGTCAGAAGAAGGAGAAGGAGATAGTCGAAACCCAAGTGGCGAGAAGCTCGAGAAGCCGGGGCCAGAAGCAGACCCAAACCCTGCCGTGCCAGAAGGAAACAAAGGGCCAGCTTTGACTCTGGAAGAAGAATTAAAGCCGACAGAGCAAAAGGAAATCCTAGCTTCCAGCGCAGTCAAGGTTGAAGAAGAGCAGCTGAAAGAGCCGGGGAGAGCGGAGAAGGCGGGTGACAAGATCGGGGACAAAGGGTTCGCTTCGGCGCGCGCGACTGAGGTGAAGGCGGGTGGAGATGCTTCTGACGGCCAAGTATCACTTGCCTCCGTTCAGATCAGTGAGGAAGAGAACACAGAAGCCACGGAGGGGGAGGATGAGGCTCAGAAGCAGGTCATAAACGGGACAAGTCTGTCGCGGGCGGTGAGAGCGGAAGAAGCGATTGCGGCTGCTGAGGAAGCTGCGGATAAGGCGGATGTGTCTCGTGATCCTGAGATTGAGGGGCAAGGGTTTGGCGTTAGCAGGAATGCGGAGGAACCAAAACACGTGGCGGAAGACGCTGGGAGCGGAGAGAAGGCGGACGGAAGAGAGGCTGAACTTAAAGGAACAGAGGAATGCAAGAACAAGGAAGTGTCAGAATGGGAAGACGTGCGAAGCAAAGAGGCGCCTGGCAGCCGAGTCGGTGAGGCGGATAACCCGCCAGCAGAAGGAGGAGCTCCTGTTCAGACCAATGAGCAGGCGCCAGGTGTCACGGAGGCAGAGCTCAAACCAGGGGAAACGTCGACGGAGTTTGGGGCGCCTGAAACCGGAGCGGGCTCGGGTGATCATGGTGACGTGGCAGGGGCAGGTTGGGGCGAGCCGGAGAAAACACCTTCTGACCAGCCTGGTGACCAGTGTTCCGCGGAAGCAGGCAATCCTGTTGAGCCGGAAAAGCCCGCGGAACCGGATGCTGGGCAGCGGAACGAGACGGAACCCGCAGTTGTATACGGAACCGAGGCAGGCGCGGCGACCGGGTGGGGCGAAGTAGCGGTGGAGGTCGCCGGGCAGCGAGAGGCATCTGTCCCTTCGCCGGTGGAGGAGGCTGGGAGTGGCTGGGAGGGCGCGCGTGGTGTTTCAGAGACATCTGGCCCGGCGGTGCTGAGGAGCTCAGGACAAATCTCCACCCGTGTCCGACCGGAGAGACCGCTTGACCAGGACGGTCCGGACACTCAGGTAATCGTCTACTTGCTATGAGAACCTCACTTTGCTAGAAGAACTTCACAAATACAGAGAGGATTCGTTATCAAGGCGTCCGAAAGAGATGAGATTACAGTACTTGAAGATTCTCCTAAAAATCTCTGGCCGAGTTTTCAGCTGTTTGTAATTCAAATTTCACCCTTCTGTTTGCTGAAGCCTGTCTGCAAAATAAAGTTACACAATTGTGTTTTCTCATGTCCAAGTAGATCGTCAATCGAAGTCTTTTAACTCTTAATTTCAACCTTAATGTTGATGTTTTCGAATCCCTTGTTATCATCGGTTTGGTCTGGGACACTCACTGCAGCACTCAGCAGAAAAAGTTGCCACAATTCGCAATCACGTCTTTCAGATTCGCCGGCTTATGCTTTCCGATTCGCTTTCAGGCACCCCAGCCCGGTATTTTTGCGGCTTCTGCCATGGGTGAAGACGAGTGGACCATTCCCGTCGAGCCAGAGCCCGTACCCACCCGCTCCTCGTTCCGCAAGCGCCCCTCTGAGTGGAAGGCAGAAGTCGACAGCCAGCCCTTCGAGAAGCCCCTGCCGCTGGCCGACGTCGTAAAGGCCGTCTCCAAGGCCCCGTTCCCGGAGGAGTCCATCATCAGCTCAGAGGGCGGCAATGGCTGGAGCTCGCCAGAGACGTCTCGACTCGACGAAGAACTGGGGAAGGAGGAGAGACCGGCGCGCACAGAAGGCTTCGCCCAAGATGCAAAAGAGAGACCGGATCCGAGTCTTTCGGAGTGGCAGAACGGCGGTGAGGCAACCCTTTCGATACTTGGGGTCTTTTGCGGGTTGTATTGCTTCTTTCTCAAGACTTACGGTCTCTTGAGCAGATTTTCTATCTGAGGAGCAGCCTTGACAACTTTGGAAGAGAACATAAAACAATACATGAAAATTGAAAGATCACGAAGACAGAAAGCTTGTTGATTTCATTGAAGAGGAGACAGATTGAGTAATCTCAGAATTGATCAAGTCTGAGACGATATTCGGATCAATAACTTCGGGAAGCTTGTCAGAACCGGTGGTTAAGAGACTGGCTTGCTTGCGGGTCCCTTAATAATATGTCTTGGCTTTCACCTCCCGAGCCTGCAAACCAAACACACTTGGAAGTCTAATGAGGCTTCAGAAGCGTTTTTAAACCAGCATTAGACAGGTGAGACTCTATTTTCAAAATTCTGAACCAGTGAGGATCTTCCCCCAGGTACCGATGGAAAGTCTGCAGGCCTCGAGGAAGCTCCCGAAGGTCAAGCTACCGGCTGGAGCGCTTCCCCGGCATCGCCCCCCTTGCTTCTCAGCTCGGCAACTCCTCCCGGGCTGCAACCACCGGTACCTCCATCCACCCCTGCCTCCTCCGAGACCAGCCAAGTAGGCGCCCGGGTGGACGGGACCGACCAGCCAACTCTGCCCCCAGTTTCTGTGGCGAAAGAAGCACCGGGAGAGGAGTTCGAGGCCACGGGGTGGGGAGAACCAGTCGGGAGTCCGCAAGCGCCGGTCAGCGAGGCGTCCTTCTCCTCTGCAAAGAGCACGCCTTTCTCGGATGAGGCCAGACCCGCGGCGGCATACACCGAGCCGGCAGAGACCGTGGAAGCGTTCGAAGGCCCTCCGCAAGCGGATGAGGAGGCAGTGGGGTGGGGAGAACCTGCGCCCTCCGCTCGCTCTCGCCCAATGATCCCCATTCCGCAGCCCCTCCCTGCGAAGCCGTTTGACTTGGAGAAGTCCACCGGGCTCCCTCCGCCGACGTTCGCCACCAGCCCTGCTCCCGCAGCGCCAACCGAGGAGATCACCGCCACCGGGTGGGGCGACGCACCGACAGAAGAAGCGGACTCTGACGGGAGGCCAGCGCCAGAGACAGGCTTTGGAGCGAGCGAGGCGGCTCCGATGGGTTGGGGGGAAGCCCCAGCGGCGACAGGTTTTGGCGACCAGCAGCCCGTGAGCCCACAGCCTCCGTCGCCCATGAGGCCCGTCGGGCCTGCCCCCGGATTTTCGACAAAGCCGGCCCCCCGCACGCCCCCCGGGTTTGCTTCTAAGCCCCAGTTCAGCACGTCGCAGGCCGCGAAGCCGCTCAAAGCGAAGCCGACGCTGGACGAGATCTACGCCAAGGTGTCGGTCGTGCCGAAGGTCGAGGGCGCGACAGGCTGGAACGCGTCGACGGACGTGCAGGAAGACGAGCCCGCTGAGTATGAAGCGCCCGGTTGGCCTGCCCCGGGAAGCCAGAACGCTCCAACGTCCCCGGAGGCTGCCCCAGCTCGGTCGGGTGTGGACAACCGGTCGGGGAGCTACCAGCGCGAGACCGGCTGGAGCGCGGCTGGCGACTACCGCTCCGTTCAGGCCTCGGATGATGCTCCCCCCCACCACGAAACAGTTGAGAACCGGTCTGTTGGCAGCATTCCCCGAGCGTACCAGCCCGAGATGAGACCGGAAAGTCCGCCCCCCCGGTTCGTCCATCACGACGTGCGTGCCCCGCTCCCTTACAACCCGGTCATGGAGCAGGCGCGGCCGCGTGCCGCCAGACCCGCGCGCGCGACTCTGCCGGAGCTCCCCGCGGGCTGCATCCCGGCTGCCCGGTTCTTCCCGTCCCCAGTCGACACCGCGGCCGCCCAGAGCGCGCTGGCGTCAGAGCGCGGAGGCGCCTCGCGCATGCTGATGTCAGCGCTCAAGAGCGCGGTGACGAACAATAGTGCGGGCAGGCAGGGCGGGACGGGTAGAGAGGAGGGCTTCGCCGGGAGGAGCGGAGCGGTCGGAAGCGGAATCACCGGAAGCGGAATCACAGGAGGCCCCAGGAAGTATGCGCCACCCTTGAGTACGGATTACCAGCGGCCGACGTCGGCGGAGTCCAGCGAGGGGCGGTGGGTGCACGACAAGTTCATGGAGATGCATGGGGAAGAGACCGGCAGAAGGGCCCAGGGGAAAGCACCGGGCGCGTACATGCCGTTTGGGAAGGCGCCGGCCAGCCAAGCAAGTGGGCCAGCAGACGGGCCGCGCACGAGGGGAACGAAGGACGAGGACCCGATTGCTGAGAAGTGGGGCGGCTTTGCGGAGAAGCAGGAGACTGGTGGTCATGACGGGGGCATCAAGGTCTGGGACTGGGACAGTGACAGCGACGAGAAGCAGAGGGAGGTGCAGCAGGCGGAGGGCGGGGTTCTGGGAGAGAGACCACGATTTGGTGGTTGCGAGAGACTCAACATCGAAGGTGAGCCGGAGTGTTATATTGATCGAGTACTGTGAACTCCGTCGTTTTCTGCTGGTCCTCATACGCTGAGACCATGCTCAGAGCGAAGTGAGTTTCGTGAAGCTTATTGGTGGCTGCAAAAAGTTTGAAGAGCTTCAACTGAATCTACTCAGCAGTATCAAAATTCTGTTGCTTCTGGGTCCGAGGGCCGCTATGAGACAGAACCAATTTGATGGACCTTCGATTCATTTCATGATGCTCTTGTTCTCACTGTCATTTTCTAAGCCTCAGGACGAATCTTGCCTTCCACTGATCAATTGTGCTGCAACTTTGCAGGGCTGAAGCCGTACGAGCCAGAAGACGACGACTCCGTGTCCTCCCAGCCCTCCGCTCCCCCGCTTCCCCAGCAGAAGGCCAGAACCACTTCAAACCCTCAGCAGTCGTCCGGAGCAAGCGCACCGCGGCCGCGCTTCGCGCGCGACAAGAAGGTGGACGAAGCGCTCGCGGCCTGGCAGGCGTGGGGGGGAGCCGGCAGCGAGCCCGACCCGTTCGCGGAGGCGGAAGCCAAGTACGGACCGGGACCTCCAGCCAGGCAGCCGAAGCCCGCTCCACCTACCCGGGAGAAGCCAATCGGGCCGAGACGCGCGACCCCACCCGCAGTAACAGAGCCCCCCCCTCCGACCAAGGCCCCGGTGCGCGCGGTGTACCCCCCCGGGAGCAGCGGCAGCCTCGCCGCGCAGACGCTCAAGCTGCCTGAGAGATCGCCGTCGTCCTCGGTGGTAAGCCCCGAGCCGCGATACAAGCGCGACGCGAAAGTGGAAGAGGCGCTGTCCGCGTGGAAGGCTCTGGGAACCGACCCCAACGAACCGGACCCCTTTGAGGAAGCAGCTCGCAAGTACGGAACAGAGCCCGCCCCAAAGCCGAAGCTCAAGCCGAGCATCGTGCCTGCGCAGCGTCCCGCGCCACCGGCCAGGATCCCCGCTCCCGCAAAACCTGTCCCTGCGGCGCAACCCCCCCCGGCAAAGAGCACCCCGGTAGCGGCGGCTCCTTCGAATGGACCTGTGCGATTTGGACGAGACCCAAAGGTGGACGAAGCGCTGGCGGCGTGGAAGAATCTAGGCGGTGCTGATGAGCCAGATCCGTTTGAGGAGATAGAGCGGAGGAATCGATATTGAGGCAAGGTGGTCCAGGGTAGTGTGTAGTGAAGGAGGATGCGAGTAGAGAGAGTCGAGGAGTAGACGGTTACACGCATCTGTTTATGAATGGGAGGTGTGAATCAACTCAGTTTGCGTGTCTGCATGATGTACAAGCTTGACCAGGGACTCTTTAGCAGTCTCGCCAATGTCGATCGCTTCTGCATCAAGGTCCTGTAATGGCGCTCAAATGGTAGGTCATGCTCCGCGATTATCATGAGTTGGTGCTTTATCATGTTGAATCTATAGCCTCACCGCAAAGGTCGTTGCTACTCGCGTCCAGACTGCTTTGGTGTATAACTTGTCTGCAATAGATGCACTGGCCGATACTCCCATTGTTGGACCGTTTATATCGATGCCAAGGCTACTTCAATCATGACAGGACTGCCAAGCTTGTATGATTGATTAACGGCTTCGCGGTGCAGACGAGTCAATTCGTCCGCTTCATGACGCCTTCTAGTGTTTGCCATTGTTGGGAGCTTTGCGTTACATGCATCGTCTGCAATATGATTCAAATCGACACCTGCAGCGGGCATGACCATATAAATGTTTTGTTTCTGCGTAGTTGTGTGCGTAGGACAGAAGGCCCTGACCCAATCCGAGCCATCATCTTGAGAAAAATTCAACGAGTAGCTAAACGGTTGATTGCCTTCACGGTCTGTGCAGCATTCAGCGCAGTGCCAGATTACAGCATGAGTATGTGCATATTGAATAAAACATTTCTAAACATGCATTGCAAATTCACACCGTTATTCCTGTCAAGGAGCATTCATAACAGCTTCTACACCGTCCGTTGACAAACGGACGGAAATGCTGTCTGCACCCAGTAGAATGTACGCGCTGTGGATCATCTCTTTGCTGCCCATGTGTAACACGGACTGCCCAAGTATGTTAAGCGGCCCGCGGGCGCGATCATGCAAAGGTAAGGCATCCGGATAGGTCATCCAGCGCTCTCGGCACTGTTTGCGTGGGGGCGTACGTCTCCTTGAAGGATTCCGAGCATTCTCAGAGTTGACATGAAACAACAGCAGAGCGGCTGTCGACGGCAGATGTGTACCGCAGCAAGAGGTGTATATCGCTTGATGTCATACTCTCAAAAGAGTCCAACTCTGACTTGAAATGGTAAGTCGGAATACTTGAGCAAGCTCACGCTTGAAAGACGAAAAGAATGACTTGAGCACGGCTACGAATACGCGCAATACGGTTGTTGCCAAAAGCACTTGGGTTTCTCAACTACCCGCACATCAGTACGCTCGTACTGAAGAGAAGGCGCTGACCTTTTCGATCGCTGAAGCAGAGCCTATTACAAGGGCTCGCCGGTCTCGGAGAGCTTCTTATCTGAGCCCCCCGACGATGCCGGCATGTCGGAGTACTTGGGGAGTCCGTCGTGGAGCTGCATCTTCCTCTCCTTATAGTAGAGGTGCAACTGTGGCTTGAACGGGAAGTCAAGGATCGGCGTGGGTCGCGTGGCCAGAATGTTGCCGCCAACTATGCTGTAGACAGGCTCGCCGCATTCCCTGCATTAAGAGCATATGGCATGAAAAGCCAAATTTAAAAAGTAGCCACCCATTGACGATTGACGAGATTGATGCAAGCCCCGTAAGTCACGGTCAACCTTGTGAGCTGAAAAGAGCAATGGCGATAAGCGTCCCGAGATATGTGCCCTTCACTGCTTCGTCTTTGTATTTAGCTTGGCTTGATGTGCATCAGGATGCCTATTCGATTTGGGCACTAAAAGCAGCTTAAAGCAAACGTAAGTAGCCCCTGAGTAGCAAGCATAACAGGAGGACGGGTCAACCAGAGACGAAGTGTCGACCGACTTTTCCATGTAAGAACAGTGCCAGAGGAAGAGGAAAGAAGACAAAGAAAGCAGACGAGACATGATTCCATTCATGATTCCGCCCAAAACTTTGCTTCATTATTCGAGGCTTTAGTGCACTTGGTTGCTGAGTTTGTCACAGCTAAACTGATTGATGGTCTATAGTGTTGTCAATGTGCTTTTCGGACGGAAAATTGGGTGACCTTGCATCCGTTACGGACAACGGATGTGTACCGACGAACGTACACGAGATTCTCCTCGTAGAAGCAGTCTCAAGCCGCTATGCAGGACATTTCAGAATTGGAGCAAACGGCGCACCTGTCCTTGACACAATGCTTGAAGCCCCAAACGATCAAGCATTGCTGTTTACTTAAAAGCTTCATTTACTGAAATCCACGAAAGCACAGGGGAACAGAAACCCCAACGAGGGACTACAAATGCCCTTTTACCCCCTTTCTTAGGTCTTTCCAGTCTTTATTCCACCAGCCCAAGTCGAAGAGATTATCAGAGCCGGCGCCACAGCGTCTTGTGCGTCCGAATCTGCGCGCATATCAGCCGCAGGACCAGACAAATCCCACCAGTGACTCAACTAACCAAAAAAGACGGTATACTTGGTGGATCTCATCATCTCTTATTGCTTATGCTTGCTAACATCCGCAATCATGACACTTAAGAGAGCAAAAACAGGGGTCCGAAAAGCCCACCAAGAATCACCGACCATTGGGCTTACCTGCAAAAATAGCGCTGCGTCTTTCCGGAGCTGTCCATAAGCGTTTTAGCCAGCTTGTCTTCTCCTTGCACGATCTGGAAGACGCTGCCGAGGCCCTCTTGCCACAACACCAGGGGGACAATGGGCAACTTGTAGTATACGCGGCAATCGGAGCAGTGGCACCAAAGCTGCAGCTGACGATACCTCTGGTCAACAGACCCGGCATATACTGGGTAACAATGGGCGCCTCATTATCAGTGTACCCATGAAGCTAACTGTAGATGGTCATTCTCATTCCTCATACGCACCAAACTGATCAAAGACTACAAATCTGGCATGCCCCATATTGAGGTCAGATTGCGTTTTTAGTCCTGGCTTTCTGAATCATGCAGCGACGACACTCACACGTGCGACTGAACCATCAGTGATCAGACTTTGCAAACAGCAACCACATGCAAAAGCGGGGTGTACAGGAACCCCTTCACCGCATACTGACCCCCGCGTCTTTCCACCTAATATGACCCTTCCCCAGACAACCCACCTCCTTCATGGCCAGACCAGCCCCCCCCCCTTCTCAATCGGCAGCCGCCCCTCCCTCGCCCTGCCCTCCCACCGGGCCCCTGACAGTCACCCCAACAACACCTGGAGATTGTGATCATTGCAGGCAAACAGCCCAAACAGCCCAAATACAATCCAACGGTGGGCAGTACCTGATGGTTTGGCGGGGGATGTCAGTGAGGAGATTACCTGAACCATTGGTTCTGCGCTGCGGTCCACCGCGATCTTCACGGTACCGCAACCGCAGCCCCCGGAATAGCGATCTCCGGAAGCCATGAGACCGGCTCGCCCACCGTTGGCACAGGCAAAAGCAGAGTAGTTTACCAGAGGCGAGAGCACGAAGATTGGCCTTTCCACTCACTTTTCCAGAGATCGGCACGCTGGCGCGTTGAGAAGGGACTCAACCACTTGGATGACGGGTCAAAAGGGGCGCCTGTGTGTAAGCTCCGACCTGAGGGGCTAAATAAAGGCGCTGGCTGCTCGATGCTTCTGCCTCTGAGACTTTTCCCTTGAAATGCTGCCGAGACATTCGGATGGAGTTCAACCCGAGTTCAAGCATCACATATTGCATCTGAGTGGGGGCCTGTATCTCGCTCTCTAGGCCCTCGACATTATTTTAGCTATTAGAGGGCAGACTCAAAGAATCCAACTTTTGGACAGTGACTTGAACGCTGTCCAACACAGTGCGTTGTACAGGATTCACAACAGATCATAGGTGTATGGATCTCAACGTAATGATATAGAGATTAGTGATCCCCTTGGAGCTTGCAACAGCGTCAATATGACGCTTTTAACATGCAGTTCCGTACATGTCTGACTTCTAAGAGATATTTTGTCACGCCTACTATCTTGGACCGAGGATGAGTCGAAGCGCTCTGAGTCCTGCCATGCAGGCCGGGCATATGCAGCGGAGCCGACATGTTTTAACCTACCGTAGTGGAAAGGTACGAAGCCGAAAAAATAAATGATTATTTACCATTCGGCAAGTTACAAGACCTGTTTTTCATTCGGCAAGTGGTTTTTCGGATTTGGTAAATAATTGCTCAAATGCGGTCGGATTCTCAAAACGTATGGCCGGGCAGCCTTATTGACGCCAGTATGGGGCAAAAAAGCCCTCGGGTAGAGCTACCGAGCACATTCGGATTCAGGGTCGGATTCTTTAAATAAATCGGTAAAACAGGTCGTATTCGATCAAATAATTACCATTTTGAAGCATTCGGCTTCATACCTTTCCACTACGGTACTTGCAAGCGCAGAAGCCTACGCCCGTCCGAGTCGCCTCTCTGGGGTAGCCCTCCGTCGCCTCTCCTGGCAGTACGTAATACTGTACGTATAGCTTCATCATGCAATCATTCATTGCTTCTACCATATCAAGCCCCATGCTTCGGTACGGCTAAGGCGTAGGGATTTCCCCTTCACTGGGTGATGAAATCCCTCGCAAACGCACTACGGGTCATGCCGCGTGCGGGGTAAAAAGGGTGTATAATTCCTCGTAAGTCGAGGTCGTCGCCGCCTCCCAGGGGCCGCCGTGCGGTTTGGCACCCGCGCTCCGGCGACCATCGCCAGGTATAGGAGTCCCACGTCTCCAGCTGATGAGCGTGGTGTCCTCAGATTGTTCATCCTTTTTGCTGACGGATAGCCAGGCTACTGGCCCGATACTGGGAACAACGCTGGGAATGAGGCTATACGTTCGGAACTTCGGGCCTTTGGGGCGTTGGATCATCTGGAAATGAGAATTTACGGTCGGAAAGTTGGCATTTTATAGGCCCGGACGGGCAGCTCCGGTCGGGACGGTCCGACCACAAAGCCCCGATATTCGTCCAAGTATACGGGGGAAAACTCCGCAAATTTGACTGCGCTTCCATGTGGTTCAATGTGAGGACACTGAGGAGAGTTTTCTGGGCAGTTGGGTCGCGAACTTCAACGCGAAGCCAGGCTTGCGTCCACGTATATGTGGCTTTTTGGATTCCAACTGTCCCGCTTGGGAGCGGAGCGGGTCCGGTCGGGACAGAACCCTTAGCGACTTATCGAGGCCACCGGCCGGGACGGACGGAGGGACACATGGCGGCACGGGAGTGGGCAGTTTTATGCCGGATTTCAGATGGTTAGATGGGGCCAACCAA